CAGTGTTGAGGTTTGAGAAACCAAAAGTCTAAGTCAACTTTGTCTTTGCAAAATTCGGCGAATGACGTTTGATTTGCTCCCTTTACGTCTTAAGAGCGAATGGGTCTTGTGTTGGTGCAATGACTAAGTTATTTTTGCTTGGAGTAAGTTCAATAGAAATTTTTCCTGCCCAGTTTGGCAAGTATCTTTAAAAACCTGAAGATGAGGAAAGATGACAAAGGAACTCTAAGTTTCAGTTTTACTTTGGTTACTGCTGCTGCAGTTTGTCCAGAAAGGTTAACATAAACTCCTGGAACGTTAGGGTCAAGTCTTCTTATTTTCTCATAGCTATTGCATACTGGTCTGTTTGTTCTCTAGCTTGTGGTTGTACTGAGTTTCTCAAAAGCGAACCATTCATAGTTTGCCCATGTTACTGTTTGAACTAAGTCAGAGTTAGAATATATCTTATATCCCATGAAAACTTCTGGAGCATATTGGTATCCGACATAGAAAATTCCATTGCAACCTTTCTTGTCAGACAACTTGGCAGAAGCGTTTTATTTCAATGTCTTGTTCCACGTATAAGAATGAGTTGTCAATAGAAATTATATGAAACTGTCGCAAGCAATATCTACTGTTGTGAAGAACCTTCTCCAAACTCACCTACATTTCCATAAGAAAACAGCAGTTGTATATTCGTAAGTTCCAGGAACTATTTCTGACCTTCTAATGGCATTGTCGCATTCGTTATACCATTTCGGAAACATTTCCATTCATGGCATCCAAAACTGTTGGCGTTATATTCTGAGCGGCGTACATTTCATATGGGTAAAAATATAGAATAGTTGGATTTATGTGTCATAATAGAACCCACGTGGACCAAGCTTTACTTTCTTCCTGACTGAGTTTTTAACTCTTCTTTTTCCTTCATTGCCACTACTTTCACTAGATGAAGTTACTTCTTCACTACTTTCACTTTGTTCTACTCTTCTCTTCTTCTTTGGTGTCGCTTTTGGTAACTTGCCCTCTGCTTCAAGTTGTTGCATCTTTGCCTCATGTTCACTAGTATGTTGTAAATTTCCCATGTCCTTTTTGCCTTTGGGCTCTGGTCGCCCATCTCAGGTAACCTATATCCTAGAAAGATTTTGTCATAGTTTGTATTTGAGTCTTCGCGTATTGTTTGCATGACTCTTTCCTGAGTTTCCGGTTCAAGCTCTTCAAACAGAGCTTGTCCATATGGAATAAGCTCGTTTCCAAATATATGTTTTTGTAGCCATTCTGGTTTTCTTTCCATGTTACCAATATATCTTTTGTGAATGGGAAAGCTTTTACCCAACGTTTCAGTCTTGCGTCATTTATTTCTGTAGTTGGTTTTATTTTGTCAAGGAACATGTTTTTCAATACTAACATTTCATTTGGTACTGTCCATTTGAGTTTTCTTAAATATTCATCCCTTCTCGGTTCATTGTCTGCAAAGTAAGTTTTTATGACATTTTGTAAACTTTCGTTTGCAAGGTCATGTACAATAGGTTCTCTTCCTTCTCTCTCCCTAACTTTCTTTCTAAACTCTTCACCAAATATACCATCTCTATGGTTCTGTGTAGTTCTTTGAGATAAATGTTCTAGAACGTCAGGTGTTATATTTCCATCAGCCATGTTCATTTCATACTGGTCCAAAATATCTGCATGTTTCATATCTTTCAATGGCATTAAAGCCGCGCTGAAAATACCAGCTATATCTGGTTCACCATTCACTTCCATTGCGTCTACAACTTCTTGGAATTGTGGTTGTAAGTTTATGAACCACCTATCCGGGTTAGCTTTATGACCCCATCTCATTGTAGTTCCATAGTCTGCAGAAACAAAAGTAGGTTTGTTTCCATCTTGGTTAGGTTCTGAATGAACTTTAAACAATGTTTCATTTCTATATGTTTTGTTGAAATTTAACCTTTTATTTTCACCGAGTTCATCCAAAGATTGAACGTTATGCTCGTAAGTAAAAAGGGTTGTTGTATTTGCGTACATTTTCTTTCAGTACTTCCATTCTATGCTGAATATTTTCATCTGGTGTTGGAGTCTTTTGTATGTCGGCAAACATTTTTCGATATTCTTCTACTATGTCAGCCGAATTTTTTCTTAGACTCTTGGAAAGATTCCATATTCCCTCATACTCTTGTTGAGGGTCAAGATTTTTCGGCTGTTCCAAATCTTTATCTAGTTCTGTGAAGTTAGTTTCCAAAGGAGGGACTTGTTCGTTTCCTTCAGGCTCTTCTAGCTGTTGTTGCTGAACTATTTCTTCCATGTCTGGTTGTATCTGAACTTCTTCCTGTGGAGTTTCTTGTACCTCATCTGCTGGCATTTCATATATTCCGAGACCGTTTTCAACAAGTTCCCTATCTAAGTCATCCGGACTCATAAACCTTTCTTCTTTCGTTCCCTCTCTATTTTTTACGCGTTTCATGAAGAAGTTGAATATCATTTAGCTCTGACACAAATATCTCGGAGTAAATTCATCATGTCATTTGGATGATATGCTATTAAATCATATCCCTTAGCGAGCTTGTATTTTCCAGGTTTGAAATTATATCCATTTGGTGCTGAACCATAAAGCTAAATAGGTTCGGGTCAGTATTTCCTCCCTTGAACTTTCTAATAGCTTCTTTATATCTGTCACTAAAGTCAATACTATCTGGGTAACCATAGTCTTCTTTAAGCATTTTTAAGAATTCTTGGTTTCCTTGTTCTCTACTTCTTTTATGTCCTTGCTCTGTTTGTGGTTGTTGTTGTGCAGGGTTTTGAACTGTTGGTTGTTGTGCTGGATTTTGAACTGTTGGTTTTGGTTGTTGTTGTGCTGGTTGTTGTTGTGGTGCTGGTTGTTGTGTTGGTTGTTGTGTTGGTTGTTGTTGCTGTTGTGCTGGTTGTGCAGGGTTTTGAACTGTTGGTTTTGGTGCATGCCTGCGTCTGTGTCCATGTGACGATGTAAATGTTTTAGGTAGTCCTGGTGCAGGTGCTTCTCTTGGAGGGTTTGGTGGTATATAGGTTCCACTAGCTAGTATATAAGTTCCACCAGCTGGTATATAAGTTCCACCAGCTGGCACATATGTTCCATCTGCAGCATAGTGTCCTACCTGACTTTTCGTTTTTAAGAAAGCATTTACTAGGTCTGTTTTGGTCTGTTGTAACTCTTTTTCTTGACTTTCCACAACAGTTGCTCTAACGGCGTCATAGGCACTTTGAACTGCCTGTCTCGTTGCTGCATCTGTTATTTTCGTCATATTTTGTGCTACTTCTTTTAACTCGTTGTCGAAACCTTCAGACTTCAGTTTCTTTCCAGATGAGAAGTCGTTCACTTGTTTCACCTTACTATGAAGAGCTTCGAAGGCGTTCTTAAAGTCAGCATTCGTTAAAGCTTCATTTGAACTGTCTTCATCCGCTTGTATTTTTTCCTTATTGACCCTATAAGTGGGCTGCTTTAGCGTTGGCTTGGGCATCTAACCAGTCATTGTTAGCTTTTATATATATGCGCTTTTCATTGCCTTTTGCATGGCTGCGTCGTTATTTTTACTTTCTTGTGCTAAGTTTTCATACTGTACGGTTTGGTTTTGCAACTGTAAAAGTTTTTCTGCCTTTACATTTGCTTCAACTTCTTTTTTATACTCATCGCTATCCATATATGTCTTCAGGGCTTTTTGTTTTATCTCTTCATCTTTCAGTACTTTATATTGAGTAGTATGGTTTTTCAAATTTTACAAACATCTTGTTCCATTTTTTGCTACTTCTGCTGCTTTTTCTGACACTTTTTCGCATATTCCTCTGTACTTAGTTCTTTCAGTTGTTCTTCTTTCTTCTTTTTCTCTACGTTTAACTCATTGAGTTTCTTTGTGTGTCTGTCTATTCTAGTTTCTTTTTCGTTTTCACTATTTGCTTCTGTATGTCTATGTTTGACTTTTTGACATCTGATATTTGATTTTTGAGTGAACTCAAATTCATTTGACTTTGAGGGTTATAGGCTGTTCCGTCTGCAGCTCCACCATAGCCTGCCATTTTCGCTAAAAGTGCCGCTCTTAAACCTCCACTCTGTGCACCAAAAACTCGGTTTAAAAGCATAGGATTGCTTGACATTTGTTGCAACATAGTGGGGTCATTCAGCATTTGTTGTTGCAACTGTTGTTGTGGTGTTAGTCTTACTATTGGATGTTTCAATGCTCCCTTCCTCTTACGTATATTCCTACGTATCTTACGTGGCATTTTAAGTGAAGTTAAAAAGCGTCATTTGACAGATGTTTATATGACACTTTCTCCGGTTTATAGGACCTCTCTCATATTCTATCTTGTCATATCTAAACTCATAGTCATGTATGTCCTCTAACCATCTCATGACACTTTCCAAACCACTTTTATCGGATGTAAAGTAAAAGCATGGATGGTTATGTAAAACGTCTAAAGTTTCTAAAGAGTCTCTCAAAGTATACTTCCTTGGAACGCCCGTAACTTTTCCTGTAGCGACGATAGACCCTTACTTGTCCGGACAAAGTTGTACTATTTTGAGTGCTCTACCAAAAAGTCAACGACGACGACTCTCAAAAATTTTTATGGGCTAGAAGGGGCGCAGCCCCTGGGAAGCCCCCTATACCAAAAAAACTTCATTTTATACTTCATTTATACTAAACATCTTCGGGGCTAGAGGGCACGAAGTGCCTGGAGGCCCCACTACCCTTTTTTTTTTTTTTTTTTTTTTATTCAAATTATAGTTGAGATGTTGTTAAGCTCATTTTATTGAGTATTTTTAATGCTAAAGTTGCAACGTTGAAAAGATTGAAAGATTTCCTTCCAACTACAGCTTCTAATGCAAATCTACATGTTTACCAATGCATTTTAAGCAAACTAGTTTCATGATGGTTCATAAAATCACGTTATTTCATCTTATTGACTTATCAAAAAAATAACTTTCCTTTGAAATAGAGTTAAACTAGAATATCCATAAAAACAAATAATAGATTTTAATAAATACAAACATAATTTTACGGAAGCTGTAGAAGCTGGTTAATTTCGGAAAGAATATTGTCAACTTCTCTTTCTTGCTGAATGTTTCTTTGGCCAGACCTTGTCTCGAATGAAAATGGACGCGAAACAAAGCTTCGATATGTCGACCTCGAAGGATATTCCTCTTCCATAATCTCATTTGCAAGTTTTTCGTCATCTTCTCTCTTTTTACGCAATCTTTCAACGTGTCCGTCCATTCCTGGAACTGTAACACGCTCATAAAACTGTGGAGGAGGATGTCTTCTGATTATCTTCGGTTTAAAAGTACATTCAGATAATTCTTGTTGTTCTTTCCAGTTTCTTTGCTCTGCTGCAAGGCGATCACGCCTAGATATTGATGAAACCGATTCTTCGAATACATTTGACTTCGTATTCATTGTTAATTGGCGAGATCTTTGGTTCATCACCGGTTTGATCGTTGTTTCAATGGGAACATCATCTACTGTAGATTTCCTCATGCTTTGCTGAACAAGTCTTTCAAAAGTATAAGGATCAGAACGTTTTTTACGCGGAGTTGTATTTGATAGTGAATTTTCTAAAGTTATCGATTGCTCTGTAACTCTCTTTCGAGGTCTTGAAAGGTTTTCTATGATATCACGCTGTTCATCTCGAGTAATTTTCCTTGAAAATGAAGAATTAGCGTTTGAAACGCTTGCAGATCTTTGTTTTTTGAATTGCCTAAGCATAAAGTCATCTCCATTTGTTGATTGATACTTTTCGGCAATTTTCTCAGAATTTTTGTTTATTAATCTTTTATGAGTTTCTTTTCGTGGCGTTTGAGCTCTTTTTTGAGGATGAATGAGATGATCTGTTGTGTAATTATCATTTTTAAGTCGTGGATTGATTTTAGGATGAAAAGTATATGTTTCTTGAAATTCGCGTTCTTTTTCTTCATTTGCAAGTCGAATTGTTTCATTTCTCTTTTGAAATGACTCATTTATTCGTTCACTTGGCGGTTTGTAGTTTTTAATACGAATGTTCTTGCGAGGTAATGCAAAATCTTCGTCATCTTGAAATAAATTAGAGGCGTGATGAGTTCTTTTTTCTAAAATTTCGATAGATTCTTTAAATAGTCTGTTCTTATCAGCCTTTCCGACATATGGACTTTGCTTATTTGCATCCATTGTAGTCACTAAATAATTTTGATCGTTATCTTCTGAATCAGAAGAAGATGGTTGGGCTAAATCGTTCTGTAGCATCTCTATTTCATTATTTAATGTGTCAAGTTCGCTTGACAAAGCTATAATTCGTGATGAACTCAAATTTCGATTTTTCATTTTATTTTCATTGATAAACGATAATTTATGTAAAATCGATTGATTTCCATTTATTTATATTGCAAGCAATATTTAAACAATGTATCATGAATTTGATTTAAAATTTGATTTATGAACTCAATATGAAGGCAATCCAGCAAAAATTATGGGATCATAGATAAAACTTTCATTTATACAGTATAACTAGACTTATTTTCCTATTAGTCTTTGTTTACTCGGTCTCCAAATTTTCATTGGGTAAACAAATCATAAAATTTAAAAAATAAACACGTTGAATTGAGAAGTATCCACAAAGACTATATATATTTATTGTGTTTTATCAGTTAAAAACCAAAAATAAAGATGAATTAAAAATGATTTAATAGATGATTAAATGGGATTTGATTGATTCAAAGAAATACCTCCCTCAAAATATTATAAAAGACATTTGAGCATCATATCGAATAATAATAGTTATGCAAAGTCATATGTTACTCGCTCTACCATGGAATACGAAATTATTTCACTCAACAATGATTTTATTACATTCTTGATGAGGGAATATAATATGTAAATCAAATAACTCGAATGCGGATTGTAGAATAATATTGAGTCTTTTTTTTTTAATTCGATCAATCTAATGAAGTGAACTATTGCTTTATTAATTCAAAGATTATTGATATGCCATCTCTTTGGGAATTTTTCCTTTCATTAGGTTCAAATATCAATGAAAAAGATGAAAATAATTGTGGAGAGACAGCTCTTTGTATAGCAGCATGATTAAAAAAAAAGCCGAGCTTCTTATTTAACATGATCCAGACATTTATTCTTTAACAAATGTATTTATTGATGTTAGTAATCTATACTTGTTGAATGTATCAATTAAGTCGTTGGGGCATTAAATACGCTTGTTGATAAGTATTATTGATACATCTTTTGTGATTTTAGATCTTTAGAACATCCCAATGTATAGAATAATAGTGAATGCATAGAGAAGTGATTTTGTGATTTCGGCGTTGATGATTCTGCATTGACATGTAAGGAAGTCACATGAGTATATAGCTTTAGGGTTAAGAAGACATTCTGATATGATCTTTCGAATGAATGAGATTGACCTGTTCTCGATGATGACACCACATCGAAGATGATCACATCCGAAGAAGATAGAACTCTCGACGTTTTCGACGCACTTAGGGATGTTGATCGATGTCAGTGAAGAGCAGTTCGCGAATGCATATTGTTTGATGGTACGAACGGAGTCGTCTGGGATAGAGATGCTGATCAGATTTCTGCATCCGATGAATGCGCCTGATGATATAGTTCGGAGTGTCTGTGGGAGGTTGAAGAACTTGATATATGAAGCTGGAGGGAAGCAGAAGAGGACTGTCTCCGACTTGTTGTAAAGAGCACCGACATCGACTGAGAAGTATTCACTTCGTGGACATTCGATGACAGAAAGAGATGAACATCCGTCGAAGAACAAGTTGCCGATGTTTCGAAGAGAGCAGTCTTGTGGGATTGTAAACTTGACGAGATTTTTGCATCCTTTGAAGACGTAGTCTGACATGTACTCTGTGCGATTTGGAACTGTGAAAGTTGTGATGTTCGTGTTCTCGAAGCAGTTAGATCCGATCTCTTTGACATTTGGAGGAAGTGTGATGTGTGAAAGATTATAACATTTGCTGAAACAACCCATACCAATAGATGTAAGTTTAGAGTCAATTGGGAATGTGATGTTAGTGATTCCTGTGTTACTGAATGCATATGTATCAATATTCTCTAACGATGATGGGAAAACAATTTCTCTCAACGAAAAACAATTCAAGAAACATGAACTCTGAATCGTTGTTATATTATTCTTGAATATTATATTTTTGAGATTATTGCAGTTAGCGAATGCAAATTCTCTAATTGTTACATTTTCACATTCGTAATATTCAACTGTCTCTAGAAATGCGCAATTATAAAAAGCATTTTTATTAATCATTTGTAACTTACATCCAAATTTAATTGTTTTCAGAGAATCACAACCGTTAAATGTAGATATTCCAATATATGACAAAGAAGCCGGAAGATTTATATTTGTAATATTTTTGCAATTTTTAAATGCAAAATCTTCAATTGCAATAACTTTTGATTCTTCTTCAAAAATAATTGTTTTTAATATGTTATTACCACTGAAAACACTGTTGTGTATCGTTTCAACAAATGATGGAATTGTGTATGAATCTCGTTCACTCAAATATAAAACAAGTGTTGTTCGTGAATTATATATCAGTTCTTGATCATCTTGGAAAAAAGGAGATCCATCTTCGAATGTGATAACAGTATGAGGAGGAAAGCATTGACCTCCAAGAGAATTCACTGATCTCGGAATTGTAACATTTTTGAGATTATTACAATATGCAAAAGCTGTATCGCCTATTGTTAACAAACCTTCTGGAAATGTAATACTTGAAATATTAGTTCCTTGGAAGCATGCTGGTGTTATTATTTTTAACTCATTTCCAAATGTGACTTTTCGTAAAAATTCGCATTCCATAAATTCAGAAAATTTTGTAAATTGAAGGGTATTTGGAATATTTACCGATTTTAAATGAGAATAAGCAAATGAATAGGAATCGAGTATTTTTACATTTGATGTAAAAATAATTGATTCAATAAGTGAGCGTCCAAATGAATAATATCCTATTTTCTCAATAAAATCGGGAGTCACGAATGATTTCGAATGATTTCCTGGGAAGCATATCAGTATTTTCTTATCTTTTGAATATAAAATCCCATCAATTGATGTAAAGATCTCATTTTATTCATCACATTCAATTGTTTTAAGTGTTTGTGGTGATTCTATTTCTGCATTCATCACAGACATGTATTTTGGAATGAAAAGTTTTGTTATAATTGTATCTTTAAAGCATCCTGTATCAATTGTTTGAAGTTCTGAATCTTTTGGAATAATAAAATTTTCCAGTTTATAACAGTATGCAAAACAATATTCAGATAAAGTTTGAACAGATGGTGGTAATGAAATATTAACTAGAGATACACATAGGTAAAAAGCATATATGTCAATTGTTCTAAGATAATTGCATTTTGAAAAATCAATCGAGGTGAGTTTTGAGCATCTGTAAAACGCGCAATCGCCAATTCTATTGAGTTTGGAATTATGTTGGAATGCGACCGATTTGAGTGTAGTTCTGCTTCCTTCAAATGCATAATTTCCACAAAGAGATGGTCCACGTTGTCCAAAGATGACCTCACAGTTCGATTTGATTTCAACATCAGTTACACCATTAGTAGAACATAGTATTCTATCATTTTCTTGATAATTTTCTTCAAAATCTATTTAGATTTTAAAGGCTCGTGTTTGAATGCTTTTTGAAAATTTTTTGAAATTCTGATCATTATGAAAATTTAGGTAAACAAATCATTATCACATTATCAAGGGAATTAACGTTTCAATTCTCTCAATTTTTTGTGAGCAAATGCGGAGATTCGATTTCAAAGTTAACTTTCCAAACATGTTAGCAGCTTTTATTATAATGATATAACACAAACATACGAGTATCAAATAAAACAAGTAAAAAAAACATAATATTCTGGAAATAATTATCAAATCTAGAAAATAGGAAATTCAATTTCAATATCGAGTTAAGTTCCTGCAAATGAGTAGTTCAATATAGAAAATTCAATTTTCAGTTATTTATATTTTCAGAATTTCAAATTTGAAGAGTAATTTAAAAATATTAGGTTAAACAACCATAAATAATTATGGTTGCAAGAACCTAGAGTAATAAAAAATTGTAATTTATAGAAAGCTCATATTTATTTTGGAGCGTAAGCACGCTGGAGCTTAGCAAATGTTACCTTAAGGTGGCGCATTTCACCAGAGCCCTGAGCACGCTTGCGGTGGGCCTTCTTTTCCCAGTCATAATGGCGCATTGTAGCATCTGGGTATCCACATTTGGCGCATTTGCCCTTCTGAATGTGGAAGCAGCGGTTGCCACAGCGGCGGCAAATTGTGTGTGTCTTGTTATGTCTTGGACCGAATGATGGAGTACCAGCACCCATTGTCAAAAAGAAAGGCCAATTTCCAACCGTTGTAAAGTTAATTATTTTCAGCCGTATTCGTTAAAATTGGACAATTCCATAATTAAATAAATGTGGTTTATATCAGAAATTAATATCGATGAGTATTTTTTTCCAAATTCAGCAGCTTCAAGAAATTCGTTGAAGATATTGAACTCATAGATGCATAGTGGAGTTGCATTATACTAGAATTTATTGGGAAATAGAAATGGAATATCCTCCTGATGACTCATGATACAAAGTGAAAGTATTAGATATCAATTCAGTAATTTAATGGATAAACTTTGAAATCATGACTTCAAGATGGCGAACAGTTCATATTTAAGATATTTTGAAGATATGTCAATAGCTTATCCATTAAACTAATTATGTTTAAGATGAAAAACTGAAATTTTCGATTTCGTCCTAATAGAAAGGAATTGGAAGATTGACTTTTACTAAAGGGCGAAAAATAAATCGAATTTCCACACATAAACAAAGAGATAACTTGGAAAAAATAAAATTTTAAATTCAAACATGCTGCTGACTTAACATGAAAAGTAATTCACGCACTTTCTCGTAGCGTGTTTTCTCCTCTGAAGGAACTCTAGAAGATTTAAGAGAATCGGTCATAATTGCTCTTGTTCTCTCTTTGAGATTTGTTACCATCATCATCTTCTTCTGTCTTGGGAAGTATGCAATCTTCACCTTATCATCGAAGTTGACCTGGACATCTTTTTGATCCATTCTGAATAAAGTTGCATTCTCTGTTCTAAGCCAATATTTTACATGGCGAAGAGGAAGGAAGCGACTATATGGTTCAGATGGTAAAGTAAACATTGAAGTTAACTTCTTCAGTGACTTGGAGAACTTCTTGATGATTGTTACTTGATGATATTTTGTGGAATAAACTTCGACATTTTCTGGTTCTTCAACATGATAATCACGATAGTACTGGATGAATGTTTCATGAGGATCCATAACCCATCTGGATTTATCATTCATGATAAGACCGACTGTACCATCTGCAAGAAGGTAACCAAGACCGTTAGCCTTAGAATCATCACAAAATCTTGCAACGAAGTACTTCGGAACTGTTGTTTCTTCACCAACACGAACAGGTCTATTTTCGATTTCTTGAATTATCTCATTCTCTTCCTTCTTTTCAAGCGGCTTTCTTATGAGATCTTGATATTTTGGTATTGGTGCAAAATGCTTGTGAGCAATTACAGGCTCTTCTGGTTTTGGAACAATTGGGATATGCTTTGGAGCAATATGAGCTGGTTCAACATTATGTAATGGGTTCTTCAAAATGTTGTCAAAGCCATTTCCTGTAATAAAAGGATGAGATAAAAGCTGTTGAACAGAGGGTCTGAGAGCTGGATTAACTTGAAGTGTTGATTTAATGAAATCTGTGGCAGCCTTAGAAACCTTAGGCTCGAGTGGGAATGTGTAGTTTCCTGATTTGATGTGCTCATAAAGAAGCTTTGTTTTGATGCAATCAAAAGGTTGACGACCAAAGAGCATTACATAAACAGAAACGCCAATAGCCCAAATATCAACTTCATAAGAATGGCCCTTTGATCTTAAGATCTCTGGACAGAGATAGTTTGGTGTTCCGCATACTGTGAATTTCTTTTCATCATCATAATCAAGTTTAGCGCTTAAGCCGAAATCAGCAACTTTGATTTTTCCATCAGCACCTATTAAGTAGTTTTCAAGCTTAAGATCGCGATGAATGATTCTGTTATCATGTAAATAACCAACACCACGAAGAATATCCTTTGTAAATTGGGCAACTTTCTTTTCTGGAAGTCTTCTCTGAGCGCGAACCATGTCACGAACGGATTTACCTGGTGCTAATTCAAGTAAGATGTAATAGTATTTGAAATCTTCATAATGAGCATAGGATCTCAAAATGTTTGGATGATTTAAGGAAGCTTGAATTGATATTTCACTCTTAAGCTTCTCTAAACTCTTTGGTTTTGTGTATTTATCTTTACTAATTACCTTCATTGCGTAGTCTTGTCCGGTATTTACATCCGAAACTCTGTAGGCAATAGCAAAGCCACCCTTTCCGAGTTCTTCATGTCTCTTGTAGCTAACTGTTGTTCCATTGGCATTCTTGAAGACAAAAACTAAAGGCACGGCTGGATAGGAAGCCATGATAAGTTTATTAAACGTACACTAAATCCTCTCAAAATAAATTTGCATTGAATTTTTTTTGAATGCATTCTCAATATTGAAATTCAAGTTGTTTGCTTTTTTCGTTTAATGATTTATGTGCTTACAGGAATTAGATAAAGATTCTATTCAAAAAATGTTGTAAATTAAAAAAGAAACAAAATTTAGAATATTATTTATTCCTTTTCCTCTCACCCGCTCCGCCTTGCATACCTTGCATGAATTTGCGTATTGATGCGCAAATTTGCTTGTCTTCGAATCCCCAATCTTGATTTAATTCAGCGGCAGTTGGAATTCTTTGCAAAGGTAATCTCTGTGGTGACTTTTGTGGAGTAGATATTTTCTCGTCTGTGTGCGGTTTTTCTTCTAGGATTGAAGGAGTAGTTTCTTCTGGTTCAACAAAACTCTTCTGTTTTTCAAATGCACTAGCTCTAGCTTCTTCTAATGGATCTAATCTAAGTAATATGTCTTTTGAATCTGATGGCTTGAGAGCAGATTTTCCGGATTTTCCTTGACTTGAGGTATCAGGAAGATCTTTAAGCCATGATAAGTATTCTTCATCTGCTTCTATTGATGCAGCTTGTATCCACGAAGTGTTAATTTGCAAATCAACTTCTTTATCGATAATAATTGGTTTAGATTTTCGCTTTGAACGTATATTTCCATTGCCAGATGTGGTCGTCATATGAGAGTCTGATGAAAAGCTGAAATTCGATTTGTTTAATTCTGTATCTGGTTGTGATGATAATTCATTTATTTGTTTAACGAGGTCAGTATATGCAGAATTCATGTGAACTTTTGGATCTCCTTGTATTATATTCTTCGATGTCTGTATTTGAATAGTTTGAATCTTTTTATTTGTATATTTGAATTTATTAAATAAGTTTTCTCTTTGCTGTTCAAATTTTTTGACTTTTTCATCGGAATCTATGCTTTCTTCATCCTCATCTTGACCATCAGAGTCGAACACGTTATATCTTGTGGTATTTGGCAATAATCCATCGATTTTTTTAGGAAATAAGAAATCATCAAGACCTCCATTTCCGTCGAGAGACGTGGTGAAATAGTTGCCTGAAGCTAAAGGTTGCATTGGGAACGAGAAGAGACTTCCCGTCCTGACGTTAGCCATGATTGAATTAAAATTTCGTAGAATTTGTATACTTTAATCTTACTCTTTATAGCAAGTGTAAATTGATAAACTTAATATAAAAAGTAATCGAATTTCAATTGATTCTATTGAATTCAAAAATGTGTTGCTTTTGCATTTATGACGCTTTTCGAGTTACATTATTGACTCATTTCGAATTCAAAAAATAGACTCTGAAAAGTCACTTTTCAAAGGTGTTTTCAAATCTTTCTCGTATTTGACAATAAAGAACACGATGATTCAGGGATTGTAATTAGCTTACCAACAAACCAATATGTCTTGGAATAATAGCGAAAAAACTCATAAATAAAGATTGAATAAAAATATCCGACAAGCATATCATGTTTATAATTGTCCGAATGAGTTAATAAGGTTTTATGATCTATTGTGTGAAGATTCAAACTTACTACGATTCTGTAGTCCACAAAATCAACTTGAATATAATATATTTTCTAACCTCAGGTGGCTACACTTGCCCTTCGGGCATACATGCCACCTTCAGCAAAAAAAAAACATATATCGATTATAGGAAAAGCGTTTATTCATATATTTCATTTTAGATCTTTCGCCCGAACCTCTCAAATATGGCAATGTTTCGCCCAAAAGCACTCATAATTTGTGAGAATTGAGAACTCTATCGATCTTTCGCCCATGTCCAAAATATTAATTTACTGTAAATTCATAATGTAAAAAGTATGGGCATTGCCCTCTATATCAAGTTTCCTCACAAGCAATCCAGCATTTCGATGTGATTTATAAGATTATTACATATATTGTGAACATGATATACCATAGGATAAGCAATAAAATTAACTGCTCTGAATCGGTATTTTTGAAATTTTTTGATCATTGAATTTTCGGCGATTTAAATGGATCAATCCGCAGCACAATACAATTAAAATTGATATATGATAATAGTTTAAAAACGATTAAAAATTGCAACCGAAAAAGGTCAAAAATAAGTCACAAAAATATGAAATTTAGTTAGCTGATTTGATTTAATTAAATACAGCGAAAAAAAGAGCAGCTTATATTTAGCACATTATTAGTCAAAAATTATTAGTCAAAAAAATTTTTTTTTCATTATGAGTTCTGACTTTTCAAAACAATATGCGGATTTTATAGGGGCGCTTGAAAAGCTCTTCCACATAAAATCTAATGAACCTATCGAAGATATGTGCAGTATAATTACAAATACTTTGATTTCGAAGTATCAACTTTCAATCAATCAACTTACGAAGTTAATTCTTGAGGCAATTAGATACAATTATGCATCTGGAGCGAATTACGTCAAAATACTCGAACAGATCGGGGCTGACCTAACCGGAGTTTCGGATTATCATTTTGAAACAGAGGACTCGATTAAATTTATAGTTATGCATGATCAAATTGATAAGTTCAAGGAATACTTAACTCAAAATTCAATATCTGATGATATTTTTCTCGAAATTCCTAATTTCAGGTACAATGCTTATCACAATAATGATGGATATTATGCAGAGTTATCACTAATTGAAACATGTGCCTACTTTGGATCTGTTAACATTTTTTATTTCTTGATTTCGAATCAAATCGGTAAAATAACTGAAAGGTGTCTTAGCTACTCAGTAATTGGAGGAAATCAAGACATCATCAACGAATGCTTGAAAGAACATAAAATGAATATTGATTGTCTCAGAAGCATTATAAGATCACACAATCACGAATTGCTTGAATTTGTTTTAGATAGAGAGATATTCGAGCTTGATGATTTATACAGTGAGGATTCGGAATGGGAAGATGCAATTTATAAACCTATTTATAAAGATATCATCAGATATCAAAACCTTAATGCTGTATTTCTTCTATTCAAAAGGAACAAATATTACATCTTTCCATGGGGTGCTGCATTTCCGCAAACAATAGATATTTTCAAAAACAATTCATTTTCTAACAAACATAATCGCACTAAATGTGGAATTATTCATTTTGCAAGTAAATCGAAAAATTCTGATATTTGCAGATTATTACTTGAGTCATACAATCAAATTATAGTCAACAATAATGAAGGAGATGATGAATGTATTTCACATGGTATAGATATTAATGAAAAAGATGATGATGGACAAACCGCACTTCATATTGCAGCAAGTAAGAATAATAAAGAAACAACCGAACTTCTTATTTCACATGGTGCAAATATCAATGAAAAAGATGATGATGTAAAAACTGCACTTAATTATGCAATGGAAAATAATTGTAAAGAAATAACAGAACTTCTCTTTTCACATGGCGCAAATATCAATGAAAAAAATAAATATGGAAAAACTGAACTTCATTATGCAGCACTAAAAATAGTAAAGAAACAGTCGAACTTCTTATTTCACATGGTGCAAATATCAATGAAAAAGATGATCATGATGGACAAACCGCACTTCATTATGCAATAGAAAATAATTGTAAAGAAGTAGCAGAACTTCTTATTTCACATGGTATTAATATCAATGAAAAAGATAAATATGGACAAACCGCTCTTCATTATGCAGCACGTTATAATAGTAAAGAAACAGTCGAACTTCTTATTTCACATGGCGCAAATATCAATGAAAAAGATGAATACGGAAAAACCGCACTTCATATTGCAGCACGTTATAATTACAAAGAAATAGCTGAACTTCTTATTTCACATGGCGCAAATATCAATGAAAAAAATAATGATGGATTCACCGCTCTTCATATTGCAGCACTAACAAATAGTAAAGAAACAGTCGAACTTCTTATTTCACATGGTGCAAATATCAATGAAAAACATGATCATGATGGACAAACCACACTTCATATTGCAGCACGTTATAATAGTAAAGAAACAGTCGAACTTCTTATTTCACATGGTGCAAATATCAATGAAAAAGATAAAAAAAGAAAAACCGCTCTTCATTGTGCTCTTCGTTATAAAGAAATAGTAGAACTTCTAATTTCACGTGGTGCAATGAAATAAGAAAAATCTATTAAATAATCAACATCTGATTATTGACTTTGTTCCTACTCAGAGATATATGCTGATTATTGTACCCCCAAATTAGAAACAAAGGCCATAATGAAATATTTAAAACGGGTTTGCTACAAGTGAAAAATGCACAAAAGCGATTATTCTGAATTCAATTTGTGCATTATTTGTGCATTTAAAAATCATTCCGTGTAAAGTAGTCAAAAATAAATGTATTTATATATATATATTGCATACGCAACTGTTGCTATTCTTTATTAATGGATTTGATTTTTAATAATGGTCAACTCCAAAATTTTTAAAATATACAAATAATGCGCAAATTCAATTTAAAATAATCGTTTTTGCGCATTTTTTACACCCAACGTAAAACCTAATTAAAACAATAATATACATCTCAATTTCTTTTCACCAAATTTCCTAATAGATGCATTGCAATTCAAGTATGTACCATTGTAATGCAATCTCACAAATTTATCATTTTCGCATGACCCTGAAAATAAAAAATTATCATTTTCGTCTGACGAAAATGATATTTTTATCACTTTTCTAGACGAAAATAATAATCCTTTTAAAAAACCGAGTGAAGTGAAAGAGCTAACAAAAATAAATAGAAACTTATTCCAATTGAGTATTCTGACAATCCCTAATATAAGGAATTATCCGTCCTATAATAAAGGGTAAAAATGAAATCAAGCATCTTCACTTTTTTTTACATAATAACGCTTGTTATCACATAATCAAATAAAAAATACATTACAATTGATAAATTTTCACAAAATAAATAAAAAAAAATGTTTTATTACTAGTTAAGATAAAGAGAAGCAGCGAATATGATATCTCTTCTGATTGCTTCGCTTGCTTTCTCGAACTTTTCGACCAAATCGACATTTCCGATAAGTTTTGAAGCCTTTGAAAGGGATTTGAGGAGTTCGTTTGTCATCATGATGACTCTGACTAGAGTTCCTTCAGGAATTAGTGTGATTTGCATGATATCGATGAAATCTGCTCCGCTAGCCCATTGATATACAGGCATGATTGCGTGTGGGTTAACGTTGTATTCAACGAAATCATCTTGGTGATCTATCTGGTAGTTATCGAAATCATCAACCAATTGTTGAGCAATTTCCTGCATAAACTGGACTTTCTCAGCGAAATAGTCAGGAATCTCGAAATTCTCTTCTTTGTTGCCTGCTTTTTGTGCGACCAAACAAGAAGCAATTCCGGCGATTTCGGCTGGTTCTAAGTCATCGAAGAAGGAATTCGTCAATAACTCAGTAGCAATGAATTCGTTTGCGGAACTGAGCTCAATGGAGACTCTTCCTTTGATTTGGATGACATTATCTTGAGATATGTAATCGTGGTCCTTCAAGATATTGATCATTGACTTCAGGGTTGGCATGAATGCCAATTTCTCATCATCCATTTCGTCATCAAGCCTCTTCTTCTTCTCAATGTTTTCGATTTGATTAATACTTGATGGATAATGGCTTGAACGAATATCGCATGTGAAGCAGGGATGCTTGGAGATGAAGGACCAGCAGTCTTCGATCTCTGTATGCATTGTATGCAAATCAATATCTTGGGAACCGAAAAGTTTCAAATAATTTGCAACTTCAAGACCCTTTTCCTTTTCTTGAGCCATTAAAACGCTTGAATTTACCTTGTTCTGGAAAATTATGAGGATTTTTTCAAATGGAACGTTAAGTGTTGAAACAAGAGAAGTTTGGAGCTCTACGTTAGTCGCTGTGACATTCTTGATGATGGCGATTTCTCCACCGTACTCGGAAATGAAAACTAATTGGCCTTTTTGGAGAATTTTGGATTTGAAATCTCTTCCGTACTTTTCTTTGATATGCTTGGCATTGATTTGGAGCTTTCTAATAATTTCGGCGTAGTTTCCGCAGATATCAAGTGAATCTTCGATATCTGTGTTGAATTCCAAGAAATTTGGCTCTAATTTAGCGTTAAGAGCACAATCTGCTCTCTTGTAGTTCTTGATCTCTTCTTCAACCTTTGCAAGAGCTTCTTTCTTCTTTGGAATGGCGGACTGAACTGTATTTGAAGATAATGATCTTTTCATCAAATCTGTCATCTCCATACCTTGTGTTCTGATGAGATTGAGGATCATGTTGAATCTGATGTAGAACTGTGAGTTCAGTTTCTCAACTTTTCCGTCGAACATTTTTTGAATGAAGGCTTCTTCAGGGAATTCCTTAGTAACCATAAGGATCGCGTGGCCCTGGGAGTCGAGACCTCTACGGCCAGCTCTGCCGGACATTTGGACGTATTCTGTAGGAGTTAAATTAACAAATTCTTGTCCATTAAACTTTTCAAGGCTTGTAAAGGCACAAGAACGTGCAGGAACGTTGATACCCATAGCGAAAGTCGATGTACAGAATAAAACTTTGACATAACCGTCGGCCAATAAAATTTCAACGCATTCTTTGAGAATTGGAAGCATACCACCATGGTGAAGGCCGATACCATTGACCAAAAGTGACCTAACTTGCTCGATTTGTGGTAAACAACGGTCATTTGGCTTTAATCTGGAAATTGATTGCGTAAAGAAGCGTTCTACGTGGGCTTTCTGCTTATCGTCAATGAGACACTTCTGTTTGGCGAATTCTGCGAACTTTTCGCAGTTCTTTTGGCTGAAAGAGAACATTAAAACTGGTAATAAATCAGCATTAACGAATTTATCAATTGCTTTCTGCCAATATTGTGGAGTAAACAATTCTCTCTTCGGTCCTTTCTTCTGTTTCTCTTTAAACTTGTTCTCAAGCCTCTTGAATTTTTGACTATCGAATGTCTTGCCTGGTTGTTTAAGAACAGCAAGATCGTTAGCGGCATAAAGGCAGTGGACAAGAGGTACAGGACGTTCGGTATGGCGTTCGACGTAAACCGTGCGATTCTTTGTACGACCAATCCATGCGGCAATTTCTGTATCGTTTGGAATTGTAGCTGAGAGGAAAACCATGTTGATATGAGGTGGCATAAGAATAATGGACTCTTCCCAGACAACACCGCGTTCTTCATCAGAAATATAATGACATTCATCGAAAATAACGACGTCGACATCACGGAGAAGATCGGCGCCTCTGTAAAGCATTGATCGAAGAATTTCTGTTGTCATAATGAGTACGGAAGCGTCTCTGTTAAGAGATACATCACCTGTAAGAATTCCGACGTCGTGGAAGACTTTGTTGAGGTCACGGTATTTCTGGTTCGAAAGAGCTTTAATAGGAGATGTATAAATTGCGCGCATTTTGTGTTGTCTGGCTAATGCAATCGCATATTGAGCAACGACTGTTTTACCGGCAGATGTAGGGGCAGAAACAAATACCATTTGGTTCTTCTCGAGTCTGTACATGGATCTGACCTGGAAATTATCGCACTTGAAGTTGAATTCGTAAGCTGGCTTTGGAACTTCTGTTTGGAACTGAGATGTGTCCCAATCATCAAGTTTGTACGGTTCTGAAATTGGCTCCTCTTTCTCTGTCTCTGCTGGGGCTCTGTATTCAGTAGAAGCTTGAATTTCTGGAAGATCTGGAAGAGGTTCGAGTGTTTCGGCTTCTGAAACACCTTCGTCAAACGGAGTTGTTAGTAAGTTTGTACCTGTTTCTAATGCTGATAAATAAGTAGTAAAATCTTGTTCTTGAAGTTTTGTTTGTTTATTGGGTCCAGTGCCCCCAAGATAGTCATCAATATCTGTAACTGGGCGAACGAGTGCTGGATTATCTGTTGAAAGAGTAGAAACTGGAATATCTTTATAATCAACTAATTTTCCTGTTACAAGATCAAACACTGGCTGTATATCCATTGTTGGTAATGTTAGCTGGAATTCCAAACATGATGGCTTGATATTTTCAGGAACAGGTCTGAAATCTCCAAGGCCTGCATATTGGAGTGGACCAATACGAAATGGCATATCCTCCAAGCTTGGTCCATATATTTTCTTTTCGGTTTCTTTAAATATACGATCAAACTCGGCTTTTAATTCTTCAGGAATCATTATTTTGACAAAAGGTGAGATAATTTAGGCAAAAAGCAAGTGTTAGTCAAGATACACAATAATGTCAGAAGCATATGGATATTTGTCATGTAAGGCATTTAAGTATTAGAAAGATCAAATGTGACTTCAAATTTGAAAATATATCTAAATAGAAGATCTTCTCAGATATAATTGATAGAATGATTATTACCAAATTTTTATAAAACTTTAGGAGCCGTAGTACATTCGAAAAATACCTTAAATTGGAGAAAATATAATCAAAATAATTTTCAAATTTGCTTGAAATCACAAATACTAATTTTCTAATACTATCAAATAATTTGCAATTACTCTTTAATAGTGATGAATTTTCTAATTTTTAAAATTTCAAATCAAAATTGAGAGCACCAAAATTTTAGACCTCTAAAAGTGACAATATATAGCTATGGATTCCTTTTCTTTATTTATATCTCTGAGTAGGAGTATCGATCAAAAAGCACTTGAAGATCTTAGAGATGAGAAGAACAAACCAAAACCAAAGGAAGAAAAGCCAAAGAAGAAAGAAATGAAGCCAAAAGAACCAAAACCAGTCAAAGAAGCAAAAATCAAGACTGTCGAACTTACAGCAGATAGTGCTCCTATCGAAAGAAAAGAGCCAGTTTCTTCTTCATCTTCAGATGAATCATCAAGTGATGAATCTGGTTCTGAGCAAGTTGAAGAGCAAACTGAAGAAAAGCCAAATTTCAAATTCGCCAAACTCAAAGAAAAGAAGGAAGTTAAGTTCGAAAAAGGCAAGAATAAATTCCAGAAACTTAGACAAGCGCAATACGAAGAAAAGCTCGCAGCAGAGAACCCTGAAGAAGCTAACTGGGATAAGATCAAGCGTGCAGCTGCTGGCGAAAAGGTAGAAATGACATCTGCTCAATTAAAGAAGTCAATTAAGAAAGATAGAAAGGAGAAGGAGAGACGTAAAGAGAAGAGGAAAGAGAGAGAAGAGAAGCAAAAGAGGCAAGAGGAAAGAGAAAGAAAGGCTGAAGCTAGAAAGGCCCAATTTAGAGGAAAACCTAAAGGAAAAGGTGGTAGAAAATAGAGTAGTAAAATCTTATCTTTAGAAGTTTATTTGATAAATGAAGTTTATTCACCAATAGTATGTCAAAAATGCATAAACTCTGCAGCTTAAATAAAGGATTTTTATGTTTAGTCGAGTTACAAATGAAAGAATGCATAACTAATGTAAATCGAATGTATATGCAATATTTTCATTTTTAGCAAAAAATAACAATTCAATTTCTGTTTGTGTTCTGAAAGTAAGTTTCTTAGATAAAGGAATAGATTCAATTGTGCAGCAAGAATCTTATCATATGTGCAAACGTTGCAGAATTGAGTGTTCATATTATGCACGGATATGTTTACTATTTTGATAACAATTGGCAATTATCAGATTAATAAGAACTGATTTTCACAGACATAATACGTGTATATGCAGAAAGAAGTCCTTGCTCTGCATGTTCTTCTGGATCGAAGTATCTAATAACCTGTTCAATTTTATATCATAGAAATTTATAATTTGAATTTAAAAAAAAATTTAGAATAGTCCTAAGTATAGAATAATAGTGCATGCATAGAGAAGTGATTTTGTGATTTCAGTGTTGATGATTCTGCATTGACATGTAAGGAAGTCACATGAGTATATAGCTTTAGGGTTAAGAAGACATTCTGATATGATCTTTCGAATGAATGAGATTGACCTGTTCTCGATGATGACACCACATCGAAGATGATCACATCCGAAGAAGATAGAACTCTCGACGTTTTCGACGCACTTAGGGATGTTGATCGATGTCAGTGAAGAGCAGTTCGCGAATGCATATTGTTTGATGGTACGAACGGAGTCATCTGGGATAGAGATGCTGATCAGATTTCTGCATCCGATGAATGCGCCTGATGATATAGTTCGAAGTGTCTGTGGGAGGTTGAAGAACTTGATATCTGACGCTGGAGGGAAGCAGAAGAGGACTGTCTCCGACTTGTTGTAAAGAGCACCGACATCGACTGAGAAGTATTCACTTCGTGGACATTCGATGACAGAAAGAGATGAACATCCGTCGAAGAACAAGTTACCGATGTTTCGAAGAGAGCAGTCTTCTGGAATTGTGAACTTGACGAGGTTTGTGCATCCTTTGAAGACGTAGTCTGACATGTACTCTGTGCGATTTGGAACTATGAAAGTTGTGATGTTCGTGTTCTCGAAGCAGTTAGATCCGATCTCTTTGACATTTGGAGGAAGTGTGATGTGTGAAAGATTATAACATTTGCTGAAACAACCCATACCAATAGATGTAAGTTTACAGTCTGCTGGGAATGTGATGTTTGTGATTCCTGTGTTACTGAATGCATATGAATGAATATTCTCTAATGATGATGGGAAAACAATTTCTCTCAACGAAAAACAATTCAAGAAACATGAACTCTGAATCGCTGTTAAATTGTTTGAGAAAACTATATTTTTGAGATTCTTACAAGAATTAAATACATTTTCTCTAATTGTTGCATTTCCGCATTCTGAAAAATCGATTGTTTCAAGACTTGTACAACCTTGAAAAGTTACATCATATATTGCTTTCAGTTTGTTTCCGAATTTTAAATTTCTGATTGCTGTGCAACCTAAAAATGCGCATCGTCCAATTGTTTCAAGAGAATTTGGAAGAATAATATTTGTTAAATTTCTGCAGTTTGCAAATGCATAGGGATCTATAGCTCTAAGCATGGTTTCACCATCAAAAACAATAGTTTTTAGATTGCCATTTTCACTAAATACGCTGTCACGAATCACTTCAACATTTTCTGGAATTGTATATGATTCTTTCTCGCTCAAACATAAAGACAGAGCTGTTCTTGAATTATATATTAGATTTTGATCATCTCGGATGAATCTAGATCCTTCCTCAAAAGTAATGTTGGTATGCGAAGAGAAACATCTACCTCCTAAATATGTAACTGAACTGGGGATTGTTACATTAATCAGATTATAACAATATGAAAAAACATTAGGGCCAATAATTTTTAATGTATTTGGAAATACAATACTAGATATATTTGCCACTGAAAAGCATAAAGGGCTAATTATTGTGACTCCATCCTCAATCGTAATTTCATTTAGGCTTAGGCAACTTTGAAATTGTCCAATGCCATTTAAATTAATGAAAGATGGAAGATTCAATGACTTTAATTGCGAGTTAACAAATGCATATGTTTCGATTGTTTTGACGTTTGGCGTACATGTAATGGATTCGAGCAATGAATATCCAAATGCAAAATATCCAATATTTTCAATAAAGTCTGGAGTTGTGAATGATTTGGAGTGATTTCTCGGAAAGAAAACGAGTGATTTTTTATCTTTTGTATATAAAATCCCATTCACTGAAGTGAATAATTCACTTAATTCATCGCATTCGATTGTTTTAAGCGGTTTTGGTGATTCTATGTTTGCATATATCACTGAGACATATTTTGGAATAAAAAGACTTTTAAGAACTGTTCCTTTAAAACACCCGGTATTCATTGTTCGCAGTTCAGAATCTGATTGAATAAAAACATTCTCAAGCTTTGAACAGTAAATAAAACAGTATTTTGATAAAACTTGGACTGAAGATGGTAAAGATATATTCACTAGTGAATGGCAATTAAAGAATGCATATGTATTGATTGTTTTAAGATATTTACAGTTTGAAAAATCAATTGCATTGAGTTCTGAACATTCAAAAAATGCACAGTCACTGATTGTATTAAGTTTAGAATTCTCTTGAAATGTAACCGATTTGAGAGTGCGTCTGCTCCCTTCAAATGCATGATTTCCACAATACGATGGACCAAGTTGTCCAAAAACAATCTCACACCTAGATTTGATCTCAATATTTGTAACTCTATTTGTAGAATACAATATTCTATCATTTACTGGTATATATGCGACAAAATTAAAGGATCTAAGGACCAAACATCCTCTATCGTCGTTGTCAGATCCAAAAAAAACTTACATTTATTCAATTTAGATGACTGTAAATTTTTTTTATGAATGCAATCGTTCTAATAATGCTATTTTTGCTTGGCAAATTATATAAATAATTGAATAAACTCTATTGGAATTATTTGATTGCCAATTCATATAATTAACGATGATGTATTAAGGTATTGATAAAATCGCAACATTTTATTTCTTCTTGTACAGATATAAATTCAAAAAAAAAGGTACAACTACTCTTCATTTTGCAACATACCGGAACTTCATTAATCCATATAATGGTTGGAAAAACGGAATAAATTTATGCAACCAATAAAAAAATTGAGATCCTCATCTTGAAGGATAAATTCAATAGTTTGAGTTTAGAAATTTGACTTTGCTAAAAAATTGACAGAAAATTCACAATGAGCTATTGAAACAATTTGAAGTTAGAACTAGAATGATAACATTCACAATGAGCTATTAAGTAAGGTTGTGTATGAGTGGATTGCGCTTAAATTAATAGAGTTATAGATCAATAATTCGGATACCAGACGAAAATGAAAATAATGCCAAAGTATTTACATGTCAAAAAAAAATCAAGAATGTTCCGCCCAAGACAGCGTCATCAATACACTAATCCACAAATTGCTAAAATCAAGCGCTATTTTGGATTTGTTATGGGTCTCCTAATTGGATTTGCCTTAGCTTGGATATTATTCCTTTCCAGGAGAGAATCTTACACAGAAACTGACGCTATCAGCAAACAAATTACAATTGATGTTTGCACTAAGCAACAATGGGAAACTGGCCACTATAAAGAAGCTATTTTCATTGATTCTGATTTGTTTTCAGAGCAATTCCAAAATATTTTAACAAATAAGGATATTCCTGTAAATGTTTACGCAAGGGAACAATCTGTTCTTGATAGAGTTGTTAAAGAGTTGCAAGCATACGGCTACCAAGTTCAATCTTCTAAAATTTGGACTAACTAGTTCAATCAGTGTTCTTACATTTTTATCTGTCGCTGTTAGCATCTATATAATACTAAATATCTTCTATACAAACGAAATTTTTGGATATTTTTTTAAGATGATTATTTGAACTTGTACTTCGTTCATAAATCAATGTTAACTGTAATTGAATGTTATATCATGTTGATTTGGTTGATACAATTGAGCATTAATTCCTGATTTCAAATTAAATAAATTTCGGTTCATGTTTAAAAGTATCGTGTGCCAAAATCAATTATTCTGGTAGTTTGTCATTAAATTTGGACATTCCAAGAAAATAATAAAAAATCGAATTTAGACAGAATTGTGCAACAAGATTTTATATGTTGAAATATCTATTGTATTCATGTTGTATATGGTTAAACAAAAATCAATTCATATTACTCGAAATCAGATTCAGTTTACATGATGTAATTGCCAATCTGACTTTTGTAAAACTCTTAATTATACTCTTACGCCCATCTGACATAAGAAAAGCATTTCGTCCAAATATTGCTTTAACATATTCCATATCCATCATAAAATATTTAGTGATGATTCTATGATATTCACAATTTTTGAAAGAATTTTTTGAAGATTAATAGCAGTATGCAACGGGTATGTTGATTGATATTTGCTATAATTATGTTGTTAAAAAATTGAATGCGGTCTCAAAAGTACACAAATGTAAAAGATTTTAATTTTTGTTTGAAGTGGTAGGAAATTTCTCTACAGAAAAGAAAGGATAAATATTTCCATTTCTCGAGTCCTTCATACAGCATTTGGAATAGATTCTATGATAATGAAGAAATTGATGCTTTTGTCAACACAAGTACTATTGACTATGATGAAAATCACATATTTGTTGACTCCGTTCTTTTCGAAAACTTTAACTCATATGGTGTTATCCGAATTCGATCAACGAACGATTCATTGCTTCTTGTTTCATCCTCATCATTTTATAACTCATTCTCGGATTATTTTGGAGGGTCAATATACTTTTCACCCGAAGGGTCATGCGTCCAATACAAGATATGTAGTTACAAATCTCAGGATTCATTAACACAAGGTGCAGGATCTCATTCATTTACAAGGACGACAAAAGATGATGGTTACAAAAATTTTATTATTGAATCTTCAATATCTCTCAGCTCAGGAGATAGTTCAGTTTTAGATGTTAATGGCGGATCAATTTTGATTTCTTCAATAAATATTTCTGATTCCAAACTACTTATAAACGCGGGGTATGTTTGTAGTGAACCAACTCCTCTAGCAACAACAAATTATAGTAATTTCGAGAATATTACGTCTGGTAACAAATGTTGTTTCTTTCATGAGTCATCAACGCATGAGATTTATTTTTGTAATGTAATTGATATCAATGTTTCTGGATATCAAAATGGGCTTTTCTTTGTTTCCTATGTTACATTTTCCGTAGAAAGATGTTTTTTCAAAAGAAATAATGCCCAAGTATTGTTTTATTTTTGGTCTGGGGAAGAGGGTGTTATAACTCCAAATGAATGCCATTTCGAATCAGATAATACATTCCGAATAAATCATGATATTTCAAATACAATGAAAATGACAGAGATCTATTTTACGAATTTGCATTCTTCTTATTTATGCGAATCGAAATCTAGAACTATACTTAATGATCATATTACTATACCAAATATACCCCTAACTAGTCTATTTTCTAGTAAGCTTTCATTTCCATTTTATCGCTCAAAAGTATAAAAATAATTTATAATAAATTCATAGAAATAAATTCACTCATCAGACTTTAATTCAAATTTCTGGCATTCATAATTCATTGAAGTCCATGTAGCCGTAAGTTCACACTTAAAGTTCCTGAAAATGGACAAGTTAGATCAAACGAAATCGTATACGATTCTTATCAATTCAACTCTCTATTTAGTGTATTGATACAACTCTCTGACTGAACAGCATATAATGACGAAATCTTATCGGATGAACATTCAACACAAAGTTTATTGATGCCTATAAAGAATGCTTCATCCTAAAATAAGCTGAATTTAACTTTTTCTAATAATTTATATCAACTTATTATATAATAAATAAATAAGTTGCCATTATTGTCAGAAACCTATGAGAATGTCAATTGGACTTTATAAAAGAAAATCATAACATATCTAAAATAAAAAATAAATTTTATATCAATTCAAGACTGTTTTCTGCTTAATATCCGCGATTACAGGCTTAAGAATTTCCTGGTTATCCAGGACAGAAACGAAGAATTGCGACAACATCGAATCCTTCGGAGAAGATTTTTCGTGAGCGTTGATTACAGTCTTCAAGAATATGACCAAAGACGAGTGTACTTGAGCCATGATTGTTGAAGTGTTCTTGCTCTGATAAGCAGCCAAAATTCTTCCACTGATTCTTACATCTGGTTGGCAGAGTTTTCTGAAGAATTCTTCGAGATTGTTTTTGACGAACTGCTCCACAGTATTTCCGAATTTCTTCTCAGCGTCGTATAGTTTCTGTGCCAAAGACGGAAGAATCAAAATCATTGTAAATGACACATTTTCATCGAGAGAATTGAATGCTTTCTCGAATCTCGTTGTCAAATCCGGATTTTGTAAGATAAAAGACATGAAATCTCTTTGGTAAAGAAGAGCGTTACTAAATGTCCTCCACAACGACAATCTCTTAGGCGACTCTGTGTCTTTGCTGAGTATTGTATCGAATATCCATGCCCAAATAGAGATTTGATTTGCTTTCGATGGTTCCAACAAATCATTCTTATAAAGGATCTTCAAACAATCAGATAACTTGTACTCAGTCAACAGGTTTGATCTCTTAGTGATGAAAGAGTTGACGTACTCCTTCAACTCGTTCCTGTCCTTGCAGTAGATAGACTGATAATCTCTCATCATACCTAATAAAAGTGTCAATGCTCTGACATTGTAAGGATTCTTCAAGTGAGAACATTTCTGGAGTTCCTGCTTGAATTTGTCTTGTTTCTTCTGCTCTTTGGATTCAGCCTTCTTCAGTGTTTGGTCGCCTTGTGCTTCCGGCTCTTTGATCTTGATCTGGAGCTCCGGACAGAGGCTGTCTACATAGTTCTTGTAGAGAGGAAGAGGGAATGGCCTGTAATCGAACTCAGCGTTGTTGCATCTGAAGAGTGTGAAGACGTCGATGATGTAGCGCTGGATAATTGGTTGTGATTCTTTAAGCATTGTCAAAATAATCGATGGTTTCTGGTTGAGAATCTGGATGCGCAATGCGAGAGAGGAATCCGTGTGCATCATGAGTTGCCAAAGAGAACTGGCATCGCGACGGATGATTGCGCTTTGGGAAGTAACTGCATGTTTGATGAATTTAAGGAGATCGTGAATCGCAAACACTCTGATCAGTCTGGAGTACTCAGCTTCTACAATTGTCCTGAGAAGACGGAAATAGAACATGTGGACTGATGAGTTCTTCTCATTCAAGAAGCCTTCACTGATAAGAGGAAATGTGACATCGGACATGACAATATCGGAGAGACGGCAGAAGCATTTGTGAATTAATGGACGAATAATCTGGAAGAATGGGAAGAAACGGTCAGGTGAAGTGAAGACGATAGACTGTAGACATTTAAGGAGCTGAGCCTGTCTGAAGTCATTTGCCATCTGCTCGAGCTGCTGGTCTGACTTGGGTGACTCTGAAATGGCGGCTATAAGCTCTTCATCTGGTAATTCTGGTAAAATGAAGGAATATGGAGTTGAGAACGTAAGTAATGCGACAAATCGCTCAAGATGAGGAAGTAGAAGGTCGAGAACTTGTTCACTTGTGGATTGGAGACCAAGGAAGTATTGTGCTGTGATGCTGCAACGAGATAAAAATCTGATTGAGTTTGAAATGAGAGAATACTTCACGAGATTCTCAACAGAGAGCTTCTTGGCAAGAAGGCTACCAACGGTATCGCCACTTGGCAATTTCTCGTAAAGTAAAGACTGATATTGTTTTGGAGAGAGATCTGTGATAAGGAATTGCTTGACATCTTTGTTGAGTTGATTGGCAAGGTTTGCTGTCTCTGTTTTGGCATTAATTGATCCAGAATCGTATAAATCTGGTTGAGCGAGATATCCAACGTCTAAAGTGATTAATTCACGACGGCGCATCTGTGTAGATGAAAATCCTTCGAATGGTGTTAATGGAACGCCAAATTGCATATAAGCTTGTTGAATAATTGGAGCTGTAATTCCAATTGAACCGGCGTGAGGAGGTGTATAGGTCTTGGATGAATGGTGAAGGTTCTTGACTTTCTCGGAAGCAAGCGTTGGCGTAGTTAAAGCCTTCTGAGTGCGTTTGTAGTACTTGAATAATTTCTTGAGCGCTTTCTTTGAGCCCTTTGAGCTGCATTCGAACTGTGTAAATGGCTTCGGTGGTTTGACAGGGTCCTTTGGTTTAAATGGTGCAACAATTGTCGAACTTCCTTCAAACGGCAAATCTGTTAAATTTCCTAGCTCGGTTGGCGACGGTGGGATGATTTCGAGATTCTGAACAATTTTGGCCCAGCGGATTGAAGCGTCTTCGTAGTCATCGAAGTATTCATATAACATTGGATCTGGCATTTGCGGGATGAGTTCCGAAGCCCAGGAATTCTTGGATTCGATGTAAGCATTGATAGGAACTGGTTTCTCGTTCAAACCTGCATATGGCAAGTTATCAGTTTCTTCGTACGGAGTTCCTTTGAGAAGGATCTTTTCGACAGCCATCTGGTTGCCTGGTTGTGCTGGAGATGTCATTGGATTGAATGTACGTTTTAATTTAGCTCTCATGACGGGATCTTCTCTATCTGCTTTTGGAATGATTTCTGGTCTTGTTGGGCGTGGTAAAACGTGTGATATTGTTTGTGGTAAAGCAATTTTTTCTGAGAAAGAGGCAACTTCTTGCTCCCATTCGTGAATATGTAATTGATATTCTTCCAAAGTTGCAAAATCATCTGGATCTGGCATCTCTGGGAATTTATCAAATGTGTTAACTTGAACGTAGTGCTGATTGTAGATTTCTTTATGAGGTCCTGCGAATGTTGGTTTTGCTTTTGGATCTGCGAAAGGATCTGGCTCAGGAAAATCATATTGGGACATATCATACTCTTTATCTATATTTGTCATTAACTGACGTGATTCAGAAATCAGCGCCTGGGCTGATTCTGGGATCAGTATTGACATTTAATGAAAAAAATCGGTTTTTGTAAATTATTTTTTTATATCAAAAAAATTTTTTCTGGAAGGGAAATTTCAAATCCGTTAGGTTGTCTTGGAAACATTCATATCATTATCTATTTAAGCTTAGCTTGTGCTGTATACTATTCTTGCAGTTCATTGATTTTCATATTATATCTATATTTATATTAGCAATGCAAGGCATGCCAATGAGCAAGTTGGATAGCGCACATCTTTGGCTTCTTGATTTTTAGATTATAAATAGTCCTTCTCTGATATTTCAAAATTATTTTTCGAAAAGGTTATATCTTATTGGTTGTGTGTAATTTGTTTTGAAATTATTTAATTTTTCAGCCTTGAGGTCATTGTTGTAATTTTAATATGTTTACGCCAATATTGGCAAGATTTTAAAGTATGATAGCATGTGAATAAAACTATCAGCTTGAATATCAAGAATTTTGCCAGCTCTTTGCTGTTATTCTTGATGGATCTTCTTTCAATTAGAAAATATGAAATCAAACAATAAATTGGAAAAATATCCAGAAAAAGCAATAGAATTCAAGTAGACTTTCATTTCTGTTCTCTGTAAAATGGAAAATCTTTTTTATAAGATTCATCAGACCAAAAAAATATAAAAGTGACAAGTGAAATGGGAGAGTTTAAACCAATTCTAGACTCAAGTGCAAAAAAAGTAGTATATTTAGCTGTATCAATTCTTGCTGTCTTCTGCGTGGTTGCATTCTTCCTTTATGAGAACAAATCAAAACGTAATTTCTTCACAGAAGTCATATTAGCTGTCGGATCAGCTTGCTCACTCGGAACTGCTATTTTCTTTGCTTTAGTTAAAGCAGATGTTGTTCTTTGATCAAAATAAAAGCCTTTTCATAAAAAATATCGCCGTTTTTATTCATATTGGCTTATACACGCATAAAATTGCGGCCAATCACTTCTAGATCTAATTTTACTAAAGGAAAATATTTTGTTTTCTAAAAATATTAAACTTTACTATTATACTTCTAATTATTTCACTTTTTTGGTCAGATTACCGAATTTAGAATTAGATTGGAACACTATGCCATTCATGGAGACATACGCAGGCAATATCTCCCAGAATTTCATATACCGACCAACAATAGGGAACTGTTTCATTTTGTCGGTAAAAGTTTCGCATTCATAACTTGATTGTGGAATATTGTGCCATTCAGGAGGACATGTACAGATGATATCTCCCAGAATGGTACTATAAGAAAGATAAGAGTGCATAGTACAATCTTGTCAGTCAAAGTTCCGCAATCAGGATAAGAATGGGGCATTGTGCCATTCTGGGAGACTTATGCAGATGATATCTCCCACAATAGCACATTGCAATCGCCAAAAGAATTTATGACTCTCTTTTCTATCGACTTTCTACAAATATTTATATTTATATTTTCAACGATATGCAATTCACCCATTACCTCTTAAATATTGACCAAAATACATTCAATGATGCCTGTGCGCAGAAAATACCAATCTTAGGGCCATGTGTATGGGAGTCATTCCGTTTTTAGTAGACATTCATTAACATTCTTCAGTGATAAGTTTCATGCGAGAACTAATGGATCCCGACCTGATGATAGCAATTTTTCAACAAATGAATTAAGTATTTCGCGCCTCATATAAAAATTCAAAAATTTATTCAGATATAAGAACAATTTGAATCAGATGCCGCATATATCATAGAAAAAAGATATGATATTTTACCCGTGTAAGGATTAATACAATAATGAGTTTCGCAATGAAGTTCAAAGTTCGAAAGGCTTGTGGGGAATGTACAGTTAATATTATTATCTACCGTAACAGTCTCATTTCCAAATAATGAACTTGGATATCCTGATGTAACTTTAATTAGAATATTCACAGGAGTCATATGAAAAACGCCTGTCATATTTCGATAGAAAATCTCATTATTCATTTCGGAGGTACCGCAGTATTCAAACAAAGTTATTGAATCAAATCCTCGAAATGCTCTTGGTTCAATTACTTTGACTGAGCTAGGGAGTCTCACAATTTGTACACGGAAGTTGAATCCAAAAGCATCAGCCCCAATATATTCTAACATGCTTCCACCAAAAGTTATGGATAGAGAAGCATAATTATCATAAAATGCATTAGCTTCAATAGTTTTCAAACGACTATAAACTTCGAATAAAACGTACCCAATGTTATGACACCTAAAGAACGAAAAATTCCTGACAACTTCAACACTATAACCTATTACTAATGATTTCAAACCATCACAATAGGCAAAAGCGCATGTACCGCATTCTATCACTCTATACAGCTTGTGTTGATAGATAACAAAATTTGGGATTGTTAAATTACTTGTGAATGAAATAGAAACTGCATTCGGTTGTGAGAAATCATAAACTCCTGTTCCTACACGTACTGTTCTTTCCCTTTCATCTATTATCGAATATTTAACACCTTCAACTTCAAAAATATCTTCTATGACGACTATGAAGAGAAATTCCAACATTCCAATTATGAATTTGACAACATTCAGAACTCTTGTCAATATTTCAATAATTCGATGTCTCAATTTTTTCATTCAATCTATCCGGTTAAGGGTTCGAAATTATTTTTTTAAAGGATACATTAAGATGAACTCCAGAATGCCGAAGTCAATCTAATAATTGAATTAATACACAATTATTTATCCATTTCAATAGGAGTGGTCAAAAATCTTATTGAAGTTATTTAATTATGGAACTCATGAAATAATATAAATGTGTAAATTATTCTGCATTTGCATCATCAAATCTAACTCTTCTCTAACAAATTTACTTCAATTCATAATCGAATTTCTAATCATTCATTCTACTTATAATATCTCATATATGTACACTGCATGAATTTAATAGTAACAATAAATGATGATGTAATTAACTTTTTTTAACCCTTCATGTTTTACTTTTTTTTTAAATAATATGAATCTTATTCCTCAAAACCTCACAGCACATAAATTGCCTATAAAAGTATTCTACTTTTATGCATACTACTGGAATCTTTATAAGGCGCATACGATCAATTCTGTAATAATAAGGCTAGTATTATGCAAGCCTCACAACTGATTAATTGCTTATTAACGTACTAGCCTTATAAAGACTTTTCCATATGGCATAATTTCAAGAAGTGTCAATTCTTTCATAGCAAGAATGTAGATCTTGCCTCACCTAGGGTAGCTATATAACTGTTAGATGATGCAGTTGGCGTTTCAACAACGAAAGAAAATGATTCTAATCTGCGGCCAGTAATGAATGTCCATAACAATTTTGGAGGAATATACTGAAACAAGACTTAAACTCATCCGAAAGATGTTATGGCTGCGTCTACGATCAAATCAGTTTGCAGAGAGATATTCTGAATCTCATGTAGATATAGTATGTATGAAGTCATTTTTGGGTGTTCTCTATTACTTGAATAGGTTCTGACATCTATTACGAATTGTCTGGAAGGATGTCAATTGATAAATGATATAGAAGAATTATCCTGGTTCGTTGAATATGACATTAATAAATTAAAAAAAATTAAATCTTTTTGGACCAATTTTGTATGCAAATCCTTGTTGAATGACGCTGATTGCATTACTAGATGTAAATTTTCGATTATTGCCTTCATAAGATTTGTCTTTTGGTTTTGGAATGGTAATGTATTTGGGGAAAAAAGTATCTGGGAGCTATTGAAAGGTTTATCTGGATGTCTTGCATACGAAAGTATCAGAGTTAACAAGACAAATGTCTAATCATTCACATTGACCATTTAAGAAGTAACCACATTTGAATAACGAATTAAGAGCAAAAGATTATTTAATTTGTCGTCACAAGAACATATCATATGCTTGAGGGTACATAAACTTCATATATGATGCTCTGTAAACTTTATTGGACGTTCAATAACGTATTTAATGTTCTGTTAGTAATAGCAGAAGCATTAATGATTCTAGCAATCACTAGATCCTCCTGTAATTTTGGTAACTTTTGGGATGGTTGCTTGAAAAACATTGGTAGGAGCAGCAATTAACTCCATTAATTGTTGTTATGTAATTTTGTCTATTTTGCTGAGATTAAAGTGATCAATGAATTTTTTGTTGTTATTGTGTCGCAATGGATTGAAAAACCTCAAAATCAAAAAAATTCACAAAATGCACCAATCGAAAAAAAGTTCGGTAATATGTAGCCCATGAATGATATGAGCTGCACATATCACACATTACTTGTTAATTAATTCATTGTCTGTAAAACCTTATTTGGTTAACCACTTTAAAATTGAGAGCTTTGATTTTGCCAATATTATGAAAATTCAAAGACTATTCAATTTTTTTAATTTATGGAATGATGTTTTTCTTGGCATACAGTAATTTGCTATTAAATTACACTGATAGCTCATCAAAGCAAGGATCATTAACCGCCGGAAATTACGAAATAGAGTGTTTTGGAGCCCAAGGAGGTTCCTATTCAGATAGCAAACCAGGTGGGCCTGGAGCATATGCAAGAGTTCAATTTAAAGTTACAAATACGATGAGTTATGTAATACAAGCAGGAATGCAAGGTAATGGTATTTCAGGAGGTCTACCTGATGGAGGAAACGCAAGTGAGGATGGATATTGCGGTGGTGGAGGGTCAAGCAGAGCAATTTTGAATGAAACTCTAATGATCGTTGCAGCAGGAGGATCTGGTTCCAATTATTACTATTATGGAGCTCCAGGAGGTGGGAATAACACATATTTTTGGAAAGAGCCATATAAAAACGTGTTTGAGGAAAGATCAGATCCTTCATACTTAACAGGAACCAATCATGGTGGGGATGCAGAGGATGGATCTGGAGGTGGTGCTGGATGTAAAGGTGGGAAAGGTGGTGAAAATAGTGATACTATCACATCAATTGGAATCAGCGGGACATCATGTATATCTCCATCTAGTTCTTTCACTTTTACAGAGATTATAAATGGGAAGAACAAGCCAAATTATGGAGATGGATATGTCAAAATAACTTATGATTACTTGTGTATATCTAATTGCATAGATTGTGATAATGGATCATCTTGTAACAAATGTGATTCTTCGCATGTTAAATACAAGAATAAATGCGAATATCAATCATGTCCAAATTCTACTTTTCAAGTTGGAACCGAGTGTTTTGATTGTCGGTCAAACTGTGAAAAATGTCGTAATAGCACAACATGCACTAGATGTGAGCAAGGCTTCTTCATGAAAGGGAATGAATGCGTAAGTTCTTGCGGAATCGGATATTATTCTGATACAGAAAATCGAGTTTGCACTGCGTGCACAGTTTCACATTGCAGCAATTGCTTATCCAATCCTTCCACTTGCGATGCATGCAATAATCCTTTCGTTTTGTTTGATAACAAATGTGCAGATACAGAATGTCCGACTCATTACTATAATAACTCATTTATATGCCATGAGTGTAGTGAGAACTGTTTGAACTGTACTTCGAAGTACAAATGCACTGCATGTCGATCTACTAGTTTTAGAATTAACAAAAAAGGAAACTGTACATTAATCAATACAGCTTCATATAAAGACTTCTTTGATGTCCAGACGTTTTCAAGAAGGATTCAAAAGAACAGAAACATTTGAATAATTGTGAATTTCGATTTAGTGCATATTTTTCAATATGCACTTTTTCACTTTATTTTTAGTATAAAGGGTAGTTTTTCAAGATTATCTTTTTCATGCATTTGTCAATAATAATGTACCCCGTTTGCTGCTAAAAAATCTATCAGTAAAAAAAATTATTTCCCCTCAAAAAATGGCAAATCTGGTAGCTTTGGGTATCTCCCCATATGGAATTACATTAAACTTAACTAATTAAAAAGCGGAAGCCCCATTCAAATCTCACATTTCAGCCATTAGCAACCCCTAAAATTTTTGTCTAATTTTGGGGAACATTATTCATTTCCTGCCTTATTAATAATAATATAACAATTATTTATAGCATCATAGTATGCATAGTTTTTATCTATTATGTAAATCTTATAAATTTATTATTATATATATACATTCTTATTGGGAATAAATTATCTTAATACCTGAATATTAAACAAAAAGTGTGAAACATATTTTGAATATTTTTTGAAATTCAATAAGTTAAAAATTTTTGTATTAGTTAAAATAATACAAATGTGAATATTATTTAATAATTGTCATTCTTGGTATAGTATCATTATTATAAAATCAATGAATGAATTTTTGATGATTTCGAATTCCAGAAATTTGTTATATATTTCCACACAAACTCATGGATGACATACCATATCTATAATATATCCGCAATTTATTTTGAAATCCATCTAGCTTATCCTTAGTGTAAGTACATTTAGAGAATTGCAAATTTTCTTCCATATTTTGAATGACTATTCAAAATTGACGGCAATTGATAATTTCAAAGTCTCATCACACTTTTCAATGCTCGATTTTTAAAAACTGTTTAAAAATGGAGCTTATATTGAAATAGTGTAGAGACTAAAAATTACCACAGACTATTTCAGAGGATTGAGTTGCCACTCAATCCTCTGAAAAGTCTGAGGTAATTTGCAAAATTTGTCAAATATATTAAAAGCTTGCTTCTAGAATATCTACAAGAGAATTGCAAATTTTCTTCCATATTTTGAATGACTATTCAAAATTGCTAATTTGATATATTTGATCGGACTGTTTCAGAAATTTGAGAGATTCTCAAACCTCTGAAACAGTCCGAACAAATATTAATGTATGTCTGAGCTTTCAATAATTAGCTCGATTTTAACGGAACTTTAAAATCGAGCATTCAAAATTCTCTAATGCTTCAAAATCTATTCAAATTAGATTCAAATTTTGATATGTTTTTCTTGGCATACAGTAATCTACTAATACATTACAATAGTAGTTCATCAAAGATAGGATCATTGAACCCAGGGAAATACGAAATTGAGTGTTTTGGAGGCCAAGGAGGTACTCCGAAATACAAAATAGGATTACCATCTTTTCAGGGTGGTTATGGAGCATATGCAAGAGCTCAATTTAAAGTAACAAATAAAATGGATTATATGATACAAGCGGGAATGCAAGGTTTTTTGACTTCATGAGGTCTACCTGATGGAGGAAACGCAAGTGAGGATGGATATTGCGGTGGTGGAGGGTCAAGCAGAGCAATTTTGAATAAAACTCTAATGATCGTTGCAGCAGGAGGATCTGGTTCCATTTTTTTATATGATGGGGCTCCAGGAGGTGGGAATAACACATATTTTTGGAAAGAGCCAAATAAAAACGTGTTTGAGGAAAGATCAGATCCTTCATACTTAACAGAAACCAATCATGGTGGTAATGCAGTGAATGGATCTGGAGGTGGTGCTGGATATAGAGGTGGGAAAGGTGGTGAAAATAGTGATAATATCACATCAATTGGAATCAGCGGGACATCATTTATATCTCCATCTAGTTCTTTCACTTTTACAGAGATTATAAATGGGAAGAACAAGCCAAATTATGGAGATGGATATGTCAAAATAACTTATGATTACTTGTGTATATCTAATTGCATAGATTGTGATAATGGATCATCTTGTAACAAATGTGATTCTTCGCATGTTAAATACAAGAATAAATGCGAATATCAATCATGTCCAAATTCTACTTTTCAAGTTGGAACCGAGTGTTTTGATTGTCGGTCAAACTGTGAAAAATGTCGTAATAGCACAACATGCACTAGATGTGAGCAAGGCTTCTTCATGAAAGGGAATGAATGCCATGAGTGTAGTGAGAACTGTTTGAACTGTACTTCGAAGTACAAATGCACTGCATGTCGATCTACTAGTTTTAGAATTAACAAAAAAGGAAACTGTACATTAATCAATACAGCTTCATATAAAGACTTCTTTGATGTCCAGACGTTTTCAAGAAGGATTCAAAAGAACAGAAGAATTTGAATTATAAGAATTTCGATTTAGTGCATAGTTTTCAATATACACCCTTTCACATCATTTTTAGTATAAAGGTTAGTTTTACAAGATTATCTTTTTCATGCAAGTGTCAATAAATGTTCGAACATTTATCACAAATGTTCGGTATTTAGAAAAGCAGGTGCTTATTGGATTCCAGTTATAGATATTGATTGTTGCTTAGAGATTGTTCTGTCCGATCTTTTCGTCACTTTTCAAATTTTACCATGATTTTGAACAAAAAAAATTTTTTTATCGTACTGGTTGAAAATTTTTTTATTATTTTCGAATGAAGATCTATTCTTTGTATCTCTATCAAAAAGGAGCTGATGGAAAAATGAAGCTCGTTGATTCTGCCAATGATTTCAACGATATTGGATTTCTTTATCGCAAGAATGCCATCGAAATTTGTGATTTTGCCGCCCAACAAATGGCCGACGGCTCAAATATGAACACATATATCACCGCAGAAGAGAACAAGTTCCTCATCTCTATGTACCGTATGAGGCCAAATGTTGCAATTCTTATCGCTGTCGATAAAGAATATCCATCACGTGCAGCATTCAACATTCTTCGCGAAATTGGAACCGAATACGAAACAAACCATTTACAATTCCCCAATGGTAAATCAGCTGTTATGAAAAAAGCCATTGTAGAATATCAAAACCCAGCTAATGCGGACAAAATTAAAAAGATTCAAGAAAACCTTGATGATATTCAGAAAATTATGGTCACAAACCTTGAAGAAGCCATTGGTCGTGGCCAGAAAATTAATGAACTCGCTGAGAAGTCCGAACATCTTTCAGAATCATCTAAGATGTTCCTTCGTGACTCAAAGAAGCTCAATAGATGCTGCGGATAACTTCTTCTTTATATTATATTACTCTATCTTTTATCAATAAAAATTTTATCTATTATTATTAAGGAAATCAAATCTTTTTTACCATCTTTGTTTTTAACATATTAAAAACTCTTCATTGACTACTATTTTTATTTAGAAATTATAAAAGTATGGAAACTAGTGTCTCTAATTCAAATTGCTTTCAACTTTAGAGGACAGTATCATTAGAGATTCCAAGACAAATTCCTGATATTATTTTCGATTGAAATTATAGAATTTAGAAAATAATGGTAATTGAAGCTATATATTTAATTATGGAGCTTGGTATTTAACGTTATGAAAGCATAAAAAGTATTTTATTTAATAAAGTAGATTATCCGCAAAGAAATATTGAAAATTAAATAAACTGTATTTACGCAACATTAAGTTAAAAGAGAAGTATTAGAGCTAAGCAAAATGCAGCTGTGCAGCCGAAGTAGGCGGCTAAGGAATATCCGGAATATCGTAATTCTGGAGATTTAGTTCTAAATCCGATCAAAGCAAATATTAAAGCAACGAGTCCGAACATACCAACATAAATATATGGAACACGAGCGTTTAATATTGTGTTTGAAAATGCGAAAGCCATAAGGATTCCGAAAATTGGGCATGCAAACTTGTCTGCGAGAACTCTCCATTGTGGGATTGGTTCTCTGCCTGGGAAGTTAAGTGAGTTGGGACTTTCACGGGCGAATGCTGCCATTTTTATATTTCTTCAATTTGAATAGTTGTAAAATTCAAATCACCAAATTCGTTTTCTATCATGTAAATCTCGATGTCATTTTGCAAGCCATGCTTCGCTCGGGCCCATATTTTCAATAATTAATAAGAAACATTTATTAATCTGGGAATTTATGGAGATCTGAAACCCAAAAATTATTTTTATTTTTTGTGACTAAAGAATCATGGTAAGTTTATATTTTCACGCTATAGATCATAAAATTTTATTTAAAGAAACATGATGTGCTTATCATTATGCAAAAAAATTTGCATCTAATTTATTTTCGCTTTGACTTAACTATTATAAGTATGTCATTTTGTATCTACGAACTTAATCAATATTCCTAAATTGTATCTGAAATATGCAAGAATGTTGTTTTTCACATACAGAACCTCTTATGTTTTTTCCCTCATAATGAATTTTAAAGTTATTTCATATGGTAAAATGCATATCTATGATATTTAAATTTTTAATGTCTGATCAAGACATTTACCTAAACAAATACAGTGAATTGAGAAGTACATATGCATGGTACATCGATTTGTATATTGCATTATATCAGTTAAGAACGGAAAATGAAGAAAAATTAAAAAAGATTTACCAAATGATCAAAACAGAACTGATTAAATCAATGAAATATCTTCCCCAAAATGCAATCAAAGATATTTCAAACATCCTTCAGTTTAATAATCGCTATACAAAGTCATACTTGAAACTTGCGAAATTAATTTCCGATGATTATCAAGTAACTAAGGTAAAAGGAATTTCAAATGATTTTAACTATCTATTCTTTAAAGAATATGGAATTAATTTAGACAATTCTGATGATTGGAAAATTATGGATTTTAAAAAGATATATATTCATTCAGAAGATTCAATTTACAGAGCCATAATGTATGATGACAAAGAAAGATTCATTGTTTTCGTTGAAATGGAAGATTTTGATGAAGATCAAAAATTTGAGAGCGATTTATATCCCATTGTGAAAAACGGATATTCATTACTTGAATTATGTTGTTACCACGGAGCAGTTGATTGTTTCAAGTTCTTAAGAACGAAATGTGAATCCGAGATAACTGAAACATGTCTTCAGTTATCATTTTTAGGAGGAAATCCAGAGATTATGAGTGAATGCTTGAAATATAAAAAATCAAATGAAGATTGCATGAAATATGCCATTATTTCGCACAACATTGATTTTGTTACATTCTTGATGAATGAGTTTAATATAGAGATCGATTTAGAATTATGCGTTGAATATCAAAATCTTGAATCATTATTAGTTTATTTCGATCAAACTAATGATATCAATAATTGCTTTGTTTATTCAACACAGTTTAATATTTCCACCATTTGGAATTATTTCCTTTCCCAAGGGGCAAATATTAATGTAAATGACAAAAATGGGAAAACTGCTCTTCATTATGCAACTATTAACAATAATGACAAAACTGCCGAACTTCTTATTTTAAATGGCGCAAATGTCAATGTAAATGACAAAAGTGGGGAAACTGCCCTTCGTTATGCATGTATGAGTAATAGTAAAGAAACAGCTGAACTTCTTATTTTAAATGGCGCAAATATCAAGGAAAAAAACAATTATGGGAAAACTGCCCTTCGTTATGCATGTATGAGTAATAGTAAAGAAACAGCTGAACTTCTTATTTTAAATGGCGCAAATATCAAGGAAAAAAACAATTATGGGAAAACCGCTCTTCATTATGCAGCAATTAATAATAGTAAAGAAACAGCTGAACTTCTTCTTTTACATGGTGCTAATATCTTTGAAAAAGATAATAACGGGAAAACATCTCTTCATGCTGCAGCAGATCATAATAGCAAAGAAACAGCTGAACTTCTTATTTTGCATGGTGCAAATATCTTTGAAAAAGATAATTATGGAAAAACTGCTCTTCATTATGCAACTATTAACAATAATGACAAAACAGCCGAACTTCTTCTTTCATATGGTGCAAATATCAATGAAAAAGACAATAATGGAGGAAATGCTCTTCATTATGCAGGTATGAGTAATAGCAAAGAAACTGCTGAACTTCTTATTTCATACGGTGCCGATATCAATGAAAAAGATAATGATGGAAACACCACTCTTCATTTTGCAGCATATAATAATAGCAAAGAAACTGCCGAATTTCTTCTCTCACATGGGGCAAATATCAATAAAAAAGATGATAATAGACAAACATCTCTTCATGCCGCATCTATTAGTAATAACAAAGAAATCGTTGAATTTCTTCTCTCACATGGTGCTAATATCAATGAAAAAGATAATTATGGAAAAACTTCAATTCATCATGCAGCATATCATAATAGTGGAGAAACAGCCGAAATTCTTATTTCACATGGAGCAAATATCAATGAAAAAGATAATTATGGAGTAACTGCTCTTCATTGTTCAGCAAATAATAATAACACAGAAATCACGGAACTTCTTCTCTCATTTGGTGCAAATATCAATGAAAAAGATAATAGCGGATTTACAGCTCTTCATTATACATCATATTTTGATTATATTGAAACAGCCGAACTTCTTATTTCACATGGCGCTAATATCAACGAAAAAGATAACAATGGGCAAACACCTCTTCATGTTGCATCTACTAATAATAACAAAGAAATCGCCGAACTTCTTCTCTCATATGGTGCAAAAATCAATGAAAAAGATAATATTGGAAAAACTGCACTTCATTGTACAGCAGATAATGATAGTGAAGAAACTGCCGAATTACTTCTTTTACATGGTGCAAACATCAATGAAAAAGATAATGATGGTAAAACTGTTCTTTACTATGCATCAGAAAATAATAACAAAGGAATCACCGAACTTCTTTCTTCACATGATGCTAATATCAACTAAAAAGAAAAAGTTGGTAGCTTCTTAGAAGAATAAATCAAATCAGCACTATAGTTAATCCCTGTTGCTGTCTCGAATTATTTTACTGCTTAACATTATTTTCGAATCAAAAAACATATTATAATGACTATTTAGATAAAATGAGCAATTTACCTTAAATATATTGGATATCAAGAAGAAACTACTGAACTTCTTATTGTGTTAATCATTATAAAACTATTATTAACAAAATCAAAATGAATTTCTTTGAAGTTAAATAAATATGTACTTACTAAAAACTTACAAGTTTTATGTAAATAAATAATAATATCAAACAAATATAAAATATTAAAAAATAATAAAAAAAATCAGTTAATATCAACTTATTGGAGTTTCTGAACTTCTCCAGAAGAGAAACTATTATTTGACAAAAGATAAGTATGGCCTCTATCATCACCACCAACTTCCTTCACATTATATTTCAAGAATTTGATTTCTCCGTATGTTCTTTCACTTATATGAACTAACCAAGGTGGACAAACATCGCTGAGCTTCATCGCTCCTTGCGCTGTATCTCCAAGCACATCGAATATCGGTTGAAGAACACCAACCATTCCGCATTTAACATTACCTGTGTGAACACCAATTCCTACTGATGCTGTGTTTGTATCAACAACTTTTGCAGCCAAAGACAACATCTTTAAAGCGACATCAGAAGCAGTTTGTCCTGAAGCTTTCGTTCTAGAGAACAAACCTGTTGCAGCTATATAAGATAATCCACATGTCCTTATCTTGATTGTTTCATCATCAACAGCTCCATCCAAAGCAGCGAAAACAGAAGAACAAATCTTTGTCAATTCATCACCCATTACATCTGTTTTAATTGTAGCAACAATGATTGATCCGATATCAACTTGGAAAGATGTTTCCAGGCCATCTTCATGCTTTGCTCTTATAGCGCTTGGCATTATCAAGTTCATCAATGATTGTAATTTGTCATGTTCGATTCTCAGGTGTTCTTCTTGCATGTGTATTTGTGTATAGTCTTGTATAACACATGCGAATGATTGTGCTGTTGTTACTGAATGTGCTTGTCCTTCATCGACATCAGAACATCCATGCAATGTTACTAAAACGTTCTGCATTTCTCCATTCGATCCTGCAATAACTGATTCGAAACTGAATGATCCTGCTTTAGAAACACCAGCAGTCATCTTCTTTGCAACTCTTTCGAGTCTTTGTATACTTGCGAGTTTATCTTTATCAATCAAAGCTCTTAACAAAACATTTCTTATTGATTCATTGATATTTTGTTCATTGAGTTTCGTCATTTCAAAGAATGTTTTGTTTGCACTTTGTACTTGCAAAAACTCGTCTAACAAAGCAACTCCGCAATTAGAATAATCACAAGCGAATTCAACAGCTTCATTATTCATTGCGTTTCTGTTTTCCAACAATAAATTGCTGCTGACACTGAAAGCTCCTGAGAACCATTTAACAATCGTTGGAGATTTCATGAGTCCTTCAGGAGGAACTAAACAAAGCAAACGACGAGGAGTTTCGATATGATTTAATAATCTTACACACGATCTTCTCATGATAACTAATGAATAAAGAACTTGAAGAACTAAAAGGAGAACGTAAACAATCAATAGTTCGTTTGTTTTCCTTTCATTTAGATTGCTTACTTTCGTCTTAAACAAATCCATTCCGTTCTCCAAAAATGGAATAATGTGTGCAAACAATATGTGTTCAAAATGATAAGTAAAATTGTCTTCGTACGTGAAATTGGATTCATTAAAGATCCAATTCGCTATTGAACAGAACAATGAGACTTGTGCTTCACAACTTAATGAATAATAAACATCATGAATGACTCCGACAACAGGATTTTGAATTACAACTTTTGTATCAATAAATGATGATTTCGTGTAAGCGTCGGAAATATCTGATCCTAAAACAAGTCCTGGAGAAACAGCACTGTTTGATGATCCGTATAACAATGTGTTGAAGCGACTCTTGAACCGATTAATATAGAAAAGTGAAGTGTCAGAAATTTTTGTCAAATTTTTATTTATTGGATCACTTGAGAATAATTCCTGAGCACATACGTAACAAGAAGCCGCGTTTGAGAAAACAGTTATGGAATATGTGTAGGCGTTTGTCATTTCTATAATTTCAGTCATTGAACCTTTGAATACATATATTCCAATGCAACTTAAAGTACAAGAAACAGCCAAGAAAACTAAAGAAACTTCAATCCACATCATATAAATTCCTTGTTGATATCTTGGAACAGTTGCCAAGTTTTCTATCAGTTCTTCTTTCCTCAGTTGAAGGCCATCGAGAGAGGCATCATCATTAGTCAGTTCTTGTTTAACTTCCTTTCCTTTTTTGGTTTTCATGCTGTAACGAATTGAACTGATGTCACTTTTTGGAATTGAGAAGAATAATCTCAAAACGAATTTAATTTCTCTTCTTGCGTAAACAAGAGAAATTATGAACAAAGGTAAAATGATAATTACAGGTACAGCGAAAGTAATTATATAAAAGATCATACACAATCTATCAAATGTATCATAGAAGCTGACAACCTGTGAATTAAGTGTTGCCAATGCTTGTGTAATTCCTGTTTCTGCTGTATCGAAATTTGAAAAAATGAACTGGAAATTTGTGTTGTTATTAATATTCGTCATGTTCTTGAGATCTTTTATACTGGAAGCACTGAGTAAATAAGAGCTTAACAAGTCATATAAAGAACTTGATGATGTTGCATTACCTGAAACCATAGAATACGACCTGTTTTCACAAACAGAAGTTGGAATTTTTTCATTTGTACAAGCATCGAGAAAACTTGTCAAATTATCTTCCAAATCATTAATGTAAATATCCAAATAATCTTTAGCAGATGTTTCATTGATTATCTCATTAAGTGTACCACGTACAGGGCCAACCCAAACATCTCTTATTTCTCCTGTTTGGAACAAATTAATTCTTCGAATCAACTGAGGAATTCTTGAGATTTCCAATTGAATATCTCCAATAATTTGAATTGGATCCGTAATTCTCAAAAACGAATTAACTCTTGCAATAGCAAATATTAACTGAATTAGAGGCATCAATATCATACAAAGAATCATTATAACTGCAGCTACAATTGTCAATGTTTTTGCAACAGATCTTATATTAGAAATAATTGATTGAACAGAAATCCATGGATCCATTTGTTCCTGGAAATTATGATCGATATCATCCAAATCACTAGAAGAAGATCTTTCACTATCAACATCATCAACTTTCCTTAATCTGTTCAATCTCGCTTGCGTGTCAATTGTTTTCACGTGATCACCGAGATTTTTGTGGTAAATGATGACAGTTTCTCTGTAAACTGTTGAAGAACGGGGATAATTACGAATCAAGTTCTGGAAAAGGATTTCTGTCCTCGACATTTCATAAGAGATTTGAGGAAGAACGTCAACCATTCCTTGTATTCTTTGTTTAATGACAGCTGCCCAAAATTCGCCACAAAAGTTTTGCAAAGAATAACTCGCTCTTTTACATTGACTCACTGCATTTAGAAGAGGCTGGTTGAGCTGTGTAATGAGTTCTTGCCTTAAATGATCAAATAACATCGCAAAACTCTTAGTGTTGTATGGACCACTCGATAATTTCGAAACTAAAACACTCAAATTGTTGAGCATTCGATTGTCATTTTGTAACGCATAAGAAATCTGGCAAGCGCTCAAAAGAAGGTCTGCTTTAACACATTGGTCAGTCGCCCACTTGATAAACGATTGATCTTCAATTTCTGGAACATTAAACCAAAATCCAACTCTTAAGAAAAGTGACAATAATCGATCACCTGAAATTCCCATTTTTAAGAAGTCAACATTTGTTGTTTTGTTGAGATGAAGGATAGCTGCGGACAAAGGATCGAGTTTGTTGTCTTCTTCGCCATCCATGTCTTCGCTGGCTCTCATATCATTAAATTTCTTCAAAACTCTGCGGCAACAATACGCAACAACTTGTTTGCTGAGTAAATACAATATAGGAACCATGATTAAGCATCCCAAAAAGAAAAATGGAGCGTATTTGTTCGCATAATACGACATTAACGGGAAAAATGAAAAAGCCATCGCAGCAACAGCAGCAGCAAGAACCAAAGCATTGAGCTTTGGCCAAACGCATGGCATGTAAAGAATAACGCTCATTGCAAAATAAATTGAAACTGCAAATACTAAAAATATGAAAGCTATTTCTTTGGCTGGACTTGAGAAGTATTGTAGAACGCATTGTGAAAAGATTGGAGCAAATAAAGCAATATTAATCCTCCAATCTATGAAAGATTGTGAAAACCATAGTTGTGTAACATCGTTTGGTCTTAGGATAGGTGTAGCATTGTAAACACTGCATGAAAAGTATATATATGAGATTTGAAATGTATATAAAGGTATCGCAATAATCAGGTTAATTAAATCATCAATATTATACCTTCCTACGATATTTACTAAGTGTAAAGCTAAGTAGTATGATATGTAGCATGAAAATATTTGTGTAACAATTCTAGATGTAAAAATCCAGAAAATAATATCATTTCTACTTGGTGTACTTCCACGTTTGTATTGCAGAACGTTTCTTACGAGTAAAAGAACGAATGTAATGTAGATTAAAGCTAAAGAAACGTTGAATGTGATATTAATATTTAAGGAAGAATCTTTTGGTAAAATAATAATCAATGAACGAAGAACTGTCATAAACATATTGAAAATTTTGGATTCGAATGATTCTATCATGAGAATTCCGGAAGAGCCGAGAATATAAAAGAATGGGAAGATAAAATAACGTAAACTGTTTATCCATGGCTTTACTTCTACAAATCTACCAACATCCATGGAAAATTGTTGCATGAAATTTGTTAATGAAATTTGATCAGGAGTTTCGTCTTCTTTTACTCGGAATTTTTCGCCACCATTCCACATTGCGCTGGTATCGACTTCATACTTCTTACTAAGTGTCGACTTCGAGTGAATACTCGAAGCAGCATAGACAGAAGTCATCGAAAAACCTTTTTCCTCCTGAAAAAAATAAAGCTCGTTATTTTTTGTATCCAGAGACTTGCTATGGTTTTTATTTGTGATTTTGATTTAACTTAGTACAATAATATTTTTCAATCAAAATAGCAAATTATTAAAAATCAAATTGAGAAGTTCAGAAAAATTATATGTATGAATGAAATAAAATATATTTTATATAAAATTTGATGCATTCAAAATTCAATTAGCTCTCAAATGGCAAATAATCTTGAAAATCACTAGAATAATGAGAATAAGTTAGAATAATTTAAAATTAATTCAAAATAATCAGAAGTAACGCTTGAAAAATGGCATTACACTCTAATAAATTTGGATATCATGCATCTACATAGGTTTATTCTGAGATCTCAAATTAAATCTGGAGAAATTTAATCCGTAAATTTTATGGAATGCGAATTCCGACATGATCAGCCAATCCACTATGATACATCAGCGAAATCTCATGTTCCTTGTAATCAAAATTAATGATTAATCATTATTTAGGTATTTCTAATTCCTTTCCATTCAAAAGTATAGCACTGAGCATAGAAGATGCTTGAACTAGTTGTAGAGAAGTGTTCGATATGTTGACAAATGTCATTAACACGTTTATAAACAGAAATTCGAAATCAATGACGTTTATATCAAAGGTTGCATTAAAGATAATGATATTTTCATATACTTTAGGTGGGGAATATCAAAACTATCATGAAATATTGGAAATTAAATTCGGATGACTTCAATAAACTTCTGTAGCAACCTTATTCTCATGTTGATGCAAATTAATCATGTTTCTGCACTCGAAAAGCGAGTATTTCAATCAATAACTAAAAGAATGCAATTTCGGCAATGAAATCAGTTCAAAAATACATGAAAGCGAGAACATCAGATAGAACTATTGTATTATCTTTTATGCAAGCATGAAATGGATTTATAAATGCTGGATAATATGAAAGAACATTTGAACTGATAACAGAAGATATTTCTGTGACAATTTTAATTACGAAGGTCTTCCATTATTTAAAAATGTAGTAAAATGGTGATTTCTATTTTCCCTTTGGATATTAAATTTGACATGTGATGTGAAATTTAATGATTTCATTCGCTCCGCCATATATACCTGTGTTTTATGAGATAGCACGTCTCTTAATGAAAGAATGGTTCTTCAATATATTCGCAATCTTATCATCAGCGTTGGCATTATTCGTTTTTTACACAAGAGCAAAGAAACCTTTAAATTATGGTAAGCTTTACCAAGAGCCAGCCATAAAGCCCAAGTTTTGGTTCCTCATTCCTGCATGGATCGCATTTTTCATTATAAATATCTTTCCACTTGCAATTTTTGTATATTTCTTATTAATTTTCTCACAGCAAGAAGCTTCTATCGATCCATTCAATATTCCAGCATTACTGATTGTAGTTTACAGAGTATTCAGAGGCCTTATTTATCCATTTTTCAAAGGAAATTCCAGAAGATGGCCATCAACAGTTTTGGGATACTATTTCGGAGTCAATATCCTCATTTCCATATTACAAGCAAGAACACTCATGATGGAGTACTGGGGATTTGGCGGAATTTTAATTTACGCTTTAACAGGCATTTGGTGCATTTCTTTCTTAGTTAACTGCTATTACGATATCCATTTAGCTACAAGGAAGAATAAGAAGAAACGTGGTTACAGTGTTGTTACTCTTGGTTTGTTCAAGAAAGTTGCAGCAGCAAATTACTCATTTGAACTCATCATGACAATCTCATGGGCTTTGCTTTGCAACCTTTCTATTGGTGTCCTCGCTATCCTTATTTGGACATTGCCAAACATTGTTTTACGTGCTCGCCATATCCAGCAATGGGAGAAGAACCATTTCACAAATGTTCCATTGAAGAAGACTCCATTGATTCCAGGATGGACTTTCCAGCCAAAGAGAGGTCAATTCTACGGAATATTTGATTTCATGATATGAAATTAGTTATGGCTATATAATTGTTCGTAGATATTAAAATATTAAAATTTTCGACTTATTGTTAATATCACTCTGTGAAGATTTCTCTTAAATCTCTTCAAAATCGAAAATGAAAATATAATATAAGCCAAATTAAGAATTTTGAGATGATTCTAAAGCCTATAGCTTATTTGATGATAGAATCTAAACTTACGAACATAAAGTAAACTGTGATTTTAATATCGCAAAAATGATAGTAATTTTGGAATTTCAATGATGGTATATGTTTTAACTCACAAACCTAAGTCTATGTGGATGTTAATCAACTTCCAAACTTGAAGAATAGTTCCAAATGTTGAGATTATTTGAATATTCAATATGCAAGGTTAATTAATCTCATATTCAAGTTTATGAACCTTTGCCAATGGTATTTCTTTAATCTCTCAAAATAAGCATTGTCTGCTTGAGCGATTATTGTAAAAATGACGATAGGATTTTTAGACAGTCACAAAAATTCTTTGTCCTTTTGACATCTTATTGCATGATGAGTTTTAATGCAAAAAGATAAAACAATGAAAAAATTTACTCTTTGAATTTTTTTCAATTTTTTTTCCCTGGAGTCAGCATCTGCAATAGGATGTCATCAGATATCATCATGTCAGGGATTATTAAAAAGAAAGGTAAGCTTTCTATGCAAGGTTATAAAGATCGTGAATTTACAGTCAACAGACAAGGTATAATGAAATATGGTAAGCCTCGCGAACAGAATAAATGGAAGAAAGTCATAAAGCTTGAAGACATATCCGATGTATCACCATATAATCATAACCCTCGTCATGGTTTCACAATCACTAAAAAAGATGGAAGAATTTTATATTTCGTCGCCCAAAACGATGAAGAGAAGTGGAAATGGATAAACGGATTTAGGCAGGCTCTTAGAGTAATCACAAAACCAAATGAATCAAATTTAGAAAATGCTATAATGGACCCTATGGATTATACTTTCATTCCTCTCCTAAAATTATCAAAATATTCGTCCACTGGTATCTGGAGATGGAGATTCTTTGTCGTTTCTAAAGTTTTTGTTGTTTATTATCAAGATCCTACCATGGCAGAAGAGCTTGGTGCATTCCCGATCACCGCTGTTGTTAAAATAGCTTTTACAACAACTAAACATGGAGAAAAGACTTTACAAGTTGATGTAAAGACGAATGAAAAAAGATCTTACTTCTTTTCTCACCCCGATCAAAGTCAACTTGAAATATTTAATAATCTTATTTCACCAAAGGATAAGGCCAAACTTTTTGGTCCCAAGAAATCTGCATAAAGTTATTGTTTATTCAGTATACTATATTCATTTTTCTTTACCCTTTTAACGACATAAATAATTTGATTTAAGAATGATAAATCTATTGATAGAATTTTAACATCAAATTAGAATATTACTCAATGTTGGGGTTTTGTTGAGAATTACAATATGGAGCCAACAGATATAAACAAACCTTTGATATCATTGTTTATTTATGAAGTTTAGTTTTCCAAAAAAATCAATTTGATAATAGGCATGCCACCACTCTCAACATTGAGATTCCGGGCTTCAATCATTTTCAGTATACTAATACCTTGAAGAGCTGTATATCCATTTTCGGATTTTTCACAGACAAATAAACAATAGAAAGAAGAATTTCGGTTCTTTCTTTCCTATTAATATCTGTTTCATAATGTAGGGTTGCTAAGATTTGAATCTTGGTAGACTCAAAGTTAGAGAAAAATAAAATAAAAATGTGAATGAAAATCTTTTATTATAAAATGATATTATAATAATCCGAACTTCATATATTTTGAAGTTAATTTGGGGAGAGATACAAAATATCAGCCAAATAATTAAAAGATTGTTTTAAATATTTCATTATAGCCTTTGTTCCTAATTTGGGAGTACAATATATCAACATGTATCTCAGATGAGGACCAAAGTCAATAATCAGATGTTGATTATTTAATAGAATTTTCTTATTTCATTAGATGTTTGCACGATGTGAAATAAGAAGTTCGACGATTTCTTTCTTATTTCTAAGTACTGCAATATGAAGTGCGGTTTGTCCATTTTTATCTTTTTCATTGATATTTATACCATGTGAAATAAGAAGTTCGGCTGTTTCTTTTTTATTATGTTTTGCTGCAAAATGAAGAGCGGTTTGTCCATCATTATCTTTTTCATTGATATTTATACCATGTGAAATAAGAAGTTCGGCTGTTTCTTTACTATTATTAATTGCTGCAAAATGAAGAGCGGTTTGTCCATTTTTATCTTTTTCATTGATATTTATACCATGTGAAATAAGAAGTTCGGCTGTTTCTTTACTATTAAAACAGGCTGCAAAATGAAGAGCTGTTTTTCCATTTTTATCTTTTTCATTGATATTTATACCATGTGAAATAAGAAGTTCGCCTATTTCTTTTTTATTATGTTTTGCTGCAAAATGAAGAGCGGTTTGTCCATATTTATCTTTTTCATTGATATTTATACCATGTGAAATAAGAAGTTCGGCTGTTTCTTTACTATTATTAATTGCTGCAAAATGAAGAGCGGTTTGTCCATTTTTATCTTTTTCATTGATATTTATACCATGTGAAATAAGAAGTTCGGCTGTTTCTTTACTATTAAAACAGGCTGCAAAATGAAGAGCTGTTTTTCCATTTTTATCTTTTTCATTGATATTTATACCATGTGAAATAAGAAGTTCGGCTGTTTCTTTTTTATTATGTTTTGCTGCAAAATGAAGAGCGGTTTGTCCATTTTTATCTTTTTCATTGATATTTATACCATGTGAAATAAGAAGTTCGGCTGTTTCTTTTTTATTATGTTTTGCTGCAAAATGAAGAGCGGTTTGTCCATCATTATCTTTTTCATTGATATTTATACCATGTGAAATAAGAAGTTCGGCTGTTTCTTTACTATTATTAATTGCTGCAAAATGAAGAGCGGTTTGTCCATTTTTATCTTTTTCATTGATATTTATACCATGTGAAATAAGAAGTTCGGCTGTTTCTTTACTATTAAAACAGGCTGCAAAATGAAGAGCTGTTTTTCCATTTTTATCTTTTTCATTGATATTTATACCATGTGAAATAAGAAGTTCGCCTATTTCTTTTTTATATGTTTTTGCAAAAGAAAGAGCGGTTTGTCCATATTTATCTTTTTCATTGATATTTATACCATGTGAAATAAGAAGTTCGGCTGTTTCTTTACTATTATTAATTGCTGCAAAATGAAGAGCGGTTTGTCCATTTTTATCTTTTTCATTGATATTTATATACCATGTGAAATAAGAAGTTCGGCTGTTTACTATTAAAAAGGCTGCAAAATGAAGAGCTGTTTTTCCATTTTTATCTTTTTCATTGATATTTATACCATGTGAAATAAGAAGTTCGGCTGTTTCTTTTTTATTATGTTTTGCTGCAAAATGAAGAGCGGTTTGTCCATATTTATCTTTTTCATTGATATTTATACCATGTGAAATAAGAAGTTCGGCTGTTTCTTTTTTATTATGTTTTGCTGCAAAATAAAGAGCGGTTTGTCCATCATTATCTTTTTCATTGATATTTATACCATGTGAAATAAGAAGTTCGGCTGTTTCTTTACTATTATTAATTGCTGCATAATGAAGAGCGGTGTATCCATAAAGACCTTTTTCGTTGATATTTGCACCATGTGAAATAAGAAGTTCGGCTGTTTCTTTTTTATTATGTTTTGCTGCAAAATGAAGAGCGGTTTGTCCATTTTTATCTTTTTCATTGATATTTATACCATGTGAAATAAGAAGTTCGGCTGTTTCTTTTTTATTATGTTTTGCTGCAAAATGAAGAGCGGTTTGTCCATCATTATCTTTTTCATTGATATTTATACCATGTGAAATAAGAAGTTCGGCTGTTTCTTTACTATTATTAATTGCTGCAAAATGAAGAGCGGTTTGTCCATTTTTATCTTTTTCATTGATATTTATACCATGTGAAATAAGAAGTTCGACGATTTCTTTACTAGTGTGACTTGCTGCAATATGAAGAGCTGTTTTTCCATTTTTAGCTTTTTTATTGATATCTATACCGTGTTTATTATTGACTATAATTTGATTGTATGACTCAAGTATTAATATGCAAATATCAGAATTTTTTGATTTACATGCAAAATGAATAATTCCACATTTGGTGTGATTATGTTTGTTAGAAAATGTATTGTTTTTGAAAATATCTATTGTTTGCGGAAATGCAGCACCCCATGGAAAGATGTAATATTTGTTCCTTTTGAATAGAAGAAATACAGCATTAAGGTTTTGATATCTGATGATATCTTTATAAATAGGTCTATAATTTACATCTCCCATACAATTATCTTCTATTCCCCATTTCCAATTCTCACCGTATAAATCATCAAGCTCGAATATCTCTCTATTTAAAACATATTCAAGCAATTCGTGATTGTGTGCTCTTATAATGCTTCTGAGACAAGCAATATCCATTTTATTTTCTTTCAAGCATTCGTTGATGATGTCTTGATTTCCTCCAATTACTGAGTAGCAAAGACATCTTTTAGTTATTTTACAGATTTGATTCGAAATCAAGAAATAAAAAATGTTAACAGATCCAAAGTAGGCACATGCTTCAATTAGTGATAACTCTGCAGAATATTTTAGATAGTTATAAGCATTGTACCTGAAATTAGGAATTTCGAGAAAAATATCACCAGATATTGAATTTTGAGTTAAGTATTCCTTGAACTTATCAATTTGATCATGCATAACTATAAATTTAATCGAATCCTCTGTTTCAAAATGGTAATCCGAAACTCCGGTTAGGTCAGCCCCGATCTGTTCGAGTATTTTGACGTAATTCGCTCCAGATGCATAATTGTATCTAATTGCCTCAAGAATTAACTTCGTAAGTTGATTGATTGAAAGTTGATACTTCGAAATCAAAGTGGTTGTAATTATACTGCACATATCTTCGATAGGTTCATTAGATTTTATGTGGAAGAGCTTTTCAAGCGCCCCTATAAAATCCGCATATTGTTTTGAATAGTCAGAACTCATAATGGAAAAAAAAAATTGACAAATAATGCGCTATGTGTAAACTGTTTGCTCGATATTTATACCCGTTTTAAAAGCTCTTTTCTTTCAAAAAAATTGAAAAATCTAAAACTCGAATTTAGGATGATCTTTGGGTTATTTCGAATTTGGATGATCCAAAAAGATCATCTAAATTAGCAACCCTACACATGGTTATTATAGGGCCCGTTTTCAAATATGCATTTGACAATTTCAAGCGAATCATTCACATCACTTTATAATATCTATTTCGCTTTGAAGCATATAATATATAGCATTTAGTGGTATGAAGAATAAGTATGGATACCCTAATCAAAAGCTTCGAATCTATAGCCAACCATAATCAATATCAAATTTCAGCTCAATTAAGAGAAGTATGTAAGTTTATTAAGGTTCGATTAAGAAACGAGTTATTTTTGTTGTTTATCAGAGAAAAAAACGATAGGAAACCGTACGAATTCATTTCATAGATGTCAAACCCACAAGAAAAAGCAATGAAAGAGGCCCAATCCATTTTAAAGTCAGCCGAAAAGGAATGCAAGGGCGGAATTTTCTCAAAACCAGATTATGCTAGCGGTGGCGCAGCTTTTGAAAAGGCATATAACATTCTCTACAAAGCTAAACTCTACAAAGAAGCCATGAACGCAGCTATGAAGGGTGCTGATGCTTATGATAAATGCAATCTTCCTTTAAAGGCTGGCGCATTATCCCAAAATGCATCACAAGCAGCCTTCCAAGATAAGCAGTACGATCAGCTTGTTCCAATTCTTGATCTCTGCAAATGCCGTTTCCAGGCCGGCAACCAAGCTTTGGCAGGAATCAGAGCTGTTCGTGAAATGGCTTCTCGCATGCGTCCTATCGATAAAGAGATTTCATATCAGCTTTACAACAGTGCTCTCGACTTAGTTGAGGACGACGAGCAATATACATGGGAGAAAGAAACTTTCTTAGATTGCGCTTGCTTAGCACTAGAAATGAAGAAATACCCAGATGTCTTCAAGGCTTGGGCACGCGCAGAAAAGGCATTCTTGTTCCTAAAGAACACAGATGCTGCTGCCCATTGCATTTCAGCTATTATTGCCATTCATCTTCAGCGCGGTGATATCGTTGCTGCCCAGAATGTTTTTGAGGAGGCCATGCAAAAAGAATACTACGTTCATACTGAAGATTTTTCAATGATCGACTTTATTCTTCGTGGCGTAAAGAATCAGGATGGCGATCTTATCGAGGCCGGCCAAAAGAACTTTATCATTCAAATGCTTAAGCCAGAAATTGGAAGAATTATTATGGGTTTCAAGGCTCCGAAATCAGCTCCACAACTATTACCAGGCAGTGGCGAGGCTGCCCCTGCCCCAGCTCCTGCACAGGATGATAAGGATGAGGAAGAAAGCGACCTCGATTTACTTTAAAATCTACAAAATCTTTGTTAAACCTATGACAATAATAAAATACTATTTAAACAATCTCTTTCCAAATGAATAAAGTAGGAAATGTTCAGTATTAACTTAATTTTATTAGAAATTTTTAATTTTAAGAGAACAATGCATGAAATGCTTATTTAGCAGCAGCCTTCTTGGCAGCCTGTTTCTTACGCCAGCTGTTAATGGCTGCCTTGATGGCATCCTGAGCAAGCATTGAGCAATGCTGCTTAACAGGTGGTAAATTGAGTTCTTTGGCGATGGCTGTGTTCTTGATGGCGAGAGCCTCTTCGACAGTCTTGCCCTTGATCATTGTTGTAGCAAGGGAGGATGATGCAACAGCTGCTGGGCAGCCGAAAGCACGGAACTTGACGTCTTCGATAACACCCTTGTCATTGATCTTGACCTGAAGCTTGAGAGCATCACCACAAGCTGGAGCTCCGACAATGCCAGTGCCGACATCTGGTGCCTTCATGTCAAGAGAGCCTGTATTCTGTGGATTCTTGAAGTGCTTGTTAACATTTTCGTGATAGAACATGATGCCGAGTGGCTTCATCATGTTGAGAGCGGAGGAGCGGGAAACTGCAGCGAGCATTCTGTTGAAATGAAATTAGGGAAAAATTGTATCTCAAACCAAAATCTATCGTTGTTGGTCGACGGTTTTCCCTCATCGCCAGCCAACTATAAAACACGTGTTCTCTTGCAATATTTAAGAATAGGACAGTTAATACACCATATTAATGATGGATTTAATTTGATAAGTTTATCGTTTTTGAGTTCAAAGAAAATTTTATAATAAGCAGGAGCTGTTCCCATGTGGAATCGAGTTAATTCTATTAACCAGTTTTATTTTATGGAGCATTCTTTAGCTTTAATATGCTTGGAACCGGAAACGAAAAAATTATTCTTGTAAACACTTATATTTCGATGTTAAACTAGTTATTTTTTTAAGAAAATCATTTTTCAAAATATTATAGCTAATCCATTTATAATAATCCAGGCAATTTTATAAAATGGGGTAAATTTATGCCATGATGCTGAATGGTTCAATCCTATGAATGGAGCCAAACCATAACATACTGCACCGCTTATGAATTCTTATTTATTTCGAACAAATATTATCTTTTGGAATAAGGTATGCTTTAATTCTACTATAAGTATATGCACAAGAAACATGTGTTTTCTGTCATATCGAATGAGAAATACCCAAATCTTATTTTTCGATATCTCCTATAAGAGCTCAAAAAAGGTTACAATAAATGTGGCAGCTGAGTATATTGTTTCTTCTTTATCTCTTCATTGAGACGGAATTGATCCGCTTAATCAATATGAAACAATGATATACTAGGGATTGAAAAATATTAATATTGCAAGATCCAATTTTCGATATCCAACTCATTTTATCTTGCATTAAAGTTAATACTTTTATTTTTTCGAAATATTACAACAGTAGCAACCTTACGAATTACCAATGATAACCAAAGTGCTATTTTGGCATAACAAAATTAAAACAATATTGAAACAACATGTTGTCTAGAAATTCTGAAATAATATTATAAATACTATCATGTGATAAAATGTCAACTCCCTTAGCTTAACTTATGTTTGATTAAGAGATACAGAACTAATGTTGCTTGTTCTATAGCAATAGTCATTAACTGATAAAAAGATTATGATGAGAAGTCTAAATATGCGAGTTTACTACATATTTAATTCAGATTGTTTATAGAATTGCAATATTCATGATATCTTGAACTTACTTTTGAATAAAATCATGATATTGCGGATTATTTTCTATATGTCTACTATGTTTTTTAAGCATGTGAAGCAAATTTTTAATTCGAACCAGGTATATTTTTGGATTATTTACAATGCTTAATGACCTATATAGTAGTATATATTGAATTTGATAGAAAGTTATGAGTGAACAAAAATTTTGGTAAATAAGTTTTATTTTTATATCATTAAATTTAATTTTGTTGAATATTTGACATATTTTAGGAAAATATTTTATAATTACAAAAATAAAACGCATCTATCGATTTAGAATGCATCAAAATTGATTTCTTTCTATATTATTTCAAATTCTTCAAGATTTTTAACCTCATTTTTCCAAAAAAATTGAGAATTGTAAAAAATGGCAACATTTTCTACAAATTTGTTTAGGCTTTTTCTCAAATAGAAAAAATTTGGGAAAAATATTCAAAGAGGAATTTATTCCGGGTGTCGAAGGTAATGTCTTTCAGTCAAAAAGGGGTCGAAAAATTAAAATATTGATATCGATTTTCTTCAATCACAATATGTCGATTGTTTTCAGTTAATGACATAACGTATTATTGAATTATAATATATATTTGAACATATTACAAATAGTTTTCGAAACTTATCAAAATTTCGTGCAAGTATACACGATCATACACAGTAATTATTACCACAATCTTGTTATAATAAAGAATGATTAATATCATCAAAGAACTAACGATTAATTTACCGAATTCTAATTTTTTTTTAATTACAAATCCTTACTTTTGCATATTTTATATGCAACTGTAGAAGAAAAAACCAAAAAGGCGTTTCTTCAAAGAAAATTTCTGAAATCAGTCTAACTAATAAAAAATTTACTTTCTTAACATCGAATATTTCTCTTCATGAGCGATCTTTTTCGTTTACCTTTCATAATACAATAAAATATCTGCGTTTGCAAGTCTCGACATACTTAATAATATGAATTTAACTTTCTTGATTGCGAGAGAAAGAGTGTATTCATTTAAAAAAAATATTTATTTATTAATATATATATACATGTTTATGCTTGGTTAAGTGTATCTTCACACTTGATCAATTGGTTAAGTAGAGGGTAGAATGTCAACTGATCCTTTGTATGCAAGATTTCCTTTGTCTTCTTATCGATATCGACATCAGACATGTTATCAGATTCATCAGTCAACAGTTTATATATAGCAAGGAAAGTGTCTAATCCCAAACCCTGTTCAATGAACTGTCTTAATGCTTCAACTCTGTAGCTCAATGAATCATCACCACTGACGTAATCCAAAATCAATTCTTTTCCATTGAAAATGAATTTTCCTGGTGCTGGTTTTTCTTCTTCATGGTGTTCTTCGCCTTCTTCTTCAGCTTCATCGTCATCTGGTGGGTTATCGAAGATGCTCTTAGCAATGGCGGCCAACTCAATAAGTTCGTTTGCTTCGTCATCGCTTTCGTCACTACTTGACATATCAATGAAATCTTGGAAACTCTTCTTCGGCTTTTCACCTTCTTTCTTGTCTTCTTGGACCTTGATTTCGCCTTCTTTCTTATCTTGAACAGGCTCTGGTTTCTTCTCTTCTGGTTTTGGTGGCTCTGAAATTTTCTGAGGTTCCTCAATTTTCTGAGGCTGTTCAATTTTCTGAGGTTCAGATTTTTGTTGATTTTCTGGTTGTTGCTTTGGTATATCTGCTGGGATTTCTACGCCACCGATCTTGATAACGTTTTCTTTCTCAGCCATTGCTTGTCTTCTTAACTCAGCGCGTTTCCTCTGGATCATTTCTCTGAGATTTGAAATTTCTTCATCCCGCTTCTTTACTTTGCCTGGTCTGACTGTGACTTTCATTGGCTTCTCGTCTTCATCGCTACGTGGTGATGCCGTTAGCCTGTCTGAACCTTTCTGTTCGTTGTCGGAACTCTGATTACTTCCAGTTGACCTTGGAGACTCAGAATTAGAAGAAGATGGAAGTGCTGGACGAGCTCTTGCAGGTTTGGATGGTTGTGGAGGTGGAGCTTTCATCTGGGCTTTGAAAGGAGCTTCAAGATTATCAAATTTCTTCTTTCGAGCAGCATCTTCGCGTTTGAGCTCTTCAAGTTTTCTCTTTCTCTCTAATGCTGCTTGTTTGTGCTTTTCTTGGACTTCTAATCTCTTTTGGTTCTCAATTTCTTCTTGTTTTCTGGCTTCTTCTTCTCTGGCTGCCTTTAATTGCTTCTGTTTCTCTCTTTCAGCCATAACCATCTCGTTCTTCTTCTTAATTAGTTCTTCTTTCGATTGATTTGAATGAGATGTTAACTTCATTCCTCCTTTCGCTGGTTTTTCAGCGGCGGCAGCAGCTACAAGGCTTACTTTTGGTTTTTTAGGTGCAGCCGGTGATGGTCTCTTTGCAATTGCTGGAGCATTTGCTGGAGATGGGCGTTTGGCGATCGGCGGCTTCTCAGGAGCAGGTGGTTGGGCCTGCTTGATAGGAGCGTATGGTTTTGGTGTAGGTTTAACGTGCGGTTTGTTGTTAATAACGTTATTTGATGGGGCAACTTGCTGAGGTTGGACTTGTGGCTTATCTTCTGATATAGGAGCTAATTCTTCTTGTTTGTGGAAGTTTTCTGGCTTCAAATTATCTGGTGTTTCACAAGCTTTGACTTTATGAAATACAGTATGGCTAAATTCGATCTTCTGCATCGTAGCGCTAAGTAAGTTACCGATTCTATTACGAATAAAGTCGAGTTTAAGGATTTGGTTGATTGATGGACGCTTTTTAGCATCTTTATTTAACAAACTATCGACAAGAGAACGAAGTGGCTGGCTGTAGTAGTAAGGGATAGGAGCATGCTTCGAACGGAGAATCTTCATGATCAAACCGTTCATGCAATTTGCATCGAAAGCATGATTCAGCGTACAAAGCTCATAAAGGACGCATCCAAGGGACCAAATATCAGACTTGGAGTTGTAAGCTTTGCCTTCGCATATTTCTGGGGACAAGTAATATGGTGTACCAATCGCTGTTTTAGATAATTGTGTTGTGTGATCCAAAATCTTTGCAATACCGAAATCACCCATTTTGATCATACCATTTTTCATTAAGAAAATGTTCTGGCACTTGATATCTCTGTGTAAAATTTTTCTATCGTGAATATGTTTAAGAGCAAGGCAAATTTGGACGAACCAATCGAGAATTTGGTCTTCCTTGAAGTGTACACCTCGAGCATTCTGAATTTGTGTAAAAAGATCTCCGTTATCTGCATAATCCATGACAATATGAAGAACGTTTTTCGCGTTGAAGCTTGTACGATAACCAATGATGTTAGGATGATGAAGAGATGAAAGAATCTTAACTTCCTTCTTCGCATCTTTTTGTTCTTGGGCACTAAGATTTGCCATAGCAATTTCTTTGATTACACAGTACTCGCCTGATGCTTTTTCAACACATAGGACAGCTCGGCCATAGGCACCTTCACCTATGACTTTCTTTACCGTATAATTATCCATAGACATCTGTTTAAAATTTGAATATAAAAAATTTGTTATTTTTTTATTGTTTTTTTCAAATTTTATAAATATAGAGCATTGGAGCTTCAATTTCGGAGTCTTTTATCATCACTGTAGCATTATTGAATTAAAGCCTAGGACAGTTATTGAATATCAATCAAATCAAAATATTTTTGTGAATATCAAGTTTATTGCTATTCAAGGATAAACAAACAAATTGTACCCAGTTATATTCTAATATTCTGATATTGTTTATTGTTTCTGTCTTTTAAATTGATTACTATATATGGGGAAATGGGAATATGGTATAGAGTACCTGAAGTTTGGAAACATTTTTAAGACCCATATCGTGTCGGGAAGACTTAGACGTCTGATCAAGGCATTCATCTAAATATATTCTCTGAACTGATAAGTATATATAAATTTAGATTCTTAAAATACTGAATATCTCTAAATCGATTTGATTTTTTTTTCATAACCCTAAGATTTCAAAATTTTTTATAAATGTCTGATCAAGACTCTAGTACAAATGAATACAATAAGCTGAGAAGTATCTACAAATACCACATTGATTCGTATAATGCATTGTATCAGTTAAAAACGAAAAATGAAGAAGATTTAAGGTCGATTTACAAAATGATCAAAACAAATCTGATTGATTCGAAGAAATACCTCCCAGAAAATATCATAAAAGATATTTTAAATATCATACCGTATAACAACTTCTTTTCAAAGTCATATTTGGCTCTTGCGAAATTCATATCTGATGATTATCATATAACAAAAGTCAAAAATATTGCTTCTATTTCTAACTACCTGTTTTACAAAGAATATGGAATTAAATTAGTCAATTTATATGATTTCAACAAATTTACATATGAAGATCTAGATATTCTTAAAGAAGATACAATTTACAGAGCAATTATAAATGACGACAAAGAAAGATTCATTCAATTCATTGAAAGAGAAGGATTTGATGAAGATCAAAAACTTAAAAGCAAATTATATCCAAAACCTAATGAAAGATATTCATTACTTGAATTATGTTGTTACCATGGGGCTGTGGATTGTTTCAAGTTATTAAGAACAAAATTTAACTCAGAAATAACTCAAATATGTCTTCAATTTTCATTTTTAGGAAAAAACAAAGAGATCATGAGTGAATGTTTGAAATATCAAACACCAGATAAAGAATGCATGGAATATGCAATTATTTCACACAACATTGATTTTGTTACATTCTTGATGAATGAATACAATTTAAAGATCGATATGAATTATTGTCAAATGTATAGAAATCTTGAATCATTTTTTGTTTATTTTGACCAAACAAATGATATTAACAAATGTTTTGTATATTCAACATATTTTGATATTCTATCCCTTTGCGAATATTTCCTTTCACTTGGCGCAGATATCAATGAAAATGATGAATTCGCAAATACAGCTCTTCATATTGCAACAGATAATAATAATAAAGAAATCGTCAAACTTCTTCTTTCAAATGGTGCAAATGTCAATACAGAACGTGTTTTCCAAAGAATAATTCTTCATATTACTGCAAATAAAAATTATAAAGATATTGTTGAATTACTTCTATCATATGGTGCAAATATCAATGAAAAAAATGATTATAGAAAAACAGCTCTTCATATTGCAATAGAGTTTGGGAGTAAAGAAACAGCCGAATTTCTTATTTCACATGGTGCAAATATCAACGAAAAAGATCTTTATGGATACACCGCTCTTCATTATGCAGCAGAAAGAAAAAGAAAAGAAATAGCCCAAATTCTTATTTCGCATGGCGCATATATCGATGAAAAAACTGAATATGGTGAAACCGCTCTTCATTATGCGACACGTAATAATAGTAAAGAAATAGTCGAACTTCTTCTTTCACAAGGTACAAATATCAATGAAAAAGATAATGATGGACAAACCGCTCTTCATTGTGCAGCACAAAGAAATTATAAAGAGATAGCCGAATTACTTCTTTCAAATGGTGTTAATGTCAGTGAAAAAGATGAAAGAGGAAACACTGCCCTTCATTATGTAGCAGGTAAAGATCATAAAGATATGGTTGAATTACTTCTATCATATAGTGCTGATATCAATGAAAAAAATAATTACGGCAAAACCGCTCTCCATATTGCAGTATATAATGATAAAAAAGGAATGGGAGAATATGTTCTTTATAATTTCAACGAAAAAGATAATAACGGAAAAACCACTCCTCACATTACAGTAATTAATCATAATAAAGAAATCGTGGAATTACTTCTTTCACATGGCGCAAATATCAATGAAAAAGCTAATATTGGACGAACAGCTCTACATTATGTAGCATTGTTATATAATAAAGAAACAGCTGAATTTCTTCTCTCACATGGTTCAAATATCGGCGAAAAAGATAAATATGGACAAACAGCTCTTCATGTTGCAGCAGATAAAAATAATATAGAAATAGTTGAATTTCTTCTTTCACATGGTTCAAATATTGACGAAAAAGATATATATGGACAAACTGCTCTTCAGATTGCAGCAGATAAAAATAATATAGAAATAGTTGAATTTCTTCTTTTATATAATGCAAATAACAAATAAGCGTATACAAAATTTTCGAATCATTTCTTTTAGATGCATCATTGGGTTTTTTTTAAATAATCACTTATTAATAATGATAATTGCTTTTTTTGATTCAGTTTCCATGTAGAAATATAAAAATATCTGATGAAAAATATAATTTTGAAAATATTATTGAAAATTTACAAAAGTTTATTTAAATTTATTGAGAAGATGGAGGAATAATTTCCGTTATTGTTTCTTCCTCCTCTTCATTACCTTGATTTAAGAATTCCTGGATATCAGAGTTCAATTGTTTGAGAATATCTTCTTCTTTTTGGGCCATGAGTTGGTCTCTCCTGAATTCAACCTCAACTTCACCTAATTCTTCAGATTTCTTCTTAATTGCAGCTTCTTTTATGTCATTTTCTGCTTTCATCCTCTCTGCTTCTTCTCTTATCTCTTGGGCTTCAGCCTTCATGGCCTTTATTCTACTTCTTTCAGCATAAGCGTTAGTTGCTGACCTGATTGCAGTATTTACCTGCATTAAAGTCTCTCTTTCTTCATCCTTGAGTCCGCTAAGTGTCTTTAATGTCGCGTTAAGCTCATCACGGGCATTCTTGGCCGTATCTAATTGGTTCTGGAGATCATCTAAAAGTTTCTGTTTTTCTTCGTATTTTTGTTGGATTGGACCTGCTTGGTTTTCATATTTAGCAGCCAAAAGTTGTGTCTCTTTGTTCATTTTCTCGACAGCCTTTATTCTACGATCAAATCTTTCTTTGATTCGTTGAATGAAAACTGAAGCAGTAGATTTAGTAGAGGATTTCATACGAGGTGGAGAAGAAGGTGTACGTAATGGCTGAGTATTTTGAATATACCCTTTCTTTTTCGTATTTTGGATATCAATTTTGACAATGTATTCTTGGTTTGTATCTTTTCTATGGCCATTTGCTGATGTAATAGCAGCAGCTTTCTTTTCGCACTCTTCAATGTTGATGGATCTCTCAATTATTGGCTCAAGTTCCGAAACAATCTTTCTGTTATCTTCTGCAGCCTTACTGATGAAATCAACACGCTCTTTATCAATAGTAGTATCCAAAACTGATAACCCTAGATCTTTAAGAGCGGAAGTAATTTGATCTTCGATTTGTTTTTGCTCTGCTAAAAGTTCTTCTTGCGATTTAATAAGGTCACACTTCTGGGATTGAAGAATTGAGATAGTATTCTGCTTTTCTTGTCTCGTTTTTTCTAATAATTCGATTTTTTGTTTTTTAGCCGTATTTTTAGATTGAAGTTCGTTAATTTGGATTAAAACATTAGTATATTCACTATCTTCTCTGATTTGGCTCGAACTATACTTTAATGTAGAAATTTGATTGAATAAACCTTTAAGCTCTTCTTGAGCGTCATCAATTTGTTGTGAAAGCTTTTTATTAATCTCTTTTAATTGCTGGACATAACTTTGTTTAGTTTGGAGTTCTTCGTCTGTGAAATTATTTTTTTCAGATTTTTGCTTTTTTAGCATTTCAAGAGTTCCTGACCTGCAAAGGTATTCCTTCTTCAAACCTGTGTATAATGCAGATTTGTTCGCTAATTCTCTTGTTACTTCTCTTAATTGACTAACGTATTGATTATTTTCTGTCGCTTCTGTATAATAGCTCATTGCATCGCTCATTAACAACTCCCTGAGACTCTTAATTGATGGCATTGATTGAATAGAGACTCGGGATTTAGTTTTCATGATTTAAATCTTCGTCGGTTTTGCTTTTTTTTTCTCTTACAAAAAAATTGCAATTATTACAAATTAACTTTTACAGTTCATCTCATAATGGAGTTTCAAATTCGAAAAATTTCGAAGGCATATTCTTAAATATTAGATGCAAATTTTGCTATTGTTGAATTAATAGACTTCTTATAGATTTATTAATAAAATATACATTAAGACAAAACTGATTCTACGTGTTCATTGATCAATATCCATGATAATTAGTTACAGCAATTATATTTAATCCACTGAGTCTATGATCATAACTAAAAATTATAGGTAATACACTAGAAATGCATATTCCAGCGAAATTAATATGAGGATATCTCAAAAAAGGACATGCAAAATTCTAGAACTCCCTATAGGTCATCGTTATGATCATCACATAGAATCTAATGGGCAAGATTTTTGTTGATGATTTTGTTCATGCTAACGTTATAAGAATCTCTCGAAACTTGAAAAAATTTTGAGCAAAGTTTTGGGCTCGAGATCTTGAATAATTTTTAATTATCGACACTTTTTGAAATAAAATTATTTGGAATTATGACAAGTTCAAAACAAGAACCAATTGAAAATAACATTGATTTTAGCGACCTTAAGCCAATTGAAGTATTCAAATACCATAGTAATGCTTCAAAATTAATATATGAGGTTAATTACAATAATATTTCAGAACATTCATCACAAATCATAGACCTCATTAGAACAAGCAAAATATCCATCAAAAGGGTATTCAATTATTTAGCGAACTTTATAAAAAAATATCAAACGAATTCTCATATATAATCAAACCGGAAAATGAGAAATTAGCGACACTATTGTATCACAAAGGTTTCAAATTTGAAAACTTTATAGTTAAAATGAAAGAAGAAGAAATCCTCAATTTATATTCAAAAGAATCTCCATTATACTATATTGCTTGGGATAAAGTTGATGATCTTAAGAATAAATTCCCCGATCTTGATATTAATATTAACAAAAGAATTAATGATATTACACCACTTGATTGTGCAATTAAATATGGATTAGAGTTGTGCTTCAATTACTTGAAGAACAAAGGAGCTTGGTATTCCAAAAACTCAGATGAATATGCTGCCCAAAGCGATAATAAAAACATTTTTATGCGAATGATAGAAGATGGAAAATCATTTGATAACATGATTAGTACAGCATTACAATTTCATAATTATGAAATTGCTGAATACCTTCAAACAAATTTTGGGCAAAGTTTTGATTCAATAGCAGAAAGCATGTATTTCGGAAATTATGAAATTGCATCGTATTTATTCTCTAATGGTGCAGATGTTAACGAGATTTACATTTTGTTACTGTCCATATTTATAATTATTTTATAATATACTCTTTCTTTCAATATTTATCATTGTTTAATGAAATCCTTTTAATATTGATAACAGTCTTCTCGATATTGCAATCAAAGATTTTTCAATAGAATTTGTTGAATTATTAATTAGCCATGGCGTAGATGTCAACATAACAGTATTTCTCCTTTTTTTCAGATCTATAATTAACTTATTATCACATTCTTTTTTGAGTCATATATTTCATTATTTACTGCAATTCTATTTCTTAACATATCTATCTCTAACTTATAAAATCCATCTTCTTTCTATATCTATGATTATTTTATAACATTCAATTTCTTTTTATATCACTTGTTATTTCATTATATTTATTTTGTTTTGATATTTATTGTTTTTTTATTTCGTTCCATTTGTTATTTATGTCTATCAATGAATTTTTATATTCTTTTGACATTCATTCATGCCCTCTCACTACTGCAATCTTAAAGAACTCACTTGAAATTGTTAAAATATTAGTTGAAAATGGTGCAAATGTCAACAAGATACTTTTTCACTTTATTTCTATTTCAATCGTTATTTTATGGAATTTGCCATGGTTATATGGAATTCTTATTCTTTCCATATCTACCTATATATTATTCCATTCTTTTTGATTTCAGATCTATATTTGCTTTATGTAATTCTCTTTTTTTAAATATATACCATCTTATCATCGAATTCATCTAAAGGTAGTGCATGTCCCCTCACTTATGCAATCTTTAAAAAATCACTGGAAATTGTTACCTTCCTAGTTGAAAATGGTGCAGATGTTAACATGAGACTTATTCTCTTTAACTCAATTTCAATCATTATATTATGACAATCTCTTTCTATTCTTTTTTTTCATAGTTTTATAACATTCTCTTTCTTTTCATATTTATCTTTGTTTTATTACTTTCCCTTTCTTTTCATGACATCTTTCAATATTTTATTACATTAACTTTTTTTCCATTTTTATCTTTATATTATCATATTCATTTAAATTAGATATATATCTTACTTTCCTGGAATTATCTTTCCATTCATTCCTATCATTTTATTATCAGATTCTTTTTATGATAATCAATGCCCTCTTGCTTTTGCCATTCATATGCGCTCATTTGAAATTGTTGCATTCCTAGTTGAACATGGTGCAGATGTCAATGCGGAACTTTTACTCTTTCTTTTCATATCAATCACTGATATATATAATTCTGTTTCTTAACATGTTAATTATAGTTTTTTGATATTCTCTTAATATTCATATCTATTATTTAATTTTGAAGTTCTATTTCCATTCATATTTTTCAATTTTTTGTTATCTTCTCTTACCTTTAATATATATCATTATTTTATAGCATCATCTTTCTTTCCATATCTTTCATTAATTTATGATATTCTTTAACTTTTAAAATAAATCATTACATTTTAGTACCCTACTTTCCCAACATTTAGAATAAGGTTATTGCCCTAAAATTCAGTTATAGACACTTAGGAGAGCATTTAAACCATGATATTTTGGCATATGATAGAGAAACATCTTATAAACATTTTCAGTATGTTTTCCTATAAAATAACGATCTCACATGAAATTACTAAAATATCAAATTTTGATTTTCACTTTAAAGTTGGGAGAATACTCTACAGTGACAGGGTATACAATTTTAACCTTTGTTTTGATTATAAATAAAGTATTGATAGAGATATGAGTTGTACAGAATTATACACGTGTGTTTAATCAAATGTAAGTTGTGCAACAATAATGATTAGCTAGATAGTATATTAAGGAACTGTGATTTATGATCTAATTCAATAAGATGTAAATGATATTCAAATATATTAAATAAATGCGAATGTTCAAGATGTGAAATCGGTTAGTTAATTGTTGTATATAGATATTTTACTGTGATTAATGAATTTTTTAACAATTTAAAATTATCAAATTTCAAAATATGCGCAATGAGATAATTTGAGAGTATTTTGAGAACTGAAGACTTATGATTTAGTGTTTTTGAATAAGCACATCAATATAAAGATAGAAAATAAATTGAGATATAATTTTTTTGAAGGTATTATAAGGGTGGAGGTAGTAGGATAAATTTTTAATGTTCTATACTTTCATGGCAAATAATTAAATAGAAGTAAAACTTTGTTTTAAGAATTGAAAATTTTAAATAAAAAAGGAATGTTAGTAATGCTAATTTATTTGATTCCGGGGGACACCCCGGTTATCAAATATATTTATTAGAACGGAAAATCTCTCACTTTTCGAAAAAATCGAAACTGCAAGGATCTCCGATTCTCGATATGATAATTTATTTGATTCCGGGAGACACACCGGTTATCAAATATATTTATTAGAACGGAAAATCTCTCACTTTTCGAAATTTTTTTTAACAAAAATATGGCATTCTTAAATTATAGTTACATGTTATTTCACAATCATTATCATTAAAAAATTCAATTATTCAAGTTGTTTTGTCCCGACGGTTTTTACGGTTATAAAAATGGTTGCGAACTCAATCCATCAGCAAAATGTCGGTTGGGGTGCCCTTCTTGGCCTCCTGAGTACTCACCAAGATACCCCCAGCTCCCGCAAAACACCTCCCTTAGGTGAGCATTAACTGATGACATGAGTTAACAATTCTACAAAATCATCAAGCATGAAGGTTTATGATTTATAAATCAAAATCTCAGAAACTGCTTGACTTTGCAAGTTGCTGTCTTTACCGGTTACTCTGCTGCAATCTCTTTTCTGATTGCAGGCAGAGTTCTGCATCCTGAGGACATTGCCTTGCAGATATGCTTGTAATCACTACGTGAGCAACTTGGTGTTGCAAGTTGCTGTCTTTACCGGTTACTCTGCTGCAATCTCTTTTCTGATTGCAGGCAAAGTTCTGCATCCTGAGGATTGCCTTGCAGATATGCTTGTAATCACTACGTGAGCAACTTGGTGTTGCAAGTTGCTGTCTTTACCGGTTAGCTTTTTTTGAAGTTTCTTCGCATCTTATATAAGCTCTAGATCAATATTTATCATCAGAATTTGCATCTCATAAAGCACGATATTAATCAAATAGGCAAATTTCATTCGGAGTCTCTCATTAAATGAGAAACTCCGAATGAGATTTGCTCTAAGGTAATGTACTTGTTATGCTTGGCCTAGAAGCAAGGAGGAAACATGTATATGGTTTGTTTATACTGAAGTTATCTGGAATTCTCTCAATTGAGGATTCAAATCCAGATAACAGCAGTATAAGTTAATATTGTTGTGCACCTCAGGTTGTTTATAGGCCCGAGAACGAGAAAAGAATTTATGGTGTGAATTGGCTCGATATATACCTACGCTCTGTAAAAAATACGTTATATTTTCTTTCATATGAGAAAAATGTTTTTCTTTTTTATAATACTATGTGCTTTGTTACTTCATAAATTGTCTATTTTTCTTATTAAAACCTATTTTTTCCGTGTGATTCGGAATCTACGCATTCAAAAAATGCGTTTTCCGCTCTCAGAACGCGAAAATATGAACTACATGACGAGATAAATCGATTTATTATGTTCCTAAATATTCTCATTTTTCAATCTTGCTCAATACTCAAAAATAAGCAGACTCTCAAATAGAGAACATAAAATAACTCATATTTATCATATTAAAATTTTGAAAAAGTCTCCCGAAAAAATCATATTTCGAAAATTTCGAAAAAAATAAGTACATTTTTCGCCAAAGAAAAAAGAAAAATGTTTTTTTTTGAATTTTTGATGATAATATGCACTCCTGACGGTCGCAGTGTCTCATTCCGGGAGACATTGCCTGTGCATGTCTCCCAGAATGGCATACTGTTCCGCATTCATAACTTGAATGCGGAACTTTGACCGACAAGAGTGCATTGTGCACTCTTGTTGGTCTGCATGTGTCATTCCGGGAGACATTGCCTGTGCATGTCTCCCAGAATGGCATACTGTTCCGCATTCATAACTTGAATGCGGAACTTTGACCGACAAGAGTGCATTGTGCACTCTTGTTGGTCTGCATGTGTCATTCCGGGAGACATTGCCTGTGCATGTCTCCCAGAACGAGACAATTTATTGCAATCAGAATACGATTGCAAAACTTTGACCGACAAGAGTGCATTGTGCACTCTTGTTTGTCATCCACTATGATACTTAGAGAAAATACTTTACTTACATTATTTAAAATATTAATTTCCCTATTTAATATTTATTTATTATTTTTGTGCTTTATATTCCCTATGGCATGTACTGAACTATTTTATAGACTCTACCGAGCTATCTCCACATATAAACATTTGACAATAACACATATATACTCTCTTCATATTCTAGTCTCATGACATATTATTGCAAAAGCTATATTTATACAGCATACCTCATAAAGTCTCATTATATCCCTATCTAAGCGTTCAAAACCTATTTTCCCCACGTAATCTGATTCTTCAGGCTCCGCTGATTCGATTTCTGCTGTCAGATCGTGAAAATATGAATCACATAACAAGATAAACACAAATCCAAAATAATAATGTTTTCTTCAAATTGACTCTTCCACGATATTCATATATTTGTTATTAATTCCGTTTTCCCTTACAAATGTATTTAATTTTCTGAATAATACGTATTATAAAATGAATATCTCAAAAACTAAATTAAAAAATTAATACTGGGTAATAACTAGATATATTGTGACTTTTTGAATTCACACACTTTTGGAAAAAATTGAATTTTTCTAAAATGATGTTGTTTGAACATGAACTTAAAGAGTTTTTTTACGTAAAATATCAAGTTGGGTAACTTGTGTTTATCTTGTTATGTGATTCATATTTTCACGATCTGACAGCAGAAATCGAATCAGCGGAGCCTGAAGAATCAGATTACGTGGGGAAAATAGGTTTTGAACGCTTAGATAGGGATATAATGAGACTTTATGAGGTATGCTGTATAAATATAGCTTTTGCAATAATATGTCATGAGACTAGAATATGAAGAGAGTATATATGTGTTATTGTCAAATGTTTATATGTGGAGATAGCTCGGTAGAGTCTATAAAATAGTTCAGTACATGCCATAGGGAATATAAAGCACAAAAAATAATAAATAAATATTAAATAGGGAAATTAATATTTTAAATAATGTAAGTAAAGTATTTTCTCTAAGTATCATAGTGGATGACAAACAAGAGTGCACAATGCACTCTTGTCGGTCAAAGTTTTGCAATCGTATTCTGATTGCAATAAATTGTCTCGTTCTGGGAGACATGCACAGGCAATGTCTCCCGGAATGACACATGCAGACCAACAAGAGTGCACAATGCACTCTTGTCGGTCAAAGTTCCGCATTCAAGTTATGAATGCGGAACAGTATGCCATTCTGGGAGACATGCACAGGCAATGTCTCCCGGAATGACACATGCAGACCAACAAGAGTGCACAATGCACTCTTGTCGGTCAAAGTTCCGCATTCAAGTTATGAATGCGGAACAGTATGCCATTCTGGGAGACATGCACAGGCAATGTCTCCCGGAATGACACATGCAGACCAACAAGAGTGAACAATCCGCTTTCTCCTTTGAAATCCAACATTCTAATCACATCTACATTAATAAATTGTTATAAAATACTAATCAAAGATCCAATACAATTCTACTATCTTATTCACACATTACCAATGTTAATACCTCTTATAACTTAAATTATTTCATAAAATTTGTTTTTATATCTTATTATTTTCTCATAATGCTTCTAATACATCTCTAATTTCTTACATTCAAACACCAATATCGTCATACTATCATAAGCACTTAATTTTTTCAAAATTTTAGACTTAAATTTGAGCTACATTTTCATCATCATTTTTAGCCTTAAGCTTCTATAAGGTTATAATACATTATCGTAATATTCTAATATTTATGATTCTTACTACTCAATTCAATATAATCATATAAGTCACTCATAATCAGGAGCATAATTTAAAAATCTATAGCTCATATTTTGACAATTATATATATAGATGATGCATATTGCAATTCCGGTTTCAACACGATCAAATGTCAAACCATGATAAAATATATATCAATTTACAAAATATCGATTAACATTAGAATCCATATCTAATTCCATCAATGCACAAGTTGTAAATGCTTAATTCATCTTTGAGAAACGTGAATAGCACAATTTTATAAGATTATTTGTTGAATATTTAAAATATAAGCCAAATCGAATCTGCTGTATATTACTTTAGTTTATAATTGAATGTTAAATGTGCTCAGATAAATATTTGAGTCAGATATCGCATTTTCTAATTTCAAAATTTATCTCATGAAGTTAGAATTTATTTGATCATACAACATCATATTAGTCAAACTAGAGTTCAATCGCGATTCCAAAATGGAACAATTGCTTGTTTTATCAAAATGTTAAAATATTAATCTAAAAAACTTAATATCTAACCAAAACATTCTAGAAATATCATATATAGGTATATGCAATCTAAATGCACACGAAATACTGAAAATTAAAAAGAATATTTATGAGATTATTAAATCTTATGCATTTCAATGAAGAGTCGATAATTATCATCTATATAGGTTATATATCAACATATGAGTTTTTGGATTGACCACTACTATACTAATGTGATCAAATTAATCTGATTTCTTGAATTTTCATTTGAAGCATTCGCAGTAGTAGGAGTACCTTCATATATTAACATATTAAAAAATTGCGCCCAGATTCGCAGTTTAATCATGATTTTAAGATTGCATTAGATTTCGAAATGCAGAAAAAAATCACTTTAGATTCCCTTCAAACTCTAAGCATAAGCATGTCTCTATATGAGGAAACTATTTGAGCTATTCATTTGGCGGCCCAAAAACTCATGTTGCCTGAGCGCAGAAAATACCAATTTTTGGACCCTGGGTAGGGGGTCATGCATGTTTTCTAAATGTTGGAAAAGTAGGGTATTCTCTTTCTTTCAACATTAGTTATTATTTTCTGACGATCTATTTCTTTTCATATTTATTATTCATTTTTGACCTTCTTTTTCTTTAAATATACACCATTGTTTTATTACATTTGTTATAGTCTTTTGACATTCACTTTCTTTCCATTTATATCTTTGCTTTATAGTATTCTCTTTCTTTCTATATCTATTGTTGTTTTATGAAATTCAATTTCTTTCAACATCAATTATATTATCAAGTTTCCCTTTTATTGAAATTTACCATTCTTTAATGGCGTTATCTTTCCTTCCATATAATGCATTATATCATAGCATTCTTTTGATGTTAATGAATCCATCCTTTCATTTGCAATCAGAGATGGTACACCAGATATAGTCGAATTTCTGAGTAATCATGGTGCCAAAAGGTAAATTAAAGCTTCCATTTCATAGCACAACATTTTAATCAAGTCATATTTATTACCCGGCGACAAATTGTAACATACGACAAGAACTGCAATGACAATTTATTACAGAAAGAATAAATAACTTCTATATTAATTTTTTATTTGAGTTTTTACATCGCCATTCCTTAGTATTTTAAAATTCCATAAATATTTTTTAGAATCATAAAGTATACTTTCTGCCGTACACCCAAAAAAATCGTCCAAGTGATTTTAATAATATGGAATTATTTGTGCCATAAAGTAGGTGATTATTTAAAAAAAAATAAGTTCATTTTTAAACAAAAAAATATTTATATTTTTATTCCAAATTCTGCCAATTTTGTAAAGATTGCATTATTGAATTAGTCTTTGATTCATATTTCTGTGGCAATTCATTGTTTTCAGATTTTTCATTTTTTATTTGGACGAATTCCAAATCATTTTGCAAGTACTTTCTTGTTTTCGAAGCAGATTCTAAACCATTAAGTATTTTACCATGAATTTTCATCGAATCTTCCAAATACTTTGGCTTTTCATAATTTCCGATTTTTATGGTATCATTTTCTTCTTGATCTGCTTGAATATCCTCATCAACATCTTCTTCTTTAGTTAGCAATATCTGTTTGCTTTCTTCTAAGGCTTTAATATCATTTTGAAGGAATTTTATTTCTTCATCTTTTTCTAAATTTTGTTTTTCGAGTTTTCTCAGTTCAAGAAGTTTTTCTTCCATAGCAAGGTTCGCGTCAAACAAAGAAGATGTCATGGTGACTAATGCAGTTTGATCAAAAAGTGACAATTCGCTTTGAAGTTTGTCACTTTTCATATTTAATTCATTTACTTCTGTTCCTTTTTTCAAAGAAATTACTGGGAAATCAACAGTAGAATTCGTAATGTTTCGGACTTTGGAAGTACTTTGCATCAATAATTCGTAAATTTCGAAATACAATGACATTGATTTCAAATCATTTGTCAATTTTTCAACAAGTGAAGTGAAATTTTGTTCGTCAATTTTTTCTTTCACAAAATTCAAAGCAAATATCATTTTCTGACAAACCGTTTTTGAAGGTATTGTTCTTACTTCGTTTACCAAAATTAACAAACACTTGAAGTCATTATTTTCATCATTAAAATTCATTTCTTCAACGAAAGCCATGAAAAACATGAAATTCTTTGAAAATGCATCAACTAACGATGTAAAATCGAAATCATTAAATTCTTTCACAAGGGAATTATACTTTTGTGGAAGTTCCTTGATATCGTCCATCGATATCGTTCCGAACGATTGAAGATAACGTTCGAAAAATGTCAAAAGTGATCTGACAGAAAATTCTAAGGAAACGGTTTCGGTTGTTCTCAATTCCATTAACCGGGATATCTTATATCTTAGTTCAAAAAGAATAAGGCTGAGTGAAGTGATGGACAATGAATTTACACCGTTGGATAAATTTTGGATCATCAAAGGTGACAAAATATCAACGTTTTTTGCGAGATCGGCCAAATTTTGGAGGCAAAGCAAAGCGTTGCAAACATTTCTCACTTGTGCAACGTTCTCTTTGATTGAAGAAATGGCCATGATTTCATTTCCGATATAGTCTCTATTGAAATCACTCAAAACGTATCTAAAAACAAGACTTTTCTGAGAAATAATTTCAGAAAATTCAGTGTCATCTAAAATTGACGATAAAATTTGATATTTTCTTTTGATGTTTTGCAATGCAATTTGGCGGCCTTTTTCAAATGATACGCATGCTTTGACCATTTCGAAAACATCGAAAATTCTTCTGGAATCCGATATCGAAATAAAATCAGAAAAAATTGAAGAAGAACTTTCACAAATTTTTCTGAGACCATTCAAATCTTGATCATCTTTCACCGTTAGAAATTGTCTTTGATTCAAAATGAAGATAACGAATGAACCAAGTAATTTCAAGTCCAAATCGAAAGGATGGAAACCAATTGTCCTCAAAAAAGTTATCAAAGAATGAGATCTAACAGCCAAAGATCTCAAAGCCAAGATTGGATTTAACTGTGATTCAGTTACATCCATGATATCATAAATTGTATAAGTAATCATACTTAAATCAATTAGGTTCGTAACCCATAAATAACTATCAATTGCAACTCTTGGAACAATCGCTGTCAATGCTCTAGAAAATTCTCTTTCTTGAACAGCATTTGACATGTTTTGCTGATTGTTATATGATTTACGAACGTAATCAGATAATTGGGAAACAATAGATCTGATGTATTCTTTGATCTTGTGGCAGATCTCTTTTCCCAATGAGTTAATCATAGGATTAACATCGGAACTGGCCATATTTTGTTCAAATGTGTTAAATAAATCAATAATTCCTGGAAAATTCCATTCTTCTCTGCAATATTCGAAATAATATTGGGCAGTGAAGTTTCCAAATACTGGTAATGGTGTTCTTTCCATTTTAATCATGTCTTCGTCTTTTTTTTCTTTGGAAATCTCTTCAAATTTTAAATCTTCTGTTTCATTTTTTTCTTCTTCATTTTTTTCGTATTGGATTTCGTCAGCTCCGTGGCATTTCGCAAAAAAACTTCTGTAGTGCTCAGAATCTTTGTCTTGGTAATCACTGATCTCTACAGTTTTGTCACTTTTTTGAAATTTTTCATTTGTCACTTTTTCAACTTCTTTTTTTGGATTAAATTTTGAAGAATAACCTTGCATGAATCTAATGAATGCCAAGAGCATTGGTTTCTGTCTTACTATCTGCATCAATTTATCCAAATAACCCTTCATTTTTATCAACAAACTTGTGAGATCTTGTTCGCTATTCTGTCTCTGGAAAAATTTTACAAGAAAAGCAATTTCTAGACTGATATCTAATAGTTCTGCTGCTTGCATCGTCTTGCATTCAAGTGAAATTACCCTAGTACATATCGTTTCAAGCATAGATTTAACTTGCTGATTGATATTTTGGGAATAATTTAAAATTGTTTTTGAAATTTCCTTCAAAGTTATGAGATTTTTGGATTGATACTGGACGCTGAAGATACTATATATCTGACCAACATAGTTCATTGACTCATCCATGTGAACAGAAAGAGATTGGAAATCTATATTCAAAATGTTCAAAGAATTAACGAAATCACGAAGAGCAACTAAGCTATTCTGGCCATATTGCGATAATATGGTAACGATAAAGGATAAATGAGAGCAAACCGTCGCATTTGACAATCCCAAAATTTCAAGATCGTTAAAGAAAGCATAGACAGAGTAAATCTTGGATAAATCTTTAAGCATAGTCGAAACGAACTTAGTATTATCCAAATTAAAGTCTAATTCAAATAAAATATAAAATAATTTTGAGATGGAAACAATTTCTAGAGGTATCCTATTGGCGTCCAAGACCAATGATGCGACCTTGTCATGTAGATCCGATAAAATTGTTTTCGAAACTTGCTGACCATTTAATTTCTGATCAATCCAATATCGGAATATTGATTTGCTTAATTCATCTATCATATTAAATATTTCGGCAAACAAATTTATGAAATTGGCCGGTGAGATATTTTTTAGATCACGGACGTTTAAAATTTCACCGAAAGAAATTGAAGAAATTAGATTAGAATTTTGAGCGATCTTTTCTTCATGGTTTGGAGAATAATTAATTTGAGTGAACTCTTTGCCAATTTTGATAGGAATTAGATCAGAAATGTCTAAATATATTTCTGTCTTTCCAATTAATTGATTTGCTTCTAATACTAAAGTAGAAGCATTGAAAAGAACAGTTCCAATACAAATAAAGGCTTTGACTTTCGTTTCGAAGTCTTCACACATCTCAGGAGTCCATTTATCTGGAATTTCTCCACTTTCTTTTAATTTCAACAGACTTTCTTCAAGAGTATGCATTTCTGATACAAGAGATAATACTTCTGCTGAGTTTACAATAGTCTTCAGAAGCTTGTAAAAGGCTGTTAAGACTGATGAAAAATTAAAAACAATTTGTGAAAATAAATGTATTGTGTCTCTGAAAGTTCCTGGCTTAGGGAAGAACTTCGCGAAATATGACATCAATTTGTCAATAATATGAACAGAGTTTTCGAATTTATATTCTCGTTTCAAATTATCATTAAATACAACTTCAAAGTCTGCAATTAGTTCATCATGTGGCTGATCTGCTTGACTGTTAAGTTTGTTTCTCATTATTTCGATTATTTCAGCACATGTAATTTGCTTTTCTTGATTACTTGTTATTTCATGCTTGAAAGCAAGATTTATGATCTTTTTACTTGAACTGTCAATCACTCCACTCTTTTCTATGCGATATTCTTGAACATTTACTACTAATGAATTGAGTAAATTGAGAAAAACGTAAGAATTACGAAGTACATCGACAAACTTTATTAACTCAAGTAAGGATTCTTTGAAATCCTTTACATATTGCGAAGAATTTTCTGTGATTGAATCTAAATTATTTTCACGTAAGGCAAATAAAGGTAAATCATCGTTATCCAAGAAGTTAGGAGCAAGTGTAAGAGACATTGTTAAAATCAAAGTTGAATTTGTTAATTCTAACCATGTACACTCGGGCATAGTTAATTTATGCTTAGGAAAGTCTGATGAATTCTTAATTGCAATCTGAAGATTATGCTGAAATAGTCGCAATCCATTATCATAAAAATTATTGTTTGCCAATTCTGCTAATTTTAGAATTACATCACCCATATTATCAATGTATGCTAGTGTGTTTTTAGGTATAGATGTTGTGTTCACTTTTTTAATGTCTTGCACTAAATTTAAGATTTTAGTAATAGTTTCGTTCGGAAAAATCAATGGTGAAAGTGCATTATCACAGCATCCGATTGCTTGCGCTAGTTTATCTTGCACATCTAAGCATATGTCTAATAAACTACGTGGTTTAAGTGACTTATTTTCATCCATTCTTTTGATTCTTTTGAAATTCCGATATGCTAATTCAATTCAATACAATGATGATATCACTTTGGTGAATAAGGGAAGAAGCTGCAAATACCATACATGTTTGAATGGATTATACGCTAACTTAGTTCGTAATATATTAATTCAAAGTTGAAATTATATGACAAAATTATTATCCAGTGTGGAATACTATCTAATCATCTATTGTATAATAATATGGAGCCCAGATGTTCGGATTATGATGTCAATAGTGAGTTTCGCATTGCCTGCCGAGAGAGAATCTCTTTACAAAATCAGATTTTTTGATAATTTTTTTTGCCAAAAAAAATCAAAATTCAAATAGTGCATTGGATATCAAACCCACAGCGATTTCAAATATTCCTTGTAGGTTATTCGATAATTCTGTGCATTATTTTAGTTTCTTTCACTCATGCTCAGCCAAAAATTCCTTATCTAAATCAATTCATTCCTCAGATTTACATTTCTTTAGTTCCTGTATCATTTATGAATATAACACGAGCAGAAACAAGTTATAAAGTATGGGCACAATACATTGAAAAGTTTTTCCCGAATTCGTTATTTAGATTTGCATTTTGCAGAAAAGTCAATATTGGAAACGTACCAACAATACTTTCTTTAGTATGCAATGATGCCTACTTACATCCATTCCGTGCTGCAATGCAAGACTTTTATTATAATACCACTTTACCATGGTTTCTGCGAACTGCAGATGATGTTTTCATAAGTATTGACAATTTATACAAATTAATATATGATTTAGAGCAACTTTACGATCCGAAAAATGAAATTGTTGTTAAAGGACATACAATAAATCTTACTGATATTGATTTCTTCATTCATGGAGGATCAGGATGGCTATTATCCCGTGCTGCTGTTAAAGAATTGCTATTTAATGAAAAATACCTTCCATTTTCAATGACAATAAGCATTGCAGATGATATTTTAATCAATAAATATTGGAAACGATTAGGTGTTACTTATAATAGCTCATATTCAGACAAATTTGCAGGAAACGAAATTGTTCAGCACCAGAAGAATATAATGCCCAAATTGGACTTTAAGACATTATCTACTTGTCCAAATCAAGAAGATTTAATAGATCCGAGAAACATTGCAGTTTGGCATTCAGCTGATAATGAATTAGCCGTAATTCTTCATGGAGATAGATTCATAAAGGCTGCACCACCAGAAATTCGTGCTTATTTCAACGAAACTCGAATGTATTTTTGCAAAATTTAATAAATTTGTTTGTTTATATTTTTTTAATTCACAATAATCTTTTTTAAAAAGAGAACATAATATGGAAACATAAAGTATTCTAATCCTATCGAGATAAGTGGCAATAACTAAAAAAAAAATAATATTATACTTTATTTATTCTAAATAACAAGGAGATTTAAGAAATACAGTAAAATTCTTATGAAAATCTACTTCCAAGGAGGTAATTTCGGCGAATATTTGCTAATACAATAAAAACTGCTGAAAGAATTCCGAAAAAGATAATCATTTTGATTGCAAAGAAGTATCCAAGGCTATCTTGTGGGGTGCATGATGTATAGTTTCCTTTGCTGCTTTGAATATAACCTGTTTGATGACATTGTGGAATTTTTGAAAACTGGCTTCCTTTGCATGGCACGCACATATCTCCTTTAGTTAAATTTTCGAGTGAATATCCAGCTACAATTAAAAACAAGATTAGCATTTATTGATAAATTAGCACTTTTATCGTTCAGTATTTGTCAATGTAAATTATTTTCAGTTTACAAAACAGAAAAAAAATTATTAATAACGTGTAATTGAAGATGACTCAACCAGCAAAGACTGAATATACTGGTGACACTCTTCTTAAATACGATCCACCCGTCATTAATGAACTTACACAAACAAAGAAAATGAAAAAAGAGGCAGTTCCTGTTGCTGCAAATCCTCAACAATGGCTTGTAGACTTTCTTGATAAAATTTTCCCACCCAAGAAGTCAAATGATGGAACATTTGACTATATGCAACATGCAAGTACAGCTGCTGCATCACGTTCTGACATTATTGCGTTAGAAGAACAATTAGACTATTTATTAAAAGAAAAGAAAGCCAGAGCAACTGGAATATGTCCAATTAGAGCAGCGCTCTTTGATGATTGCTTCAACGAAGTTATCAGACAAGTTGCAGTTGATTGCACCGAAAGAGCTACGTTATTAATAGATATACGCGATGAAATACAAGAAACAATTAGCGGATATAGAAAACAATACGAATCTATTACAGCTCATGGAATTAGAGGAGCAATTCACCGTGAGCAAAATGAGAATAATTTAATTAAAGAAAACCAAAAATTAGAAGCAGATATCAAAGCTTTCGAAGATAGAATAGCAGATCTCAAGAAAAGAATGGCAGATGCAGAAGCAAATGATCAAGCTGATCAAAATGCAAAGAAGAAAGAGCATATGGATAAGTTAGCAGCATTACAGGCAGACAATGCAGCTCTTAGAAAGAAACTTGAAGACTTCCTTGTTTCACCTGTTGTTCTTGATGATAAACCACCACAGTCAAAGAAATAAATACCTTATTATTGCATGTTTCATTACAAACTTACTCATTTTTTCTTCAGAATTTTTCATTGCTCAAATTATAATAAAATAAAAATACAAAAAAATAAATATCGCAAATTCATTTTTTTCAAAAATCAACGATCATATCATTCTAAACGATATCTTATATCTATTCTCAGTATAATTTTCCAATACGAACATGATATTTATTTTTGAATATCATTTCCAGTAAAATTAATATTATTAATGAAAATGCAAATACACCAATACAGTAACATCAATCATGATCATACATGGCTTTCTGATATATTTGATAAATTGAGGAAATTATTTTTATTGTAATTTATATATATTCCATCCTTGAAAGTCTCTAAATACAAAATATTTTTTGATGATTCAATAATTTCGCGGATTTTAAATTGTGATAAATTAATTAAATTTGAAAATATGAATAAATTTAATGCTATAATGAGAACAATTATGCGCTACGTGTTTGGCAATCAAGAATAGTAAAAACTTGGAACTATCAGTCTTTAATGGTGGGAATTTAAACTTTTTATTTTTTTGAATAAAAAAGTTAGATTGATATCCGATTGACCAACTTTTAATTTAATAATAAATCCAATTATCAGATTATTACTTTAGTAATTTATCACCGAAATTTGACAAAATTTCAAAAGGCTCTGAAATTAATTTTACACCTCTTTTCAAAAGTTCTCACATCGGCTGAACAATAAGAATAATAGCGATTTTATATTTTATTTATGATCCAAATACTCTTTTCAAAATTGAATGTGATCCAAAAAATCAATCAAGTTTAGATATTTTGTCACGTTTTGAATACCAACCGTCTACTGACGGATCAAATTGTTTGACACTTCAAAATCATTATTGCAATGGATTGCAGGAATACTTCCGACATTAAAAAAGCAGCCGAGAAGATCTTATCCAAGCTATCTAAAAAGGAAGTTCAAGTTATTGAAGACTATTTTTCGATTTTATATAGCAATAAAAGATCAAGAGTGCAATTTAGCGCTGAAGAAGACAGCAAGTTGCGTGAGCTTGTCAAGTTACATGGATGCAAAGATTGGAAGATAATCTCCGAAAATATGGAGAACAGATCACCTCGCCAATGCAGAGATAGATGGTTCCATTATTTAAGTTCAGAGGTTAATAATAGGCCATTTACAGAAGATGAAGATAACCTACTCAGAAATTTATTTTCCCAATTTGGAAGTAAATGGGTAATAATGACCCACTACTTTGTTAACAGATCTGATACAAACTTGAAAAATCGCTGGATTGCTTTATTAAGAAAGGAAGCTAAAACCAAAAATTCAACAAGTATATCAGAATCTCCAGTCCAGGTATCTCCTGAGGAGTTTCCGATATCGGATGATTTTGGCTCTTTCTTGTTTTGAATCTAGAAGTTAATTACCTTGGATTTTATACAATAAGGTCAATAATACTATATATTATTTTAATAAACTCTATTTAGTTCAAACATCACTATTTTTAATGAAATAGTTTGGTCTGTAACAATTTTTCATTTTGGTTCGATGGAATTCGGAGAAAATCTTATATTATTTACTTAAAATGTTATTTTATGAGGATAAATTTGAATTTGTGATTATATACGATCAATAATTTATCCGTCTCGAAATGAAATGTTACAAATAACATTATTACTAATTCTAGTAAATGCTTTCACACGCTTATCATTATCTTCATACTTATTTTTATCAATATACACATCTTTAGTTTTCATATTCGACGATATACTTAGTTTTAAATGTTTCTCCAATATTTTTTGCATGGCGGAACGAAGCACATATTTTTCATTAAGCATAAGTCCCAAAGTACCTTGTCAGATTAATCAGCAATTTGAAAATCTTGATCAATTAATATAGGAAAAAAATTATGCGTGCAAACAACTTGCGTAATGAGTTTTTCATAACAAAATTGATTTTTGAAAGGGATGAGCAAAAATAAAATAATTTTTTTTTGTTACAATAATCATTTATGAATCCCCCGGAGGCACAGAATGACAAATTGATCGAATTGCTGATCAAGAAGTCAGAACAGTTCCTCCCAAATATTGCTTTATACTTTGAACGCGATGAACTTTTAATTCGAAAATCTAACCATCCAATTAAGAACAGTGCTAAACAATCAACACATAAAGATCCAGCGAAGTTATCACCAAAGTTCGATGCTTTTAATATCACACCGGCAAGAAATGTAAGAAAAGGCCAAGTCGTAAATAATTGGACTTTTATCCTTTCCGAATATCGCGCCAAAAACAGCAAAACATTTTTCATCTCAGGTAGAGAGCTCGAAGGCCTCGAGCGTGCTTTCTGGTTTATTTACCTTAACGGACAATTTTTCTTATATTATCCTGACTCGGGTACGATAGCCATCTGCTACTCATCAGGAACGATGACCATCAAAGGAAATGTTATTTCCTTCACAAATGAGGACAACCAACCGCATAAATTCATGGCAATTAGCAATCCAACGTTTCAAGGCTTTCATAATTTCATAACTGGCGCATTTTCCAACACATCTAAGATACCCTTTGAAGATTTCTTTAAATCATTTTTAGCAAAAGTTAATTATCCGAAAATTTCTGCTATTACAATTTCTTACTATCGATATATCTTCGAAAGTTCTATAATGTTGTATGGCTTTGTCCATGAATCTTGCAAGACAAGGACGCAAAACGAGAAATTGGCAAAAGCCTGGATTTCTGCCGTAGATACTAAAATTATTTCATTGCTTAAGGTTTGGTTCTTCACATACTTCAAAGAACATACCATTACTGACGCTTTCGATAAGAAGGATGTCTTTTTGTTTACAATTCTTCGAATTATTTTCATGAATGATCCAGAATTCGCAGCTTTTGCTAGTAAATACAAGGAAAATCATGATCCTATGCCATTTACAAACATTAGTTTGACAGAACTTGTAAATTATATCATTTTTATTGTATTCAGCTCTTCCATCTTTCAAAACATGACGGAAACAGACAGATCGATGATGACATTGAAGTTCATATTTGAAATCATACTCAATGATACAGAAATTCGCAAACATTACCAAGATACTTCTTTATTAGTTTATTTCATTGACAGATACGATGTTAAACCCGAACTCAACATGAGGATCCAACCCTCCATTTCCGAAGAAGAATGCCAAGCGTTTTTGGACGAAATTGTTGCAAATGTTGAATATTACATCAAACATTTCACAACAACACCCTTCCAACAGAACATCGAGGACTACAATACCTTTTCCAACCCTTCAACGCTCCGTTCACAGCAACTTTTCTCTACAAATGTTTATCGACCGAGAACAGATTCCGCCTTACTTCTCCAGCGTCCTCCAGACAGTGTTCTTGCCGATGCCCATATCTACGACAGCTTTCCCATTGCTGGTCCTCAGAGTTTGCCTGTTAAAAAGAAGCCATCAACATTTACTCCACTTGGAGACAATTCACAGACATCGAACTCTGATTCTGGACCACAGTCAGCTCCTGTTTCTGCATCTCCATTTGATTCTACTCCTGGCTCTCCGATTGTTCCTTTCGGACTTGCAACTCCTCCTTCCCTTTTAACTCCTCAACCAAAGGAATCAAAACCTGTAGAGATCTCTCCAATTGCTCACGACAATCCACCTGCTCCTTCCAGCTTCGACGACTTCTCTATCCCTCCTTCAATTGTTCCTTCAGAAGAAGACGACAAAGATGATGACGGCGTCGTCAAAATTCCTTCTGATTCTGACTCAGACAAACCTGTTGTTGACGAAAAACCAAAAGAAAAAGAACCAAAAGAAGACGAAAAACCTAAAGAAACAGAAAAGCCAAAAGAAAAAGACGAAGAGAAACCTAAAGAAACAGAAAAGCCAAAAGAAAAAGACGAAGAGAAACCTAAAGAAACAGAAAAGCCAAAAGAAAAAGACGAAGAGAAACCTAAACCAAAGGAAGAAGAAAAACCTAAAATTAAAGATGAAGAAAAACCGAAATTTTCGGAAATTCCGAAACCGAAAGAAGAAGAAAAACCGAAACCAAAGTTTGTTGAAGAAGAGAAACCAATTCCGAAATCTCCATCAAAGAAAGTTGGTTTCAAGTTAGATAATCCACAACAACAAACACCAGAAAAGAAGAAAATTGAAGAGAAGAAGAAGAGTTCAGATGATGATTCAGATGACGAATTCAAGTTGACATTGGATGACATCAAAATTGATTACAGTAAACAGTATCCACCACAGTTCTACTACAGACCAAACAGAAAGACATCAAGGCCACTGTTGAGAGGAAATTTAGTTAAACAGTGTATTTTAGATCAAAAGAGAGAAGAGTGGGAGAAAGAAAGAGCTGAAAAGAGAAAGAGGAAAGAAGAAGAAAAGAAAAAGAAGGAAGAAGAAGAAAAGAAAAAGAAGGAAGAAGAAGAAAAGAAAAAGAAGGAAGAAGAAAACAAACAGAAAGATGATGAAGAAAAAGAAGAAATTATTAAAATTGCTCCTCATCGTAATTACGATGGAACTGAAGAACCTCCAATGGAAAGCGATAATGATTCAGAATCGGATGTTACTATTCAAAATGCTTAATAAAACTTTTTTATTAATCTATTTCGTGATAAATTAATTCATTTTTAAATAAAAGATAATTTCTCTCCATAATTTTTGATTCATGTTATATTCATGATGTCAAACCTTGAGATTCTTTATAATATTCCATTTCCATTATTCTCCTATTGTATGTAAAGAAAATTGGTTTACGTTTCCCAAATTTTCCTACAGAATAAAGGTAATGAAATATAAAGAGAATCTCACATAACGTTTCATCAATTTTTCAATTTCATCATTTATATCATCGATTTTGGAAATCATCAATTGAAACACTTATCCTATCAATCATCATTAATTGAGTATGAACTTCAATGATATTTCTTTCAAGTTGTAATAAATTTGAATTAAGACAAACAGGAAGAATCGATATACAAAAATGATAATAACTAGTTAATAAAAGACGAAGAAAGAACAGGCAAGATCTAGTGAGGAGATTATCATTTTGGCTCTGTTAAATTCATTAACACTAAATTTTTATTACAATACAAAACACTAAATAAAACTATTTTTAATACATATATTCCTTTTTTTCGATAATTTGGACTTTTTGTCCAAGGAATTGGTTTGGAGGATATTCTTCACTGACATAAACAGTTACTCTATCAGAAAACAGTCCTTCTCCAGAGATGTGGTTGTATCCGTAGTAAGAAGCAGTTGTCAGTGATTTACAACCAGAGAAAATGTTTGGTTTGAACTCTTTCATTGAATTTGGAAGAACAACTGATTTCAGACTCGAACATCCCTCAAAAAGAGATTCCTCAAGTACAGAAACAGTTGCATTCTCCAAATTCGCCATCTTTAACGATGTACAATTGACAAAAGCCATTGGTCCAATGTAATTCACTGACATTGGAAGGGAAATCCTTGTTATTTCCGAACATTCGAAGGCTCTTGATCCTATTCTTGTTACATAGTTAAGGATCTTTACAACAGATGTCTTCGAATGCGAAAATGCACAAGAATTAATTTTGAAATACGATTTCGGAACAGTGAATGACTTATTCGTCAATGTAGGAGGATACATCACAAGGGAATGGTTCTTTTTATCATAAAGAACACCGTCTTCGTCTGTGAAAACTTTGTTGAATTTGGAAACTTCAAATTTTGATAATTCTTTACAATGAGAGAAAGCACCGAATTTAATGAGGTATACGTCCTGAGGAATGAACATTGATGTTATTGATGTATACGCGAAGGCTTCTTCGCCAACAATTCGAGTGTTTTCGGGAAGAATTATTGATTTCAAACTTTCGCAGCCGTAGAAGAATCTACTAGGGATAATCTTGGTGGGAAGGATGGTCATATTGATCCAGTTCATCTTCTTGCAACCAAAGAATATGGAATCTTGAATTTTTGAAAGAGTATAATTATTTTTCGAAGGAAGGAATGTAATATGCTCAACATTACTATTGTAGAAAGCATATTTATGGATAATAACAACTGATAGCTGGATTTGGACCTTTCTGACGTTAGTTTTTGCAAAAGAATATTTTCCAAGAGAATAAGTTGTTTTATGGATCCTAAATGTGTCTCTTACTTCATTTGGAGGGAAGAAAATAAGCTCATTTCCTTCTGGTTTGGTTGGATCAAGAAATGCAAGAACATTATCAATAACTACGTACATTGGAGAGTTGGATTTGATCACACTGAGTTTATTGTTAATCAATGCGCATTTTCCAATGTATAATGTTCCTTCTGGGACTGTAAACGTTTCGATTTTTGTATCTTCATATATGTAACTGAATAAATACTCTGTACATGGTGGCAATGTTAAGTTTATGAGGTTTGAACACTTTGCAAATGCATAAGATTCAACAGTAACTAATTTCGTATTTGTAAGGTTGATTTTGTTTAATTTAGTGCAATTATAGAACGTTTTCTCCATTATAAGAGTTAAATTTACAGGGAACTTGAAAGAATCGCTTATTTGAGTACTTTGGAAAGCAAATTTTCCAATTCCTTCAAGTTGTGGAGGTAAATATACATTTTCGAGTTGAAAACAATTCATAAATGTTCCATTTGGTAGATCGAAGAGATGCAATGCTGATATATTTGCTGTTTTCAGATGACTACAATTTGCAAAAACGAAATCGTTAAAAATTGTAACAGCACTGGGTATATGGATGGATGTTATTGATGAATTCGCGAAAGCTTGTGAATCAATAGCTCTCAAAGAATCCGGAAGTTTAACTTCTTTAAATTTCGAACCAGAAAAGGCATTAGAAGATATAATTCTTGTTTTATATATTGTTTTCTTGTACTTAAATAAAGAAGGAATAGTAATTTTATCATATTTGCATGGAAAAACGTAATTGATAGCAGCACTTTTGGTTTTCGGATCGAAGCGAACCGTAGCATTAAGCTTGGGAAGTGTGACATTCAATGAAAACTCCTTTTCGGGATTTTTTGAAATCACACTTCGCAAAAAAAAGACAAACATTAAAAATAATGATATCTTAATAATATAACATCGAATATTTAGCTTGTGTGATTATAATTAATAAAATAAATCACCAAAATCTGAAAAATTTCAATAAAATAATTTCGAATTTCAAAAATTATAGAATTTAAAGTGAAAATTTAATAATGCTAGAACATTTTAGGAATTTTTATTTTAATTTTGTCTTCCAGAATTATTAGCTAATTTACAAAAATTTTGTCAAAAGCTTCAAATTGAATTCAAAATAATCGACTCAATAAATGCTCTCCCTGAGGCTTCCTGACCGCATCGCCAAAGAGAGACCATACGGTGTTAAATCTTATGCAAAGCCTCGAAAGGCTTCAGAGAAAACAAGGCAAGAAGAATCAGACTTCCACGAAGAGATTAACGCCCAATTTAGACCAAAGGAATCAATTCATCAAAATGAAGCAGAATTAATGGAAGAATGTAATTTCGATGAAAACAGAACTATTACAGTCGTTGGAATTTTGAAAGATAAATTACAACCAATAATTGAATATTTTAACAATAATTCTGGAGAAAATCCGAAAATATTTGATACACCAGTAACAAAGAGAAACCTTAATTGGATATTTATAAAATTTAAATCAGATCCTAGAAAGATACCTTGCGTTAAACCATTGATCGAGATAGAAAAAAATTATTGCGTTGGCTGCTTTTACGGTATGTTCCGCGCAGAAATATTAGAAAATCACGAAAAGAAGGAATTACCTGTTTTTAGAGTTTGGAAAGATAATCAAAATCTTGCGAATGTTGCATGGGAACACAAAAATCTATGGATAAAAATCAGAGAATTTTTGTTAGGACAGGGTGAAATCAGAATTACAAGCCAACCTTCCGGAATTTGGTCTTTTGTTAATCGTTATTTTTAAAGATTATTAGAATAAAGCTATATAAATTATGTTTATCTGTAATAAAACTGCTAAATTATTTATTTTCGATATAAAGAATCTCTAAGAACAATTCAACTAAGGATATAGCAAAATTAACTATATCATAATTTGATCATAAATAAAATCGTTTTAAATTACTTCTTCATTTAAATTATAACAATTATTTTTGGTTTTATATTTTTTTGGATCAAATCCATTTTAATAGAATTTATATACTATTCATCTATTAGTAAACACTACCGTATATTATTTTTTAAGCTATCTTATTTTTTGAAATTTTATTCAAATCTTTGGTCGCAAGAAGAATTGCATGATAAATAAAAACATTTAATCAAAGTCAATTTTATTTTTCATATTCAAATGGACTGAGTGTTAACATTTAACATTTTTTGCTAATTGTCGTCAAAAATTAGGCGTAAAGCAAAAATTAATATTTCATATGGTTTTATGATAGATAAGCATTATATTCCCACTCATTATATTCGTAAATTTTGAGGTTTATCCTTCGCTTTTAAGATCATTGAATTTGATTTTTATATAAAATAGTTATATATTAGAAAATAATATGAGTTTATGTGATATTATTTTTCAGAAGATTTTGTGTTCTTCTTCAAAATTTTATTTTTTTATTAAAAAGAATCTTTACAAAATATACATTTACTTTAATTAATATTTAAAAACGTGCTCTATCAAAAGTTCCAAAAATTCAATATTTTAGCTTTTCTGAGGTGTCACTTTTGATGAATTTCTGTTTACAACAAAATTGCTGCCTTTAATAGTAATACATGAAATGAGATTAGGAATATTGTTACATCATTGGCAATTGATATTGATTATACAAATATTGGATGAAATCATGCATTGATGCACTACTCTCGTATTTTATGCTATTCTATTATGTTGTGAAATAAAAACCAAATTATTACCTCAAATACGCTTTATTATTGAGTATTTTACTACTAAATGCTTGTGTTAAACACATACACAATCAAATTTTCTCTAATATTTGGTTTTATACATGAGTGTTTTTGAATCAATGTTGTATTTGAGTGTATTGATGGCATTGTAGAGAAAATGATAGCCATTCTGTCAAAAATGATAATGATTACTTATGTTTGCCAATTTTTGTAGTTACAATCAAATGAATGTCTTTTATACTCATTTATGAGTGGCAACCCAGACATCATGCACGAATGTATGAGTTACAAACAACCCGATGAAAAGTGCATGGAATATGCGATCAAAACTCACAACATCAATTTCATTACTTATTTGAAGAATCAAAAAGGAATTGAAATTGATGGATTGTGCTGTGCAGAATTTAACAATCTTCAAGCATTCTTTTATTTTGTTGATGAAAAGCAAGATTTGAATTGCTGCTTGTCAATATCAGGCTGTTTTAACATTGTCAGTCTTTGCGAATTTTTCTGAAATCATGGAGCAGATATCAATGGATGCGACGGCAAAGGCTTCAGTTGCTTGCATTATGCATGTGAATATGGAAACAAAGAAGTCATGGAATTTCTTGTTAATAATGGTGCTGATGTTAATGCTCATAGTGATGACGGGGAAACTCCACTCATCAGAGCTACGAAGTTCTGCAGAAAATCTGTTGTTGAATTTCTGATTACTCATGGTGCAAAAGTTAATGAAGCTGATAAGAATGGAAATATTCCATTGCATTTTGCCTTCCAATGCTGCAACAAAGAAACTGCAATGCTTTTATTATCGAATGGAGCTGATGTCAATAAAACAGATAAAGATGGAACAACATGTCTCCATCTTGCATTGAGAAATAACAATAATATTGTTCAAACAGTTGAACAGCACAACGATGAAGTTATTTCTAAAGAAGAGTTTGATGCTGCGGAAGGAATAATTAAGGAATTCGTTGAATTACTAATCTCATATAGCGCTAATGTAAATGCAGCTGAAAATGACAGTGAAACACCATTGCATATCGCTTCTAGATTCAACTTCAAGCAGTTAGTTGAGTTACTTATTTCTTATGGAGCTGATGTCAATGCAGAATATAAGGATAAAAGAACTTCCTTGCATCTTGCCGCATCGAACAATCTCAGAGATGTTGCAGATATTTTAATTAACCATGGTGCAAATATTAATGCAATTGACGCTCGCGGAAAGACAACACTCCATTATGCTGTTTGGTTTGATAGCAAAGAAACAGTTGAGTTGTTGATTTCCAAAGGAGCAGATGTGAATGCAAAGAATGAAAAAGGAAAGGCTTTATTGCATTATGCAGCCACAAACAATCTCAAAGATATGGCTGAGTTACTTATTTCACATGGAGCAGATGTAAATGTTGAGGATGAAAATGGAAATAATCCACTTCATTACGCTTCTGCAAACAGCAAAGAAACAGCAGAAGTTCTCATTTTACATGGTGCAAATGTGAATGCAGTTGAAAAACGCGGAAAGACATCCCTTCATTATGCGGCCATGAACGGCAACCAAGAAATGGTTGAACTGCTTCTCTCCAATAATGTTGACATTAATGCTAAGGATGAGCACGGAAAAACGCCATTAGACGCAGCATTAGCAACCAATCAAGTCGATTTGGCCAAAGTCCTTCGTTCTCATGGAGGAAAAAGGTCAAAAGAACTATAACTTGCTGTTATAGAAAATTTTTTATAATGCGTTTTAACTTTATTATTAAAAATTTATACCCTATAATTTTATGAATATGGCACTTTTCGTCGATTTTCAAAGAATTAAATCGCTTCTATCTCAATAACTAATAAACATATAAGATTTTTGAAAGTATATATATAGTGTACTACATCTCAAGATATTATTAATATGTATTAGAAAGAATAATATATTGGATTTTGATATCACAAAATGACTTTTCAATTTATTGTAGTTCCTCACAGAGTTGAGATTCTACAAAATTCTTTGCAGATAATTTATGAAGGGATGATAGACTAACGAACTATAGATACATGAATTGAAAATAAAAAAATCGATTAAATATGAACCTTCATAAACCGTTTAAGAAACTTAAAAACTATTCTTTATTGTTTATTTTGGACGAAGTTTAATATGATTGTGGTTTTATTGGACAATAATCGAGTAACGGAAAAATATAACATTTATCTATAAAGTGAAAAATTAGAGGTATATTTCGTAAGATATTTCCTCTCTGATTACAAGAACTATTGTGAGCTATCAATCTAATGAAAGAGAGCAGATTTGGCCGTAATGAAAATGCAATACTTCGAAAATCAATGCAAAAAAGATTAATTTGTTAGAAACAATCGACTATGACACTGAATTCTAAGAGCAAACGTTTACATTAGGATATTTTGATCATTTCCAAATATTGCAAAATTGCATTTAAACAAGTTAAGGAGAATACTATATTAACCGTGTTGTAAGGAAATATAACAATTTTAAAGATTTTGCGACAGAATTTGAAAAGGTAACTAAACTCCTTTCGCCGATCCGATTTGCTCCATATTTAAAATATAGCTTGCATATGTAGAAGAAAAGCTAATTTTGAAGTACGCCCGAAATCCACCAACAGGATTTCGAGCTACTAAAAAGGTACTTTTAAATGTGATTTTTTTTATAAAAAATTAAATTTATTTTAAGATCAGACTAAAAACTAATTTTATGGAAAATCTATATCGACAAATTTATTACTTATTGGGTATATAGATTTTTTGATTATGGCGATTATGTCTGATATGCTTCCAATAAGCCAAAACACATTTCATACTGATTTCTATAAAAGGTATCTTTATTATAGAAGTGTAAGCTATATCTGTTTGTTTTTTTATTAGAACAAATTCAAAATTCTCTTATAAGGACTAGATGAAATCTGTATTATTAAATCATTAGCTAAATGAAGGTTCAAATAGAAAGTAAATATCAATTTATATGATACTGAAACCAAATAGTTCTTTTAATAAAAGATAACACGCTGAAAATTATTGAGTATTTGCAAATCTCAAAAATCTATTGGTGAATTTGGCTCAACTTTTAAAATTATAACATCCATATCAAATCATAAAAGCAGACAAAAATTAAAGCCAAACCTATCGGCCAATTTTTTTTTGATATTTTGATTTTTGAGGTATACTTTTAAAAGTGGATTTAAAGCACTTATGAAAAAACATTAACTTCTGTCGTTATGATTATTGATTTAGACAATAATGATTTTAATCTTTGATTATCAAAACACTAAAGTCATCTTTTTAACATTTGCTTGGTAGCATTAACTCAAGTCTAAAGTACTATTTTATGTGGCACTCTTAGAATTTTTGTATTCATTGTACACGCTGAAATAGTACCATTAAAGTTATGGCGGACTTTCAAAAAATAGTTTGGTCACCTTTGAATTTGAAAAAATATGAAAATCAGATATATAAAAATTGAATAAAATAACATTATGATGGAATATAAGTAGATGAGCTATTAATGCTGCTATGATTTAAAATTGAGTAGTAATGAAATAGAATTTCGATTAAAAAAATTAATGTAATCGTATGAAAGCTTTGATCCAAATAATTAATATTCGCAAATATTTTAACCTACTAATAAAATTCTGATTATATTAAGATATTTTAAAAATGAGATTCCAAATTGAATGGTGATGGAGATGAAAATTTTTAAAAATATAAATAAGAGGATAAATTGATTGAGATATTAACTAGTAAATATTTGAAAAAGTAAATTATTTGAAATCCTTTAAAAATGTTACGGATAAAAGCTATATAAATAAAATGACTGGTGTGGTTGGTTAGCTTAATGTGTAATATCAAAAAGAATTAATGGGTGTTGTGAAGTGAGCAACTTTGAGAAGAATCATTTGTGATTCTTGTCAAAGTTGAATCAAAGACAACAATTGATAGACAATTGTTGTCTTTGTGTACAACATTCACTTGAATTATAAACAATAACAAGTGTTTGTTGTTCACTGAGCAACTTTGATAAGAATCATTTGTGATTCTTGTCAAAGTTGAATCAAAGACAACAATTGATAGACAATGGTTGTCTATGTGTTCGATAAACACGTGTTATTTATGAATATACACGTGTTTGTTGTTCACTGAGCAACTTTTAAAAGAATCATTTTGTAATACTTTGAAACACAAAATAGCATATTATGCTTTTATTTATCTATATGTGTCATTTTGGGAGACATTGTCTATGCAAGTCTCCCAGAATGACACATTCATACACAATCTTCTTCTGATTGTGTATCTTTTGTCAACAAAGTGCAACAGTGCACTGTTATTGTGTGCTATGTGTCATTGTGGGAGACATTGTCTATGCAAGTCTCCCAGAATGACACATTCATACACAATCTTCTTCTGATTGTGTATCTTTTGTCAACAAAGTGCAACAGTGCACTGTTATTGTGTGCTATGTGTCATTGTGGGAGACATTGTCTATGCAAGTCTCCCAGAATGACACATTCATACACAATCTTCTTCTGATTGTGTATCTTTTGTCAACAAAGTGCAACAGTGCACTGTTATTGTGTGCTATGTGTCATTGTGGGAGACATTGTCTATGCAAGTCTCCCAGAATGACACATTCATACACAATCTTCTTCTGATTGTGTATCTTTTGTCAACAAAGTGCAACAGTGCACTGTTATTGTGTGCTATGTGTCATTGTGGGAGACATTGTCTATGCAAGTCTCCCAGAATGACACATTCATACACAATCTTCTTCTGATTGTGTATCTTTGTCAACAAAGTGCAACAGTGCACTGTTATTGTGTGCTATGTGTCATTGTGGGAGACATTGTCTATGCAAGTCTCCCAGAATGACACATTCATACACAATCTTCTTCTGATTGTGTATCTTTTGTCAACAAAGTGCAACAGTGCACTGTTATTGTGTGCTATGTGTCATTGTGGGAGACATTGTCTATGCAAGTCTCCCAGAATGACACATTCATACACAATCTTCAATTCTTGTTTTAATTTTGTCTCATATTAACTGAATATCTCTCTTCAACATATTTACTTCTAATACCCGACAATAACCTATCATAAAACCCCTAAAGCCACTTTTTCTTCTCTATTTACTTTTAAATTCTGAGATTCAAATTTTGTTCTATTTCATTCAGTTTTCTTTTATCAAAATCATATAACCATTCATACTGATTCTTAATTTACTATATTACATTGAGATTTCATCTTTTTTCATATTTCGAATTAAATCAGCTATTTAAACCTAATATCCGGACCTGTCAGTATTCAAATATTATTGGCCACATGTATCTGAGCATTTACACGGATTTTACCAATTTTGCAAAAAAAAAAACCATGAAAATGATAGAGTGGGTCATAAGGATCAGTTTTGCTATAGCTTGTCCGGCTTGAAATTCAATATTCATTCGGGAAAAGACGTTTCAAAATTTTGTAAAGTATTCAAATTTGCAGCTTTGTTCGATTTGAAAATTGAAATTTGAAACGAAATGACTGTATGAATATGTTCTTCATATTGAATCTAAGCATTTCTTGGAATTTGGAGTTTTTCTAAAAAGTTTTATCGGTTGAAAAATTAAAAATAAAACAAAAGAATTTTTTTCCGATTTTTTAAACGCATCTTAATTTTTAACGGACGAAGGAGTATTTGATCAAAGTTCAATAAGGCTATCACACTATATATAGTTTAGCTTGCAGCAAACAATAAAATTGGAATTTAATAACTTCATAAAGATTTGATAAAACCATTTTTGTGTAAATTAGTATTTAATAGGAAAATATGAAATTAGATTAGTCAAACATATAAATTGTTATTATATGAAATGATAACAATTGATAAAACATACAGATTGGAAGATTAGGTGAATTTTTGTGATGAATAGGTGTGTTTGTATGTAATGCCTCTATAGTATATTCATAATAAAAATTAGTATACTATAAAAACTTGATTTGAGAAGAAAATTAATGTGGAATAAGAAGATTGTAGAGAAACGTCTCATTCTGTGAGACAGTCACAAATAATATCTCCTTACCATATCAAATCCTTAAATTTTATATATGCTATTTTTTTAATCTTTTAAAAATTTCTCTTTAACTCTCTTCAAAGACTTTCTTTTATGTCAAAAATTTGTTTCACTTTGCCCCAACTCATATACTCTAAAAATAATAACAATAGCCAAATATATAAAATTAATTTTTAATTCATTAAAATTATATTTATTCAAAGTAAATCCTCATATAAACTTCTATGAACCATCCTCATCTGTTAATTCAATCAAGTATTCTAAGAAATTTGGGCAATTTTCTTCGAATAATTGGCTCTCATATGATAAATCTATTAATTCAATTTTGTCATGCATAAAATCATACTTTCCGAATATGCAATAGCATTTTTCAAGAGCCAACAATAAATCAATTTTAAATCTTAGACTGTTATTATTAAATGATTCAAGTAGTCCTTCCTCCAATAAAAAGTGGTACATTATTTGTTGATCGTTCTGTGAAAATTCGAAATTTAAGATACAATAGCAAATTATCTGAACGAAAAAATTTTTCTTGCTAGAATTGTAATCATTATAATTATCAATAATATTTGAAAAAAGACCGCTATAAAAGATAAAATCTTGATCGAAATGCGTAAAAACAATGAAAAGTATCTGATTGAAGAATTCTGGAACGCTTTGGTCTAGACACCACCATATGTAACGGTTAAGAGAGAACTGTTGATCTTGCATTATAAAGTCTACTAGTGAAATTTCGTTATTCATTAAAGAATACAATAATGTACCTATTTTCTTTTGTTTATTATGTGTTGATTTGTTTTGCCATTGAAAATAACATAGATATGTATCATCGGATTCTAATGCTAAAATTTTAAAGTCGTAATAAATAACAATCCGGGTAAAAACAAGGATATTTTCGTCAAATGCATCTATTTTGTCAACAGGAAATGGTATCTTGGAGACACAATCACCAATATCAATATTTTCAACATCTTGTTTATAAGATTTGATATTCATTAAAATTTGATATAAAAAAGTAAATTCATTGCTCAGAAAATTGAGAAAATTGAGAGTAACCGCCAAATAAGATTTTTAAAAATAAAGAACTAAGGGTACAGTACATATGAGAAGGAAGAATCCAAAATTTTATTTTTAAGGTTTTGCAAGAAATATTTTTATTAATAAACGGTAGAATAATAATAGGAATATCGATATTAAAAAAGAAATACATGAAATAAATAAAAATTTGATTCAACTTTGACAAGAATCACAAATGATTCTTCTCAAAGTTGCTCAGTGAACAACAAACACTTGTTATTGTTTATAATTCAAGTGAATGTTGTACACAAAGACAACAATTGTCTATCAATTGTTGTCTTTGATTCAACTTTGACAAGAATCACAAATGATTCTTTCAAAGTTGCTCAGTGAACAACAAACACTTGTTATTGTTTATAATTCAAGTGAATGTTGTACACAAAGACAACAATTGTCTATCAATTGTTGTCTTTGATTCAACTTTGACAAGAATCACAAATGATTCTTATCAAAGTTGCTCAGTGAACAACAAACACTTGTTATTGTTTATAATTCAAGTGAATGTTGTACACAAAGACAACAATTGTCTATCAATTGTTGTCTTTGATTCAACTGTATTAAAATTTTTAATTATATCTTTTAATTTATATTTATTTACGTTCACATTTCTTTTATATCCTTTATATTAATATAAAATTTCGGTTGATCTTCACTCTTTTTCACATATTTTTTCAATAAGATACCCAATTTTTGTATTTATTCTGATTAATATTTTTCACTGTTAATTTTATTGATATCTCAAACTATTTCAACATTTAGTTTTTTAAAAACTCTATTTTTTGTTCTCTCTCTCAATTTTCAAAAGTCATTAATTTTGCATTACTTTATTTAAAATATAATTAACATTGGATAAAAACATTTATTATAATGCCATTTTGGATCAATCGTATGATATTTCAAATCTTTTAAAATACACTCATTCATAACAAATAGTTGCCCTAGACATGTGCGTAACCTCTGTGTACGATATTCCAACACCTTACGACTGTATGCAAGTTTTTAATTATTGAATAAAAAAACAACAACATACCGTACTTCGAGTATAAAACATGTATACCCTAATAAAAACAAAAATTAGGACATATTTGATTTATGATTTCTTTTCACAAATCGAAATTTTGATCTCTCAATTTTAAACATTTTTCAAAAAAAAACTTATAAATATATTTCTTATTGTATAATATTGAAAAATAAATCATCATGGATGAATATTACTAGTACTTCAGAATTATTTATTTTTTCGATCTAAATATAGAAATAATATCTACTCTATATAAAAATAACAATTATTTAATTTTATTGAAATTTTTATTATTTGATTAATATATTTTATGTGATATCTTAAATAGCAATAAAAACTACACCACATAGTTATTCTAGGGTACCTTCATCTACTTCTAGAATTATAGGCTCTGGATTCGAATCTATGGTGCGCTATTGATAAAGTAAATTTCTCCATAGGCCCCCAAAAAATTGACAACCCAAGAATTATAGGGTATATATATTAGATTTGAAATGTTTTAATAGTAACCCATAATTATGTATATGGAAATATGATGAAAAACAATGATGTTTTATGTTTCGATGCTAATTTGAATGAGATGAAATATTTAATATGATTAATCTTTTGACTAATTAAGGGATGATAAATAAAAGTTGAATTATTTAAGAAATATTTAATTAAAGAAGTGAAAAAAAGGTTTAATATTAAATTTTTGTCTTTTAATTTTGTTTTTATAAAGATTATTAATTATTTATCAAAATAAAGATTTAAACTAGTTTAGTTTATTTTACTATTATCAAGCTTATGCCTCGTTCTTCTTGTCAGCAAGGAGTGGTTGTTCCTTGGATGGGTAAGTGAAGAATGGTAACTTGATGATTGCGTTGTACATGAGGGTAGATACGATGAGGATAGCGAAGCCAGCAAGCTCGAGCCAAGACCAGTTGCACCAGACTTCGCCGAATCCCCAGTTAGCCTTGTAGGCGATGAGCATGAAGATCCAGATAAGGAGTGTACGGGCAGCCTCAAGGATTGTACGGAAGATGGCGGAAGAGCCAGATGTGACGAGCATACCGAAAATGTTGTAAAGCATAACGGCGATGACGAAAATGAGGGAAACAAGAGCGATAGATCCAGAGTTGAATAACTGTTGGAATGAATCGAAGATGTTTTCAAGGGATTTGCCGAGTGGTGATGGATCTTGGCCTGGGCAGATGTAGGCGAATGGGCAGGCGATGACAACCATCATAAGAAGGCCCCAGATGCCTTCCCAGCCGACAATCTCGAGAGCTGGCATGTTAATGTCGCGGAGGATGAATTCTTCTGTAACAATCTGTCCGGCCTGAACTAACTGTGAGAGGATGACAAGGAAGCAACCAAGAACCTTCTGGCCAGCGGAAACTGGTGGAGCAGAGGAGGATTCGGAGGATGGGATGAAAACGCCAGCAACGCCAATCATAACTAAGGCAATGATTGTTGTTGTGATGGCAAACCACTCGTAGCCGTGGATGTGGCGCTTAAGGAAGATGATAGAGAGGATAGCAGAGAAGATAACCATGGAACCACGTAACATTTGGAAAACAGAAACGTTAATGTAGATAAGACCGAATGTCATTAATGTAGAAGCGAATAAGTCGAAAGCGGAAGGAACAGATGCCATAACTTTCTGGCGAATTGAAGATTTCGGACGTGGGCCCTTATTTTCTGGATCCCAGCATTTATTGATAAATACGGCGAATGCCATACCGAAGAACATTTGAATGGATTGCATGAATGGTTTATCAAAGTTGTGAACGATGCCCATATAACCTGGAGCATCGAGACCGAGCATAATCTTCATACAGACTGATGTAGCTGTACCAAGGATAAGCATGCCCGTAACGGCGAAAGCGTGCGAACCCATTTTTATTTTTTTACCCCTTTGGCCCCAAAGCTCTACGAAACCGCAGCTCTCAATTTTCATAAAGCGGTTTAGAGTTGTTCACATTTCGCATATAACTTTTGGTATTATATTTAGGTTTTCATGATTATTCTTATTTTTCGATTTGGGCTTGAATTAAACATAGGATTATTTTTTTCAAATCTAGTTATTAATGATTAACGAGCCATGAGCTACACAAATAACATCTGTTTCCAAAGACTGTAAACTACTAAAGCTTGATTATCCAAACTCTTTTGTCAACGAATAAAAATATGATGAAAATTAAATAATATAAACAATACATTTTTATATATCAACACCTGCAAAGCTGGCTAGCTGCTTGGAAGTGGCTATTCCTCCATGCAGATTCTTTACATCAAAATCAAATTTCTTTAGCATGGTAAGCATGTCTCTATCTCCTCTTTCTAGAGCTAATATGCATGCATTTGTCTTTTTCTGATATCTGAACTTCTTGAAAACTTGATTTGTCACTTCAGACATTTTAGATGGCGAAGCACCTTTTCCTATAAGCAATCTCAATGCAAATAGATTGGTCGGATGCATTGCAGCAGCTATAATAGGTGTTAATCCATCGCAATCAATCGAAGGATCAGCACCTCTCTTAATTAATTTCACTGCAATATTTGATTTCCCATGATAAAGTGCCCAGACCAAAGGAGTGAATTCCTTGTATTTCGAATTCAAACAATTAGTTGGGAATACCTCGAAATCATCAATTTTTGTGTGGCAAAGACAGAAGCATAATAATCCAGGCTCATCGACCTTTAATCCTTTCTCTACGAACACTTTAAACATATCACTTGTTATCTGCGATTTTTCTTTTCTTTCTAATAATCTTCTAAATATTACATTTGTCATCGTATTTCCTTTTTCATAGAATAATCTTACAACATCAGGTCTATTCGGCATGTCTGTAATCATATTGAAGAAGTCTTCTGATGTAACATTAGGAATTTTATTCAAAACCATTTGAATGACATCGATGTGAATTTTATCATTCAAATCATTCAAAACTTCTTTCTTTAAATTTGTTGATGCATTCAAGACATATCCAAATAAAAGAGATTCATATTCATTGGCGTAACGGAATAAATCAAAAGTTTCACAAGCTGTTTTTGTAATTAGATCAGAACTTTTGATTAACATAACAGCATCTAGATTTCTTACTTGCAACATTAATTTTGCGGCTAAAATTGATTGAATAGGATTCTTCTTAGTAATCATTAACTCAAGAAGTCTTATTGCAAATTTCAAATCAATTTCTCGAGCGTTTTTATCGTTAATGATTTGGAAAAGAGGAATATAAGCATCGAATTCAACAGAAGACGTAAAATCATTTTGTATGAGTTTGTAAGCAAGAGTAAATTCCCTTCTATCAATTGCTTCGAATAAAAACTTTGTATTTGTTTTGTAAGCAGCAGGAATTTGGAGATTATTTTCAATAACAAAACTGACATTCTCCAAAACACCTGTTTTACAAGCGAAACAAGCTGCTGGAGTTATTCCTTCTGCATTATATGGTTCCATTCCACCATTGTCTATCAAGTAATTCATAAATTTCTGCTTCCTTGTTTTGCAATCACTATAATTTTTAATGTCAGATTTTTTGCAATTTCTGAAATCCAAACCAGAACCAATAATAAACTTGCAAATTGTTTGTGATTTCAAATCACAAGCGAATTCGAAAGCATTCTGGTATGATTCCGCGTAGTTCTGAAGTTTAAGCATAAACTTCTTCATGATTTCCAATCCAATTGTTTTTGAAGTAATGAATTGTTTCGAATGCGAAATTTTGATGGCTGTGAATTTCGTAAGTTGCATTGTAAATGTTTCTACAGCATTGTATTTTGCAGCGAGAATTGCAACTTTCCATTCCTTTATTTTGAAGGTTTTCATCATTTCTTTGACAACTTTTGACATGTCATTTTTAATGGCAAATTCGAAAGGAGAAATTGATTCTTCGCTTGGAATTGATGTTGTATCTATTCCTTTTTGTGTTAATAAATACAATGCCATGTCCTGTTGTTTGCTCATTATGGCAGTCCAGAAAGGAGTTCTTCCATAATTGTCTTTGACATTTAAAGGAAAATTCATTTTCAACAAATACTCCAAAATTGGGATCTTTACTGAACAACAGACAGCAACTGTTGGAGGGTATGATGTGACATCTTTTGGACTTATCAGTTCCATAGATATAAGTAGCTTCACGGCGTTAAATGAACCACTTTTGGCGGCCACTGAAAGAACACTTTTCTTCTGATCATTTTCTAGATCAAGAAAAAAGCCAAAATCACGAAAGAAAGTCATAATTCTGGTTTGATCGTAACGTGCTGCTGTGCAAATTAGCTTGTATTTCTCGACTGATGTATTTTGGAAGAAACTGTTCGAAATTAAATAGTCCAATGTTTCGTAATGTCCATTCATCGTGGCAAGAGATGCACATGTATGACCATTATGGTCGAAATATATGTAACGATTATTTTGTGCAATTGCTTTAACGATTGATAAGTGTCCATAGTAAGAAGCGAGATGAAAAGGTAAATCTTTTTTTGTATCTTCACGAGTATAGCTGTATGTAGCATCGAATTGAGCGTAAAGTTCAATGTCGCCTGATGCTGCGGCGAAATGTGCTAGAGTATAGCCTCTTGAATCTACCAAGGCCAATTCGCAGACATCAACTAACATAATACACTTTCTCGCTTTTAAAAATATGGCTACACCAAGAATTGGTGGATTGTAAGCTAATATATCTGGTAATTTCGCTGAAGTTTCTCCTAAATTGTAATCAAAGTGCTTCATTGCTTTCCGAAAATTCTTGAATCGCTCTATATCATCATTTACTAGTACGTCTAAGATGAAATCACTCTGATCTTTTGTCAGAATAAAAGTTGGTTTCATCACATCCTCCGAATTCATGAAATTTGACTGAAAGAAGTATATTTTTAATACTGTATATAATAATGAAGGTACTTGTTATAAAATATAAGCAAAATAAGTCAAAAATAAAATTTATTATTTCAAGTTTTTGTGGTTTTATGAAAGATTTAACTATAATATCGTAATAAAGATAATGAAAATGCAATTTTTATCGAAAAATTAATAGTTTAGAATTTTATAACGTATTTTTCATAATTTTGACCTCAATGACTGAAAATTCTGCTTCTGAACCACCACCACTTGTCGAACCACAAGAGCATAAATTAACAGTAACTATTAAGTCTGTTGAAGGCCTCAATTTTGGAACAGAGCTTGGCAATCAACAAATTGCCGCTTCAATACTGTTCCCTGGACATCAACTTGATATGATGAGTCAACTTGTTCCGCCAGCACCAAAAATAACATTTGATTTCACAGAAACATTCGATATCAAGTTTTATCCAAATTCAACAATCAACGCTTTACTTCAAGCTCCATTAGAATTTTTCGTTTACGTTTGCACTCAGGATTTAAAGCGCACAAATCAAGTTGCTAAATTTACATTCGGATTCGATCAGCTTTTATACGTTACTTCATATACAGCCATTTTAGATGGTACTGTTCTTCCTGATGGAGCTCAGATTCTTCCCGCTGAAGGAATTAAGGCTTCCATTAACTTTGCATGGGATTCTCCGATTATTGAACCAGAAGATTTTGAACAAACATTAATTGCTTCATTGAATTTATCTCCAATTTCAGCTTTACCACAAGCAATTGTTAACTCGAACGCAACACCAAATAACTTCGGAACTCACATTTTCTCTTACATTCTTTGCGGAACATTACCAAATGGACAAGTAATCTTCATGGATAATGGTAAACTAAACGCAACAAATCCCGATGGATCTGATGCTCAAATTGTATTTCCAAATCCAATGAAGTTTTACGTTGGACCAGAAGATTTTGCAAAATGGAAGGAGACAGCAGAGAAAGAAGAGAACATTTCAGTATACCTTATCCCAGAGCTTACACCTATACTACAACCACTCGGTTTACTTCCTTCCCAATACGACAAATTATACGCTCGTGCTGAAATTCCATTCTCACAGTTCTCCAAGGCCGGCCGTTCCCATTTCCTCGGTCAAACTCAACTCTTTACCGATCCAAAGTACTCAGTTGAAGACCCTCCAATGCCAAATTCACTTCCAAACGGTTTTCCTGAAGAACCAGTTGATCCAACCGGCCGCAGAAAAGTTGTTGCTAAGAAGGGATTGCCATCATCACGTTCTTCAGCCAAAACCAAACAAGGAGCCAACACAACAGCGAGTACAAAGAAGGCAAAAGCTTTGTCAGCGAAAGATAAAAAGCTTCAGCAGACAATTCTCCAAATCTTCCAAGGAATTGGAGATTCCGATGTCTACAAAGACTCCGCCACACAAATTCGCATTGAGTTAGCTCTTTCAAGACCATTAGTTCCTCGTAGTGCAACACCAATCGAATCAAAACCTCCTGAAGAAGTTGTCAGACCATTACCAAAGATGCACGCGAACAAATTAGCCAATGCAACAAAAGAGTTCTGTCGCCAGGTTAATATCGCTATTACACAACTCAGCGAGAGCCAGAATCGCGATGAATTGAGGAAGATCATCAAAGAACAACTGAAACCATCCGTTGTCGAAGTTGTCCAACAAGTTTACCTCAATAAACCAGAACCTTCCGTCGAAGCATCGAAGAAGAACGAAGCAGAAGACAAACAGGAAGACAAAGAAAACAAAGAAGCTGAAATAGGAAATGCTTTTATTTCAGAATTGAGATCCTATTTGATATTACATCTCAACAAAGTTGTAAATCAAAGATTCAAACTCACATTCCCATCTTCTTCTTTGTCTCCTCCTGAAATGGACATTGATTGTCTCTCAAGGCGCATTGCTTCTCAAAAACTGTTTAAGACTGATGATTTGGGAGCTTTGCATCAAAAGAGATGTCAATTGGATCCATTAAATCCACAGTGGCCATATGAATACGCGCTTTATTTATCAGATATCAAAGACGAAAAAGCACTTGATAACTTTGCTCGCGCTATTTCAATTGATTACCACTTCAAGGCCGCAATTTTAGGTTTCTGTTCTCTTTTGGTCAAGAATGGAAACAAGAGTGATGCATTAGTACTTTTAGACATGCTCGGAAATGAGATGCCAACAGATCCAACAGTTACTGTTTGCCAGTCATTGGTTTACACTTTGTTGGAATCATCAAAATGCGATGAATTCCTCGCAAAGATTTCAAACATGGCACAGTCATTGAACAGATCTCCTTATTTGATTGCCGCTTCATCTTTGATCGATGTTCATGATACATTCGTCTCCGAAATGGCTCTTTCCAAGGAAAGAACACAAGGCCAGAGAACAAAGGAGTTATTGATTTTACTCGCCAAGTTCTCACAGTTGACAGGAGATCCACAACGCGCTCAAGAATATCTCAAAGAAGCAATCGAAATGGATCAAGAAGATCTTTCAGTTTGGAAGATGTTAGGAGAATTCCAATTCGAATCAGGAATGTTCGATAAGGCTAAAGCATCTTTCACATCTCTCTTGACTTTGTCTGATGATCCTGACCCTGCTTCATGCTTGAAACTCGCTTTAATCAAGGTCAAAGATAGTGAATACGCTGCCGCTTACGATTTATTGATGTTCACTGTCCAGAAACTTGATGACGTTCTTGCATGGCTTGCTCTCGGTGTTTGCTGCTTCAGAATGGAAGAATACACTGAAGCAGACAGTTGCTTTGTCAGGGCAAGTGAATTAGATAGATGGAATGCAGTCACATGGGGTTATTGCACTTTGTTATGCTTCAAGACTGGTGACCATGTCAAAGCTTGCCAGGCATTGATTTATACATGGGCTCTTGGTATCAAAGATAGGAGACTTATTGATGAAATCATTGTTGAAGCTGAAAAAGCTCAAATTGGAGAAAAAGCAAAGGAAATATTAGCCCAAATGAAGCAGGTTAAGGAAGAAGATTGCTATCCTCCATTCGAGAACCAAAGCAATTAACTCTAATGATTTTTATTATTATTTGGTTTTATTATTATATTTGATAATTTGAAATTAAAAAATGATTAATTTTTTTGTGTTTTTCCAAATACATATTAGTTTTTATATAATGTTTTTAAATGTTAACTTTATCACATCTTTTCACTAAAAAACACAAAATTAACATTTTTTTCAGTAAAATTTTCTGAAGAAATATGAAAGTCTGTCATAGCTTTCAATGATCAGCTCAATTTTAATCGGACCTTAAAATCGAGAATTGAAAAATCTTGACTGATTTTTTTCACGTAATTGAATTGACAAATCGAAAAAAAGTCAAAATTTTGTTTCAAGTTACTTTTTGAGAGATGATTTAACATGTAATGTGAGCATTAAAAATTTCTAATAATATTTTTATTTCCGCCGATTTTTTTTTCACGAGTAATTGAATACTTGTTTTAATTTTCGTGATGCATCCCAAGAGATATATTCTTGAGGAGGGCACAGAAAATGAAAGAATCATAGAGTGATCTGCAAATGGACTACCGATCACTGGATTTCAAAGAAAAAGACAACGCAACATTGCTATCACAATGCTAATATATCAAAATATTCTGAAACAAAAAGTCCAGCCAGACTACGTTGTAGTCCCACCTGAAATAATAAAAATTAAAGAAAATATGACTACAGATACAAATAACTTAGTTTCTCAATCGATGGTTACAGATGCATTATTTGATACATGGAAAAGATCGTGGGCTGTCGAACTAAAGCCACCTAAGCTAATTTTCAAAAAGGAATTCACAATCCCAGATTTAACAATAAATATTTAAATTTGTTCGAATAAAATTAATTACGATATTAAACATTCCAATGTTTTTTACAAAGCCAGATTTTTCATCATTGAAATCTTTAATTTATAATTAGAATTTTTTATACCTCATGTTCGGCATATAGATATGTTTATATAGGACATGAAAGCTATCAATCTACATATATCTAAAGGTCAAGAAAATTTGACTTCTTCTTTTTTTTTGAGCAAAAGGCAAAAATGATATGATTAATACCTAGGTATTTTGTATTCTCATGTTCGGCAGATAGATATATTTACACAAGGCATGAAAGCCATCAATCTATATATCCAAAGGTCAAGAAAATTTGACTTCTTCTTTTTTCGAGCAATAGGCAAAAATGAAGCGATAAAAAAAGTTTATCAAGATTTTTCAATTTAGAATAAAGTTGCTAGCATATCTGTTTTTATCGCAAAGCTACATCCTTAATAAAAATTAATTTAATTCTTTACAATTATAGTTTTTACTAGTATTATCTGAGAAATCTAAATTAAAAAAAAAGCAATTTGGCTAAGCCAAAAGCTCACGATTAATACAATGGTTAATAAAATGTTTCTGATACTCGGAATCTGCAAGATCAAGTGGTCTCCATCCATTTTCATCAACAGCTTTCCAATCACAACCTGATGAGATCAAAAAGTCTATGACAGCACTAGATCCATATGATACAGCCATATGTAATGGAGTTGACCATTCATTCTCGTTGAATTTTACATTAAATCCTTGAGAAATAAAGTAAATTAAAGCTAATAAGTTGTCTTTCATGACGCTCGAATAAAATGTTGATGCAGCTATGCCGTTTACTGTTAGCCAGTTGAAAATTTCATTTCTATGATATTCAACGGCTGTATTAATTGAATCTGAAAAATCTAAACCGGCTTGCATGCAAAGTCGAATAATTTCGTAGTTACCGCCCATTATTGCATATTTTGGAAGATCGAGTGGTAGCGTTGCTGATGAAGCAATGAGATATTTAAATATCGAAACAGATCCGTACAAAGCGGCAAGGTTAAAGATATAAACTGGCTTTTCTATGAGATACTCAAATGGTGAGTATAAAGTAATGCAAGTGCAATTGTCTAGTTCAGCTATTTTCACAATAAATTTGTCAGATTCATCAAATTTTATGATATATCCTAATGAACCTACATCCCATCCGAATTCGATGCAATTTCTAAGTATCTCGAAATCATTTGCGCTGTACTTTTCATAATTTTGTAAAACCTCTTGAAAACGATCATCATGGTAATGAGTTCTAGCTTTAATGTAATCGTCAAAGTACTTTATATAAGGAGTAAAATATAGAGCGTAAGCTAATGTACGGTTAGAAAGATGTTTGTGGAAATTGACAATAAATTCTTCAGAAACAATTCCATCTTGGAAGCATTGATTCAATAAAACGATATCTTGATTAAATATTGGACGCTCAGGCTCGAAAATATGAGAAATTATGTTTGCATTTGGCAATTTATCTGAAATATGTTTGATGAGTTTTGAGAAACAAGCTGTAGAAAATGGTCTAACTCTATGAATTGTCTTGATTTCTGTGCATAATTCGTAGAGTATATCCTGATCTTCAACAAAATTTGATTCTAATATGCTGTCAGCAGTGTTATCCACGTTATTTGGACTGAGATTACTTAAGAAGTCTTGAAGTTCGATTTGTTTTTCTGCGTTTATTGGAATATCAACATCATCAAATTGCACTGACATTAGAATGTTTCTTTTACTTCAAATTTTTATTGAAAAAGTATTTTTCTTTATTTTTATCAGTATAATATGTTAGATCATAATTAATACGAATTAAAAACGATGAAAATTTTTTATCCTCAGAATTATTTGAATAAAAATTGCCAAAGATAGTAAATTTCGATAAATTTAAATATTCAAAGGATAACTAGTAAATTTAGTTTTGGATGAATCTATGAAAACCGCTCGCACTCAAAAAAGCGGCTCTATTTAAATTCCAAAATAATTCTATAAATTATAATTAATATAATGGTATTAAATTAATTTTCAGAAGAAATAGATATCCTATCAAATTTCAAAGAATATTGAATTCGATTTTCTTTCACAAAGGTTATTGACATGTTTTCTTGCTTAATGTTTTTTTTTTAACCTCGAGAATTGTGTCATGAGAAAATGAATTACGATTCTTGCCTGTTTTCGCATCTATTAGTTTAATAATGGACTTGAATATCATAGGATTTATCAGTCGTTTTTCCTAAAAGCCTCGAAATTACGGATGAAAAAAAATGAAATTATTTTGCAATAAAGCCACAAAAGGAATATTTACCTGTTCATAATTAATTATTTGAAGCATTTTTATGTCATTTCTCCATTTATCCCAAAACAAATTTAATTTGAACGCATATATTCCATATACACATAAATCAATCATCATATCTATGCTTAATAGCAATGGATATAAATTTGGAAATAATGATTCCATGAAAGCGCAATTTGACCAAATGTCTGAATAAATTCATTCAATTACACTGAAATGGAGGAAAATTTTGCTAATGTTCTAAATTTTTGTATTCATTGATGACTATGTGGTGTATATTTCTTTGCGTTGTTAAATTCTCCGTTTGTTATCAGCTCATTAATTTTTCCAACATCTAAATGATACCGATACCTTGAATTTTACAGCAATGGTAGTGAATCTTTTTGCTAACAAATGATGTGAAAGATATAATTCAAGCGTAAATATGAAATTGAATAATGTATCACAAATTTGAGTAATATTCAAAATAAAATTGATCTGCAAAAATTGTTTTTTATATAGCGCTCATAAAATAGAGCATAATTTTAAGATTTGATTTTTCTCGTAATTCAAAGCAAGTTTATTATTCTCGTTACAAGCTTTAAATTTTATGAATGATCCTAAATTAAATCATTTCAATGAGTGGCCACATTGAGTTTTTGTGATAGAGTAAATTAAAATATGAGTCCTTTAGTGTGAAATAGTATGTAATTTTGATGAATTTTTCGCCGTCATAATTAAATAATCAATAAAAATTCTAAGTCTTTAAGCGATAAAAGTGACATGATTTTATTGATTTAACATGGCAAGCACCCAGCCACCACCACAATTCCATGTGATGCAGTATATAATCTCTTCAATAGACTCCCCAGAGATAGATATTGAGCCAATTCGTGGACGTTTGGCATCAGGACTTGATGAATGTCCTCCTGACGATAGATGCTTGTCCTGGCTCATTGTATTAGGCGTATACTCAAGCAGTCCAGCAGATTGGCCAAGAAAATTACATCAACTTAAGCAAGAATATAACGGATACATAAATGATTTGAAAGTTGCAGATTGGCACACCAAAGATATACCCACTGTTATTCCATACGATGCAGATTTAGGATTAGCCAATAAAGCTACAATGCTTTTAATTCACGAAGATATCATACGTACAAGTCGTAGTATTTTCTGTCTACCACCATTAAGTGTTTCCCCTCCTGAAGGTGAGCAGAATGATGACATCTATTTTCTATATAGTTTCCATTTTAGAAAGATGGAAAGGATTTTATATACTTTTGCAATGTTGAACCCATTTATTGGTTATATGCAAGGTTTCAATGAACTTATACAACCAATGTATTACGTTCTCGTTCAAGCTCTTGAATTATTTAATTTTGACTATCATACGATTGAAGTTCTTTGCTTCAATATGTTTCTCAAGTTAATGATGAACACCAATCTTGTTTCATTTTTCCGTACATCAAGCAATGCTGGCACTTTAGCTCAACTTTCAGTTTTCACAGCTCTTTTGAACAAATACCAGCCGGATGCTGCTAGTGTCATAGAGAAGCTCAATATTCATACAGCGTTCTACGGATTTCGTTGGTTTGCCTTACTTTATTCACAAGAATTTCCTTTGCCAGATGTCATATGGATCTGGGATGCCATTTTAAGTCATTTTGACAAGGTTACAGACTACGCATTCTACATTGGCCTTGGAATTATTGATCAAATGAAAAATAGAATTATGAAATCTGATTTTGCTTCTTGCATAGCCATGTTCCAGAACCTGAACGCGCAAGATGTCAAGAAATCCATCATTTATGCTAACAAATTATGGAAAAATTACAAATCAGATAAAAAGCGTTTATTTATTCAATAAAAAACACAAAATTGATAGCACGTATGCTACTGATTAAGCGTACTTACATCAAATCCCTCGCTATCAAATTGTTCGGAACATAAATCGAAAATCCTCCTCGTAAACCAAAGGCATGGATTGGTTCCAGGTGCCTTTGTGTTAGTTACATGCTTAAGGATCTGCTCGTAATCATTCTTTATCAATTCAATGAACTCTTTCATTGAATCAACTACATCTTGAGGTTTTGGTCTCGCGATCATGATTTTACTCGGAGGAGGAATGATCAAATTGTTTAGAAACTCTTTAAACTCGTCAATAAATGGATCTATCTCTGTTTTCTTACTTAAATTAAAAAGTGATAAAATTGGCTGCAGTTTCTTCTTGTCCTCGAATTGTGTAAAGAAGGGACCAAGAGAGCGCAGGAAAAAGAACCCTGTTACAGCATAATAGGGACTATCTCCCTCTGGGAATTTTCTTTTTGCTTCTAAATATAATAATTTACATATCCATTTAAGTGTTCCTGGTATAACTAGTGTTTTTACTTGGTCTATGAAACACCTCAAGACTTCTTCCGGTGTTTGAGCGTCTTTTAGAGAAATTGTGAGATATTCGTAAAAATTTTCAAAGAAATGTGGAGCAACAATCTCTCTGACAGCTCCTAATGAGTTGGTAAGTAATGAATCACTGCGCATGATCTCTTGCGGCTTCATTTCTTGCATGAAATACAAAGCTATCAAAGAATTTATGTAAAAATTGACGGTTAATCTGTCTGCAAATGCATTGACTAAAGCTGTAGCAAATTTACGTTTTGATGTGTATTCTAATGGTGCATAAATCATTATTCTTAAAGATTCACAATCAAATTGTTCGAAAAGATTCGTAATTCCCTCAACAAGGATCTTAAAAATCGGTATTTCACTCTTTATGATATGAATGTTCCTAACAAAATGAACGAAAGCGTTAATCGGAGTTGGAGAAAGAAAATCAAGAATAAGTTGAAATAATTCTGGTATTGGTTCTGGTATGTATAATGAGAGAGTGCTGCCATCTACAAAATGGACACAAAATTCTGTATCTTTGACACGAATAATTGAATAAACGGGTTGTCCATACCGAGTCTCTTCTTGTGTCTCAGGGTTATAGTGATATAAGAAAATTGGACTCGAACTTTCACCTTCCTCATGAATAAATAAGTAAAATATACAATTCTTTGATTTCTTAATAGTTTTTGCTTCGATGAGTAACATTGGTGGGCATTTATGTTGTAAAACTGGATGTACGCTGCATAATCTTGCAAAAACAAATTCAACTGGAATATTCTTTAAATACGGCCAAACTTCATAGAGTTCTTTCTTAGAATTTTCGAAAATAGTAAATGGATCCTGAAATGCTTTAAATTTATCCGGGTATAATACTTCGGAAAGTGATTTAAATGCCTTTTCGGTATCCATTCTTTTTTTCTGTTTATGTTTTGAATTTTTTTCAGATAAAAAAGTGTCAGATTGATGATTTTATATTGACCAACATGATTTTTGTAATCGGAGTATCGATTCATATTGCCTATTCCTAAATTGATTTAAATTCTCCATTTATTTCATTGTACAATAAATTTCTTGGCTCAATAAATTTGATCATTCTTATGTGTTTGAATTCTTTAATTATATAACATATGTTTTAACACTTTATTTGGAAATCTATTGTTTTGATACTTCGTGGAACGACCATTGTTACAATATATATGGACTTAGAAGAATAGAGCACTTCTTTATCTCGCAGTAATATTTGGAGCAAGAAAAATTGAGAACACATTCATTTCATGATAAAAGAATGCTCTAAAAATTATAGGATATCATAATTTAAATGGAGCAGCATGTCAAGTGTTTGCAAGTGCTCCTTGAAGAGCGTACTTTCCATTTTCTGACATACTCTCAATTCAAAATTATGATCCAATCAAAATGTATAAAGGAATAACCGAAATAATTGTTGGAAACCTTATAATCCAAGTTCACTCAATGATAAATCGTATCATATAAATTGGAGAGTGTCAAGTGTTTGTAAGTGCATCTAAACATGTTTAAATAAACAAATATCATAAACATTGAGAGAATATTCTATAGACAAATGATTATAATAAATAAAACAATTCTCATAAACATTGAGAGGAAATCAAGTGTTTGCAAGTTCATCCATAAACAATTCATTAATAAATAAAACAGTTTAAATAAACAAATCATATAAAATAAATCTATAATTGTTTTCATTTGAAAATAAATCTCCAAACAACAATTAAAACTAAAATCAAATTAATAATGAACATAAGTCTGTTTCCCTTATGTATGTCATGTATTCTTTGTTCCAAGTGTGTGAATTTCTCTATCATTGCCTGGTGTTCGTCCAAAACTTGGTCCAAAAGTCTTCCTGATTCATCAACATGTTCGGCCAATTCGCTGTTTGCTTTTTCGATTTCTTTCAGTGTTTTCTTGACAACAGACACTCTCTGCTCAACATTCTCTGACTTGTCAACAGCTGTGTCCAGTCTCTTCATGTGTCTGTCAATGGAATTCTCTGCTTCTCTAACAAGCCACGATGGTCCTTCGTTGTGAGTTTTTACGATGCTCAATGCGTCGTTGAAGGCTTGTTCGAGGGTGGAGATACTCGGATCAGCATACATTGTTGTGATTCGTTTGATTCCAGCCCTGAAAGAGAGAGGAGACTGAGTTGGAGGAAGCATATTGCAGTATTTGCAAAAAACTAGGAAATCACAGGTAGATGGAGTGATACAGTTAACGAGATGTCTAAGTGTGAACATATCGCAAGCTCCTACTGGCAATCCGTGCATTTTTTGGAAGATTTTGATTCCATTTAGTAAATTTTCTTCGGCATTTGCACCATTTGATATGATATTAAGCTTGGCGAGGGTTGTTCGTATGAATGACATTGTATCCATTAGAGATTGGTACATTTCGGCTGAAATAACTCCGTTTGGTAATTGACTATCGGGAAAACAGAATCTTCTGCAGTTGTTTATCATCCATTTCATCTCAGAAATGGCAAACAATCGCTGTGTATCGTTAGATGATGTAACAACTTGCGCTAAAGCTTGAACTGCTTGTAATGACTGTTTTTGAGCGGCTGTTGTAGGAAAATCGAAGCCGAAAAAGTGAAAAGCGAAGTAGAGATTCTTGAATATTGCTTGTAATGCCATTGCAAGAGGAGGATGTAAATTAAATTTTTCGAAGAAAGTTTCTGAGATTTTTGAAAACTGTTGTTGCTCGGAAAATACAGATTGTGATATGGTAGGTATAATGCCAAGTCGATAAAAGGCTGCTAAAGTATGATAGCGAAATTCATTTGGCTGCCATTGATTATTTAATACTTGAACGCAAGGACTTGTTGCATCAAACTGAAGAAATCGATCTCCTGGTATATAAAATGTTGTTTTTGCATCAATCGAAGTTATTTCAAATATTGTCGGAATTGGAAAAGTAAATGGATAATTGCAAACTGTTCTGTATAATTCTGATGAATATCCATTGGTTTTTGTTAAAACAACAGTCATTGGAGCAGTTAATCGATCCAATGAATCAACAATTGCCCAAAGAGTTGAATTTTGAATAGAAACAGTAGTAGGTTCTATAAAGGCAACATCTTTTGCGAAATAATATTTATTATCTGGACAATATTCTGGAAGATATAACTCGTATGCTTGCACTGACATATTTTGAGAATTTAATATCAATTATATGATATAAATAATGTATCTTCTAAAACTAATGATATGTTGTCTAATCTGGGTGAAATTGGCTGAATTATAAAATTTATTTTATCTTTATCTATATTCATTGGTTAATTGATGCATTTGCAGAATAACAAAAAATAAGCATCTTCCACTATATTTCACATAAAGTCTAGTGAAAAAAATTCGCAATCTCTATAAATTTCATAAATTTATATGAATGAACACGTACCTAGATCTATTTTTGAATAGTTGTGTAGGTTGTAACGGAATAATTGAACAGATTACATTGTTAAATCTGAATTGTTAAATTTTTCGCAAGTTCTTATATAAATCGAAGGGCAAAATCATTCCTTTTTGAAAAGACAAACTGATCCGCTTTCAGTAGGCTCTTTTGTAACGAGACAAAAAAAAATTCGAAATTACCGTTGATGAATATCTTTCCAAAAAATATGGATAACTATCTTAATTGGTACATTTACTTACTTATTAAAAACGTTTCGAAAATCTGCGACTACTTTTTTTTTAAATGACCGAACTTAATCTTGATTTTGATTATATTGCAAACAATATACAGCAGTATATCGATGAAGATAACTTTTATGATATACTTGAAATGGAAAACATTCCAAAAGTCCTACGCAAAGCAACTCTTGATTCCAATAACTTTCAAGCCATTCTTTCTCAAGGCAAACCAAAATACGGTCCATCCAAACTATTTAAATTTATTCAGAAATGCAATGTTACAGTTGATTCATATGATGACGCAATTAACGTTCTTAAAAGTTACAAACGCGTACTCAAACTCAAATCAGCAAATAGTTTAATTGACTTTTTGAAGAAATATAGTACAGAATGCATTACAGGATCAAAAGAACTTGCAGATTTAAATTCTGAAAATCAAAATCTTCGTTCAAAGGTTGAAACCATGGGAACAGATGTCACAAAGTTAAATTCTGAAAATCAAAATCTTCATTCAAAGCTTGAAAGCCTCGAAAAAGAGCTCTCAACTCTCAAAAACAACAATGAACAACTCAAAAAAGACAATGAACAACTCAAAAAAGACAATGAACAACTCAAAAAGGATATCAAAACAGTTAAAGATGAAATCACACAGGAGAAAAATACAAATGATCAACTCTTTAAATCTATTAATGATTACGGAACGATGAATCAATTAAGAAAATCAGGAGATTTTGATGCGATTTATAATTTCCTCAATGATCTTTCAAGTAAAGATCATAAAATCAAAATTTCCATTGCATGTGCTCTTGGATTATGTGAAAAGAAGAATTCGTATGAATGTACATCACTTCTTTGGGCGTGTGTTAATGGAAACCTTCAATTAGTAAAATCTCTTGTTGAAGGAGGTTGTGATAGAAACGCATGTGATAAATTTGGAAATAATTGCTTTATTGAAGCGGCATCAAAAGGTTATGTTGATATTGTAAGATATTTAGTCGATGCTGGTTTTGACAAGAACTGGCGAATCAAAAGCAATGGATTTAATGCAATTCTTAACGCTTCACAAGATGGCAAACTTGATATGGTTAAATATTTGATAAGTATTGGTTGCAGTGCAAATTCAAAGCAAAATGGCAATGCAAACTGTTTATACTTTGCATCATTAAATGGTCATCTTGAAGTAGTTAAATATCTTGTTTCCGTTGGAGGAAATCCAAAGGATAAAGATAATGATGGATTTTCTTCTATTTAGGTTGCATCACAAAAAGGTCACCTTGAAGTAGTTAAATATTTGAAGAGTATTGGTTGTGATGTAAACTCAAAACAAAACAAAAATGCAAACTGTGTTTACTTTGCAGCAGCAAATGGTCATCTTGAAACAGTGAAATATCTTGTTTCAGTTGGAGGAAATCCAGAAGCAAGAGATGATGGCGGATTTACTCCAATAATTGTTGCAGCGGAAAACGGTCATGTTGAAGTAGTTCAGTATCTCATCGAATGTGGATGCAGCAAAAATGATAAAACCAGTTATGATGACTCAGCATTAATTAGAGCAGCAATTGCAGGACGATATAATGTTATTGAATTTTTAATTTCAGTTCGTGTCAACTTGAATGTTAAAAATAAAGCAGGAAAAACAGCACTTGATTATGCAAAAGAAAACAAGAACAAAGGTAATAACTACAGTAATATCATAAATATTCTAACAAGAGCAGGTGCAAAATGAACTTAACCATTACAATTTCATTATTTCTTTTATTGAAAATTGATTCTTATATTAATAAACATTAAATTTATTTATATAAATCTAGGACTAATATTTTTCATTAAAAAAATCATATGCCAGTGTTTTTGAAGCTTCCTTTACTGCATTTATATTATCCTTTTTGTTCGTTACACTTTTGTGCATTTTACGCTTGAGCATTTATATTAGAATAGCGTTATAGAAGGAGATATTTTATAAACAATATACAGAAATATTTTTAGGTATGTTATGAAAACAATTTAAAATTTAAGGGTGCCCTTACGCCCCTATGGCATGGCATTCAATTCAGACATTTAAGGTTAATTTTCAATGACGCTTCACGTCAGTTGTCAAAAATTTGAATTAAAGTCAGATGGGCGTAAGTACAGTCTTAATTTCTGTATAAAAATTTAAAAGAAAAAGGTACAAAAAAAATGGATTAATTTAGAAGATATTTTATAGCAAGTTGATATTGCATCAACCTATTATTTGTAATATAAAAGCTTTAAGAATAATTTCTTTTATATAAAATATAAAACAACATAATAATATATAATATTAACATAAATTTGTAATCCTTGTGCTTCTAATCCATGTTTTTGTTGATTCTAACACGTTATCAGGTAAAGTAAATCTCATTGCGATTTGTTCCAATTCATCTTCATTTTGTTTAATCAAATCTCCATCAACGAAGCCAGTTGCAGGCATGTCATAATAAGGAGTCACTAATCTTCTGTAGTTCGCTGAGAAATTATCACCTTTTTCTTCTTTAAATTTGATAATCGCGTTTTCCATACAAGATAATTTTTCAAACAATTCATCATCAACCATTGTCAGCATGATAATTGAACCGTCCAATGTAGTTCCTACACATTCTTCATGATGTTTGGAATCAGTTATAATCATCCATGGACTTATTGTTGACATGATAGATCCAATATAAACTCTTGAAACGTTTTTCATCGAAAAAGTTCCGACACTTCCTCTCAAACCAAAAATTTCACCTCTCAAAGAACACAAAATAGCACAGTAATCTCCTAAAAATGTTCCGCTTATTATTCTTCTAGCATTGTCATCAACATTTTCAAGAGACAAATCACCATATCCGCATTCGAAAATACTTATATCTCCCATGCAACTTATTGCCATAACTCTGCTTCCACTCGACACTAATTTTGTTATTAATCGAGTTGTTTGCAAACTTAATGCTGTCAAGTACAATGAGCCATCTTTTGTTAGCTCCACTGAGTGTAATGTTATCTCATTTAGAGCAGAAACAATTAAAGAATTCGATGCAAAAGTTACATCTAAAACTGGTTTTTCGAATGATAATTCGCTCAAATAAATCAATGATTTGTCTGTTTTTTCAATAAATATTACTTGGCCCACTTTCTGTTTTGTCTCTGTTGCAATTGCAAGAAATGTTCGACCACTTACACTAAACATACAACAAGAATTATATGAAGAACTTTTGTCTAATTCAATTTCTCCCAATTCATCAAAATTTGTATTCAAAAACCTCAAAACAACTCTTCCATTTTCTTCCGAATCATCTTCATCAACAGATTCACTATTTTCTTGTTCCAAATTATCATGATTTTCTTGGTAATTTGTTGGATTTTCTTCAGTTAAATTAGGGTTTTCTTCTTGGTTGTTTGTTTGGTAAATTAAGTCAATAAATGATTGGTCAGAAACAAAGCTTAAACCATCGTTTTGAATGAAAGGATCTTCTCTTCCAATGAAACAAATTTGGCCGTTGTCTGAACATTCTAAACAGTCAATTATTCCATTGAAATTGTAAGTAAGTTGTCTGACAATTACAGGTTCAATTATTTGACCAAATAAAACGATGTTATCATTCAAAGTCATGATGTCTGAAGAACTCAACCAAACACTAGATTTGACCATTTCTACACCAAGAATTGGAAAGAAATTAATTGTAGTTTGTGTCACTTTTATAATTGTTGGTTCTGAACCAGAAATCAATGCCAAAATAGTTTTAGGAAATGAACTTAATATTGCGGCAGTACTGACAATTTTTTGTTCAGCAGTTTTGACAAAAGAACCGTTAATTAAATTACCAACAATTATTGTTCCTGTCGAAGTTCCAAATGCCACTAAATTCTCTCCAATTTCGATGCAAGAAACAAATAAATGTCGGGTATTCTCATAATAACTAACAATGTCACCTTTTTCGATGTCAAAAACCGTTACAGGTTTATCATCCCATGTTGTGACGATTAAATAATCGTAAATGAAGTTAAACGTACAAATTTCTCCTTCTATATTTATTTCCTTCAAAAAAATAATTGATTCCTCATTATGACTAAAAAGTGATATTATTGTGTCACTTTTCTTGATAACAATGAACTTATCATTGATTATAGCTGATGATGTATGTGACGATAGACTTGTCACTTTTTCATTTTGATGTGAAAAATGGAAAATTTCTGTTGGGCAAATTTGGATTTCGTAGTTTTCGTTTTGGAAGTAATTTATCGTCTCTCTGTTAGTTTTAAGGTTATTGGTGGTTATTTCTGACAAAGTATTTTTATCGATAAAAACAGTTTTTTCGTTACCACTTATAACAATTTTGTTTTCTTTGAAAAATAAATGTTCTGCTTTAATTGAATCAATAACCGCCGTCTTCTGAAATTTGAGAGCCAATCCGAATATGTCCAAAGAGGAAGGTCTGTATCCACTACACAAGACAAGTTTGTAGATCTTCTCTCCTTGGTATTTCAGTGTTTTATGGATTCGAATTGTTCCTATATCTTCTGGAGGAATTAAATATCGATTTTGGAGGGTGTCAATGATAGCAAATCCATTGTACTTTGTTGTATACAATAGTATGTTTTGGGAAATCTCAGTAATAAGTTTGATTTCCGATGAATTTTGGAGATGAAAAATATTTTCTTGATTTATTATCAAATTTTCAAGACTGTCGAGATTTACGAAGATATCTGATTCATTGGAAAGTAGTTCTGCATAATTTACCTTCTTTTTATGCTCAGAATGGAAAGTAAAATATTTTGCTGAATTATTTTGGAATTCTGATGTAATAAAGTCGCTTATATTGTGTACATGGAGCTGTACATTCGATGTGTTTGTGTTTTGACTGGTAAAAATGAAGAGATTTTGGTTTTTCAAAAACCAATAATCAATTTCAAAAGGAATTTCAACGATTTTGAAGTAATGGATAATATCATCTGACTGTAGTGCTTCTGATAAGTTGTCTGTAATAATGAAATAATCGTTTTGTTCGAAGATTAAAACATTTTCAGAAAAAAACATTCTCTTTGGGCAAAATTTCTCAAAGAAGTATTCTTCAAATGTAAAGTTTGATGAGAAATCTATTGTGTAAAGCAAATTTTGATAAAGAGATAAGAAAATTTTTTGTCCATGTGCTTTAAAAATGATTGTTTTATTCGGTATTGCTCCTTCCATTCTGAATGATTTAACTTCGTAACATGCAATTGTTTCGTTTTCAAATGATAAATGTAAAATTGAAAAATTTGAACATAATAACATGAGAGAATCAGTATGTGATCGATCAGTTCTTATCATTTGTGCATCTATGATGTTTGACGATATTGGTGTATCAAGTATTGTTTCAAAATTTTGAGTTTCTTCATTAAATGTGAGTAATTCAACGGAATGAGGATGAACAACAGCAATGGTTGTGCCATCTGGTGATATAAAATTGCCAAAACACCCATAAATGGCTTTTCCTGATTCCAGAGGTGTGGTAATTAGAACTCCTGGCATCAGGAAAAGTGACAATTCTGCAATCATGATTTCAGTGAGAAAACTTATGATATTATATGTGCTTTGCTTCCAAATAAGTTTGAAGAAAACAAGTACTGCATTCTCTTCAAGTTATTATTAATGAATTTCCTAAATAGAGCAATCTATTTCTTGAATTAACAGACTTGTTTTCAAGTGTAGGTCTTACATACTTAGTAAGCTTAATGGAGCATTCTTGCATTAATTATTATCATAAATATCAAATTCATTCTCAAATTCTTGTTAAATATCTTTTTGATTGTAATTACGTCCAAGACTTAGAAGATTCTGATTACCCTATGTTCAATAAAGATATCATAAATGTGTGAATAAACGAAATCAATATTAATTTAAAAAATATTTGTTTATTATGATTCATAAAAAACAGTACAAATAATAAATAATGAATAACAAATGTGGAAATAGTTTCTGTAGCATGTTCTGCATTGGAGATCAAGATCACGGATTGATTGTGGAAATTCACAGTTCAGAGAATCATCTACAACAACAATATCATCTTTCCCAAATTTGTTTGATGGGTAGCTGGATGTTACTCGAACTTCTATATTTTTTGGAGTAATATGATCAAATACTTCAACCCTGCTAAAAACATCAGTATTAATTGTTGTTTTTCCGCAAAAGTCAAGCCTTTCAAATGAATCTAATCCTCTGAATGATAGATTTTCAATAAAATTAACAGATGCGGGTAATCTCAAGTTTTTAAGCAAATAATTAAACCCAAATGCATCTTCGCCGATAGTCTGGAGATTATTACCTCCGAATTCTATGCTTTTAACTTTATATAAATCATAAAATGCACGATATTTAAGAGATTTAAGGCGGCTATGATTCTCAAATATGACGCTTTCGATATTTTTACATCTGAAAAATGCTTGCCTTTGAATGGTTTCAATATTATAGCCAATTTTTACCGAATTGATATTAAGGCAATAAACAAATGAGCATGACCCTATTTCAGTAACGCGCCATACTATATTAGAGTATGTTACAAAGTTTGGGATATTTAATAAGCCAGTGTAATCTGCATTAACTGCATTTGGAACTGTGTCGTTGAATATCCCTGTTCCAACGCGAACCTCTCTTCGAAAAACATCTAATATTGAATACACAATATTTTCATATTGAAATATTTCTCCAATTTTCAACTTTGAGACAATAAATTGTACATCAAAATAAAATAATAGGCAAAAATTAATTTACGCATATTTTCTATGGTTTTTACAACTTGTTCTGACCTCATTAAACGAAATAAATGAAGACTCAGATTCATAAAAAAAATGAAAAATGAAAATAAAAACGTAATTTAGACATCAATTATTTCCTCGATCGAACCATCATCATCAAATTTATTAGCATGAAGCTTCTTGTATAGAATAAATCCACCAATAGTGCATGCAGCAACAATAACTACTGCAGCAACTATTCCTCCAGCAAGTGCAACTTTCTTCTTCTTTTCTGCGTCAACTGCATTCTGATCATCTGATTTATCATTACCATGTACTCCTTTATTAGGTGTTGGTGACTGTGTTTGTGGTTCTACTGTTTTGATTAGTTCGACTGGTTTCTCTGATTCCTTTGATTTCTCTGGCTGTTCTGGTACAGTCGAGTTACCTGGTTGTTCTGGCTGCTCTGTTTCAGTTGAATTACCTGGTTGTTCTGGTTGTTCTGGCTGCTCTGTCTAAGTTGAATTACCTGGTTGTTCTGGCTGCTCTGTCTAAGTTGAATTACCTGGTTGTTCTGGCTGCTCTGTCTAAGTTGAATTACCTGGTTGTTCTGGTTGTTCTGTTTCAGTTGAATTACCTGGTTGTTCTGGTTGTTCTGGCTGCTCTGTTTCGGTTAAATTACCTGGTTGTTCTGGCTGCTCTGTCTCAGTTGAATTACCTGGTTGTTCTGGTTGTTCTGGCTGCTCTGTCTCAGTTGAATTACCTGGTTGTTCTGGCTGCTCTGTTTCAGTTGAATTACCTGGTTGTTCTGGCTGCTCTGTTTCAGTTGAATTACCTGGTTGTTCTGGTTGTTCTGGCTGCTCTGTCTCAGTTGAATTACCTGGTTGTTCTGGCTGCTCTGTTTCAGTTGAATTACCTGGTTGTTCTGGCTGCTCTGTCTAAGTTGAATTACCTGGTTGTTCTGGTTGTTCTGGCTGCTCTGTCTCAGTTGAATTACCTGGTTGTTCTGGTTGTTCTGGCTGCTCTGTTTCGGTTAAATTACCTGGTTGTTCTGGCTGCTCTGTCTCAGTTGAATTACCTGGTTGTTCTGGCTGCTCTGTCTCAGTTGAATTACCTGGTTGTTCTGGTTGTTCTGGCTGTTCTGTTTCAGTTGAATTACCTGGTTGTTCTGGCTGCTCTGTTTCGGTTGAATTACCTGGTTGTTCTGGCTGCTCTGTCTAAGTTGAATTACCTGGTTGTTCTGGCTGTTCTGTTTCAGTTGAATTACCTGGTTGTTCTGGTTGTTCAGGTTGCTCTGTTTCGGTTGAATTACCTGGTTGTTCTGGCTGCTCTGTCTAAGTTGAATTACCTGGTTGTTCTGGCTGCTCTGTCTAAGTTGAATTACCTGGTTGTTCTGGCTGCTCTGTCTAAGTTGAATTACCTGGTTGTTCTGGTTGTTCTGGCTGTTCTGTTTCAGTTGAATTACCTGGTTGTTCTGGTTGTTCTGGCTGCTCTGTCTCAGTTGAATTACCTGGTTGTTCTGGTTGTTCTGGCTGTTCTGTTTCAGTTGAATTACCTGGTTGTTCTGGTTGTTCTGGCTGCTCTGTTTCGGTTAAATTACCTGGTTGTTCTGGCTGCTCTGTCTCAGTTGAATTACCTGGTTGTTCTGGTTGTTCTGGCTGCTCTGTCTCAGTTGAATTACCTGGTTGTTCTGGCTGCTCTGTTTCAGTTGAATTACCTGGTTGTTCTGGCTGCTCTGTCTAAGTTGAATTACCTGGTTGTTCTGGTTGTTCTGGCTGCTCTGTCTCAGTTGAATTACCTGGTTGTTCTGGTTGTTCTGGCTGCTCTGTTTCGGTTAAATTACCTGGTTGTTCTGGCTGCTCTGTCTCAGTTGAATTACCTGGTTGTTCTGGCTGCTCTGTTTCAGTTGAATTACCTGGTTGTTCTGGCTGCTCTGTTTCAGTTGAATTACCTGGTTGTTCTGGTTGTTCTGGCTGCTCTGTTTCAGTTGAATTACCTGGTTGTTCTGGTTGTTCTGGCTGCTCTGTTTCGGTTAAATTACCTGGTTGTTCTGGCTGCTCTGTTTCGGTTAAATTACCTGGTTGTTCTGGCTGCTCTGTCTCAGTTGAATTACCTGGTTGTTCTGGTTGTTCTGGCTGCTCTGTTTCGGTTAAATTACCTGGTTGTTCTGGCTGCTCTGTCTCAGTTGAATTACCTGGTTGTTCTGGTTGTTCTGTTTCAGTTGAATTACCTGGTTGTTCTGGTTGTTCTGTTTCAGTTGAATTACCTGGTTGTTCTGGTTGTTCTGGCTGTTCTGTTTCAGTTGAATTACCTGGTTGTTCTGGTTGTTCTGGCTGCTCTGTTTCGGTTAAATTACCTGGTTGTTCTGGCTGCTCTGTTTCGGTTAAATTACCTGGTTGTTCTGGTTGTTCTGTTTCAGTTGAATTACCTGGTTGTTCTGGTTGTTCTGGCTGTTCTGTTTCAGTTGAATTACCTGGTTGTTCTGGCTGCTCTGTCTAAGTTGAATTACCTGGTTGTTCTGGCTGCTCTGTCTAAGTTGAATTACCTGGTTGTTCTGGTTGTTCTGTTTCAGTTGAATTACCTGGTTGTTCTGGTTGTTCTGTTTCAGTTGAATTACCTGGTTGTTCTGGTTGTTCTGTTTCAGTTGAATTACCTGGTTGTTCTGGTTGTTCTGGCTGTTCTGTTTCAGTTGAATTACCTGGTTGTTCTGGCTGTTCTGTTTCAGTTGAATTACCTGGTTGTTCTGGCTGCTCTGTCTCAGTTGAATTACCTGGTTGTTCTGGCTGTTATGTTTCAGTTGAATTACCTGGTTGTTCTGGCTGCTCTGTTTCAGTTGAATTACCTGGTTGTTCTGGCTGCTCTGTCTAAGTTGAATTACCTGGTTGTTCTGGTTGTTCTGTTTCAGTTGAATTACCTGGTTGTTCTGGCTGCTCTGTTTCAGTTGAATTACCTGGTTGTTCTGGCTGCTCTGTCTAAGTTGAATTACCTGGTTGTTCTGGCTGTTCTGTTTCAGTTGAATTACCTGGTTGTTCTGGTTGTTCTGGCTGTTCTGTTTCAGTTGAATTACCTGGTTGTTCTGGCTGCTCTGTCTAAGTTGAATTACCTGGTTGTTCTGGCTGCTCTGTCTAAGTTGAATTACCTGGTTGTTCTGGTTGTTCTGTTTCAGTTGAATTACCTGGTTGTTCTGGTTGTTCTGTTTCAGTTGAATTACCTGGTTGTTCTGGTTGTTCTGTTTCAGTTGAATTACCTGGTTGTTCTGGTTGTTCTGGCTGTTCTGTTTCAGTTGAATTACCTGGTTGTTCTGGCTGCTCTGTCTCAGTTGAATTACCTGGTTGTTCTGGCTGTTCTGTTTCAGTTGAATTACCTGGTTGTTCTGGCTGCTCTGTCTAAGTTGAATTACCTGGTTGTTCTGGTTGTTCTGTTTCAGTTGAATTACCTGGTTGTTCTGGCTGCTCTGTTTCGGTTGAATTACCTGGTTGTTCTGGCTGCTCTGTCTAAGTTGAATTACCTGGTTGTTCTGGCTGTTCTGTTTCAGTTGAATTACCTGGTTGTTCTGGTTGTTCTGGCTGTTCTGTTTCAGTTGAATTACCTGGTTGTTCTGGCTGCTCTGTCTAAGTTGAATTACCTGGTTGTTCTGGCTGTTCTGTTTCAGTTGAATTACCTGGTTGTTCTGGCTGCTCTGTCTAAGTTGAATTACCTGGTTGTTCTGGCTGCTCTGTTTCAGTTGAATTACCTGGTTGTTCTGGCTGCTCTGTCTAAGTTGAATTACCTGGTTGTTCTGGCTGCTCTGTCTAAGTTGAATTACCTGGTTGTTCTGGCTGCTCTGTTTCGGTTAAATTACCTGGTTGTTCTGGCTGCTCTGTTTCAGTTGAATTACCTGGTTGTTCTGGCTGCTCTGTTTCAGTTGAATTACCTGGTTGTTCTGGCTGTTCTGTTTCAGTTGAATTACCTGGTTGTTCTGGCTGCTCTGTCTAAGTTGAATTACCTGGTTGTTCTGGCTGCTCTGTTTCGGTTAAATTACCTGGTTGTTCTGGCTGCTCTGTTTCAGTTGAATTACCTGGTTGTTCTGGTTGTTCTGTTTCAGTTGAATTACCTGGTTGTTCTGGCTGCTCTGTTTCAGTTGAATTACCTGGTTGTTCTGGCTGTTCTGTTTCAGTTGAATTACCTGGTTGTTCTGGCTGCTCTGTCTAAGTTGAATTACCTGGTTGTTCTGGCTGTTCTGTTTCGGTTGAATTACCTGGTTGTTCTGGCTGCTCTGTCTCAGTTGAATTACCTGGTTGTTCTGGCTGTTCTGGCTGTTCTGTCTCAGTTGAATTACCTGGTTGTTCTGGTTGTTCTGGCTGCTCTGTTTCGGTTGAATTACCTGGTTGTTCTGGCTGTTCTGTTTCAGTTGAATTACCTGGTTGTTCTGGTTGTTCTGGTTGTTCTGTTTCAGTTGAATTACCTGGTTGTTCTGGTTGTTCTGTCTCAGTTGAATTACCTGGTTGTTCTGGCTGTTCTGGCTGTTCTGTCTCAGTTGAATTACCTGGTTGTTCTGGTTGTTCTGGTTGTTCTGTTTCAGTTGAATTACCTGGTTGTTCTGGTTGTTCTGTCTCAGTTGAATTACCTGGTTGTTCTGGCTGTTCTGGCTGTTCTGTCTCAGTTGAATTACCTGGTTGTTCTGGTTGTTCTGGCTGCTCTGTTTCGGTTGAATTACCTGGTTGTTCTGGTTGTTCTGGTTGTTCTGTTTCAGTTGAATTACCTGGTTGTTCTGGCTGCTCTGTCTCAGTTGAATTACCTGGTTGTTCTGGCTGCTCTGTTTCAGTTGAATTACCTGGTTGTTCTGGTTGTTCTGGTTGTTCTGTTTCAGTTGAATTACCTGGTTGTTCTGGTTGTTCTGGTTGTTCTGTTTCAGTTGAATTACCTGGTTGTTCTGGTTGTTCTGTCTCAGTTGAATTACCTGGTTGTTCTGGCTGTTCTGGCTGTTCTGTCTCAGTTGAATTACCTGGTTGTTCTGGTTGTTCTGGCTGCTCTGTTTCGGTTGAATTACCTGGTTGTTCTGGTTGTTCTGGTTGTTCTGTTTCAGTTGAATTACCTGGTTGTTCTGGCTGCTCTGTCTCAGTTGAATTACCTGGTTGTTCTGGCTGCTCTGTCTAAGTTGAATTACCTGGTTGTTCTGGTTGTTCTGGTTGTTCTGTTTCAGTTGAATTACCTGGTTGTTCTGGTTGTTCTGTCTCAGTTGAATTACCTGGTTGTTCTGGTTGTTCTGGCTGTTCTGTCTCAGTTGAATTACCTGGTTGTTCTGGTTGTTCTGGCTGCTCTGTTTCGGTTGAATTACCTGGTTGTTCTGGTTGTTCTGGTTGTTCTGTTTCAGTTGAATTACCTGGTTGTTCTGGCTGCTCTGTCTCAGTTGAATTACCTGGTTGTTCTGGCTGCTCTGTTTCAGTTGAATTACCTGGTTGTTCTGGTTGTTCTGGCTGTTCTGTTTCAGTTGAATTACCTGGTTGTTCTGGTTGTTCTGGTTGTTCTGTTTCAGTTGAATTACCTGGTTGTTCTGGTTGTTCTGTCTCAGTTGAATTACCTGGTTGTTCTGGCTGTTCTGGCTGTTCTGTCTCAGTTGAATTACCTGGTTGTTCTGGTTGTTCTGGCTGCTCTGTTTCGGTTGAATTACCTGGTTGTTCTGGTTGTTCTGGTTGTTCTGTTTCAGTTGAATTACCTGGTTGTTCTGGCTGCTCTGTCTCAGTTGAATTACCTGGTTGTTCTGGCTGCTCTGTCTAAGTTGAATTACCTGGTTGTTCTGGTTGTTCTGGTTGTTCTGTTTCAGTTGAATTACCTGGTTGTTCTGGTTGTTCTGTCTCAGTTGAATTACCTGGTTGTTCTGGTTGTTCTGGCTGTTCTGTCTCAGTTGAATTACCTGGTTGTTCTGGTTGTTCTGTCTCAGTTGAATTACCTGGTTGTTCTGGCTGTTCTGGCTGTTCTGTCTCAGTTGAATTACCTGGTTGTTCTGGTTGTTCTGGCTGCTCTGTTTCGGTTGAATTACCTGGTTGTTCTGGTTGTTCTGGTTGTTCTGTTTCAGTTGAATTACCTGGTTGTTCTGGCTGCTCTGTCTCAGTTGAATTACCTGGTTGTTCTGGCTGCTCTGTTTCAGTTGAATTACCTGGTTGTTCTGGCTGCTCTGTCTAAGTTGAATTACCTGGTTGTTCTGGTTGTTCTGGTTGTTCTGTTTCAGTTGAATTACCTGGTTGTTCTGGTTGTTCTGTCTCAGTTGAATTACCTGGTTGTTCTGGTTGTTCTGGCTGTTCTGTCTCAGTTGAATTACCTGGTTGTTCTGGCTGCTCTGTCTCAGTTGAATTACCTGGCTGTTCAGGCTGCTCTGTTTCTGTTGAGTTGCCTGGCTGCTCTGTTTCCGTTGAGTTGTCTGGCTGCTCTGGTTCTGGATTTGTATCACCAATATCAATATCCGAATTATTAAGATGTATTGGCTCTCCATATGTCATATTTCCTTCCAATTCAGTTGTATTAATTGTTGATGTATTGAAATCACCAACACTAATATCATCATCATTTGTTGTTTCTTCATAAGGATCAAATGTTCTTTGTTCGTTGGTTGTATAAACTTGGAATTCACCCATTTTCAATTGCTGTACATCAGCTGTTGGACTTAGAGGTGTTTGTGTAAATCGAATATATCTTGCTCTTACATTTAACTTTGAACAGCTCAATTGACGGTATTTATAATTGGCTCCATTTGTATATAAGTAGAAATCGTTCTTAAATTCTGGTGCGAATTGATTCCATCCTTCATCGGACTTAACATTTCCATCAAGACTGTATTCTAAATTGAAATTTCTAAACTTCTGAGAAGATGGTGTTACTTGAACATCAATACAATCAACCCACTTTTCTTCTCCCAAATCTGCTACAAACCAAATTGGTCCTTTGTTTTGATAAGAAGTAGATCCTGGTTGTGGAGAATCTCTCCATTGATATTGGCATGGATTTGGAACTGCTCCATATTTTGCATTATTATAATGGTATTTAGTGACTGTAGATACATATCCAGCATCAGTATTTTCAGTATTATCAAACCAACTTGATATATTGCCACCCTCAAACTGTGATTTGCATTGATACGATAGTTGTCCAGTGGCGCCATCTCTATATGCAAACTCACAAATTGGGAACAATCTAATTGTCATTTCGGATTTAGTTAAATTATATGGTACATGGATGTATGAGTACTTGGAAAACTTAAAGTTGTAGCCAAGAGCACCAAATTTGAAGTGTGTCATGTTGTGGTCATGCATTAAACTGTAAGGAACTGTGTATGTGAATCCATTGAAATAGGTAAGAACCTTTCCTGATGGTGTGCACCATTCAATACCATGGATTGACTCTCTTGGTGTATTCTTAACATTAAGTGTAATTTTGAATGACTGCTTATCAGATGTTTCGATCTTTTCAACATATAATTCAGCATCATCAGTCATATTTGGCTTAGCTGGGAATTTGTCAGAAACAAAGAATCCTTCATCATAATAATATGTTGGGATTGGTGTTTCCAAATCTGGATATTTCGAGCATTCTGCCTTGCAAGCATCATTACATGGCCAATTATATTGTTTGAAGAATGATGTGTAAAGGTTCTTCTGATGCAGTCTTGATAAGCCGGCTACCCATATGTCATGAACCCACATCTTTGATTCAAGGTCTCTCATGTTTCCGGCTCTTTGCCATTTGTAGAAAGAAGGAACCATCTCTTCGCCGAGAATGATTTCTAGTTGTCTCAAAATAGCCAATCTGGACCAGATATCGTATTGATTACCATTTTGGTTGATACCCCAACTCTTCAACATTGGGAAAATCCATTCAACACGTGCTGGTCTGCCATTCTTTCTTTGCATCATTAAAGAGTAAAGGTTGTTTGTCATTTCAGCTTCTGTTGTATCACGGTTATCATAATGGTGGCCCCATTCGTGGTAATATCCCCAGCCATCATAAGTGATTGTTCTCCAGCTAAGCATTGATGCGCCATCTCCACCATTGATTGCGATATATCTGTAATTGCAGTAAGCCCAGGCAGCTGTTCTGATATCAATCATCTGCAACCATGTAGCTTGGATATATCCTGGTTCATAACCTGCATACCATGTGTAAATTTCGTGCATTTTATTGTATTCATCAATTAAATCTTGAACAGATTTACCCCAAGAATTAAAGTTGTTCTTGAGAACACTTAAACCACCATCAGCATATGTGTACATAACAATCTTCTTGGAATGAACGCACATTAAGTTCACCTTCTTATCCTTTAAATCAGTAACTGATGCTTGAACATTCGAAATGAAGTTTGGTGATTTGGCATATTCTTCAGCTTTGTTCATGAATTCATTAACATTGTCTCCATCTTTGAACTTCAGAATCGGACGGCCACCTGTTGCACGACATTTCGGTGGGTTATTGACTTTGGAATTGCAGTAGAACATGAGGGTTCCGAGTTTAGTTGGGTGGTTAGTCATATCTGAAGGGTTCTTGATGTTCTTATTTTTACCGGTGGAAAGACCCCATTCATGCCATGAAGATTCTTTATCAAATGGCTTAACAAGCAATGCACCGTAGCTAACACTGTCATAAGTGTTGCAGTATACTGTGAGAGATTCTCCTTGGACATAATATCTGTCTGAAGGTGTATAAGCTCTGACAAGACCAGAATTGGCAGCCCAAAGGCCTGGAGCGCAGTGAAGTGTCTGGAGAGTTTCATTCAGTAATGGATTGGCCTGGAGAGCCTCCATATCTTCAAGAACGTCGAGGTATAAATCATTTGAAGGAGCTGATTTAATACGCTCAATAACTTCAAGGCGGTATGATTCGTTTTGGTAGTCTCCTAACCACTGAGTTCTTGCAGGATCAGCAAAAACTTTATGAGCTTCTACATCATCTAAGACATCATTCTTATAGAATTCAAATCTCGTAAAATGATATTCATCATTATTTTTAGTTTTCATCTGGATTTTAACCTCTGTGAGGGTTAAATCTTCATCCAAAGTGAGAAGACATGGTTGTCCTAATGTTTTGTCATTTGAAAATGCTTTCACTTGTACCCATTGATTAGCTTCATTCTTGGTAAATACAGCAATTTCAGTGATGATATTGTTTCCAGAGTTTCTGTTATCCTGAAATAGTATTCTACGGAAGGTAATTTGTTGGTCAAATTTAAGCATAAAATAATAAGGACTTCCCATTGTATAAACGTAGACATCTGTATTAGTGTAATAAACAGAAATTCATCAAAAGTGACAGCTCTCAATTTTTTGACATTTGTAAATTCTAAATTGAATGAGAAAAATGAAATAATACTATGCATAATATAATATTCTAGATTTAATTATAATTAGGAAAAAGTTAGTTTTGAGAGTACTTTTCATAGGCATATAGAATGAAATCTTCTGAAAAATAATATCACATAAACTCATATTATTTTCTAATATATAACTATTTTATATAAAAATCAAATTCAATGATCTTAAAAGCGAAGGATAAACCTCAAAATTTACGAATATAATGAGTGGGAATATTTCATATTGTTTTATGATAGATAAGCATTATATTCCCACTCATTATATTCGTAAATTTTGAGGTTTATCCTTCGCTTTTAAGATCATTGAATTTGATTTGTATATAAAATAGTTATATATTAGAAAATAATATGAGTTTATGTGATATTATTTTTCAGAAGATTTTGTGTTCTCCTTCAAAATTTTATTTTTTTATTAAAAAGAATCTTTACAAAATATACATTTACTTAAATTAATATTTAAAAACGTGCTCTATCAAAAGTTCCAAAAATTCAATATTTTAGCTTTTCTGAGGTGTCACTTTTGATGAATTTCTGTTTACAACATTAGGATTATGATCAAATGCGTTTGCAATCGGATGGAAAATGAAAAAGTTTTGATGAGCTGAATAATCAGCTCTGATTTTTCCTTCTTCCTTTTTATTGAGCGATATCTTAACCTCAAATTTATCTCTATACGATTGAGAATTAGCTAGTGCAAATGGTTGAAAGTCAACAGCACTAGCTAAAGCAAGAAGTTGAAACATTTAATGAATTGTGTATTGAATTTATTGAATTTATTTATGATGGTTATTATGTAAAAAATATTGAACCCAAGATTATTTCTTACATAATATTTTGTAACAAATAATTTGTGTATTTTCCATTTGTCAAAAATTGAAGCTCAATAAAAAATTGGAATATTCAATTTTTTCAATTTTTTGAAAAATCAAAATCGAATGAAAATTAAACAGAATTTGTACCTGAGCAAAATCTGCATAGAATATCTTGAACCTGTAATTTTTGATTTCAGATACTAAGCTTCGAAAGGATAAATAAAATGATTTGGAAAATGCATATGAAAACAGAGTTATCTGTTGATTTTGATTCATTTGAAAACAAATTTTTTCCCGGAAGTTTCTTCTAGCATTTCATATATTATACCAACTTTAAATTCGAAATATTCGATTTTAGAGTCTTTTCTCGTTCATTGTTTTTTTGTCATTTTCTTAATTGTGGGTCAAATTGATTTATTACTTGATTTTAATAGACTATAACATATCTATATTTTAATTTCGTAGTTAGAACTGAAATGGCAATTCAAAGGAAATAATTATTTCAATCAACGATAATTCTGAATTCAATTTTAAGTGCAATAGTTGGATTGATATAAATTTATATGATAAAGCAATTTAATCATGATTAGCTTTCTTTAATGAGTCGTATTCAATTAAAAAAGTGACTTGATATCTATAATGAATATTATTCGGTTCAAAAATGCTGAAAGCTCTGAATATTTGGAATGAGTAAAAGTAAATAAAGATTTCCCACACTGAGGAGCTCATTCTATCTGATTTTTATCATCAATAATTGCTCAAAATTTTGTATTTTTTGCAGAAAATAGATATTTGAGAATTCACAATCGCATATTATTGGTTGAAAAAAGTGGTTATTAAGAAAAATATAAAAATAATGATGTAATTCCAAATCGATTATTCGAAAAAAACATTTTTTACAAGATACTAAATACAAAACTTACTAACACTTCCAACTTGTATTGATTATTATAATACACATCATATAGGGAGATATGTTATTCTATTTCGATTTAATTACAACTATTTATTTGGTTAGATGCCATGCACCTGAAGTATTATTTCTATTGGGTTCAAACTCATGATTGCGAAATGCCGGAATTTCCATATTTATGCTTTGCAAATTTCAAATCAAGCTTATTCGCTTTATTGATAGTGCCTTTTTTGTGAAATTATTGATCGTCGTCATTTAATGGCCTGATAATGATAAGATTAATTAATCTAAATTTTCACCGATCGTCTAAGAGAAAAAAAAATCTTTTCAAAAATTTTAATGTTTCTTTTTGTGTTTTTTACCGCATCATATGTTAAAAATGGTAACATTGAGCAAGGCAAACTAGTAACTTTTGCTCCTGATTATGGTTACATGAAAGGAGGACGAATTAACGTAGTAATTGTTGGAAGAAACGTTACTGGTACAACCTTTGCACTTCTCAGTCAATTACAATATCATCAGAACTACTCAAAGTTAAAAGAAAAGGATAAATTCTGTGGTAATATTTCCAAAATTAAAGATACGCAAGTTTATAGATGTACATCTGGTTTCGCAGCTTGCAAATGGAATGCCACAATACAAAGAAAAGACATATATTATCCAGTAATTTACAATTGCGAAGATCGAAGACTTGATTATCAAATTACGTACTTAAATTATCAGACCTATTTAGATATCAGAGAGAGATTTACACCAATGATTGCAATGGGAATCTCTATTTTATACACAATCCTTACAATGTTTTGGATTTACAACATTCACTCATACCAGCAGTTTAATATACAGCTTGTTAATGGTTTCGCGTTTACATGTGCCTTTAAAGCTATATCTGTCGGAATTCTTGCATACTATTGGGCCGAAAAGTCAGAAAAAGAATCTATTCCGTTCAAATTTGAAGTTACTGTTGAATTATTCCAAATTGTATCAAATGGATTGATATTTATGATAAACGTATTTGCTACTGACGGCATGAGCATCATTCGAGGCTGTCAAAATTTCAAAGATTTTCTAAATAAGTTCATTCTCTGCAATCTTTTCTTCCTTTATAGGCGCTTAATACACTATACAGACAGTATACTCCTTGTTGTTGTATATACTTTCCTTTGTATCATCTTCTACGCTTCATATGTAAATCTTGTTGGACGAGGAACGTATGTTATCCAACAGATTGGCGACCAATTTGAAAATGACAGACAGATATCTCTTAAGTACGCTCTAGCTATCAAATTTAATGTAATTATTACACAATTATTGTTATTTTTTGTTATTTGTATTTCATATGCAATGCTTATAGAGATAAGATACACATTACTCTTCTTATGTGAAGAGTCGCTTGTTATTTTCGTTGTTTATATAGATTATGCCTACTTCAAAATCAGAAAAGATTTTGTTCCTCCTGAAATTCAAATAGAAGAAGCTCACGAAGTTATTGACCCGTCAGGAATATCCTACGTGGAGGAACCGTTAGCTAATGAACTTGCTTTTGTCTCTAACCATGAAAGCCATCAGACAGCTTAAAAATTTGTATGAAATATTTGTTTATATATTGTAATAAAATTTATAGAAATATTTCCGTGTAATCTATTCAATTAATTGTATTTTTCAATATAAGACGGGTATATTTTTGGATATATATCAAAATGAGGTTAACTCTATAGCAATTGATAATCTCATGAGTAATATATCATGTTATGATATGTGAATTTGATTAGAATGAATTATTAAAGCTTATTCAATAAATTTTTTTTTCGCACAGTAATCTTATAGGTAAATGGATCCACACACCAGAGAACTATTTGTAAATTATAAGAACATGGCGATATTGTCAACAATATCTCAAAAATATTATTTTTTATTCAAAGATATGGATAATTTTAGCAAACCTTTAGACGTAAACTTCATAACTTGAATGATTGAGTCATTAGCTAGTGGTTTATATTCGATTCCTAGGGTTGATTACATTGGAAATAAATTTATATTGGATTCATGTAATAATTCCGGACATTTGCAATGGCCATATGACATGCATGAATAATTGAGCAACTACGTTTTTCCAAATTTTTCTTGAAAATAGGAAAATGAACTTCAATCCATTATTAATACAAATGAAAAAATAAGTTTCAAATTGTTTTTGGAAATTCAAATATTCAAATCAATATTTCTAATGAATAATTATAGTAAATTGAAAATTTAAATCTATTAAATAGTTCAATAATTTGTATAATTAGAAAATACATCGATAAATTTAAATTATTCCTCGAAACAAATCAAGTTGATCTTATTTTCTCGTATATAACTTATTATCTCATAGCAACATTAATTTTTTACACTATGTCAAATCCAAAAATAAGCATGATTTGCATTGATTAAAATAAATTTAATTTTGGGATTGGATTTTTACACAAATTTCCAAGATTTCTAGCATTGATAACATTAGCAACTTAAGCTTATTTTATTTTCGATATCCATTTTAAAGACAATACTCTACTTTCTATCAAAATCTCATGATGTCATGATTGCTCGTTATTACATTTCGTCACTTTTTTAATTCGTTAACAAATTTTTTAAATGAAAAGAACCGGAAATCCAAGAGTAAATCCTGGAACATTTTCCGATCTTTTTGAATCTACAGCTAAGGCATCTTTACGTCGTGGACAAATGGCGCGTTCTCCTCGCCGTCTTCCACCTTTAGAGCCTGAGCCAAGTAATAGTTCCACATCTACTGCAAATTTACCTCAAGAACCAGAACAATCAGTCGATCAACAAAATGCTGAAATTCCAATTCCTGAGGAGACAAATTTCCCGAATATTTCAACTTACGAAAATGCTCGTGCAGGATTTGCACTTCAGTCTGACGAGCCACCGCCAGCTGAGCCACTTCCTCCGGGCCCATATGGAACATCACCTCAATCTATCTTACCAAAAGTTCAAATTCCGTTCATTACTCCACCAGATGTAACTCCTCGTTCCATCGAAGTCGAACGACTTAAGCGTTTGTACCAATCGATGGATATCGCACAACTTCTTAGCGATAGAGGAATCAACTATGCACAAGAAATCATGTTCGTTCCAAATGAATCAACATTTAAACCAATTTTCCAACTGTGGTCTTTCGATGATGATTCATTTGACTGCAGAACAGTCGAAAACTACCTCGAAATCGGTAAGGATGAGAACGGAAAACAAGCAGGAATCCCTTGCCATGTCTTTACATCCAACGGACTTAAGTGGGCGGATGCAATTGCATGGGAATACAACTACGATAAGCATCTTTGGCGTGTAACATTCCCAAATCACGAACAAGATGAAGAATGGGTTCCAAGATTGAGATTATTGTTCTATGCGGAAGATCCTCGCGTTTTTGCCGACCGTATAGCTAACGCTGTTAATGAGCGTCGTCGTGCAGAATCATGGATCCGTTTCCGCTTCTACGTTGAGAACATGTCGAACAAAGCAATGCCAGATATTCCAGAGGATGCAGTTAAAGCAATTACAAAGATGATTCCATCACCAAGAATCAAGATCGAGCTTCCTATCGAGAAATTTATGGAAGAAGCTCAAATCAACTACAAATACGCTTTTAATGTTCACTCATTCATGTCACAAATGAAAAACGATCCACTCTACGCTCGTACACTCGGCTTATTCGATCTCTCTAAAGAGGAAGAGCCAAAACCAAAGCAATATCAAACTACAAGCGAATTTCAAAAGCATCGTGAACAATTTGCATTCCATTCACTCTATACAAAGGATTGCATCTTTACAGCCCTCATGAAGACAAGAGCTTCATGCCTTGACGTTGCAAATACAGAATTATTAGTTCTCCGTTCCAACAAGTCCTTCCACCTCGAAGAATTCCAGCAGACACAAGCACAAATCATTTCTAAGACAAAGAGATTCCTTACAGAAGACTGGGTTCCTCAATTAGGTCGTGAACTCCGCGCCGCTCTCTCCAACGTTTCCAAGGGCTGGTTCAATCTCGAGGAAACAGACAGAGAAGTCTACAACATGTCCAAATTCTCCAATTTCATGGTTTTGGTTTCATGTATGATGATAGATGCAGCGAGAACATGCGTTTTAAACAACTTCCAACGCTTCGATGATTTTATTCAAGACCTTTCGCCTAATAATGTCGATGTTAAAACACCTACAGAAGTTATCGGAAATTATAATAAAGAATCTACAGGTGCAATGATCATGCCGCTCTTCGAAATCGATATGACCATCGAAAACAACAACGAAATTTGCTACGGTATCGATCCAAACCTCTTCCGTACCGCATGCGTCCAAATTTTCTCTTCCATCGTCGATTCTGTTCGTTCCATTCCAATCATTGAACCACGTGTCCTCCCGGACATGTTCAGAAATGTCAATTTGACACTTTCCACCATCAATGATGACGAAAAAGAGCTTGTTGAGCACAGAGAAAGGGTTGTTAAGAGAATTAACGAAGCCATTGACTACTTACAGAAGTATTTGGACACTTACAAGCAGTACATTGAGTTCATCCAACTCGATACGAATAAATATTCCGAACAACTTACAAATGATCAGCCAACATTAGATGATTGCCGTAACATCATCAAGGAACAACAGAAAGCAATCGATGAAATATACGTAAATGTTCCTAAACGTGAAATCGTTGGCATATTTGCTGTAAACGTCACAACAGTACGTGCATACTTGATCCAGAAGCACCACAAACTCATCAAGATCATCTTAGACTACGTTTCCAAGACAGCCAAAGGTCTTTTCAAGAAATTCAGAGAAGAATACAGAGTTATTGATTCAAAGATCACTTCTCCTCCAACAAAAATCGAAGAACTCGATGCACAAAGGCATTATATCGAGACTGTTCCTGGTCTTACAGAGAAATTACATGCCAGAGTCATGGATGCGATGAGATACTATGATTTCATCGATGAATATTATCATCCAATCTCACAAGATGATTTCGAATTGAAATGGGAGTGTTTCGGACATTCCAGACACTGTGCATTCTTGATCGAGAAGTCCAAAGCTATTTTGGAAGGCTTCTTCATCAAATTCGAACAAGATCTCGAATCCGCACAAGAGAAATTCGAAGGAGATCTCGATAAATTATCCAGAGAAGTATCAGAAGTTTCCAAGTACACGGATGTCAACAATTCCGAGCAATACGCAACAGAAATCAGAAGAATTGCAAAGGCAATCGAAGCAGCCGAAGCAAATGTCAAAACATTCAATTCCAGACAGACAATTTTCGGCAAAGAACAAACGGATTACACGAGAGTTAGTGATTTACGCCGTACATTCGATCCATTCTCTGTTCTCTGGTTGGCTGTTGATCAGTGGATTAAACTGAGAAACTCCATCAAAGAGAAACCAATTATACAATTGAATGCTGAACAAATCACTAAAGATTTGCAGACAATTTACCAGAGTCTCCACAAATCAACGAAGAATTTCAGAAACGGACCAACATCAGTCCTCCAAATTGCAACAGAACTCAAACAAGAATGCAATGAAATGAAGGACCATATCCCTCTTCTTACTGCTCTTCTTAACCCTGGTATGAAGCAGCGTCACTGGCAGAAATTGTCAGAAGAAATCGGATTCGAGTTTGCCCTTGATGATGAAATCACTTTGAACGATGCATTGGAACTCAAGTTAGAAGACAAGATCGATGTTGTTTCAGAAGTTGTCGGTGTTGCTTCCAAGGAATATTCCATCGAAACAGCCCTCCAAAAGATGTATTCCGAATGGGAAGAAGTTGTTTTGGACATTTCTCCTTACAAAGACACAGGAACATATGTCCTCAAAGGATCAGATGATATCATCCAGAAACTCGATGATGACATGGTCATGACAAACACAATGGAATTCTCTCCATACAAGAAACCATTCGAAGAACGTCTCAACCGTTGGGAAGCAACATTGAAGTTGATCACTTATGTCATCGAAGAATGGTTGGAATGCCAGAGATCATGGTTGGCTTTGGAACCAATCTTCTCATCTCCTGATATCAGAAAACAGTTGCCAACAGAATCAGAAAGATTCTCAACTGTCGATAAGACATGGAGAAAGATTCTTGATAACGCTTACAGAACACCACAAGCATTGAAGTTCTGTCCAAGCGACAAACTCCTTGAAGATTTCAAGCACAACAACAAACTCCTCGGCCATGTTCAGAGAGGTTTGAATGATTACTTGGAATCAAAACGTGTCGCATTCCCAAGATTCTATTTCTTGTCAAACGACGAACTTCTTTCCATCCTTTCACAAACAAAGGATCCAACAGCTGTCCAGAGACACTTGAGAAGATGTTTCGAAAATATTGGTTCTTTAACTTTCGAAAAAGATCTAAAGATGACAGAAATGAACTCCTGCGAAAACGAAAAAGTTCCATTCGTCAGAGGTATCTATCCAGAAGGAAATGTCGAAAACTGGCTTCTTGAAGTCGAAGCAGACATGAGAGAAACACTCAGAGACATCATGAAGAAAGCTGTCGAACAATATCCGAAAGTTCCAAGAACAGAATGGGTTCTCAACTGGCCATCACAAGTTGTTCTTGCAGGCGCTATGATCTATTGGACAAAGCACGTAGAAGAAGCAATCAAACGCCATGCAGTTAAGGAATTACTTGATGCATTAAATGTCCAAATGATCGAACTCACTAAATTGGTCAGAGTAACAACAGATTTCTTGAACCTCAGAACATTATCTTGCTTGATTGTTCTCGATGTACACGCACACGATGTCGTTGAGAAACTCGTTGAAGTCGGTGTTGATTCTATCGACGCATTCGAGTGGATGTCACAATTAAGATATTATTGGGAGAACGATACTGTCTTAATTAGAATGATGACATACGAAGTCGAATACGGTTACGAATACCTCGGAAACACAAGTAGATTGGTCATCACTCCTTTGACAGATAGATGCTACTTGACACTTACTTCCGCCCTCCAAATGAATATGGGTGGCGCTCCACAAGGACCTGCTGGAACAGGAAAGACAGAAACAACTAAGGATCTCGCTAAGGCTGTCGCTTTCCAGTGCGTCGTTTACAACTGCTCTGAAACTGTCGACTATTTGCAGATGGGTGTCTTCTTGACAGGTTTGGCTTCTTGCGGTGCATGGGCTTGCTTCGATGAATTCAACCGTATTTACGTCGAAGTTCTCTCAGTTATTGCACAGCAGATCACAACAATTCAGAACGCCATTCAAGCAAATCTTAAGGTGTTCAGATTCGAGAACCGTGATGTCAAGTTATCTCCACGTTGCGCAGTTTTCATCACAATGAACCCAGGTTACGCAGGACGTACAGAACTTCCAGATAACCTCAAAGCATTGTTCAGACCAGTGGCTATGATGGTTCCTGATTACAGAATGATTGCAGAAATCAAGTTGTATTCATTCGGTTTCACAGAAGCTCGTCCTCTTTCCGAGAAGATTGTCGCTACATTCAGATTATCTTCCGAACAATTATCAGCACAGCGCCACTATGATTTCGGTATGCGTGCTGTCAACACTGTCATTCAGACAGCAGGTAACTTAAGGCGCCTGCAGCCTGACATGCCAGAAGCACTCATTGTCTTGAGAGCCATCAAAGATGTCAACGTTCCAAAGTTCTTAGTCAACGATTTAGTTCTCTTCAACGATATCATTTCCGATTTGTTCCCAGGTGTCAAGGAGAGAACATTAGACTACACAGCTTTGATCGATGCCATCAAGACATGTGCAAAGAAGATGAAGCTCCAAGTCAACGATCTTTTCATCACAAAGATCAGACAACTCCACGAAACATTCGCCGTCAGATGGGGTGTTATGTTGGTCGGTCCAACAGGTGCTGGTAAGACACAAGTCTTCAAGACACTTGCCGCTGCTTGCACATTGCTTAACCAGACTAACCAGACCTTCAAGAAGACACATTACCACATCCTTAACCCTAAGTCAATCACTATGGGTCAATTGTTCGGTGAATTCGATATGACAACACACGAATGGACAAACGGTGTTCTTTCAGAGATTATCAAGCAATGCTCTGAAGATGAAACACCAGATAACCAGTGGATTGTCTTAGATGGACCTGTCGATGCTTTGTGGATCGAAAACATGAACACAGTTCTCGATGATAACAAGAAACTCTGCTTGTCATCATCAGCTGTTATCAACTTCACAGACAGAATGATGATGCTTTTCGAAGTCGAAGATCTCGCTGTGGCTTCTCCAGCTACAGTTTCTCGTTGCGGTATGGTTTTCATGCAGCCAAACCCAGACATGAAGTATCTTTTGGAATCATGGGTAGAAAACCAACATCCAGGATTACAAAAGGCTTTGATGGAAATCTTGTCACCTTTGTACGACAAGTATCTCGTTCCAGCACTTAAATTCGTTAGAGAAAGACTGAAAGAACCAATCAAGACAACAAACTCCAACTTGATCCAGTCATTGCTCAGATTATTCCATGCCTTGATCCAGCCATTCTACTCTCCAGACCCAGTAGATCCAATCAAGGATGATGCAATGGCAAATATCACTAAATGGGCACCTCACTTCTTCTGGTTTGCCATGATCTGGTCATTGGGATGCACAACAGATACAGATGGCCGCATCATGTTCGATGGATTCGTCCGCCAGCAGCTCAGAACAACATATATCCAGTTCCCATCAGAAGGATTGGTTTACGATTACAAGTTCAACACAGCAAATGACACATGGGAGAATTGGATGGCCGGACAACCAGCATATCATATCTCTCCAGGCACATCATTCAACGAAATTGTCGTTCCAACAATTGATAATGTCAGACACACATTCCTCATCCAGACATTGTTAACTGCTGGTTACAACTTCTTCTGCACTGGTCCAACAGGTACAGCGAAGTCCGTAACAATCAACAGATACATGATGTCTTCTCTTTCTCCAGAAACATTCATGCCTATCTTCATTTCATTCTCCGCCCAAACAAACGCAAACCAGACACAAGATATCATCGACGCAAAGTTCGAACGTCGTCTCAAAGGTGTCTACGGTCCATTGGATAGAAAGCGCGCTATTATCTTCTTCGATGACGTCAACATGCCAGCGAAAGAAGTCTACGGAGCACAGCCACCAATCGAACTCCTCAGACAATGGTTAGATCACGGAGGATGGTACGATCGCAAGGCATTAGAATTCCACAAACTCGTTGATTCACAGATGATTTGCGCTTGCGGACATCCAGGTGGTGGCAGACAGCATCTCACAGCCAGATTCACAAGACAATTCAACCTGTTCAACTTCCCAGAAATGCAGGATGAATCCCTCCAAATGATCTTCAAGACAATGTTGGATTCTTATCTGACAATCTTCGACAGATCAATCCAGGCTGTTGCAATTTCTATTGCAGATGCAACAATCTCCATTTACAACACTGTCAGACGCACAATGCTTCCAATTCCTTCAAAGTCCCATTACACATTCAACCTTCGTGATGTTTCTAAAGTTATCCAAGGTGTCATGTCACTTCACAAAGCACACATTGACACAGATAGAGACATCATCGCTGTCTGGGCACACGAATGCACAAGAGTTTTCGCAGACAGACTCGTTGACAAGCTCGATCTCGATGCGTTCTCTGAGTTGTTGAATAAGGAATTGCAAGGAAGATTCAAGGTATCAATGGATGATCTCAAGAAGACAAAGAACTTGTTGTATTGCGACTTCTTCGAAGAAACAAACGAACAGAAGCCATACGTACAAGTTACTGATGAAAAGAAGCTTGAAACAATCCTTAACAACGCTATGGCTGATTATGATGAAATCGCCACAAAGAAGTTAGGATTAGTCCTCTTCCCAGATGCCATTGAACACGTCATCAGAATCTCCAGAATCATTCGTCAGCCATCAGGACACGCTTTACTTCTCGGTGTCGGTGGCTCTGGTCGTCAATCATTGACACGTTTGGCCTGCCATCTTTCCGAGTACACAATCATCCAGCCAGAAATCACAAAGACATACGGCACAAACGAATGGCTCGCTGATATCAGAACAGTCATGAAGAGCGCTGGTTACGAAGAGAAACCAACTGTTTTCTTGGTATCTGATGCACAGATTGTCAAGGAGTCATTCCTTGAAGATCTCAACAACCTTCTCAACTCCGGTGATGTTCCAAACATCTTCCCACCAGAAGATATCGAAGAAATCATCGAAAAGATCCGTCCAATTGCCCAGCAAAAGGACATCCAGCTTTCAAAGCCTTCAATTTATAACTTGTTCATTCAGAGAGTCAAATCTGCACTCCACATCGTCATTGCTTTGTCTCCAATTGGTGAAGCCTTCAGAAGAAGACTGCGTATGTTCCCATCCTTGGTTACATGCACATCAATTGATTGGTTCTCTGATTGGTCAAAGGACGCTTTGTTCTCTGTCGCTCAAGAGTTCTTCGCAGACACATTCCCGAACGAGAAACTCCAGGAAGTCTGCTCAAACTTCTGCGTTACAGCACATACATCTGTCGTAGAAATGTCCAAGGAACTCTTCCAGCACGAGAAACGCCATAACTACGTAACTCCAACATCATTCTTGGATTTCGTTCAACTTGTCAACAGAATTCAGACAGAAAAGATGAAAGAAATCTCCAAGATCAAACAGTCCATGGAAACAGGTCTTTCCGCTTTGCAAGTTGCTAACTCATCAGTCAAGGACTTACAGGAGAAGATCATTGCTTTGCAGCCAACTTTGGATCAGCTCATCAAAGATGCTGATGCAAGTAAAGTTGAAATTGCAGCTGAAGAAGAAAAGACAAACGAAGTTAGAGCTAAAGTCGAAGCAGAAACTAAAGTCGCTGAAGCAAAGAAGGCAGAAACACAAGAACTCAAAGATGCTGCTGAGAAAGATCTCGCTGAAATCATGCCTGTTCTTGAAAAGGCTCAAGAAGGTGTCAAAGGTCTTTCATCAAAGGCTATTTCTACTGTCAGATCATACACAAATCCACCACCAGCTGTCAGAGATGTCATGAAAGGTGTTTGCATCTTGTTAAGACAGCACGTCATCACAGAACCAGGTAAATTACCTGGTGAGGTCGTTGAGAACTGGTGGGGCACTTCACAGAAGGTCCTTGCCGATCCTCGTTTCAGAAACAGACTCGAGAAGTTCACTGAAGAAGAAAAAGACAATATTCCAGATTCTGTCATCCAGAAACTTTTGCCACTTTACAAGTCAGAAAACTGGTCACCAGAAAAAGCCGGTGCTTGCGGTGAAGCCACATTATCATTGTTCAACTGGGTTGTTGCCATGGGACAATACCACGATGCAAGAAAGGCAGTTCTTCCTAAAGAAGAAGCCCTCAAACAAGCTCAGTCACAACTTGATGTCGCTCAGAAAGCTCTCGATGAATCATTGGCCAAACTCAAAGCAGCCGAAGACAAGATTGCCAAGCTGAGAGATGACTTCCAGCAGGTCGTTTCGAAGAAGGATGACTTGCTCCAGCAGCAGGAAGAGTGCAAGTCAAAGCTCAGCCGTGCAGAAACATTGATCAACAACCTTTCCGGTGAAAAGGGACGTTGGGAAGCAACATTGAACTCCGTCATCGAACAAGAGAAGAACTTGACAGGTGATGTTTTAGTTGCTGCTGCAGGTGTTGCTTACTCTGGACCGTTCCCAAGCGAGTACAGAGCAAGATTACTCAGAACATGGATTGACTTCCTCTCCAAGAACAACATCACAACATCTCCAGGATCTTCAATCATCCAGACACTTCAAGATCCAGTCGAAGTTCTCAAGTGGAACTTGAGCGGTTTGCCAAGAGATAACATGAGCCTTGAAAACACAATCATCATGTCAAAGTCAAGGAGATACTCTCTCTGTATCGATCCACAAGGCCAGGCAAACAGATTCATCAGAAACTTGAACAAAGATAACCAAATGGAAATCGTCAAATTAACTGATGATAACTTGGTCAGATCAATCGAAAACTCTATCAGATTTGGCCGACCACTTTTAATTGAAAACGTTCCAGAAGAGTTAGATCCAATCTTAGATCCAGTTCTCCAGAACCAAGTCTACAAACAGAGTGGTGCTGATGTCATCAAGATCGGTGATACAGTCATTCCTTACAACAGAGGTTTCAGACTGTACATCACAACACAGCTTCCAAATCCACACTTTTCTCCAGAGTTATCAGCCAAGGTTTGCCTTCTTGATTTCACTTGCACACCAAGTGGTTTAGAAGAGCAGTTGCTTGCTTTGGTTGTCGCCAAGGAAAGACCAGAACTCGAAGAAATGAAGAACAACTTGGTTATTCAGAACTCAAAGAACCAGAAGAAGTTACTCGAAATCCGTGCGAAGATGTTGGATTGCCTCGAAAAGACAGAGCCATCTAAACTCCTTGATGATATCGAGATCATTACAACACTCACAGAATCAAACACAATGTCACAAACAATCCAACAACAAGTTAAAGAAGCCGAAGAAACAGAAAGAACAATTGATACATCAAGACAAACATACAGACAAGTTGCTTTCCGTGGTTCTCTTCTCTTCTTCTGCATTTCAACATTGTTCTATGTTGATCCAATGTACCAGTACTCATTGGCATGGTACATTTCCTTCTTCTCTTTGTGCATTGATCAAACACCTGCATCTGATGTTTTAGAAACAAGATTGTCACTTCTTATTGACACATCCACGAAGAACTTCTACAACAACATCTGCAGATCATTGTTCGAAAGACACAAGAGAATGTTCGCATTCCTTTTGTGCTACAGAATCATGCAGGGCGCAAACGAAATCGACTCAAGAGAGTTGAGATTCTTAATCGCAGGTCCAATCAGACAAATCGAAGAAGGAGAGAATCCAGCACCGAAATGGCTCACTTCCAAGTCATGGTACGAAGTTAAGTCATTAGATACATTGCCAAACTTCAAAGGATTCAGAGAATCATTTGTCCAAGACATCGACATTTGGAAATCAATCTTCGATTCTCCAGATGCTTCAAGATGCAAGTTCCCAGGCGAATGGGAAGTCAAACTCACATTATTCCAGCGTCTTTTGGTTCTCAGAGTTCTTAGACCAGACTCAATGGGTAACGCCATTCAAGATCTGATCCAGAAGCGTCTTGGCGATGCATTCCTTGAATCACCACAGTTCGATATCAGTTCATCCTTCGATGATTCAACAGTCACCGCTCCACTTATCTTCGTACTTTCAGTTGGTGCTGATCCTGCTTCAGATTTAGTCAAATTCGCTGAGAAGAAGAACTTCAGCAAGAAGTTGTCATCAATGTCACTCGGCCAAGGCCAAGGTGAATACGCCGAACAGAGATTGACAGAGGCCATGGATAGAGGACATTGGTTACTTCTCCAGAACTGCCACCTCGCTGTTTCCTGGCTTCCAAGATTAGAAATTTTGATCGAAAAGATCAAACCAGAAGAAGTCAACAGAGACTTCAGATTGTGGCTCACATCAATGCCATCAGCAGACTTCCCAGTTTCAATTCTCCAGAGAGGTATCAAGATGACAAACGAGCCTCCAAAGGGCATCAAGCAGAACTTGCTCAGATCAATGATGCAGTACGATGACAAGACACTCAACGACTGCGCCAAACCATTTGAGTACCACAAGCTCATCTATTCTCTCTGCTTCTTCCACGCATTGACACTCGAAAGAAGGAAGTACGGACCGCTCGGTTTCAACCAGATTTACGACTGGACAACTGGCGATTTGGAGATTTCCCAGAAGCAGCTCAAGATGTTCTTAGATCTCTACGACCAAGTTCCTTACAAGGTTTTGACCTATTTGACCGGCGAAATCAACTACGGTGGTCGTGTTACAGATGACTGGGATCGCCGCACATTGTTATCCATTTTGGACGATTTCTACAACCCAGATGTCATATCAGATACATACAAGTTCACAGAAAATCCAAGATACACAAGCCTTCCTGAGCAATCCCACAAGATGTACATTGCTTCCATCAGAGAATATCCAATCAACGATTCTCCAGACATCTTCGGATTGCACGCAAACGCTGAAGTTTCCTATCAGCAGTCAGAAACATTCACAATGTTCAACAACTTGTTGCTCCTCCAGGCAAGAACAGGAGGCGGCGGAAGTGGCCAAACAAGAGAAGAAGTCATCAACGGACTCGCAACAGATCTTCTTCGCGAAGTTCCTGATGTATTCGACATGCCAGCAATCCAGCAGAAATATCCAATTAAATACGAAGATTCAATGAACACTGTTTTGGTCCAACAGTGCGAAATGTACAACAAACTCATCACCATTTGCAAGACATCATTGAGAGATATCATCAACGCTCTCAAGGGCATTGTCGTCATGTCAGGAGAACTCGAAGCAATGGGTGATTCTATGTTCGATAACCATGTTCCAACAATGTGGAGTGACCAAGGTTATCCATCTACAAAGCCACTTTCTGGATGGATGCAAGACCTCAAGAAGAGAGTCAAGTTCCTCCAGGATTGGGTAGAACGTGGCCCACCAACTGTATTCTGGATCTCAGGATTCTTCATGCAGCAGGCCTTCTTGACAGGCATCAAGCAGAACTGCGCAAGAAAGAACCAGATCGGTGTCGATACAATTTCATTCGGATTCGAAGTCATGGATACTGAGAATCCTCCACCAAGAAAGGACGAAGGAGTCTACATCACAGGTTTGTTCATCGAAGGAGCTTCTTGGGATCCAGTCAAGAAGGTTCTCGCTGATCCAAGACCAAAGGAGTTGTTCCAGGCAATGCCACCAATTGTCCTCAAACCAATCGGAAACAGAAAGAAACCAACAACAGGAATCTACGAGTGCCCTGTTTACAAGGTCGGAACAAGAAAGGGAACTCTTTCTACAACTGGCCACTCTACAAACTATGTCTTAACAATCGAGTTGCCATCTGATAAACCACAATCATTCTGGATCAAACGTGGTGTCGCTATGATTTGCTCACTTTCATATTAAAATAAAAAATTTATTTTCTTATTATTTATAAATTATTAATCTATTTTTTTCTATCTTGTTGCATTAGTAATTATATATATACATGCATTTATTAGCTCTGATATTACTTGCATTTCATCAAAAGTTACCGAATAGCAAACTCATTTACAAGAAGAAATAAATCATATCAAAAGGATTTATAGGATTTGTAGTGAATTATGGATCTTAGAGTTCACATATACTCTAAGTTATCATATATTTAGCATCTTCACATGCTAAAACTATGAGATTATTGATATAACACAAAGAAAGGTATTTTGGAATAATGAATAATCAAGTTTGAAGTTTTCTCATGCACCCTTTCAAGTTTGAATACTATTGTTTAGGATCAAGTTATAAGAAATTATGCAGATTCAATTCGAAATCATGTGGCATTTTTTTTCAAGAATCCAGAATTTTTTTTTTGACAAAAAAATAAATGACGCAATTATATTTAACAGAAGAACAGTTTATTGCAGTTAAAAATCATAATTTTACATTCGGATCGGATAGTAGTGCGTCAGATATAACAAAATACGTTCTTCCTAAAGAAATTGGAGTAAAATATTCTCCTCTTTTCCTAAATTCACCGAAAATACAACACATTGCAGCTTATTACGGCTATATCGAGCTACTCAAATACCTATGTATACAAAATGCTAACAATAATCGTGATTTGATGGAACCTGATAAAAATAGATTGACAACAATTCATTTTGCGGCAGCCGGCGGCCAATTCGAAACAATAATTTTTATTGCTGACCAAGTAGGCAGTGAAGGAATCAAAGATGGAACGAATAGAACGATTGTACACTACGCTTGTCAATTTGGACATGTTAGGATATTATCATGGGCTTATTCTCATAAGATAGACCTAGAAGAGAATTGCCGTGATGGTTATCCTATTCATTTAGCTTGTTTTAACCAACATTTTGATATTATCGAATTTTTATGCCAAAAGAAGGTAAATGTCAACCAAACGTTCTCATTTAGAAACGAAATTATTACTCCACTTACTTTATGCTTCAAAAATGGCTTTTCTGAGGCAATTCCTTTATTAGCCTCAGCAGGAGCAGATTTTTCAGCCAATGACAATTCGTGGCCATTTATTTTCACATGCATACAAAGAGGAAAGCTAGAATACATCAAACTACTGATTTTTTACAAATATGATATCAATAAAAAGGACATAATTGGCTGGACACCAATCCACAAAGCTTGCTCGGTCATGAATGAAGATATTATCGACTTACTACTCGAAAACAACGCAAATCCATGCGTAAGAACAAATGCTGGCGCAACTCCATTTGTTTTGGCCAGAAACAAGTGCGTGGTCGACGAACAAACAAAAATTTTGGAAAAACTTCGTACAAAAATTTGCGAAATCATGGCAAAAAGATTTTTGATGCATGCTATTTCTCAGAAGTAACCAGTTTTAATGTTACAAGTTATTTCTTATGATTTAGTTCAGTTTTTTTGTTTAATTTTTATGAAAAATACAAAATTCAAAAAATTCTTTGGAAAAAGAGTTTGTTTCACTTTGTTTTATCATTACCTTTATGTTTTGCATATGTTTTTATTGCTGCCAACTTTGATTTGTGTTGATTTGCAATTTTTGTTCCATTTTAACACAAAATCAAATTGACTAACTAAATTCTATTCTTTTTATGTCTTAATTTTTAATGTTTAGTAACAAGAAACTCATTTATTTATGAGAGACAAAAATTATATTAAGGGTGCACCCGTATGTACGTTTATTTGAGAGGAGGAGGATTACCCTCTCAATTTTGAGGGATTCGTTAGTTTATTTTCTCGATGAATATGCAATAAAATTTGATTTTTACCTTATCAATATACTTCATATAATATACACATGTTCATGTAAAAACTTTTTTCCAAAATCCTCAGGAATTAAGGGATTTTTGAATTTTAAGAATTTTTTTCGAATTTTTTCGAAAAAAAAATATTTTCAGAACAGCCTTAACGGCTAAGATTTAGGAACAATGTTAAGTATCAAAAAGAAAGGAGGTCTGATATAGACAACATATATCGTTGAAGGTTGAAAAAATCTCTAATATTTGAGCCCAAAATTTCAAATTTTAATTTTTTGAAAAAAGAGGCCACCCGTATGTACGTTTATTTGAGAGGAGGAGGATTATATTTTTGAAAGGGTGAAACATTATGAATATGTTAATTATATAATAATATGTATTATTATAAAAAAGAAAAAATAAAGCACGTTAAAATTTTTCTTTCTTGATTTTTTACAAAATCTACTTCGAATTATGCAAAATATGACTAAATAATTATAAATTTCAAGTTAAATTTTAATTTTGATAAATAATTTAAATTTCAAAATATCAAGTTCAGTTCGACTATGTATGTAGTAATTCCTCAATAAAATGCCAAAACCCTATTAAAATATATGAACATTTTCAACATTTTAATGTTTTTATTTAAAAATTTGATGGAATATGAGCTTCAAACAATTATTATGTAAATAAAAATAATTAAATATATGTATTTATTCGTATTACAACCGTAGTAAGTCGATTCTTCCTTTCTTCTACTGAGTTTTGAATTTGATTTCGAATTGTAAAGAGATTCAAAGGGAAAATACTAGCGGAGAAAAACTACCTCCATGAAAGGGTCATAATGGAGTCAACTTGTATTTTTTGATATTTTTTGCTTTTCGAGCCTAAATAGGTAGCCAAGATAATGCCTAAAAATAAGGTTCTAAATTCTGAAGTTTACATGATCATCTCGTGTGCACCCTTAAGGGTTGATTCAAAATTGTGAGAAATGTCAGAAAATTTAACGACAATTTGAACAAATTTGTCAGACAAACTCCCGAAACCTTAAAATTTGAGAGAGAACACAGGTTTTTGTAAATTTTATTTATGTAGTGGATAATTCTCCAAGCTTCCAAGTAGTTCCTGACTCAAAATTGCTCCACTCATCAAGCAGCGAATGGGAAGAAGTCTACAAATCCACTTATTCAAAATCAATAAACAATCAAAATCAAAAATACGCTGGATATTCAGGAGACTTTTATGTTTGTGATGTCTATTTTTCAAATCTTGGCGACGATGGAGTTATTGTTCTCGAATCATCAGATGTTAAATCACTTATTTCAACGTGTACATTCCAAAATTCATCTCGAAAAGGCGATGGTGGATCAATTTACATCATAAAAGGCCAAAGCTCTATTCGAAAGGTTTGTAGTTTTGGATCAAAGGCAACAGGTGACGGATCTTTTTGCCGAGTTGAAATTTCAGATGTAAGTACAAACGTCAATGAACTACACGATTCATCGATTACATATGGAAATCAAGAATCTCTTGTTGGACGCCTTACAGTCTATTAACTTATGGAAATATTTCATTTTTCCATGACAACATCACAAGAAACTATGCTAATGGCAGTGCAGCTTTTGGAGTATCATCTGGATATGCAACTTCAATAAAATATTCACTTATTAATGAAAACTCTGCAGAATCAGGAATTTGCTACATAGGACTCAAACCAACTAAAATAAACAACATCATTTTCACAAACAACATTGTTTTCTTGTTGGAAAAATGATGTAACTTTGGAAAACTGTTTCATTGCAAATAACAAACAAAATGGACAATATTTATTCGGAATTACTACATCTGGTTCATTTACAGTATCTAATTCATATATTGATACTACAGAAAAATTATATCTACCAGGACAAAATGTTATAATTGGACCAAACAAAGAAATTTCACTTGAACTCAATCATTTTTCAACTGAATTGTGTCCTGGAGGTAAATATTTAGTTTCTTACTACCATGAATATAATTCCGCTCATATTGGCAATATCCATCGCTATAAAGATTTATTTAAGCAGAGGAGATAAAAAACTACATTAAAAGATCCCAAAAGAAGATATTTAATTTATATTTTTTGAAAATTTCCACAAATTAAAGATCTCGAATCTTTGTTTTAGATTAGAATCTTACTAAACACCATATACCTATGCTAAATTGTCATATTTCAAACCAGATTTTTTTTATTTGTTTTGATTTTTAGATTCAGCAAAAAAACTCAATAACTTTATAAGGTATTAGCTTTATATTATACTGTTATTAATAAACTAGATTCCTAAGAGATGGAAATTTTAATTTTTTTAAAAATTACATTTTATTAACAAAAATCTATACTAATATACAACACATTCTATGGTTTGTCTTCTTCATCTTCTTCAGGGAAATATTTCAAAACAATTCCGACGTATTCAACAACAGAGTCAGAGGCATCGTAATATAAATCCATAAGCTTTTCATAGATGCCATTTTCAACAAGATCATTGATATATGTCTCTCTGAACTCATCTTTTTGCAAATTATTCAGAACAATGTGAAGAATTGTGAGGTAGGAAATAAGATGGTCAGTTTCGCAATCGACTTCTTCAAGGAACTCTGAATATTCTAAAAGAAAATTATAAAAATTTTGAGGCTCAACGAGTTGTTGGAAATTTCTAGCGTAAACTGATATAAATTTAACAATTATACACTTCATGGTAAACAATCCTTGAATATTCATGATGTCTTCAAGTGGAATATTTGATAAAACTTGTTGACTGAAATTTCTATCAGATTTCATATTATTAATTGCTCTACTGTGAATCTGTAACAATATTCCGATTATTCCTTCCTTACTTTCATCATATTCTGTGAAGAAATAATTAAATTGTGGTAAATCAGCGAGTTCATAATACATTCTTCCTGTATTTCCATCACTTATATTAATGAGATTGTCTACAAGTCTTAAATATGATTGCAATAATATGATATCGCACTCAAATTCTCCTTCTTGAGATTTTGTATCCAAAAAGCGATCACGGATTACAGGAAACAAATTATTTCTATCAAATTCTTGTAGTCCATCTGGGTAATTGCTTAAATACATAATAATTGCATTTAATATTCTCAACATCGCTGTTTGAGAAAGATTTTCGTGGAGAATGAAATCTCTAAAATCTTTAAACATCATGTACTTGAGAATCTTTGGATTACAATGTTTGATTATGTATTCATAAATTTTTGAACCGTTTTCGATCTCTTCTTCTGAGAAATCTAAGCATTGTATTGCAGCATTTCGTATTTCGAGCACATCTAAGTTATCTTGGTTATCTTCTACGTTCGAAATAAAAGCAAAAATTAATTTTGAACACCAAGAGTAAATTTCAGTAATTTCAGTATTTTGGCATTCATTTATTGCAGATTCGAATATACTACTGAAAAATTCTTGTCTATTTGGAAGTGAAATCAATATATTGTAAGATAATCTAAAAATTTGAAGAACATCTTCAGTACCAGTGAGTGTAACAAGTGATTTTGCAATTTCGCTGTAAAATTCATCGAAATCGAGGATTTTGGCTACTTTTTCTGGATTATAAACGAGAGCTTGATTAAATTCATCTAAAATTGATGTTATTGCAGTAATGTCACCGTCTGAAATTGATTGTTGCAATTGAGAAACTAATCCCAACAAAATGGAAACATCATTTTCTGTAATTTGATTAGATTCTCCATTTTTAGCATCAAAGTGCTTTAGTAAGCCACTAAGGCCATCATTATTTTCTTTTTCGTCACCAAATTTATAATCTTCTTCCATTTTTTCATCAAATTGCGCTCAAAAAAGTGTCAACTGCATAGATGAAGCATAACTTGAGTGCATCTCTACAATATCATTGATGCATTCTTTCTTATCTTAACTATTTGTTCTGAATTCGTGACTCTCACACAAAAACATTTGATTTCTTTCTTTATTAGCTTCAAATTAATCCTTTTTCAGCATGAGTTGAATACATTTCTCTTTATTTCCGATAACAGTCTAATGTATTACGCCATGGACACTAATATCCCATAAAAATAACTTCATTATTTTCAAATTTTAAATGTTGTTTGAAAAAAAAAGACAGAAATATTAAAATAATATATAAAACTATTTAAAACGTAAACTATTATGCCTAACAAAATTAGCTTTGGCGTAATTTGAGCAAGCTCCATCTATCCGAGCTTTCTACAATCATAAACTGATCGAGAAGTTCCCTATTCCGCGAAACAAGCGGAACTGGAACAAATTCAAGAAGGTATTTCATATGATATTTCCTCATAAGGTTCGGAGCACCTCCAAGAAGGTCGATTTGCCTTAAAACAGCTGTTGGAGTTGCGAAATCTTCACCTCTCATCCATATATTATAAGGTAAAGATGAGAAAATCTGACGACCAGCCGAAAAAGAGATTGGATTGAACGGAATCTGTATTGTAAGGACTGTTTCATTGATTGGAACATGAGTTGCGACCCAACGAGAGGCAGTTAGCGCTTCTTGATCTGTACATGGCTCAAAAGCCGACAATTGACGTCTGTTTGACATAACGCCTCCAAGTATAGATAATATAACTAACAATGAGAAGGATCCGATCAAAATTCCTCGAGATTTTTCTTTCAATTTTTTGACAGACTTTCCAAACGCTCCGAAAGTGATATTCGTAAGAATAGGGAGTATTGTAAAGGCTATCGCAGCCGAATTATCATATAAAAATGCTCCATTTCTGAAGAATGAAATGAAACACATTGAACAAAGCATTGAAACGTATTTATGGATGATATCTGGGTTAGTCATGAATAATGGAGCCAAGATAATCATAAAAGATAATGGTCCGAGGGCGTCAATCCAAGATACGATTTGTGCAAAGAAAATTCCATTCATTTGGTACTCGCGCCATATTGGTTGTGATCTGAGACTGCTATAGAAGTACTTAAACACAAAGGAAATGAAGAATGGACCAGCAAATATGACAGAATACAATTGGCAAAGGGAATAAATGGCCAATGAAGCTGAAACCATGAAACTTGGACATAATGCAATTAATAGACCTGCAACCATATAGTTTTCAAACTGTTCATTCGTATTTGCAAATTTATGTAACAAAATTAAGGAAAAAATAGCCATTGGAAAGGCGAATGAGTATGTTTTGGAGAATAATATGAATTGGCTGAATATTTGATACATAGGAACATGGTATTCTCGGCCAACATTATGAACTAAATCAACATGGTCATTTCTAACGGTAAAGTTCCTAATAAACGCCCATCCTCCATTCAGGAGTACGAAAAGAGCTGCATAGGCTTGATATTTATGATAATATCCGGCTAAATGGAAAAGAGAAACTGCAGAAGCGAAAGTATTTAAGAATGAAATGGCAAATGAGATATCATGGAATGGGGCATTCAAACCGACAAGTAACGCCGTGTAATAATGGATAGTTGGCGATGAAAGATAGGTACTATTGATAACCATTGGATCTTTTAGCTGGAAAAATGATTCTCTTTTACGGTTGATACCAATGAGTATGGATGTTGCCATTGTATGGTCTGTTTCTATATCATATTTTGAATTTTGAATAATATGATTTGGAAAAGCAGCAAATAAGCGTGTATTTAAGGTAATTGCATATATTAGTGATAGTATTACATGAAAATGCAACCAAGGATTTGGCTCGATAGAAGTTTTGAATAAATCTTTAAAACTAACGTTGCGAACGTATTTAACAATGAGAATTGCGATAACTGAAAATAGTATATGCAATATCATGACAACATTGGTGAAGGATGGTTGAAATTCTACAAAATATGTCAAAATAAATAAGAAAAATGACGTTGAAGTTGCTCCAATCAGCCATCCAATCGATAAATGTGTAAGGACTTGTAAGAATCTCCTTTTAATAAGGAAGAGAATCGATGATCCAAACAGTAATGTCGTAAAAATTAGATGTATTATCATCAATTAAAAAAAAATTTCGTAACTTTTCTTTCAAAATATCGGTGTGAAGCGCCAATAAAATGTGGTTACACTAATAAGCAAGAAATCATACACACCATTTCCATTATCAAGTTGGGTCAAAATGGAACCATAGAATTCAATTTTTCTGACTGATATTTATCCTTTTTCTTTAACATGACCATTATTGATCTCGATAACCATCGTACTATTTATAACTGATCCATGACATGTTAGTTTTCTTCTTTTATATTTATAACTATACTTTTTTCAATGTTCTCTATTTGATCACATCTGATTGCTGCATAAATAATGCAAATCAGTTATAATGCATATAATTAAAAGAAAAGGCTCTTTTAATGTCTTAAATAACGGCAATAAAGATTTCAAAATTATTAGAAAAGAGATCTTAACTTGTGAAAACTCTATACATAACATACTTCAAGGGGTAAGTAAGAAATCCAATCCAAAAAACTGATGAATTAGGAAATGAGATCCGATTTTGTAATCAACTTCGAGTATTTGAACTGAAATGATAGGGTTTCGCTTACATATCATATTTGAAGCATTTTATATCCGATTTGATTTTTTTTTTCAACCCAATCCTAAAAAAAATTTCTCAAAAAAATGGCGGAAGCTTTCCCTCAAGAGATACAAACGCTTCTTGAGAGAAAAAAGTTTGCTGATGCCAAGAAGGCCTGTGAAGAGAGAGGTATTAGCACAATTGAAGTTCAAAAAAGTATCACAGATGAAATTAACAGAGCGAATTTCGAGCTGAAAAACAAAAACGCAGAATCTGCCATGAACTATTTCATTAACTTGATTGGTGCTATCGAACCATCTATGGTTCTTTGCAAATTCTTCAGTCCTCACCTTACACAATATCTAACCACTTTCCTTGTCGAATTGCATACAAGAGGATATGCTAATGAGCAGCATACACGTCTTTTATTCAATATGTTCCAGAAAGAAGACGATACTCTTTTCGATAAATTTTTGAAACTCCTTGAACAAGCAAAAAGTCAGAAACGAGCTGAAAGCCAAACAGGAAGTAATTTTTTCCTATTCGGAAAAGGCGACAAAACAACGAAATCTAATTACCAAGACTTGTCCGCCTTTTACGAAAATTTCAAGCAAAACACGGGCGCTGCTATGGAAGTTCTTGTTCAAAACGACATGGGCGACAAAGCTTTCTTGCTATCAAATATTATCTCTATTCCTTCGCATCGTGTCAGTCTTTTGATAAATAGCCAAGAAAATTACCTCGAAGCATCAAATCTCATTCTCAAAGAATGTACAACACCTCCTGGTGTCGAAAACGATCTTCTTCAGCCAGCAGCTAACCAGCAAACTCAAAATAATCTTCCAACACCTCGTGGACGCCAATTACTTCTCGAATACGGAGCTACCTTAATTTCCAAGGTCATCGCCAAGAAGTATCCGCAGAAAAACATCGTTATTGACAACATTATTTCCGCAGCTTACCAAGCATGGATCAGGAACGAAGATAGCTCAGACGTCGACTTCATACATGCATTCTGGGGATATCCGGAATATTGTTTTAAGTTCGTTGAGAAGGCTTGCGTTGCTCGTCCAACTCCATTATTAAATACTTGCCTCATTGATTTGACAATTCCTCGTTCTCCGTCACCAGATGAAAAATATCTTGATAAGATATTTAACCTCGAGTGGGAAGGAAAGCCAAATTCCAGTTATTGCCTTAATAAATTAAGAGATAGTACAATTAAGTTCTATTTCGACGAAATTCTCTTCATTTGCAACGAAGTAAGTTTCGTTGAAGGTGTTATCGCATGCCTTGAACGCGCAGGAAACTATTCTGCCGCTTCATCTTATTATATCGCCGCATGTGAGCACAGTCTTGAAGACAAAGCCAAATTTGATAATACATTATCACAGTACGTCAAATGGCTACGCAATAGCCCAAGTTTAAAGAACGACGACTGGGTAGATGTATTTCAATTTTTCATTAAGTACTACAACAAAGCTTCCAACGAATCATTCATGTCCAATCCCAATGACGACCCCCACGATGACCACAAGACCCTCTTTATCCAAAAGATTGTCCTCAAAAACGCCAAAAAAGCCCGACCACTCACTTCTCTCATCCATTACATGTCCAAATTCCCGAACATCCCGCTCAGGATCGTCAAGAAGTCGCTAATGAAGGAGCTCACGAAGAGCGAAAAGGTTCTTGAAAACGAAGTCAACGATCATGAGACAAGTGTTCGCGAAGTTGGCCAAATCGAGAAGCAGATCGAAAGATTGGAAGGCGAGGATATCGAGTTCAGACCAATGAAATGCGAAGTCTGCCATAATAAACTTGATATCCCTTACATCGCATTTATGTGCGGACATATTGTCGACAGGAAATGCTGCATAATTGGTGTAGGAAATGTTCCTATTTGCCCAATTTGCGGTGACCCACATAGCGAAATTACTCCGAAATACAAGATGCCTGAAGAAGCGAAGCGGACTATCCGCCTCGATCCACAGCAGCCGGATTTGTTGAACTCTGTCCTTTCTCTAGTTCACAATGGATACTTCGACAAATAAAAATAAAATAATTCTTTTCTATTTATATTGAACTCTGTCCTTTCTCTAGTTCACAATGGATACTTCGACAAATAGAAATAAAATAATTCTTTTCTATTTATATTGAACTCTGTCCTTTCTCTAGTTCACAATGGATACTTCGACAAATAGAAATAAAATAATTCTTTTCTATTTATATTGAACTCTGTCCTTTCTCTAGTTCACATTGAGAATACTTCGACAAATAGAAATAAAATAATTCTTTTCTATTTATATTGAACTCTGTCCTTTCTCTAGTTCACATTGAGAATACTTCGACAAATAGAAATAAAATAATTCTTTTCTATTTATATTGAACTCTGTCCTTTCTCTAGTTCACATTGAGAATACTTCGACAAATAGAAATAAAATAATTCTTTTCTATTTATATTGAACTCTGTCCTTTCTCTAGTTCACATTGAGAATACTTCGACAAATAGAAATAAAATAATTCTTTTCTATTTATATTGAACTCTGTCCTTTCTCTAGTTCACAATGGATACTTCGACAAATAGAAATAAAATAATTCTTTTCTATTTATATTGAACTCTGTCCTTTCTCTAGTTCACATTGAGAATACTTCGACAAATAGAAATAAAATAATTCTTTTCTATTTATATTGAACTCTGTCCTTTCTCTAGTTCACATTGAGAATACTTCGACAAATAGAAATAAAATAATTCTTTTCTATTTATATTGAACTCTGTCCTTTCTCTAGTTCACATTGAGAATACTTCGACAAATAGAAATAAAATAATTCTTTTCTATTTATATGAATATAAACAATACAATTGAGTTTCCTTAAATACATAAACTTGAAATCATATTTTTCGCGTCTAAACCTTTCAATTACCTCAAATTTTGAGAGACAGACGCGAAGAATATGATTTCAAGTTTATTAAGGGTGCACTTACAACTTTCTAACATTCTCTCAATTTTTTTGACAAACAAGCTTTACATCCTAATTTTATATGATAAAAAGATGATATTTTTGATTGGGAAAGAGTTATTATCATTCACTACCTAGTACCTCATATGGTGGGGAAAAAACAAAATATGGAGAAGGGGAATAGTTATAAAATAATGAAGTATTTGTATGATGATATCAATTTTAGATTTCTGATTAATAACTATATGAATTTCTCAAATAAAATTGAGTGGATTTTGTTCCCGAGATTTTTGCAAAAACGTTTTTTTAAAAAGTACTATAAATTCTTTTACAAAACAATATAACAATATGTATAACTTCAATATTTGAAACAGAAGCTCCGTAATTGATTCGGGATAAAATTTTGAATTATCAAATCATGGAAAAATGGAGTTGTGCGCTTGTCAATATAATGGGTACATCCAAGTGCATTATGGCATTCATTAATACGATGGTTCCAACGTAAAAATCTAATGAATGAGTCAATAACTTCACGTATTATCATTATTTTTTGCAGTATCGTCTAGAATAGCTAGACTGCATGTTGAAATACATGTATGACTGCTTGGATTAATGGTTTCGTGAGTATTCTCGCATGTGGGAAAGTTGCCGTTTAAAATTAAAAATGATTTATCTAAGACTTTAATTTCATTCTCTTTAAAGTGAACTTGATATCCATCTATATTTTCTTATAAAATTAGATCCAAATGTAAAATATTAAATAAATTGAAATCAAATATTGAGATTAGCTGGTTCTATCTATATACATTACTCATACAGTAGCAATAAATAATGATTGTCTTATACATTAATGTTAAATCTATATTTTTATCATTAATGTCAACAAAAAAGTTCCGAAAATATGAAATTAGTCAACAAAACTATACAAATATGTTTTTATTCTTATGTCCATGAACACAGTATGCTTTATATCTTTGGATAGATATCAATCAGGAAAATAATCGATTTTAATTCAAACTATATTTTTATAAAATATTAATTAGAATAATATGAACTACTTATATAGAGAAAATTTTCATTCACAAATTTTTCTGAGGCCGAACCTAAGATTTTGAGAGTACTATAATTTAATGGGTCCTTCGAGATTCTGAGTAAGGGAGATCAGAACATATGTCTTATAAACAAAGAATACATCGTAAATGAGAAGCGACCAAAGAAGCGGAGCTGCAGATGTAAATTTTTTAAAAGCGAATAGTTAATGTGAATTTACAAATGTCAGAAATTTGAATTCTGTCATTTTTGACGAATTTTTGTATATCACATTTTCTCTCTCTAGCTATAATATTATTTTAAATGTAATCAATAAAAATTGTCCGTCACAATTTTTCTGAGGTTGATCAATAAATTTTGAGAGATGTCTTTTTGATGATTCGGAACTGAACATTGTTATTTGTAATCTGTTAAATATATATATTTTCAAAGACAATGACAATTAATTTTCACTTTTACCATTCATGATTTTTTCGTTTTATTTGCCTTTAGTCTTTTGTGAAGACATTGTATTTGACTCAGGAGTTCATTTTATTGCGTAACCAATAGTTATCAAGCAAAATGGAACTACAATCAAAGGAAAGTCAAATACTAGATTAATTGGCGGAATTCAACTTAAAAAATATTCAAAAGTTAGTGACAAAGAGATTTTAGATCGACTAGATCCAAGTGTACGGAATGATGTTTATCAAATCAATTTAAAAGAGCATGGACTTACAAATTTGTTACCTTTTCAACGTAGAGGATTTAACTTTGCACATAATTGTTCACATAATCATCTTTATATTAATCAAAAGCAAATGAATTTAGCTCAATATCCAAAATTGGGAAATTTTATTAAAATTTCGGCTTCAGAAAATCAAACAAAGATCAAAGGTACAATTGGAATCAATGATTCTCATATTTATACTTGGAAATTCCATCCAAACATTATGACATGGGGCTATTGGAGTGCCGGATGGAGTGGATCAACACAAAGAGTGTCAAAAATTGATCCAAATAAACAAATCGTTTATATTGAAGAAGCATCTCGAATCTCATATCCACCAAAACAAGGTAAGCCAATAATGTTTTTCAATATATTGGAAGAGATCAAATATCCAGGAGATTTTTGTATTGATTTTGAAACAAAAATTATATATTTTCTGCCATTTGAAAAATTAAATTCAAAGACCGAAATATTTTTATCAAATTTAACAGCCCCTGTTATCACAGCATACAAAAAAAGAGATATTATTATAAAAGATCTTTCAATTGAATGTACATCTCATCATGGAATCAGATTAACTCAATGCAATAATGTTTTAATTGAACGTTTGAAAATTTTTAATATTGGAATGGATGGAATAAATTGTAACGGAAATAACATTACAATTAGAAATTGTTTAATACATAATACATTTGATAATAGGATTTTTATCGTTGGAGGTAATCGTTTAACATTAGAAAATGGAAATAATTTAATTTATAGAACTGAAATATATTGGTTCGGAAATTTATCAAGAAATTATTATGTAGCAGTCGCAGCATATGGAGTAGGAACAACAATTCGTAATTGTTTATTCTATAATGCACCACACTCAGCTGTGATATGGGGTGGAAATGATCATATATTTGAATATAATGAATTTCATGATATATTGATGGAATCTGATGATGCAGGAGTTTTTTATACAGGAAGCGATTACACATATCAAGGAAATATATTTAGATATAATTATATTCATGATTGTAGACAAGCTCCTAGCAAATTCATTATTGGTATTTATTTTGATTTTTGTTCAGGCGGTGTCTAAATAATCAAAAATGTAATTTATAACATTGAAAGAGGAATATATATTGGAGGAGGAAGAAATGCTTTCATTCGAAATAATGTCTTAATTAATTGTAGTTTTGGTATTATACAAACTGATCATTGTGCTATGAAACAAGGGTCACCATCAATGGAATTGCATCCGATAATATCAGAGAGATATTATAAAATTGGAGGAAAAATTAATGTTTCAGGTTATTTACCTCCTTATTCAACTAAATATCCAAAATTGCCAGAAATTGATAATTATTATAAAAGAGGAACGGTTAAATATCCTCAAATACCTCCTTCTGGAAATATTACTTATAATATTTGCTACGGCAATAAAAAAATATCAGATTACCAATACGCAAGGAGGAAATTTATATTGATAATATTATTAATGCAACTGAATCCGATTTTAAAGATTTTGAAAATAAGGATTTCTCAATTACAAAGGATTCAAGATTAACTCAATTAGGCATTGAAGAAATTGATATGAGAAAAATTGGAATTAATGGTTCAGGTGATGATGAATACATAGATAAAGGCGTTTTGGCAATACAAATAATAGTTGTTTGTGTTTTCATTATTATTGTTATTGCTATTATTATTTTGATTTTTATTTCGAAATCCAAAAATTCGAAATCAGAGGATAACATTTCTCAAAAATCATTGGAATAACTATAACACTTCCACATTTTAACTCTCATAACTTTGATTTATACGTAAAACACTCTAATAGTAAATGTCTAAACCAATTTACACTATTATATTTGCACTATTTTATATATGAAATTTGGCTGTTTTAATACTATTATTGTTTGCTGCAATATGAAGAGTAATTTTTGCATTTTTATTTTTTCATTGATATATTTGCATCATGTGAAAGGAGAACTTCTGCTGTTTCTATATATTTATTCCATGCTGCAAGATGAAAAGCGGTATTTTCCTGTTTATCTTTTTCATTGATATTTGCATCATGTGAAAGAAATATTCACAATGGAATCGAATATTGAACCTCACGGATTAAGTATCATTTGTAAGATCGATATAAACTAAAAGGAATTAAGATGTTTTTGTTTTTGAATTCTGCAATATTCTAAATTGATTTATACTCATTTAATAAGAATGTCAATAAATCAATGTTGAGCTCACAATATTAGAAATATTAATTTCTCTGTAAGGGAAATCAGAATACGAAATATTAGATGCAAACGACTTGATTTTCTTTTTGAATATTTTATTAATCTGTTCAGATAGCTTCCTTAATTTGAAAAGCATTCTGCATTTGATATGGATATTACAAATCTCTTAAAATCTGATTGTTGTTTGCGCAACCGCGGTTGAACGGAGATTTACAAAAATTTTTATAAAAAAAAAGAATCATGCAGAGTCAGTTACCACGTTTAGTGATGATTGGTGACTCTTCTGTTGGTAAAACATCGTTAGTCTATCAAATGTGCAAAGGAAAATGGGAGGAAACACGCCCAACGGTTGCGACTGCGTTTTATATTTTAAATGGAGATCCAGCCAAAGGTCAGCAAGATATTCAGATATGGGATACAGCAGGTGCTGAAAGATATAGAGCCCTCAACAGTGTATATTATCACAACGCAATGGGTGGTTTACTTGTCTTTGATTTAACCAATAGAAAATCATTTGAAGCCCTTCCTTCATGGCATGAAGAATTTGTGTCCCTTGCTCAGCCTGGAGCACTATTAGTTCTTATTGGAAACAAATCAGATTTAGCGGATGAAATTCAAGTTCCAGTTGCAGAAGCGGAAGAATGGGCAAAAGTTCACGATATCAAGTTCTTTTATACTTCAGCTAAGGATAATACAAATATTAACGAATTATCAGAATACGTACTTAACTCTATGCCTAAGAACGTTACATTTACAGCCATATCATTAGATCAAAAGAATAAGAAACCTCAGAAGAATTCAGAAGGTTGCTGCTAGTTTTTTTGTTTAATTTTTATACTAATTTTTCCATTTTACTTTGGAAAAAGATACAGGATCAAAGATATCTAATGTTATGCGACATATTTTATGATGTTATAAATAAATTCTGTTTTAGATCATTTGAATGAATATGAAAAATCGATTCTTATTTTTATTTCAAAATTCGATATTACATTTCAACTCTTCTATAAGAGATATGAGTAAGAGTTATCATGTAAAAGAAAAAAAATGAAAAATAAATTAATCGGAAAGGAAATATTGGGAAAACTCCCTTTTAAAGCAAAATTAATCAATAACGTTGATGATTGTTGCTTAAATTAGTATTGTCTTTGAAAAATTTGATTGAAAAAGAGATAAATTTTTTATTCATCCGCAATTGCATCTAAAAACTTTGCGGCATTATCTTTAAGTTTTGAATTTGAGAGATTTCTCTTCATAAACTCATCTAATCTTACTTTCTTAAACACTTGAACGCATCTCTTGTACTCGCAAAGCTGAATTGCAACTAAACTTGCAACTTCGCATAATTCGCCTCTGTCTTGAATAGTTTTAGTAACAATTTCACACATCTTCAAGTATTCTCTTGCATATCCAATTTTTGCTAACGTATCTAACATCAAAAATGCTGCATGCATTGCTGTCACATTTTTAATATGAACAGCTGTTGTAAAGAAGCTTCCTAAGAAGCCAGATTCGGAGAGATTTGCAATGAAATCCTCATTTAAGTCTATTCTTCGAATTATAGTGCATATCATTGATAAAGTTGAGCCGGATGATCCTTCTGTGACCATCTTTAAGAATTCAATGAATTTCGGAGATTCACTTATTTGTCTACGAATTTCTGAATGAGCGAAGACAACAAAGAAGAGTCTCATGGTATCTATAACACTTGGGAGTTCTTTTGTCATCCATAATCCGGCGTTTTGAACTAAAAATTCTGCGAATGAGTTATCAGTTGCAATTCTCATCATAACTAAGGTAGCATTCTTATTCCTTTCACTCATCATGACTAATGTTTGAAGTAAAGTCTTGTCTCTTGTGTCTTTTCCAACAGGAGGAGCCGCAAGAAGCAATGTTAAAACTGAATCCTGAAGATCTCGTATTTTGAGATGAGGTTTCATTAATTCAAGAGGGGAAATTGCCTCTTTGTAAACTTCTGTGATAGAAAATAATGCGCAGTAAACAGATTTTAATGTCGGAATATCTTTAAGGGCAAGGAGCGCCGAAATCTTACGCCAGCAATGTTCGCTGCGTCCTTCACAGTAATCGGGGTATTTTCTGCAGAGAAATGCTAATAACGTTGCATAATTTGTTGCGGTTTCAATTCCTTGGAAACGGTGAGCTTCTTGTATTAGAAGATCAACCATTGGCCATGGATTGTCGATTTCGTTGAAATGCTGTGAATACATTGCAAGTAAAGTTAACGCTTTTTGAGGATCGCGTCTAATAATGCCACCAAATGCTCTGCAAAGATTTTCTTCAAAAGCAATTGGAGCAGCAGTAACAATGACAAATAAAATATCGTAAATATCGGGAATAAATTGTTTCTTTTTGTATGGAAGATTTAAATGGCTTCCTGTTTGAATAAAAATGTTTAAGTATTCATCAATACAAATAACTTTAGCTATTGCACCTAAAATTGCTCTTCCAACTTCTTCAGGAACTTCATTTTCGAAATGACCTAAAACAATTTTATAAAATTGAGCAACTTGCTTAGGCTTAATAGTCTCTTGGATGTACTCTAATTCATCCATGAATTCATGACTATGTATGGATTTGAGGTTGTCGAGATTCGCGGACTCTTCCAAATCCATTAAGGGTGCACACGAGAGAATCATGTAAACTTCAGAATTTAGAACCTTATTTTTAGGCATTATCTTGGCTACCTATTTAGGCTCGAAAAGCAAAAAATATCAAAAAATACAACTTGACTCCATTATGACCCTTTCATGGAGGTAGTTTTTATCCGCTAGTATTTTCCCTTTGAATCTCTTTACAATTCGAAATCAAATTCAAATCTTAGTAGAAGAAAGGAAGAATCGACTTACTACGGTTGTAATACGAATAAATACATATATTTAATTATTTTTATTTACATAATAATTGTTTGAAGCTCATATTCCATCAAATTTTTAAATAAAAACATTAAAATGTTGAAAATGTTTATATATTTTAATAGGGTTTTGACACTTTATTGAGGAATTACTACATACATAGTCGAACTGAACTTGATATTTATAATTATTTAGTCATATTTTGCATAATTCTAAGTAGATTTTGTAAAAAATCAAGAAAGAAAAATTTTAACGTGCTTTATTTTTTCTTTTTTATAATAATACATATTATTATATAATTAACATATTCATAATGTTTCACACTTTCAAAAATATAATCCTCCTCCTCTCAAATAAACGTACATACGGGTGGCCCCTTTTTTCAAAAAATTAAAATTTGAAATTTTGGGCTCAAATATTAGAGATTTTTTCAACCTTCAACGATATATGTTGTCTATATCAGACCTCCTTTCTTTTTGATACATAACATTGTTCCTAAATCTTAGCCGTTAAGGCTGTTCTGAAAATATTTTTTTTTCGAAAAAATTCGAAAAAAAATTCTTAAAATTCAAAAATCCCTTAATTCCTGAGGATTTTGGAAAAAAGTTTTTACATGAACATGTGTATATTATATGAAGTATATTGATAAGGTAAAAATCAAATTTTATTGCATATTCATCGAGAAAATAAACTTTGCAAATTACCTCAGACTTTTCAGAGGATTGAGTTGCCACTCAATCCTCTGAAATAGTCTGTGGTAATTTTTAGTCTCTACACTATTTCAATATAAGCTCCATTTTTAAACAGTTTTTAAAAATCGAGCATTGAAAAGTGTGATGAGACTAACGAATCCCTCAAAATTGAGAGGGTAATCCTCCTCCTCTCAAATAAACGTACATACGGGTGCACCCTTAACGTTTGATGTTTTTTCGACGATTATTTTTAGTTCAATTTCCGATTATTAAATTTTGTAAATATCAAGAAAAAAAACTGAAAGCGTTTATAAGATAAATAAAGATTGCATTCTTGCACAATGATCAGTCGTTATTGGATTTCTCACTATTTTACAAGAAATTTCTTCATAAATATATGTATTCGATACTATTACCTATATAATCTTTAATCAAAGATTATACCATTAAGCCGAGAAGTTTTTGTCTCTATTTTCAATAAGCTCTCTAACCCATAAAGTCTAAATAAATTCTGAATCCTGCTCAAAGTCGTAGATTCAGCTCTCACTAGATTCCCAAAGTTAGTTAATAGCATATGTGATAAGCAGAATAAAGTCAAGACAAAGTTTATTATGAACAATAGATCCGCAAAAACCAAAATATATAACTGAGTCTTGTGTTATATACTTTACCTTAATCTGCTGAATCTTTTATAGATATCATAAGCTTCGCATGTGCATTGAATGATATCATCTATTTCCTCATTACTTGTTTCATAAAAACAATATAATTCAGTACCCAAATTTGCAGTAAAATAAGAATCCACAGGATCGCTTTCTTGAACTTCATTAAAATTGTATGTATTATCCTTGCAATAACAATTATTCATTATGAAACCTCCACCAGTTTCCGAAAATAAAGTGGAAACATTATTTTTTGTTATGCATGAATCGGATATTGTCACTTGACTTGCATTATTATAAAATAATGAACCTGAACCTATACCATTATTGATAATATTACATATATTAATTTTAAAATCTTCTGGGGAGATTCCATGTTGAAGAAATCCATTACTTTCTTCAATATTATCAATAAAATTAGAAAGTTTAACGCATGATCCTTGAGATCCTACAGAAAGAGAATAGCATGATGTAGATCGGCATTTATTTGATGTGATATTTGAGTTTTCAATTAATTGTATTCCATGATCAAGATATACAAGTCTTTGAGAATTTTTAATATCTCCGTTATTAGTTGCTGAACAAAAAACAAAATAATTTTTATAATTAGCTGAAGCGCGCGAATATGTTGTAAGCCCTTCTTTTTGGCCAATATTTGAGTCGAAACAAAGTTTATTATGAACAATAGCTCCGAAGTTACTAAAATATATAACACAGCCTTGATAAGTTCCGTCATTTTCTGTTTTTCCACATTTGAAAAATGAAGAACTTTCTATTAAAACGCATGTGTCGTCCCGCAAACTAGTGATTGATATTGCTCTTTCTTTGTTTAATTCTATAAATTTGCAATTTGATATGTAATAATTGGCATCATTTGGGTTGATTGTAGGATTTGTTTGATCAGAAACATTATTGTAAGTTGTTAATTCGTAATAATCATTCTATGAATTTCGAATCCGAACATAAAATTGATTTACTCTTGTTGCATGAGAGCTATCTGGTACTATGTAAAAATTACTAATGATAATATGGATGCTAATCTTGATGTAATAGCGAAAGAAACTCAAGTCAAAAAGTTATATAAAATCAAAAAATTTCCAACACACGATCAACTTTTTTTTCTCGACTTTACAACGTTAAGCCATGAATAGCTATTTACATATATTAGCCAATTACAATATTACTACTATACCTTATTCAATACATTAAACAGCATAGAAATATTTATTTTTACAAATGAAGATATCTTTTAATGAGCTTATGGAATTGTGTAAAGATTATGGCTGTGCATGCAACACAATATACAAACTTAAGGCAAGCACGGATGATGAAATTACTAGAATTTACCAAGATATTAAAAACAAAATGATTGAAACTGATCTTTTTTTGCCAACACAGTTAATTACTATGTTATTCGAGGCAGCAATATACAATAGGCGATATTTTGATTCATACTGGATTATATTTAAAAAGATTTATGAAGAATACCATCCATTGTTAACGACATCCATCAAAATGCCTTTCTTGTACTTAACTAATAAAGAATATGGTATTAATTCCTACCAGAATTGTCAATATAATATTGAAAATCAAAAAAACTTATTGTTTTGCCATCAAGACGACCCAACATACAAAGCAATTATGGATGATGATAAAGAAAAGTTTATACTAATAATAGAACAAGATGGATTTAATCAGTACCAAAAATTTAGAAGAAATTCATCTGAATATTCATTAATTGAATTATGCTGTTTTTATGGAGCTGTTGACTGTTTTAAGCTTTTAAGAACAAAATTCAAATCAAAAATCACTAATTATTGTCTCAGATTTTCATTTTTGAGTGGAAAACCAGACATCATGAGTGAATGTTTGAAATTTCAGAAACCTGACCAAAAATGCATGAAATATGCAATTATTTCTCATAATATTGACTTTGTTACTTTCTTAATGAATGAATACAATATACCAATAGATGTAGATTACTGTATTAAATATAATAATATTGAAGCATTTTTGGTTTTACTAGATCAAACACAAAATATCAAACAATCATTGGTTTATGCTTCAGGCTTTGATATTCCATCGCTATGTGAATATTTAACTTTGCATAATGCAGATGTTAATGAAAAATTACCCAATGGATTATCTCCTATTATTATTGCAGCAAGACAGAATAGTTATAAAGTAGCAGAAATTCTTTTTAACTATGGTGCAAGCATTGAAGCACAAGATGATATTGGAAAGACACCACTCATAAATGCAGCTATGCATGGAAATTTGGAAACACTCAAATTTCTTATTTCACATGGCTCAAATGTCAATGCTACTTATCAAGGAATCAATTCTCTCTTTTTTGCAGCAAGTTTAAATCATTTAAAAATTGCCGAGCTCCTCATTTCTCATGGGATTGATTTAAATCACCAGGATAGATTTGGAGACACTGTTCTTCACCAAGTTACACATAATAATCAAAAAGATTTTGTCACGATCCTTGTTTCACATGGAGCAGATGTCAATATAAAAAATCATTATGGGAAAACGCCCATTCAAGGTGCATTAGAATCAAAGGAAGAAATATATAAGCTTCTTATTAAACATGGTGCAAAGGTCACATTATCTGACAGAGTAAGTAGGTTTTCTGAATTCTATATCAATCACAAATATCTATGCTTCCTCCTAAGCTATATATTATTGTATTTATTTGGTAGCCTAATTAGTTACTTATTCAAGCATTAATTATGAGTAAAATTTAAAAGGAATATCAAATTAGCTCCCTAAGCATCCTAGCTCTATCTAATATATTGCAAAATGCGCTCTCATATCAACTCTTTTATTATTCAAAGAACGAATGGAATACATTCTCAAATCATTTCCCGAGATTTTTGGTTAAATTAAATATGATAATTAATTTCTTTTAAAGTTTTTATTTTATTATAATATCAATTTTTACATTATAATGTATTTATTATCAATCTGGGATTGAATAAATGAACATTTTAAAACGAAACGAACATAGTTAAAAGAAATATTAACTATCTTTTGTTTTGATAATTTGATAAAAATTAATTTGCTTGATTAATCAAATATTTAGATGTTATTACTATGGATATATAATGGTTCCTAAGACTTGCATTAAAACTCATTTTGATGCAAAGTTATAAGATTCATGATGAAAATGAAGATATCTTAGCATTCGAAAAGATGTTTAACAAGACCAAAACAATTCTAGGTACCGATGGTAATCAAGATGGTGATAGTGAATTACCGAAAATTGGGCCATTATTAGTAGATTTGATTAAATCTATTGAAAAGAAAGAACCTCCTTTGGTTGAAGAAATCCTTCTCAAACTAGAAAGCATTTTTACTCGAAATGGAGCAGTATACGATGATATTTTTCTAATTTTTAGAATTCCAGCACATTTAATGGAATGTCTTCAAACAGATGCACCACAAAATGTTTTGTTTGCAGCAATTAAATTCCTTATTGCAGTTTTTAATACGAAAAATCAAGAATATATAAATCAATTATTTGAAGAGAAACTTCCAGAACATTTAACTCCTCTACTAGGTGTTATTAACGTTGATATAATAGACAGCTACCTTACTTTGCTCGCAAAAATGATTTTAGCCCGAAAAAACAATATTGACTTTATTTTAGAAATTATTACAGAAGATATATTCAAAGAGCACATTAATGACTCACCAGAAATCCAAACATTACTATGCTCAATCTTGTATGCATTCACATATACTTCTCAGAAAAAAGAACTTCGAGATACAATCATTATTACAATTTCCGAGATTTGTTATAATGTAAATGAAGAAGCTGTATATCAGCTCATCGGAGCTCTCATCAGAACAGGAACAGTTAGTTATTCTGAGACATGGCTCTCAATGATTATCGATTTGAACCTTGTTGAATTCGGAATGCAGTTCATTGAGAATGAAAATAATGATAAGGTTGAAATGTCTATTAATTTTCTCTCAACTTTATGCATTCACGAATACGAATTAAGTAATGCTGAATTATCCAAGCTTGAATACCTTCTTAAAATCGATGATGAAGATAAAAATTCATTGGCATTATGTGCGCTTTATGATCAAGCATATATCTCAGATACATACGCTGTGAAATTTGCATCCGACAAAAACTTGGTTGATTTTAGCATAAACATCCTTGAACAAGGTCAGTATAGAGAGAAATTCAATGCTGCAAAATTTTTATGCGCATTAATGAAAAATTGTGGTCCAGAGTTCATTTATTCGATCAGTGATAGAGAATGGATCTCAGAACTAGTCGAACTGTTCATATCTGGAAAGGACAAAGATTATTGTATAACTTTTGCAGAAAGTTTTTACGCTGCACTAAGAAGAGTGAAAGGATCTGATCTGTTTCAGCGTTACCTCCAAGAATTTGATGAAGCTGGAGGAATTGAAGCATTTAATGATTGCCAATTCGAAGATGGCGAATTACCAAATTATACCGAATCATTCCTTGCTGAGTTTATAGATGATGAAAGAGAGGAATCTGGAGATTGAAGTTTTTTATTATATATATGTTTTGTTTGTATTTAATATAGAAAATAAAATTTTATCAAAAATATTGATTTTGTAAAGCGATTTAGTTACAGAAATACCTAATAAAGGTTACCGTATTGATAATTAAAGTATATTTTTCAAATATTGAGGAAAGAGTGTATGAGATTCAAATGTAAGATTTAAAATTCGTTCTTTAGAAAATTAAAATAGTTTAAGTCTTCAAGGTCATTTGGCCAAGTGGTCTAAGGCGCTGGTCTGAGAGGGCGTGGGTTCGAATTTTCTTTTCATGTCTTATACGGATTTACTCTTGTTCTCTTTCGTATTTCGTAAGAGTAGCTTATTTTAAATTGAGTTTTTTTTATTACAACCACATAACAATTAATTGAATGACAGAAATAAAAATTCGTTAATTTTAGGAGTATAAATATTTGTATTACAATTTCGTTAGTAATTTAATATTAACGAACTGCATTTCCTTGGCTCTTACAGGCAGAAATATTTATTGTTTTATAAAAAGTGTTGCTTTTTAGCTCTGATTTATGCATTAGAGATATACTTTGTACGGTGATTAATATATTTGAAAAAAGCGCATTTCTGTTACGAATTGAATTCTGTTCCCAAAAAATCACTGAAAACATGGATCAGATTCCTTGAATTAAGGGTTTCGTTTTGCGAAAAAAACATACAATACGCAATTTCGCTAAAAAAACATTTAGCTAGCAATTTCGACCTTTGACTCCACTCAAGACGTCACTTTTTTAATTTTGTGGTATCATATTTTTGGAAAATCTTTATGAATATTATATAAAAAGTCTCTTTAATATCTATATTTCATATTTTTATCAATTTTTAAAGTTTTTGCGAAAAGTATTCAATTATTTTTGCTATTTGGTCGGGTAAATGTCAGATTTGCGACATTTTCTGATATGATATTCAGATTCTACGTTGATAATAATGCTTATAGAACCCTCTTGCTATTGTGTCAAAATTGCGAAACCGATAGCAAAAATATCTCGCAATATCAAAATTGAGATATTGAGTGAATTATGCATTATAGAGATTAAAAATCTGATTTGTGAAAACATCTCATCAGTTTCTAGCTAATTCAAAAATCTTTACTATCTTATTCGATTAAAATGAAAAGGGAATAGTTTCATTATGCTTTAAATGACAGCCTTATAATATAATCATAGTTTTCGCTCAATATGCAGCATTTTTTTTTCGAAATCTATGGTCAATGTCCTAAATACTGATTGCTTTGCATTCATATCTCTTACATTTTCTATACCCACATCACTATTCATTGCTATTCCTATCTTTTTCATTTTTGTTTGTTTCTCATAATTTCTCAAAAAACACGATAACTTGATATTTGTAAATATCATACTTTATAACGTAAATAAGAACTTGACCTATTAAGAAAAGCAGTAATGAAAAGAAAATCTGAAATTCATAAAAATTACAAGTTTCTGATGACAATTAGCTTAATTAAACCAGGTACAAGATTATATAATTGTATTTTCTATCCAATTATCCATATAATATCTTATCCAGAAAAAATAACTTGATCAATACCAAATGATTTTTTAACTAGTAAATAAAGTATTTTCTTTACACACACATTGTATATCATAGTTTTTTTTTTTGGTTTCGCAAAACATCCAAAAACAAATATGCTATAAAAGTGACAATTTTAGCAAAACGAAACCCTTACTTGAATTGATGATTTATAATTAACTGTGAGCTCAATTTGTGAAATTCGCAGCTTGCGATTGGATCTTGTATATTTTTCAAACTTTGTTTGAATTTCGTAATCAGATTTGACACATTTTTTCAAAAACAAAAAGTTGTGAATTAGGTACAACATACTATGTTGATTAATGAAAATTAATTTATTTCAAAAAAACGAATATTCATTTCAAAAAGTCAATTCGATGAATTCTATCATATTCTATTTACTTATACCAAATGAAATAAATAATCCAAAGATTAGTGCGCTTTCAATTTAGGAAAATCGCCAAAAGAAAAATGCATTTTATTTATTGATTTGAAATCTCCCAATCGAAAAGTATACGATAATACCCTTAAGCATTCGAAATGAAATTCAGAGTCAAGTAAAGTGATCGGAGCCAGAAAACGGGTAATCGGAACTCAGAATTTTTTCTGAGATGGCTTGGTTGGAAATTGAGAGGAGTTAGGAAAGCTGATCTAATCAATCATTTCTCATGCTGAACGACCCAATTGTCGCCAAGTATCAGAAGCCATCTGTTCAGTGCTTCCACGGAGGCCAATCCTATATGGCATGCAAGAACTTCAAATGCGATTTTTCAGTCACAACAAATCTTTCTGGCCCGCCAAAGTCCGCTGTTCAAGCAGCACTCGATGCATTCAACGAAATCGAGCATTATCCAGATCAGGACTCCTGGGAATGCAGATGCCACCTTGCTGATGCCATGAAAATGCCACCAGAACAAATCCTTCTTGGCAATGGTGCATCAGAATTCATCGACATGGTCCCAAGACTCTTCAAGGCAGGTCAGAAGTGGAGACCAGGCCCATGGCCAGCCCAATTCATGGAATACGAGCGTGCAGCAACAAATGCTGGACTTGTTAAGGTTCCAAACGCTAACAATGATGCTGAATTGACAATCATGATCAATCCAAACAGCCCAACAGGTGATTACATCCCGTTCGAGGATCTCCGTGCCATGATTGCAAGAGATTCAAGATCAACATTCTTGATCGATGAATCATTCATGCCATGCTTCGGCCCAGACTGGATGAACCATTCCGCCATCCGCCTCATCGAAGAATTCGGTGATAGAGTCATTGTCTGCATGTCATGGACAAAAGTTCTCGCTTGCCCACTTATCAGACTTGGAACACTCTGCTCAACAAAGAACATCATCGATCAAATCAACAAACACCAAATCCCATGGTCAGTCAATGGTTTCGCTCAGAAATTCATGATCGCTGCTCTTCACCAAGAAACATACTTCGAAGAAATGTGGAGAATCACTCCATACTGGAAACGTATTATGTTCGATTTACTCTCAGAGCTTGGCGCAAAGCCAAACTTGAACTCTCCATTGTGGGTTCCATATGTTTACGTCGACTTCTACACAGAAGAACTCGCTGGATTAGCTGACAAGGTTGCTTTTGAAGCTGGCTATCCATTGAGATGGTGCAAGTCTTTTGGAACTCCAACTTGCTGCAGACTCGGTGTTAGAACACCACAGCACGCTCTTGGTCTTGTCACGGCTTTCAAGAGCTGCAAGGAACTCCATGAGGGATTGAAGGCTCAAATGAAGCTTCACGCAAAGAAATTATAGATTAATTAACTCTTAGATTTTGTTATTAAAAGATATCTGTATATATTAATTAGATTTCTTCTTTTTGTATGTAATCTTAATGTAAAAGAAAGAGAATTAGCTAAATTATCTCATCTTGAGTTTGAAATTACTTTTAACTCAAGAATAGGAAGTATGTTGAACGCTTAAAAGTAAGTGTCCGTTAAACCTTCTTCACGTTGTAGACCGATGACGATTTTGAAATAGAAAAATAAATCCATTTGATAAATTTTAGATGTTTAACAACAAAATAAATATTTTCCATGATGTTACAATATTCTTACCAAATTTGGGAAGTACTAGTGTCAAATATTTGATGAATCTCAAATGTCTAAAGAACTGTCAAAATATTTAAAGCAAATAGGTATTGCCGTCTTTTCATACATTTATCTTGTTCTAATAACTCGAAAAAATCTATCACGATAAGGATCAATGAATTCGGTTTTTTTGGGAGGAAGCAATAAAGTTATTTTGGCAACACCATGGCCAGAATGTCCAATATTAAATGATCCATCCCATTCAGGTAAGTTCTCATTTCCAGCAATCAAATTTGTTTTGGAAAGCATATATTTTTCATCTAATTTATAATGGAAACTTGGATGAAATGTGTAATTAAAAACAAAACCAGAACCCCCACCAGCACCTCCAATTTCATACAAACTAGGATCCGCAGCAGCTCCTCCATACCACCCACCCCCTGCACCACCCCCATATAAGGTATTATTACCACCAAAACCAAATTCACCTGAATGATTCCTATAATTGCATGAACCAGGAAAGTATTGTGTCCCTCCACTTAAACCATAAAAATCAGCAGATTCTCCATTTAGTCCACCTCCAGATCCACCTTGGTTTCTTGAAAAATCTGATAATTTGCCGCCTGAACCTCCACCGCCTGCTACTATCACTCTCGAGTAAAGATCATTATTTTCAATACGAATATCAGTCGCTCCACCTCCACCACTTTGGGTACTTCCAGCTGGATTTATATTCATTCCTCCACCATTATATCCACCATATACTATCTTAATTTCAGAATCATTTCTTCTTGATGGAGATCCTCCTAAATGAATAAAAATTTTTGTTGGTGATGTTATATTGATTATTCCTTTTGCATATCCTCCTCTTCCAGGATTTGCTGCTGATATTGAGTGCATCATACCACCTTCTGCTCCCCATACTTCTAATTTATATCTTCCTTTTGGCAAAATTCCTTCATACGATGTACAATGCGAATAATTATTGCATGGGAAATAGAAAATATAGCATGTTTTATTAGAAGTAATATTGGTAGTTCCGACTGTGGGATCTTGTAATTTGAAGTCTATTGGATCCGACAGAACCATGATTATTATCAGAACAATCATTTTTATGCCAATTTTATCACTTTGAATGATTAAATTTGCCGAACTAAAATTCAATTAAATTATCAGAATTTCAAAACCCAAATAATATGGTTGTATAATATATAATAAACAAAATTATATTTCAAAAAAAAAATTCATTGAAAAGTTGGCAGTTTATTAAAAAAATTGAATGAGCAAGATTTTAAAGAAAATTTGAAATAAATTTCACAGTATCAAATATATCACCTGGATTTAAGGGTTTCGTTTTGCTAAAATTGTCACTTTTATAGCATATTTGTTTTTGGATGTTTTGCGAAACCAAAAAAAAAAACTATGATATACAATGTGTGTGTAAAGAAAATACTTTATTTACTAGTTAAAAAATCATTTGGTATTGATCAAGTTATTTTTTCTGGATAAGATATTATATGGATAATTGGATAGAAAATACAATTATATAATCTTGTACCTGGTTTAATTAAGCTAATTGTCATCAGAAACTTGTAATTTTTATGAATTTCAGATTTTCTTTTCATTACTGCTTTTCTTAATAGGTCAAGTTCTTATTTACGTTATAAAGTATGATATTTACAAATATCAAGTTATCGTGTTTTTTGAGAAATTATGAGAAACAAACAAAAATGAAAAAGATAGGAATAGCAATGAATAGTGATGTGGGTATAGAAAATGTAAGAGATATGAATGCAAAGCAATCAGTATTTAGGACATTGACCATAGATTTCGAAAAAAAAATGCTGCATATTGAGCGAAAACTATGATTATATTATAAGGCTGTCATTTAAAGCATAATGAAACTATTCCCTTTTCATTTTAATCGAATAAGATAGTAAAGATTTTTGAATTAGCTAGAAACTGATGAGATGTTTTCACAAATCAGATTTTTAATCTCTATAATGCATAATTCACTCAATATCTCAATTTTGATATTGCGAGATATTTTTGCTATCGGTTTCGCAATTTTGACACAATAGCAAGAGGGTTCTATAAGCATTATTATCAACGTAGAATCTGAATATCATATCAGAAAATGTCGCAAATCTGACATTTACCCGACCAAATAGCAAAAATAATTGAATACTTTTCGCAAAAACTTTAAAAATCGATAAAAATATGAAATATAGATATTAAAGAGACTTTTTATATAATATTCATAAAGATTTTCCAAAAATATGATACCGCAAAATTAAAAAAGTGACGTCTTGAGTGGAGTCAAATGTCGAAATTGCTAGCTAAATGTTTTTTTAGCGAAATTGCGTATTGTACGTTTTTTTCGCAAAACGAAACCCTTACTTGGATTAAATAACAGAACAACAATAAATGAATCATAACGAAATCATCTCAATTATGAGATTCTCACGGGTAAGATAAACTATTGATTTGGACAAGTAAATCAGCGATTATCATTATCGCTGTTCTTGTTTCCACAGTTTCTGGTGCATATTGAGAGTGCTGATGTGAACGTGATTACAAAAGGTGGTTTATGTCATATCGATATATTCAATTACATTCTAAAAGTCATTGAAAACTCACAGTTAATTTTAAATTCATTAATTTTCCATCGAAAAATTGAAAGAAAAATATGCAATTCCGAAACGAATCGAACTATTTCCTCCACCAGCATAGGATAAGCTAGCAAAACCGAAATCATGTATCAATTAAGTGTAATTATAAATTATTGAAATTGAATTATATGGTGTTTTGAGTAACCAAACCATCGTTATTAAATTTGTAATAAGAAAAGCGTATATTTTGCAAAAATTGTTGTTTGGATTCGAATTTGCGACTCCAAAATGAGCAGATAATTGAATCTTGCAGATTTACGGCTCGAATTAATATTAATAGCTTCATTTTTTAGTGCTAATGTGAACATTTCAAACAAATAGTGTTTTTGAATATGATTAATTTATTCAATAAATTGATTATAATCATTTTGATCTCAAAATCTTTGATAAATAATCCATATATCCCATAAATTTCATTCTCTTTCCATCTCTCAGTCAAGTTTTAATGTTAAGGAAATTTCATCAAGTTGATTTTCTTATATTTAATTCATTGTGTTCTTGCTTTCCTTATGTAAAGAGACATCTGAAAAGTCCCCTACATATATACTTTATAACAAAATCGCGGCAATTCGATTTGCACAAGATTGTCAATTAAAAATAAAATGTCAGAACCGCCGATTGAGCATCATAAGCAAGACTTTTATAATTAACTATGCCTCTTTTTTGGCAAAAAACAATTAGTCTATCTAAAATGAATCTATCAAGAAGCTTTTATCTCTTTACACAAGTTCTACTAACCTGAAATGTCATTCACAAAAATTGATGCCGGTTTATTACGAATTTGAGAGGCGGACTCATTATCGATTGATTATATAATAATGCCACCAAGGAGACGCAACAGCAAGCATGCAAGTTCTATGAAAGAAACTATGTTGGTTTCAAAAGATATGACAATCCTCTCTAAGAAGTATGATCAATTAAATAAAGTCACTGGAGCAATATTAACTAGAAATTTTGCCCCATTAATATCGCCACCAACGGGAATGGCTACTTGCGATTACTTGATTGTTAGCGCATTAGATTATCTTGAAAGAGCGGAAAAATTGTATCGGGTTTGTTCATTATTTTGTCCATCTGAGACATGTCCTATGTTCAATGCTGGACCTCATTATCATTACTTCTGGGAAGATGAGAGTACATCAGACCCAGTACAGGTTTCTGCGCCTGAGTATGTTCTTCAATTATCAAATTGGGCAAAGCGAAAACTTGCAAATAAGAATTTATTCCCATTAACTGAAGGTAAGGAGCTTTCTCAGGATGCGGTTTCTATATTACAAATAATTTTTAGAAGAACGACAAGAATATTCAACCATTTGTACATGTGCCACTTCTCTGCAATCAGGAAGAATAATATTGAGCCTGTAATTAATACATTGTTAGCTCAATATGTCCTACTTGCATTCAAATATCAAATGATAGAAGTCCGTGATATTGAAATGCTAAAGCCGGTATTTGCTGCTATGAGGATACCAATTCCAGATGCATAGATATAATTTCTAATTCTCAAAAGAAAAAAAAATCTTATATTTATTTTGTTGGTTTCAATTGAATTCCAATAGAAACCATACAGATGAGCTGTATTTAACATTATTTATATTAAACACGGATTATAATAAACAGTTTCAGAAATTTTTTTCGCAAATCTACTTTATCAAAATGATTTACATCGGACATTTCTTCTTCGCCAGTAAGAGATATAAAAATTTCAAATATGAAATAAATACAAATATTTCTTTAAAAAAAAGACAAATAAATATTCACAATTTATTGAAAGTCTGGATGTTTTTGATGCAAGCAACTGTTACAGCTGCATGTCTTCTTTTTCACGACGAATTCGTAGTTCAGTGTCAATTCCTCTCCAGGTAAAATGTCTCTTAACGAGAAAATCGCAATTCTATAATCCATAGGTGCTGCAGTGATATTTAACGCGATGCAATTTGGTTGCATGAACCTTGTACTCTCATCATTGCATGAATGATTGATAAATCTCGATGTGTTGCACATATCAGCAGCATCCAAAGTAAGTGGATTTGAATCTGCGATATAAACACTAAAACTGTAATTATCAGAAATATTTTTGTCATTCTCAGAAACATATTTCTTGCCTTGGTAAAGGAAAAGTAATTTATCAGATTGGATGAACTCCTGAGCGATTACTCCCCATTGTTTATTTGGGAAATAAGCTAAAGAAACTTTTGGATTTCTCAAGTTTTTGGTGAGTTTGCATGGACAATTTGGATCATTACATGTTTCATCTGTGCATTCAACAACATTAAGATAATCTGCAACACGTTCCAGAGGAGAATTGAAAATGTTTGTGAGAGGAAGTCGACCGTTTCTATCTGGCCAAATAAAGAATATATCAGAAGTAGTTCTTTTCTTGTCTAATGCCTTTTCTCCATTTGTTTTTATGAATTCTTTACCATTCCAAGTATAAATATTAAGTTGAATTTCTAAAAAATTGTTCATGAAGCTCATGACGAAGTTAGAAATGTAATTAGTTGGATTGTTTCTAGGACAAAAACCGCCTGGAACAAAAATATTTGGTGTAACTGTAGGATTCCATTGAACCTGAGGATTAAAATTGGTTTCTAATAGTAATGTTGGAGGAATGGAATCACTACAGATATTTACCCATGGTATTGGACCATGTATTCCATTTAAACCTAAAGAAGCATCATCTCCCCACGCCATTGAGAAATTGTCTGAGCGAAGTTTGAACCAATTACAATTATTGTACTTGTAGTGTGTAATAGTGATTGTGTTATCTGCTGTATTATCAAAACTAAGAGGAGATTGAGATACTTCACGTTGAATATTTAATTTTGTGTATAATTCTGCTGGATCAATAAAATAACGTTCTGGAGTAGTTTGGATTGCATCATATCTTATTTTTGGATAATCGGTCTTCAGAAATTCGTATTCTATGAATCTGATAACAGATCTATGTGGATTTTGTGAGGAAAGGAGATTAATTAAGATTTTTGACGTAATATTGTATGGGCCGTAGCCTTCTTTGATATATTCTGCGCGTGGTGTCATAATTTTAACTTTATCTGGCCAATTTTTCGGAACAACTTCTGGGGGCTTATCTCTTCCCATAACCATCAGAAGAAGTCCAGCAATAGTATCTGTAATCTCGTTATTTAGAATTTTAGCAACTTCCATGTATAATGAATATTCTATTTCGGTAAAATGATGTTGATTAATGATTTTGTAAACACGTGCCTTTTTGAAATTTGGATCTATCCAAGCTCCATATAATATTGTTCCAATTTTAGATGGTAGATTTTCTGTATTGGTTTTAATAAGGTCTTCAGCAGGAAGATCGGATGTTTGGTCATTGGTATTTATGAATGGTTCAAGAGGTGGAGCAGAATATGAAAGTTCCATTTCATTAATAATTTTATCCTTCTTGTGCCTATCTTTAGACGAAAAATCATAATGGATGCCAGCTGTATAGTTGTGATAAGGAGAATTATATTGAGAATTTGTATCTATATTAAAAAAACCAAACATAAATGAACCAATGAAATGAAATTTTTCAATAAAAATCTTGATCATATAGATTTAACATAAAAAATATTGGACCCATGGATAGATAATTTAAAATAAAACATTTTCTCTCTTCCAAATTTTTGAGGATTTTTTATTTTCATAATAAAATTTGTATTTTTTTAGAATATTTTTCTTTTTTTCGATTTTTTTTGGAATTTTCTTAGATTATAATATCAACTAAAAGCATTTTTTATGAATCCTCATGCAAGGATAGACCATAATTTCATGATTAATTATCTTTAAAGTTCATAAAAAAGTAATTTTTATTTTAATATTTATAAAATCTAAATTAAATTCAAACATTTATTGAAGAAATTAGTCAAGTAATAATAATACAAACTATGTTGAAGCTCCACATCATATGAAACAGCTTCTTGAAGTAACAATACGTTAAATAGAAAAAGAAACAAGTAAAAGATTGTCTTTCTCATGGAATAAATCAACTAAGATATTTTCTTTAGAAATTATGATGAAAACCCTGGAGATTGTTTTGCCAATAAAATAATACTGTAAATGAATAGTATTAAGGCGATTAATACTGTTTTCGAACGTAATCATGTAAATTGCGAAGTATTTTTTTGCGTATCTATTTGTAATTCGTAAATTAAAACAATAAAAGGAGAAAAATGAAGCAATTCTTCTTGAAGGCAGTGAAGAATCTTGTGATAATGTTAACGATGGAAAATTCCAGTATGTAAACTAGTTAATGCTAATGCAAAAGCTTCAAAAAGAGAAAATGGTTCTTTGACACGTAAAGTGAACGAATTATCTGGATTCCTAACGAAAATACAAACTTCCTCGCAGAATTCGTTTTGAGGTACACAAATGAAATTTTTGATACTTGGAGCTGTCTTTAAATCATGGAAGTTCTGGTAGTATTCGCCATTCAAAACAATTGGAGGCTTTAACACAAAGATTTTTGGCCTTTCTGGGTCTTCAATTGTCATTGTAAAAGCTCTTGGACCATGACGACCCATGAAATTCTCGTTATATTCAATTTTAATGGTTTCGTTAGGTCCAGTAACTTTATAAACTAATGATGTTATATTTGATTCTATTTTACCAATTTTGTTACCAGTAACAGTCTCTATCACAGAAAATTTTGTTGAAAACATAGTAGATTCTGTCTTAGCAACAAAAATTGGTTGGTCTTCCTCTCCAAATAATTGATAAACGTAAGATAATGCAAGACCTCGCTTTTCTCTATACATTTTACATTGAGTAACTGTATTTCGTGGAAGTTTTTGGGTAACATCTTTAATAAAACTCATCGAACTAGAGCGATCAACGCGAGGAGACTCAAATCTTGGTTGTATTGATTGAATTTCTTGATTTTTATCTCCATTAGGCGCTTCACTTCTAGAAGACTCATCATCTAGGATATTTATGCTTGGAGTTTTCTTGGATTTCTTAGATTGATGATTTGACATCCAAGATTTTGAGATAAAAAGTGACAAAATCTTTCGTTATTCATATCTATGATATTTGAGATCAGAATTATCATTTAGTAATCATGTAAATACATATTCTAAAGCAAAGGTTCGCAAATATTAGATATTTTTCATATCCAAAACAAAAAACTTCGATTTAGAAGAAATAAATCACCAATTCCTAACTGACATACAATAGAGATATGTGAACTGTAAAGACTACATAGATTTCCAGAGAATAAATTTCATAAAAGTGGTTTTCTTTTCAAAAAGTTTTCAAAAATTTTATTTAATGGAATTCAGCAGACTCGTTGCGGAAGGAACCTCAACATTACTTCAACTCCCATCGTATATTGAATCAGAAACTTTTGCAGATGCTACAGGAGCTCCAAGTGGCTATAAAGTTCAATTTAATGTTTTTATCGCCATTATTATTGTTATAGCAATTATAGGACTCATTTTAGGCATTGTTGGTTCTTGCGTTTGCGTTAAACCATTATTACCGAAGAAAGAAGGAGGTGATGCATTCGATGATGAAGAACTTGACGACTTATACGCAGATTAAATTGTTTTTCTAGTACTTTTATATTAACACACTTCACTGATAATTACGAATTTTACATAAATATTATTAAATACGTTCTTACTAAATCTTTTATTTTTTATTGTTTCTAACTTATGCAGTCGTATTATTTTTTATATATCAGCTCATTTCTAGGCTTTACCCTTTACAATGAGTATAAAACGACCGTATAATTTTATTTTTTTACTTAATTCTCTTTGTTTGACTGGCTTATTTTGACATCATGTGAAAATTTTCTTGAGCAGGAAAAAGAATCAATGAGTAGGAAAGAAAATAAACTATTTTTTTTACAAACAAAAAGTTAAATTGATTAGCAGCAGCAAGATGATGAATCTGACATGTGGCTAAATGGAGGCTGGACAGTAACATTAGGTCCTAATAACCTTGCTTCAAGGTTATCGTCAACAAGTTCAACCCGATCGATTCTTGTTGCATCTGGACCACCAATAAGGTTTTCAAGTGGCTGAGTAACGGTTTTTCTGGCCTCATGAAGCATGTCAGCCCATTCAAAAGGATCATCTAATTTGGCTCCAATTCTTGTAAGGATTCTCTTTAAACTGTTGTACATAAGAGCGTAGTTTGGAGTATCTGTAAACCCGAGAGATGATATATGACGCCAAATTTCGAATAATTCGGGCGCAAATGGAGAAATTGTTTGACCAACATCGAAATTGTCTTTAAGGGCTAAAATCGTAGCCTTATCGTTAATACCTCTCCATGGAAGATATCCAACAATTAATTCAAGGGATAAATAAAACCATGAAATTAAATCGTCTCTTCTGGATAAATCTTCTCCGAAATGAGCATGACGGGATGCATATGCTTTAGTACCACGAAACCCTACTCTTGCGCGTGGTAATAAGTGTTGGCCAGTCTGGGGATTAACATAAACACGAGAAAGTCCAAAATCAATAAGACAAAGTGGGTGATCTGTGCCTTCCCTTGTAAGTATATTTCCTGGTTTAATATCACGATGAACAATACCGAAGATATGCAAAGATTCGATGCATTTCAAGATATGATAGGCAGAACGAACCGAAGTAGAAAGTGAAAGCTTATGGTTTGGTATTCTTTTAACGATATTTGATAGAGATGGGCCAAGAAGCTCCATAGAAAAGAAGGAAAAATCCCTTCCTTGCCCAAAAACACCTAACCGCGGAAAGTGTGGTGAAGATTGGACCTGAGCAATAATTTGAAATTCAAATGCAAGCGTTTTCTTTGATGCAGAGTTTTGTTCTGTTTTTAATGCCCACAAAATTCCAGTTCTTTCGTCTATAGCTGAATAAATCTCACCAAAAGCACCATGGCCGATTTTATTCCCTACTATATACGAAAGAATCCTGGATCCTGATTTCATTTTGAACTTTTGATTTTTGTCACAATTCTCAGTTTTTTTAGGAATTCAAACACGAGTGGAGTATTTTCTGATAAACATAATAGATATCTGACATGTAGCTGATCTAGTTGAAAATTTTTTATCCATTCGTTTAGCTTACCTATCATCAAAGCCGAATTGATCTGAATATATTAAACGCCGAGGGGTTGTTTAAAATATATCATGCATTTCTTATTGGGGCTATAATATCTCCTCAAAACAATTACGTATAATATAAAAAATTATCCGAAATCTGATTTGAGAAATCTTTTTTGATTTGGAAAACTTTTTTAATAAGAAGCTCTACACCATAACAATATGAAGATATTTCTCGATAGATGAACATCAGACGTTATCAATCATACAGTTTCATTGAATGATAACATAAAACTTCATGTATTGAGATAGCTAGAATACATATTGAGTTTATGTGTCAAATGAAATATATTTTCTTAATGAAATTTTAAGAGAAATACATATTTTTTAATAGCTGCGAATATTGAATGATTATTTTCATAAATGAGCATCAAAATAATACACTTTCACAATATATGAGTATTTGGAAACTTTTGTAATACAAAATGCAATTTTCACTTTCTTTTTTTTATTCGAAAAAGTGTCACAGATAAAATTTTTAAAAAGCTTAAGATGTCAAGTTCAGAGCAACCAAAAGATGAAAATTGGTGTAATTACAGTGACATTACACCAATTAAAGTATTCGAATACCCAAATCAAGCATCAAAAATTATTTGGAGTGTCAATTCCAATAATATTATACAAATATCTTCACAAATTATCGAATTAATAACAGCTTCCAAAATAACTATCCAAATGGCACTCTACTTGATTGATATTTTTTCACAATTTCGTGTGAAAGATATTAAATTATTTTCAGAGCTTTATCAAAAGATATCAAACAAATTTTCATGCATTATCCAGCCGAAAAATGAGAAATTGGCGACTCTTCTACATTACAAAGGTTTCAAATTCGAAAACTTCGAACCAGAAATGAAAGAAGCAGAAATTCTCAATTTATATCCACCAAAATCTGCTTTATACTATATTGCATGGGATAAAGTTGATGATCTTAAATCTAAATTCCCAAACCTTGATATTAATAAGGAGATTAATAAAATCACACCACTTGATTGTTCAATTAAATTTGGCTCAGAATTGTGTTTCAATTACTTGAAAAATATAGGAGCTAAATACACTGATAAATCAGAATATTATGCTGCTCAAGGCGGAAATAAAGAGATCTTTATGCACATGATAGAAGAAGGTAAATCATTTAAAAAATGATTAATATAGCATTGAATTTTCAAAACTATGAAATTGCAGAGTACCTTAAATCAAATTTTGGACAAACTTTTGATTCAATAGCAGAAAGTATGCATTTCGGAAATTATGTTGTTGCATCTTATTTACTTTCTAACGGAGCAAACATCAATGATATATATATATTTTTCCTCTTCATATTTATCATTGATTTATTACATTCTCATTCTTTTCATATTTATCATTATTTTATTGAATTCTGTTTCTCTTCATATTTAATATTGTTTTATGACATTCTTTTCCATTCCATGTTTATCATTGTTTTATGAAATTCTCTTTCTCTTGATGTTCCTCATTGTTTAATGACATTCTCTCGATATTAATGAATGCCCCCTTAGTATTGCCATCAATACGAAATCGATAGAGATTGTCCAATTCTTAGTTGAACATGGTGCAAATGTTAATATGAAACTTATTCTCTTTCTTTTCATATTTATCATTATTTTATAGAATTCTTATTCTTTTCATATTAATCATTATTTTATCACATTCTTATTCTTTTCATATTTATCATTATTTTATCACATTCTCTTTCTTTTTATATTTATCAATGTTTTATGAAATTTTTTTTCATTTCATATTTATCATTATTTTATCGCATTCTTATTCTTTTCATATTTATTATTGCTTTATAAAATTCTCTTTATTTTCATATTTATCATTGTTTTATGACATTCTTTTCTTTTTCATATTTATCATTGTTTTATCAAATTCTCTTTTTCTTGATATTTCTCATTGTTTTATTATATTCTCTCGATATTAATGAATGCCCTCTTAGTATTGCAATCAAAGTGAACTCAATAGAAATTGTTCAATTCCTAGTTGAGCATGGTGCAAATGTTAACATGAAACTTATTCTCTTTCTTTCAATATTTATCATTGTTTTAGATCATTATCTTTCTTTTCATATTTATCATTGTCTTATAGAATTCTTTTTCATTTCAAATTTATTATTGCTTTATCACATTTTCTTTCTTCTAATATTTGTCATTGTTTTATCGCATTCTCTTTCTTTTCATATTATTCATTGCTTTATCACATTTTCTTTCATTTCATATTTATCGTTGTTTTATAGCATTTTCTTTCTTTTCATATTATTCATTGTTTTATGACATTCTTTTCATTTTCATATTTATCATTATTTTATAAAATTCTGTTTCTCTCTATATTAATTATTGCTTTATTGGATTCTCTTTTTCTTGATATTTCTCATTGTTTAATGACATTCTCTCGATATTAATGAATACCCTCTTACCATTGCCATCAATACGAAATCGATAGAGATTGTCCAATTCTTAGTTGAACATGGTGCAAATGTTAATATGAAACTTATTCTCTTTCTTTTCATATCCATCATTGTTTTATGAAATTTTCTTTCTTTTCATATTTATCATTATTTTATGAAATTCTATATCTCTTCATATTTATCATTATTTTATTGGATTCTCTTTCACTTCATATTTCTCATTGTTTTATTGCTTTCTCTTTCTTTTCATATTATTCATTGTTTTATTACATTCTCTTTCTTTTCATATTTATCATTATTTTATTGGATTCTTTTCCATTTCATATTTATAATTATTTTATGAAATTCTATATCTCTTCATATTTATCATTGTTTTATGACATTCTTTTCCATTCCATGTTTATCATTGTTTTATGAAATTCTCTTTCTCTTGATGTTCCTCATTGTTTAATGACATTCTCTCGATATTAATGAATGCCCCCTTAGTATTGCCATCAATACGAAATCGATAGAGATTGTCCAATTCTTAGTTGAACATGGTGCAAATGTTAATATGAAACTTATTCTCTTTCTTTTCATATTTATCATTATTTTATAGAATTCTTATTCTTTTCATATTAATCATTATTTTATCACATTCTTATTCTTTTCATATTTATCATTATTTTATCACATTCTCTTTCTTTTTATATTTATCAATGTTTTATGAATTTTTTTTTCATTTCATATTTATCATTATTTTATCGCATTCTTATTCTTTTCATATTTATCATTATTTTATCACATTCTCTTTCTCTTCATATTTATCAATGTTTTATCGCATTCGCTTTCTCTTCATATTTATCATTATTTTATAACATTTTCTTTCTTTTCGTATTATTCATTACTTGATAAAATTCTCTTTCTCTTCACATTTATTATTGTTTAGTGTAAAATCTACCAATATTGATAAATGCCCTCTCAGTATTGCCACCTCAATTAAAGCATCAAATATTATCACTTTCTTAGTTGAACATGGTGCTAAAAATGACTAATAATTCTTTTTCCAATAGCATTATTTAAACAGCCCATTCACTATATTCACTATATTAATACACTCGAATTTAAAGATTGTCACATATTTCGAGGTATCAATAATCGTTTTTCAACATAATACAAAAATATTTTTTCCCATTTATAATGAATAAGTCTAATAATTTTGTATTGGTTTTGTGAGACATTTAAAATATAATCCAGTGTGAAACAATGTTGTGTCTTAGTGTGCATTTTTCTTTATGCCTTTGTAAGAATAACTTTTCAAATTTCTAAATGTCGTTTTCTTCAAATGATCGAAAATAATGTAATGTTATACATTATTTCCTATTTATACATCTTTCCACTCTTAGTCGGCATCTTAAAATATGCTCTATCTATCCAAAAAAGCTTAAAGTCAATTTTTTAACACCGATAAAAAATAGATTTAATATAGATTCGAGCACACAATTTCAAGCGCTTACAGATAGATCCTATGACATATCATCAATAACTATACAATATGCCCTATGGTATTGAGAAGTTTTAATGCAATGGTAAGTTGTTTGATAAGGATTTAGACTTTTTCTTAACTAAAAGAAAAATGCAAAAATTCTCTATTATGTAATTCATAACCAGCAGAATTTATACATACATATATATTGTTAACATAGTGTACTATATGATTGCACACGTTTTAAATTCTCAAATTGAATATTGGTCGCCCTCAAGTAAAAGTCATCGTCATCATGTGTCAAAAAATTCACAAGTAGGTTTCTTTATTCAAGTTTCAAAGATTCTAATGCAATACGCAATGCACATTTGTTATATCAATACTCGATTATTCATGTACTGATTCTGAAAACAGGTGAAAAAAAGTAAGTTTTTCTCTAACGTTAGAAGTGTTTAATATCAAGCACAGCATGTGGAATTTAAGTATTAGTAGTATATATTTCATCTCTCCCCCAAGTGAAGTCGAAATCCGAGATTTTTTCAGAGCTCAAGATTTTGCTATGCATTAACATTGTACACATATTTCTCTGCATATTGTGTCGCATAAGTAGCTATTTATTTCAAACAGATATCGTAGATAGTCGAAATAAAGAATCCAATGAAAAAAAAAATAAAATTGTGTCAGATTTTCCTCCGATTACGTTTCCAATTATACAACAATATTTCAAAAATAATAGCTTTTGAAATATTGCTTTTTGCTTTTTTTTTAATATTAAGGGTGCACCCGTATGTACGTTTATTTGAGAGGAGGAGGATTACCCTCTCAATTTTGAGGGATTCGTTAGTTTATTTTCTCGATGAATATGCAATAAAATTTGATTTTTACCTTATCAATATACTTCATATAATATACACATGTTCATGTAAAAACTTTTTTCCAAAATCCTCAGGAATTAAGGGATTTTTGAATTTTAAGAATTTTTTCGAATTTTTTCGAAAAAAAAATATTTTCAGAACAGCCTTAACGGCTAAGATTTAGGAACAATGTTAAGTATCAAAAAGAAAGGAGGTCTGATATAGACAACATATATCGTTGAAGGTTGAAAAAATCTCTAATATTTGAGCCCAAAATTTCAAATTTTAATTTTTTGAAAAAAGAGGCCACCCGTATGTACGTTTATTTGAGAGGAGGAGGATTATATTTTTGAAAGGGTGAAACATTATGAATATGTTAATTATATAATAATATGTATTATTATAAAAAAGAAAAAATAAAGCACGTTAAAATTTTTCTTTCTTGATTTTTTACAAAATCTACTTAGAATTATGCAAAATATGACTAAATAATTATAAATTTCAGGTTAAATTTTAATTTTGATAAATAATTTAAATTTCAAAATATCAAGTTCAGTTCGACTATGTATGTAGTAATTCCTCAATAAAGTGTCAAAACCCTATTAAAATATATGAACATTTTCAACATTTTAATGTTTTTATTTAAAAATTTGATGGAATATGAGCTTCAAACAATTATTATGTAAATAAAAATAATTAAATATATGTATTTATTCGTATTACAACCGTAGTAAGTCGATTCTTCCTTTCTTCTACTGAGGTTTGAATTTGATTTCGAATTGTAAAGAGATTCAAAGGGAAAATACTAGCGGAGAAAAACTACCTCCATGAAAGGGTCATAATGGACTCAAGTTGTATTTTTTGATATTTTTTGCTTTTCGAGCCTAAATAGGTAGCCAAGATAATGCCTAAAAATAAGGTTCTAAATTCTGAAGTTTACATGATCCTCTCGTGTGCACCCTTAAAACACTATTATTAGGGAATAAATCGGCAGATGCTTTAATGAGTTACTCAAGCAAAAGAGCATTATACACATCACATGCTTATAGACAGATTTACCAAATGCTCAATGGCCACTAGCATTAGTTATGTCAACCGAAATGATCGAGCTGACTTTTTTTCCTTCATTAATTTTTCTCATATTTAGGATTTCTATATAGAATTGACTATATTTTATATGTCCTATCCTAACAAATCAAAAAACCAATTGTAGATGAAACAGTTAGCGTTTTGTAAATATAAAACTTTCCGTTAGGAACTTTACAAAGCACTTATGTCTGAAGATCTCCTGAAAACTGCAAAGGGACTTATTGAGGGTGAAGGTGAAAAAGTCTTCTTAGCATATGAAGTAGATAAATATCACCGTAAGAACCCTGAGAAGCACGATAAGCGAATACTTGTAGTTGGCGAGTACCGTGCCATTTATTTCCACATTACTCCAATACTTGAAAAGAGAAGAGATTTCCATTTGATTGATCTCAAAGATATGAAATTGGACGAAGAAAATAATTTAGTTATTTTCCAATTCAGAGACAGATCAGTTGAAACACAGCAGGCTGCAAATCAAAAACCCGATCAGACCAAACTTCCAGAGCCTTCTTTATACCCAATGAAATTCAAACACGAAAATGCAAGAGAAATAATTCAAACAATTGCAAATCACTTAATTCGGATTATGCCAAACTCTACTATTGATCACATCAATGCTAGACCATATTCAAATATAGAGAAGCGCGATATCCCAGCTGCAGCTCTTTGCCGTCTCCATGCCTTCGAACGCGTTCTTAATTGCAAGCTATCACCAGAACTTTATAAACAATTCGAAGACACACTTAAATATCGTCATACAACATTCAAATTACCATCAAATACACCAAATGCTGTTGCTTCCATTATTTTAGCTGGTCTTCAGTTAGATCCATACCTTGAACATATCAAGCTCACTTCTCAACTTGGAAAGAAGGAGGAAGATACGACCAAATTAAACGTTTTCGATGCAGCTGCAAAGACTCCAAGCCGTTTCCTCCCATGGAGACATTTAACATTCAACCAAAAGACATACAAGAAATTAACTTCAATGCTCTTAACATTCAACGATAAATTGGAGAATTGCTTCATTCATGGCTTTACATTTGCCAACTGCGGCTTTACAAAATTCCAGAAGGAAACAGAGAACAAGTTTGATGAATTCTTTAACAGTATGCAGAAGTTTAAGAATCTCCAGTCTCTTGGCTTCGATAACTTCCTTCACAACGACGAATACAAGGAGGAATTCTTCAATCGCCTTCTTGTTCCAGTTATTTGCGAGAATCTCAAGTTCTTACGCCTTGGATACGATAATTCCTTCCAACTCAAGACAATTTTAAGCAATGCAGCCCATTTCCAGAAATCGCTTGTTGCATTATCCCTTCCACACGATGATCTCGAGATTTCCGATGCAATTTACGAAATCATGAATGCAAATCTTGCAAATCTACAGGCCATTTCCCTTCGTGCCAACTTCTGCATGAGGACTACACCCACCACAGGCGAGCTCCCACCGAACATCCAAGTTATTGATGTATCCAAATCTTATTTCGCCGACAACTGCCTTCTCCAGTTCATCAGATTCATTCTTAAGACCAAATACACCCATGGCCTTACTCTCAACCTCTCCGGACTCGATTGCACATATCCAAATGATCTTCCTGTCAGCGTCGAAGAGATTTCCAGAGTTTGCCAGTATATTACTGCTCTTAAGAACTCCAGGATTGTTGGCCTCAACTGGTCCGACACTTCCATCCCACAACCGTTCGTTGAAATGCTCAGAAAACAAGTACAGCTCAATACACTTTTCATTGACGGTTGTCTCGGGCCACATGATGAAGAAATCCTCATGAACTTGGCAGAAGTCATTGTCCAGCTTCCGAAACTCCGCAAATTATCAATCCGCGGCAAGGACAAATACGTTTTAGGTGAAAAACTCGTTCCTTTCATCCAGAAAATTGAAGAATCGAAATCCTTAATTTGGTTGGACATTTCCGATCAACAAATTGGCTCCAACGGTGTCAATGCACTCCAGAAACTCATTCCTGTCATGATAAATAACGCACAGCCACATTCCGAGAACTCAGGAAGCAACGAAAACCAAGAGAAACCAGTAGTCAATGAAAACTCAGAAAAACCAGAAGACATCAAGATTCCATTCATTGATTTCGATGGATCCGATCCAGATGCACAAGACTGCATCATGAACTTTGTTTCTGCTGCACAACAGACGTCATCACCATTCATCATCTCATTCCCATTGAGAGATGCAACAAAACTCCAGTTGAACATCCCCAATCTCATCAAAGATTTCAACACTCTTTCTGGAGAACACTTGGAAGCAAACACAGGATACGAGGAATTCCCAGTTCCTTTCGATACATATGTTCATGAGAGTGATTTGGAAGGCCACTTCCCAAGCTATTTCTCAAAGGAATTCGAGAAGTTCTTGCAGGAAGGAGAACAAATCATTCTTACAGACCAAGAGCCACAAACACCGAAAGAAAGAGATATCCAGCCAGAATCAGAGACAGAAGATGACAAGGAAAGACACGAGCGCCAAAAGAGATTCAAGAACTTCTACTTGAACATCGAAGAAGAAGAGGAAGACAAATTAGAATCTCCTAAGGAAAGAAATGTCAAGAAATCTGACTCTAGTTCATCATCATCTGATGAAGAAATTGCCGAAGAAAAGAAGACAGTTTATCCATACATTAAGGAAGATCCAAAGGATGAAGAGGCGGACAAGACACAGATCGACTGGCCGGACTTCCCAAGTAAAGATAAAGAGACAACATTGATGGATAGAGAAGAAGTCAAACTCCAGAGAGAAGCACTCCTCAGTTCAATGAATGAAGAAGAGAAGAGGGAGTTTATAGAGGAAGAGCGTAAGAAATGGTCTGAAACACCAATCGCTGATGTAATAGCAAGGACACAACGCGCTTTCAACTGCCAAGATGCTTTAGAAAGACTCACTAAGAAATATAGTCCTGCTGTACTTCGTCAGAATATTCAGTAATTTTTTTATATTCAGTAACAATTTCTTTTTTTTTTAACGTGGAAAAATAAAATATTTTTGATTTTGATTTATAAAAAAATACGATCACAATGTTTTAATAATGTTTTCGATTTATTTAATCCATTATACTCATACTCATGGTTTAAACCACTATATCTTACACTCAAACATAATAATTAATCAATCTGAGGAAGAATTTGTGAAAAAAAATGCGTTTTTTTTCTGATAATGGCATGGTTGAAAATTGGGGCTTTTTCAGTACTCATCTTATCAAAAAATGATATACTTTTTCGATATAGCGACTCAAAAATATCGGATATAATTATCTAGTATATGATTATCTAGTATATGATTATTTTAGCTTTTAATGCCGAACAGCATTTGAATCAAAAATAAGGGGTTTTCCGAAAAGTGCAAAAAATGCGCAAAGTAGTCAAAAGATGGATGTATTTTTTCTTTTATATTTTTTGCATATGCAATTATTACTATACTTTTTTAATGGATTTGATTATATATAATAGTCAACTCCAAACTTATTCAAATACGCAAAATACGGGCAGATTCAATTTTGAATTATCGTTTATGGACGGTTTTTGCACCTCATATAAAACCAAAAAATAATCATATGCTAGAGATTCTTGCGCAAAATTGAATTGAACACAAATAAATATTAATCTAAAACGTATTCATATGCTATATTTTCATTTTTAGCAAAAATTACAATTTCAATTTCTGTTAGTAATATGAATGTAAGTTCATTATATCAGAGATTAGATTTTGCGGCAATAATCTTATCATAGGTGCAAAATTGAGATTTCATCTCAATTTTGCACATATAATGGTAAATTATCATTTTTAGAGCATGCTATAAATTGTTAATTTATTTTTAAATTTTAATTAATTCGCCTTTGAAATCAAATACTTGGATAGCTAATTCATTATCACTGTCATTATTGTGTTGATTCTTACCTGTTTGAATTATCATGAAAGCAACAAAATAGTCATTTGTTTGAAGTGGAAATTCTTGAGTTTCAGCTTTTTTAAATGCATAATCTTTATTATCCAATACAACAGTTGATCCATTTTCCTTTATACCTTCTAGCCTCCAATATCTCAAAAGATAATCAGATCTGAATGCTGAAAGTAAAATATAAGAACTTGGTTTTAATTTATATCCCTTGAGATCAACACGTATCCATTGATTATCTGACTCATAGTATGTATAAAAATCATCATGACTTGAATATGTATTTATATCTGTTATTTTTCCCCTGTTAACAGATGATGATGAATATTCCATTTGAATTTCTTTTGAAATTTCGGTGTATCTCAACACATGTATATTAATAGGATTATTTGAAATCTCAATTAGGGTTGGAATGAATGGTTTATCGAATGATGAATCAGAGTTATTCGAGAGTTCAATTTTATTTCGAATATTTGAATGATAATGTTTTAGTGTGTCTTTATAAATCTTTAGAAGAATTGATTCGAATGAATTTTCAACTGAAAAATCATAAATTTCTTCAATTATATGAGAAGTGCAATATGCTAATGAAATACATCTAAATAAATCAAAGAACTTATTGTCACGTTTGCAAATTTCGAGTAGTAACATGCATAATTTATCTTCGTTTTCAATTTTTAGAGATTTAGATGTTAAAATTTTTTCGAAGAAGTCATATCCAAATTGAACTGTATATTGGATAATATCAGCGTCATTCAAACAATATAAATGTGATGTAATATATTCGAGACATTGATTTTGTGTTGTTAAATCGTTTTCAATAACAGAAATTTCATATTTCCGAAATACGTTTTCATTTGTAATGGAACTATCTGTTTTGATATGTTTTATATACATTTGTATCAAGAGTTGATTACGAAAATGCTTCCCAAATTCAAATATATCATGATAATGATCTTCATCTTCTTCAAATTCAAGAATTCCTGTCTCTATGAACTTTTTGAGTATGTTGATTGAATCTCCACACTTGATATTTAGATTCAATTCAATCGATGATATCTGTTTATTCAAAATGCATTTTTCTTTAATTAGATCTGAAAAACAAACTGCTGAAGACTTCAATGTTTCGATTATTTGTCCATTCATCTTGACATTCAATTTACCACATTCTCTAAGAATGCTTACACGTTCTATTTCATTGCACAATGTTCTAACTTGTACCATGCAAAAAAAAATTAAATAAACTGCTCGTCAAAAAGCGCAGGTCCTATCATATTTTTGAGTCAACTCATACAATTAATTCTATGAGTTTCTCTCAAATTGGTGTCAAAATCAGACCTGCGCAGGTCTGATTTGACCTTTATTCCTAAACATTGAAAATTTAGGAATAAAGGTTAAAATTAAAATATGTAAACATTTAAATTCGCCACCATTTTTTGAAAGATCAAATTAATATGCATGGATTACAATTGAAAGCCAACTTTAAATAAGGGTTTCGTTTTGCGAAAAAAACGTACAATACGCAATTTCGCTAAAAAAACATTTAGCTAGCAATTTCGACATTTGACTCCACTCAAGACGTCACTTTTTTAATTTTGCGGTATCATATTTTTGGAAAATCTTTATGAATATTATATGAAAAGTCTCTTTAATATCTATATTTCATATTTTTATCGATTTTTAAAGTTTTTGCGAAAAGTATTCAATTATTTTTGCTATTTTGTCGGGTAAATGTCAGATTTGCGACATTTTCTGATATGATATTCAGATTCTACGTTGATAATAATGCTTATAGAACCCTCTTGCTATTGTGTCAAAATTGCGAAACCGATAGCAAAAATATCTCGCAATATCAAAATTGAGATATTGAGTGAATTATGCATTATAGAGATTAAAAATCTGATTTGTGAAAACATCTCATCAGTTTCTAGCTAATTCAAAAATCTTTACTATCTTATTCGATTAAAATGAAAAGGGAATAGTTTCATTATGCTTTAAATGACAGCCTTATAATATAATCATAGTTTTCGCTCAATATGCAGCATTTTTTTTCGAAATCTATGGTCAATATCCTAAATACTGATTGCTTTGCATTCATATCTCTTACATTTTCTATACCCACATCACTATTCATTGCGATTCCTATCTTTTTCATTTTTGTTTGTTTCTCATAATTTCTCAAAAACCATGATAACTTGATATTTGTAAATATCATACTTTATAACGTAAATAAGAACTTGACCTATTAAGAAAAGCAGTAATGAAAAGAAAATCTGAAAATCATAAAAATTACAAGTTTCTGATGACAATTAGCTTAATTAAACCAGGTACAAGATTATATAATTGTATTTTCTATCCAATTATCCATATAATATCTTATCCAGAAAAAATAACTTGATCAATACCAAATGATTTTTTAACTAGTAAATAAAATATTTTCTTTACACACACATTGTATATCATAGTTTTTTTTTTTTTTGGTTTCGCAAAACATCCAAAAACAAATATGCTATAAAAGTGACAATTTTAGCAAAACGAAACCCTTACTTTAAACAAAAGAACTGATGAGTGTTTCATCCTAACGATTTTTTTGTAAAAAAGTCGAAAATTGAGGCATTTTTGATCGTCATTCTGGACTTTTTTTTATTGACTCTAATATAATACAAAAATTTGAATTGACGGATATTACAAAATGATGCCGAATCAAGTTATTTATATGGAATGTTTCATGAGGGTATCTACACTTAAGTTTCATCAATAATAATCAAGAAATGATTTAATTTTTCTACAAAATTGTTTCGTACCGAAATGGCTAACAAAAAAGTGACAGAAAACCTTAAATTGCGCGGCAATTTTAATTAAAAAAATAAACATGAATTTTTGTGATTGATATTATGCATTTTATTTATATTATATAAGATTTAAATTTAGGGGGAAAATTGGAAAAAAATAAGATTGGAAGTCTTTAGGTAAGAAGGAAAGGGCAAGAGATATATAGTGTACCTATATACCTCTTGCCCTTTCATTCTAAGTAGAAATGGGAATTGTAGGCTATGAGGCACTGATATATAATCAGTACCTCATAGCCTACAATTCCCTTTATTAGACTTCCAAACTTTGAGTTAATGTCAAGACATTAACTCAAAGTTTGGAAAACTTCACGTAAGAATCAATCGTCAAAAACCTCGATTGCAGTTATATTCATTGTGTTAAATTTGATTTATTTTGAAATTTTTATAAATTAAATTTTATATAACATAAAGCGTTATGAATTAGTATTTCCATATGAATTTTATCTCGAAAATAGTAATTCTGTACAGTTATATTTCGGTTAAATAAATATATCTAAATAGAAAGAATCAGAAAAATCAAATTATTGGCGCCAAAAATGTCACCTTTTTGGTGAGCCATTTCGGTATGAGATAAATTTTTCTACAAAATACTTATCTCATTGAAAAAGATTAAATCAAATACATATATTAAGGGTGCACCCGTATGTACGTTTATTTGAGAGGAGGAGGATTACCCTCTCAATTTTGAGGGATTCGTTAGTTTATTTTCTCGATGAATATGCAATAAAATTTGATTTTTACCTTATCAATATACTTCATATAATATACACATGTTCATGTAAAAACTTTTTTCCAAAATCCTCAGGAATTAAGGGATTTTTGAATTTTAAAAATTTTTTCGAATTTTTTCGAAAAAAAAATATTTTCAGAACAGCCTTAACGGCTAAGATTTAGGAACAATGTTAAGTATCAAAAAGAAAGGAGGTCTGATATAGACAACATATATCGTTGAAGGTTGAAAAAATCTCTAATATTTGAGCCCAAAATTTCAAATTTTAATTTTTTGAAAAAAGAGGCCACCCGTATGTACGTTTATTTGAGAGGAGGAGGATTATATTTTTGAAAGTGTGAAACATTATGAATATGTTAATTATATAATAATATGTATTATTATAAAAAAGAAAAAATAAAGCACGTTAAAATTTTTCTTTCTTGATTTTTTACAAAATCTACTTAGAATTATGCAAAATATGACTAAATAATTATAAATTTCAGGTTAAATTTTAATTTTGATAAATAATTTAAATTTCAAAATATCAAGTTCAGTTCGACTATGTATGTAGTAATTCCTCAATAAAGTGCTAAAACCCTATTAAAATATATGAACATTTTCAACATTTTAATGTTTTTATTTAAAAATTTGATGGAATATGAGCTTCAAACAATTATTATGTAAATAAAAATAATTAAATATATGTATTTATTCGTATTACAACCGTAGTAAGTCAATTCTTCCTTTCTTCTACTGAGTTTTGAATTTGATTTCGAATTGTAAAGAGATTCAAAGGGAAAATACTAGCGGAGAAAAACTACCTCCATGAAAGGGTCATAATGGACTCAAGTTGTATTTTTTGATATTTTTTGCTTTTCGAGCCTAAATAGGTAGCCAAGATAATGCCTAAAAATAAGGTTCTAAATTCTGAAGTTTACATAATCCTCTCGTGTGCACCCTTAAGGCTTCACTAACATGACAAAAATTAAAGTCTCTTGAGATATATATTCTATGATGTATATCAATGCTATATTTATCATTATTTTTAATTTTTATTGACCCACCTAAAAAAAGCCTTCTTCCACTAACATGAGTTATAACGTGCTTTTTCTGAAAATGATAGGCTAGGATTAGTATATATCGTAGAGCATATTTTTCAACTTTTTAAAAGTTTTGAATACTTTTTGTCATGTTAGTGAAGCCTTAATGAATAGTATTTACAAAATAACATATATTTCTTTAGAGTTTAATATAAACATATATTAATTTATTACAAACAAATATTAGTTTTTATTCTGTTTCTGTTTTCTCAGTTGAGACAATGTCTCACTGAATTGTTTCCTTATCATCTTCAGTTCTTGAACCATAGCCTGTTCTTCATCTTCTAACTCTGAAATGAGAGAAAGAGCTGCTTCGAATTTCTTGCGCATTTCACTGCATTCATTTGATTTTTTACGTAATTCCTCAATAATTATCTCGCGTTCTTCAAGATCTCTTTCAAGAGATCGACAACTCTCTTTCAGTTCCTTTTCATTCATCAATCCAATAGTAACTTCTTGTTCTGGAAGTTTTGATGCTTCAATTTCGGCTGATTTGACTGATTCGCGTAATAAACTTAGTTCTTCTTCATTCTCTTTCTCTTTATCTTTGATTTCTAATGCGATTCTTTCGATTTCTTTGTTGAGATCTTCAATCTGATTTTGTATTTCTTCTGTTTCCTTTTGATATTTATCATTCTGGCTATTGTATCCGTCGAGTTCGAGTTGTGACTTATCAAATGACTTCTTTAATGTTTCAAAGTCTTGTGATGATGTGATTAAAATTTGTTTCTGCTGTTGTGAAACAGCTTTCGCACGAATGAGGTCATCCTGGAGAGAATTGAGTTTCTTCTGTGATTGTCGAAGTGATTCTTCGCTTCGTTCCCTTTCTTGTGTCAGCTTTTGTTCGTTTTCATAGATGTTTTTACTTCGTTGTTCAACTTTCACACGCCATTGTTCGATTTCCCGGTTGATAGGACCAAGTGTTTGAGGAAGTGAAAGCTCCATCTCTTCAATGTTAGATCTTAATGTGTTACATGATTCTTTTTGTGAATCTAATTGAGATCTGAGTGAAGCAATCTCAATAGCGTGTTCCTTTTCACTCTGGCTGATCTCTTTACGTATGTTTTGGATAGAATTCTTAAGATTATTCACTGTATTCGAAACTTTTTCGATTTCTGAACGATAAGAAGGATCCAATTCTTCAATTGAAGTAATGGTGACTTGCTCTGCTGTCTCAACATTCATTTGTGATAACTGTATTTGTAACTTTTCGACTTCCTTTTGTAATTCGTTAACTGATTGTGGACTGATTGAAGCTTTGATGGAAGCAATCTCTTTCTTCGATTCATCGATCGCGTTTTGAATATTAGTCTGTTGTGTTTTGAGACTGTTTTCTCGATCAACAAGGTTGTTGTATTCATTCAATGCGTGATCGTAACTTTTTTGAGCAGCATCAACTTTAGCTTTTAATTGTTCTGCTTCTGTTTGCTTCGCTTTGCAAAGTTCTGATTTTTCGTTGATCTTTTTTTGTAATTCATCAATGTCATTGTTTTTAGATGCAATTTTTGCTTTCAAGTCTGCAATGAGTTCAGTTGATTCTTGAATTGAAACATTGATTTCACCTGCTTTTGTTTTTGATTCTTTAAGTTGTTGTCTTTGAAATCGCAAATTTTTAATACGTTTCTTAGCTTCTGTTAAATCTGTTTCAAGTTGTGTGAGTTTTGTTGTTAATGTTTCTTTGAGAACCGGAAATGTTGGATTATCTCCGCATAATGCATAGTATTTCTTAGTTTCTTCTGTTTTTTGCTTGACTACAGCTTTAATCGTCTTGAGCTCATGATTCCTGCGTTCTAGTAATTGCTCTAATGCTGGAATATCAAGAGAATCAAGCAACATATGAATCAAAAAGTGACAATTGATATTTCATGCGCAAAGAATACAAAAAATTAAGCGAAGAAGAGATCTATGAGATCATCAGACTCAAAGGTAATGGCGTCTCAGCAGCGGAGATTGCTCAGCAAATGAATTGCTCTGAAAGACAAATTCATAGAATTTTGAAGAAGAATTCTAATGGAGAACTCCTAGTACATCAAAAGAAAGAAGTCGATATCTCACAGAAATTAGATGGCTGCGTTTTACAGGAACATCATTTGGCTTGGATTCAAGAAGAATTTGAAGTAGAACCCGGAATTTCTTTGGAAAGCATAACAGAAAGATTAAACGAGGAATTTGGAATTCACGTTTCTACATCAACAATTTGGAGAAACCAAAAGAATAACTCAATCCAAAAAATCATTAATCAATTAAAGCAAGCAGAAAATAAAAATGCTATGGAAGGCATGCCATTACTTATACCTCAGTAATTTTTATAATATTACACAGTTAATTTCATCATTTCAAATTAAACAACATTTAATCATTTTCAAAAGAAGAAAAATTGAACTGGTTTTCCAAATTGGCCGGAATACAATTGGATTCAACTTAAATTTAACAGATTATTGAAAAATTGTTTTTTCAAGCTTTTCCACCAGGATTGGTACAAAGAAAAGTATTATGTTGCCAACAAGAGATCCTTGTTTGACTATTCTTAGCTTGTTTATTGTAATAAAAATGAATTTATTTATTTTATATTTATCTTTTGCAGAATCAATGCATTCATGTTCATAAGTTTGTTATTTTAGATTATACCATTATGAACATGACCCAAGATTCTGTTATTTAATATATGAATTTTCCAATTATTTCTTATCTCATTGAAAGTTAAGGTTGGTGTTAAGAATCGTAATGGAAAGATTCCACTCACCTTGATAATGAAAAATAGACACTGTGAAGTCGTGAAAAGCGCTTGTTGCTTCTTGTACCAATTCACCAATTAGATTTGGTGATAATGGTTCAACTCCTCTCATTTTGGCTGCATAAAATGGAGATATCGAATTAGTTAAATGTTTCATCGAATCAGGAGTTAACAAAGAGGTGAAGAATACTAAAGGAGAAAATGCACTACTTTCAGCTTCACGAAAGGGTCGTCTCGACATTGTGAAGTACCTTATAGAATCTAATTCTAAAATAAAAACGAAGAATTCATTTGGATGGACTCCGCTCATTATTGCCTCATATTACGGAAAACATGATATTGTTAAGTATCTCTGCAAGTGCAGTCAAAAATGCAAGAACCAATAATGGAGATACAGCTCTCACTCTTGCAAAAAAACCGAAAAAAACTGAATGAAGTTTGCTAATATCTTCTTTCTATTGGCTGCTTATAAAATAGATAGTAGTTATTATACACTTTTATTCAATATCATGACGAACTGTATGCAAATTAAAAGAATTCTTTTTCCTTTCTTTGATATTTTTATATATGAATGCATATAAGAGTTAGAATGGTTGTAAAGGGTGCTCTTAATTCATTTGTAACTTTCGATGCTTGTGGCTTATCACCCGAAGAGTCTATTTGCTTGGATAAATTTAAATGAAATATCATATATATGCTTTTTTCCATACAAAGTTTTTTATAACTCTCCATAAGCAGAGACATTATGTTTCGCTTTTGGAATTCGCCCATAGCTAAATTCATAAAAAAGGGAGAAAGAAAAACTGACACCTAAACATACAATCAGTTAACTTATAAAAAAATGGATTATAAGCCAAGAAACCATGAAAAATATCTTGCAATGAAGAAGCATGCTGAAGAAAATCCCGAGGAGTTTTGGGCTGCAACAGCAAAAGAGACACTTAACTGGATTAAGTCTGATTTTACGAACGTTATCGGCGAAATTGGAGAAGAAAACTCATTCTGGTTCGACGGTGGCGTTATGAATACCTGTTACAATGCAGTCGATCGCTGGGCAGCAGCAAATCCTGATAAGGTTGCCTTGATATACGAAGGAAACGAACCATCAGACTCATACACTATCACATTCGGACAGCTCAAGGAGAAAGTCTGCAAGATGGCTAATGTTCTCCTTCAACACGGCATCAAGAAGGGAATGACCGTCGCATTATACCTCCCTGTTAGTGTTGAATGCATCATTTCAATGCTCGCTTGCACAAGAATAGGTGCAATTCATACAGTCATCTTCGGAGCTTTCGCTGGTGATGCTTTAAGCTACAGAATTTCAAATTCTGAAGCAACAGCTGTTGTCAGCGCAGACTGGTACATGCGTGGCCAAAAGAAGATCCCAATGAAGAAGACTCTTCTTTCAGCTCTTGAGAATTGCCCTTTCGTGAAACACGTTATCATTTCAAATCTCGAAGAGACACAATTAGAGGAGCCAAAGTATACAATAGAGAGTTTCCAAACACTCTTAGAAGCTGCTCCTGCTGAATGCGAGTGCCAACCAATGCAGGCTTCCGATCCTTTATTCATTCTCTATACTTCTGGCTCAACAGGCGAACCAAAAGGTATCATTCATCGCGTTGGAGGTTACAGTGTCGCATCCGCTCTTACATTTAAGTACGTATTCGATATTGATGCAGATTCTGTTTTCGGCTGCACATCTGACCTCGGATGGATCACCGGCCATTCATATGTTTGCTATGGCCCATTACTTAATGGCATTCCTACCCTTATTTTCGGCTCTTTCCCATTGTATCCAAACGCAAAACGCTCATGGGAATTAATTTCAAAGCTTCACTTAACACATTTCTACACATCTCCATCTGCAGCACGCGCTATTGCAGCTCATATCAAAGATGTCGATCAAGTTAAAGAATACGATATTTCATCCCTCAGAGTCATTGGCTCTGTCGGCGAAACACTCGATGAAGAGACATGCATTTACTTACATGATGTTTTGGGCCAGAAGAAATGCTGGATTGTCGATACTTATTGGCAAACCGAACTTGGCTCAATCATTGCAACATCTGTTCCAGGAATTGAGAAGCTCCCACCAGGTATTGTCGGTCGCCCACTCTTTGGAACAGATATTGTCCTTATTGATACAGAAGATCACCATGTGGTCGCATCAACACGCTCTTCTCCACCAAATCAAATCGAAACAGGCTTACTTTGCATTGCTACTCCATGGCCAGGTCTCGCAAACGCTGCTTTCAAGTCAAACAAGTCATTCAAAGAAAGATATATCGTAAAAGGAACACATTACTTCTCAACAGGCGATACAGCACAAATCGATACAAAAGGATATATCAGAATTACAGGCAGAATTGATGACCAATTATGCGTAAATGGTCACAGAGTTGGTCCAGCCGAAGTTGAAGAGGCAATCATGAAATTGGATGACGTTCATGATGTTGCTGTTGTTGGTATCCCTTCAAAGCAGACTACACAAGCTATTGTAGCTTTCGTTGTCGCAAAAGTTGAAAATGAACAAATGAAGAAATCAGTTAGTGACACAGTTACTCAGAATTTCGGTGCAATTGGAAGACCACAAAAGATTATCTTTGTTAAGGCTCTTCCAAAGACAAATTCTGCTAAAATCATCAGAATGCTCCTCAAAGACTTGCTCTTAGGAAAAAGAGGCTTCCAGCTTCCACATACACTTTCTAATCCTCAAGATATTGATGGAATTATCCAGGCAATTGATGCAGAAATGAAATAATTTTAGAAAATATTATTTATTTTATAGATTTTTCATAAAACAAGATATAATTAAATATAAATATCAATTATCTATTTATTTCCACTAATTTTTTATTTCGAATTCCTGCCAGAATAAGTGATTTTGAAATCATAAATTTTTGTCAAAAATTCAATCGAAATTTGAATTAAAAATAATCATCAAAATTCAAATGAATTCGGAAGAAAAGAGTGACGCGAGGTATTTCCCATCTGAAACAGAGACCAACATATTGGTTAACTACCTCAAAATATATTTTTCTAATCCAGAACGTTCAGTTAAACGCTCACAAGTTGTTCAAGATGTTGTAAAAATCCTGTCTGAAATGAACTCACATTGGAATCATAGAACTGTTAGATTATGGTTTAACAACAATAAGAAGCTCCTTGGCCATAGCCAACCTCAACAAAATTCTCAGCCATCATCTCAAGAAACAATGTTTGACGCTCCTGTTCAAATAGTACCCAAAAACGTATATTTACCCCCAAGACCAGCATCAGCAGCTACAGTACTCCCTTATTTTGACCAATCAAATTATTATGACCAGAATATGTACGCACAGCAACAGTATCAACCAGTTCAACAGCTTTTACCATCAACAGTTTCGATGGTTCCTCCCAAACCTACATCAATATCAGCACAATTAGAAACTCAAAAAGAATTCCTTTCACAGCCACAACCAATTGACGTATACAACCGTGCTGATCAGATGCTTCATAACGCCATACTTAACTCTAACATACAGAAATGGGATGAATTCGTTCTTCCTCAAACTGGCCAAAAATCAATTTTCGACAGGAACTCGATATCATATAACGCACATCAATTTAATTATACACTACCCGTAGATATTACTCCATTTGATACAATTGATGCTAGTTACTGCTCAAATAAGTCACCAGCGATTATTATCTCAGATAAGACACTTACTGTCGAAAAACATACTGTAGAATTACCACTTACATCATACGCAACATCAATTACTGTCAATCCAGCTGATGGATCCATCTGGACTTACTCAGGAAATACAATTTACGGAATTGACACAAATCTTGAATTAATTGCTCAAGTATCAACAGGAAATCATGTTTCTAAATCAGCAGCACTTACTTTCCTTGACGATCAACTAGTTTTTGCAACAAATTCTTATGTATCTTGTTGGTCACTCTCAGGAATCCAAGAAAACTCAATGTCACTTGGATTTTCAACATATATGACATCTATATCAGCCATATCTCCAATCGGTGATTGTTTATTGCTCAGTTCATGTGATAATCATTCCATTTACATGTTTGCTAAGCAAGGACTTTTAATTCAGAGGTTTGTTGGTCACTGCGCAGGAGTCACTTCACTTTCTACCGTAAACGAGAATGTTTTTCTCACAGGAAGTGCCGATCAAACAATAAGAATTTGGGATAAAAGACAAGGCCCACAATTAACACTTTGCAGACACAATGGAATAGTTACAAGTGTTTGCGCAAGTGATGATGGCAATTTGATAGCAAGTGGTGGCACTGATAATATCGTGAGAGTTTGGGATTTAAGGAAGAGCGAAGTTTGTTTTGGAGGAAAATGTTCTTCTCCTCCTCAATCTTTGGCTTTAAACGACAATGTATTGACTGTTGTAACAAGCGAAGCTGTTGAAGAGAAGTATTATAACAATTGCAAGTTTATTGACCCCGTCTATGACGAGAATATCCCTCAAAACGGACTTCTTCATTATCAGATTTTTTAATTTTGTAAAGATTTTTTGTTTGTTTGACTATATTCGTTTATTTCATAACTCATTTATTTAACAAAGCATATTATATTTCATTTTACAAAAACAAAACATGAGATTTCAATAAACAATCTTGTTTGATCATTAAGAAAAAACATAGGAACTGTTGTAAATGAAGGATAATCTAATACATTTCAATCCCCAGAGTAACATGGCATTTTGAAGATTTTATAAAGGATCATTTTTCAAATTTTATAAATAAAGAAGGAAACCAGACTCATATGTGGCGTTGCTATACAGGATATCCTTACACCATTTACAAACAATGAAAACTAATATTATTCAAGGGAGAACCGAATGAATTTCGATTGACCCACTTATAATATAAATCTTCTTACAGTTTCTGTTTTATTTGCAAAAATATGCTTAACCACAGAGTTTCTGCTATAATAAGTGGGATTTTTCGAATTTTGAGAATTCTCTCAGAGAAATGCGTCCATATTGCGTTGCAAATAGCATATCATGAATTTTTATATGTATAAACAAAATTATACAGGGAAATTGTCAAGGGAAAATTGGGAAAATTTTGATTGATTTGAATATTCCTTACAAATATCATCAGGTACAAGTAACATATCCAAATTATGCAACTATTAGCGAAATCTGTATGTAGCCAATTATGATTTTTTTCTCTTTCAAAATTTAAAATTTTATTATTCATCAATAACTACATCTACTTACTTTGAAATCTTATTTGAGATAATTTTATATTTTCTGATGTTTACAAATATCAAAAAACAATGTTGGCTACTTGCGGAAGGCATCTTAATTCTTCTTTCGCTCGTTCCTTTGCTAAAGGCGCATCGCCTATCATTGGTATCGATCTTGGTACAACAAATTCTTGCGTCGCTGTTGTAGAAGCAGGAAAACCAAAAGTTATTCCAAATTCTGACGGACAACGCACAACGCCATCAGTTGTTGCATTCGATAAGAACGGACAACTCTTAGTTGGTGAACAAGCAAAGCGTCAACTCGTTCTCAATCCTAAATCCACCTTCGCAGCCACAAAGAGAATTATCGGTCGCACATTTGATGATGATATGACATTACAAGCAATGAAGATGTGCTCATTCGAGGTTGCCAAGGCCGAAAACGGCGAAGCTTGGGTCAGAGACGGCAAAGGCAAACTTTATTCTCCTTCCCAGATCGGTGGATACGTTCTTGCTAAGATGAAAGAGACTGCTGAGGCATACTTAGGCCAAAAGGTTAAGGATGCGATCGTCACAGTCCCAGCTTATTTCAACAATGCACAGCGCCAGGCTACAAAGGACGCTGGCCGCTTAGCTGGACTCAACGTTATGCGTACAATCAACGAGCCAACAGCTGCTGCACTCGCCTACGGCTTAAACCGCAAGAAAGGCGAAACAGTCGCTGTTTACGATCTTGGTGGCGGCACATTCGATATTTCCATTCTCGAAATCAGTGACGATGGCATCTTCGAAGTCAAATCTACAAACGGAAACACATTCCTCGGAGGAGAAGACTTCGATAATGTTTTAACAAACTACATCCTTCAGCAATACAAGAAGGACGAGAACATTGATCTCTCTGCAGATCCAATGGCCGTCGCACGTATCCGTGAAGCCGCAGAAAAGGCTAAATGCGATCTTTCATCTTCAATCATGACAGAAGTCAATCTTCCATACATTACAAGTACAGGAGCTGGTCCAAAGCACCTCTCCATGACAGTCACCCGCCAAATGTTCGAAGCTCTTACATTACCTTTAATCAAGAAGACTCTCGACCCAGTTACACAAGCTCTCAAGGATGCATCGATGAATCCACACGATATCAACGAAGTCATCCTTGTCGGAGGCATGACTCGTGTTCCAAAGGTTATTTCCTCAGTTGGCGAATTCTTCGGCAAAGATCCATTCCGCGGTGTCAATCCTGATGAAGTTGTTGCTGTTGGTGCTTCAATCCAGGGCTCAGTACTTACAGGAGGTCTCGATGAGATCTTATTATTAGATGTCACACCATTATCTCTTGGTATTGAGACTATGGGTGGCGTTTTCACTCGCCTTATCCCACGTAACACTGTTGTCCCAACAAAGATCACAGAAAGCTTCTCAACAGGTGTTGATGGCCAAAAGAACATCGCAATTCGCGTTTACCAAGGAGAAAGAGAACTTGTTAAGGACAACAAGTTCCTCGGTGAATTCAATTTGGTCGGTATCCCACCACAGCCAAGAGGAATTCCAAATATCAATGTCACTTTTGAAATTGACGCAAATTCGATTATCCACGTTTCAGCTGTTGACAAAGGATCCGGCAAGGAACAGAAGATTGAGATCAAGCAGTCAGGCGGATTGACACAGGAAGAGATCATGAAGATGATCGCTGATGCTGATAAGCACAGGAAAGAAGATGAACAGCGCAAAGTTGTCATAGAACAATCCTACGATATGCACGGATTTGTTGGTGAAATCGAAAAGCAAATCCACTTCAACAAGGACAGATTACCAAAATGGCTCATCGAAAAGGTCGAACAGAAGGTTAAGGAAATGAACGCTGCTCTCGCAACATATGATATGGATAAGATCAATACTGCTTTCAAGGCTCTTCAGGCTGTTGCTATGGAAATGCCAGATAATCTCAAGGTTCGGTAATTTTTAGTAATATTTTTATTATATCTTTCTTTAGTTATATTTTATATGAATACAAGTTTTATATATTTTGAAATAAAAAGTCTTAATTCATAAATAATTTTTTTGAAAATTAAGTTTTTTTCATTGAATGATCATCAAACACTCGAATTTCAGAAGTTTTATATGGCATGTTTCCATCAAAAGGCTCATTTACTCTATATATTAGTTAGATTTCAATTTAGATATGTTAAAAATATCAATCAATATTAATAGAGAAGCAAGATTCAAGAAGAACTCAAGTAGGATAGTTTGAAAATTCCAATAAATATGGAATTTATGAGTTTTTTGTTTTTTGATGATCGAAATTGTACAGTCATTTCTCCGATTTCTCGGTGAATCATATTTGTCGGTGAGAGTTAATTTCAATGATTATTTCTCAATTTTGATAATTACCGCTCCCACTCTCAAAATTATAAAAATAAATGACAGATTCAAGGGAAACTGAAGTTAATGAACTTATAAAGTCCAATAACTATACGGCTCTTGCAGCATTCTGCCGAAGCTATGAGAATTTAAATGAATTAATGACGAATTTCTTATCATTCCAAGGAAATGAAATCAAAAAACTTACACTTCAAGTAATTTCCAAAAATTTCCGTTTTAATGCTAATGAAATGCCTAACGAAATCATTCCAATCATATATTCTTTTTTGTTTGAAGTTATTCCACAGAATTATAATTCGTTACAAGCAACACTGGCAGCAGAAATAGCTGAATCGCAATCACTTTTCGTATTATACAATTATCCAAATAACTATCCTAATATTTTTAATACAATTTTTGAATTTAACCCAGTTATAATTGCGGAATTCTTAGTATCTTTCGGAAGGGAAACATCAGTTCTCTCACCACTACGATTGGAATTATTTTCGAACTTAAAAGGTTCTCTCCGCCAATCTGGAATATTAAATTCGATTCTTGAATACACATGTCAACTATTAGAGTCGGATATTCAAACAGCTCTACGAATATTAGTTGAATTAACACCATGGTGCGATTTAGACTTTATAAATAATCAAGATGTTTTGCGTCTTCTTCAACATGGCATTGAAACAAAGCCAACAACAGCAAATGCGCTAACAGTATTCAATAATATTATCAAACGTAGCATAAATGATTCAAATATTTCAGATTTGATTTTTAATTTCGCGAACATTGAAAATCTCACACAGATTCTTCAGACTTTTAACGATTCCGAACAAATACAAAACGCAGTTGCAATTTTAATATCAAATGTCGGATTAATTACTTATGATGCTTCATTTTACGAATTTTCACTTCAATTACTTACTATTAGTGAGTTTTGTGCTGTTACGGTATCACCATTTATTTGTTTTTACATTAGTCAACAAAGTGCAGAATCATTTGACTTCGAAGCAGCTTTCCAGCTTGGATTCGAGCATCTTGTTACATTCTTCAACTCAGATATCACACCCGCTCTCTATTTAAAGAGCAAAAAGTACGCAATTGCTTTTTCAAATATTTGCGTTACGACAGTTGAATGCCAAATGCGCTCTGGTGCCTTCACAAATCTTGAAGAGTTCATATTCTCGCCAATTGGCGAAACAGATCCAACAGAAGCACCTGCAATTATCGGTGCATTAACATTTTTCGGAAAACAGTTACTTTCCAAAGGTTATATATACAACAAATACCTTGATATGTTCATCCAAAAGACAAAATCCATATTAACAATTGAACAGCCATATTCTCCACAACAAATTATCTCATTCTGCACTTTTGCTGAGTTATCTTACACGGGAGCCGACAAATTCCGTCAAGCAGACACAATGCAAATGCTTTCCTTGTTTGTTAACATCATGCAGCAGTCGCAACTCGATACAGAATCACTTTCTTTCTTCATGAGCTTATTCACAGATTTCACTTCTTATCATTCTGGACGTCTGAAGAGTGAAGCTAGTGAATTAATAGAAGATTTGATTGGTTCATGGAATCCGGAGTGTATTTCTGTTGGCACAGGATTATTAATGGCAGAAATGAACTCTGAACAAAGATTTGCTGAATATTTATCTAATTTTGAAAGCGCTATTTCTCAATCACAATCCGGAACACCTGAATTCAATAACATTATTCTTTGTACATTGACATTTATGAAGATGAAAACTAACAAAAATACTGATAACTCTCCTTATATTCCTTTCTTGGAAGGTTTGCAACAATATGTTATAGGAGATGACCATTTAACAAGTGTTTACATTGAAGCAGCAACTGCTTTGTTAACAACAGATATTTTTGATTTTGTTACAACATTTATTCCCAATGTTGTTGGGCCAAGAGGTTTGAGATCATTGATCTCTAGCCTTTTGAAGTATTTCAAGTCCCAAATTATTGATAATGATGAATGGTTGAACAACTACGAACAAGCCATTTTTAATAGTTTATGCGCTTGCCTTGATGTTGATAGAATCAAGAAGGAAAAGAATATCTTTATTGACACGGCTTTCGATGAATTTGCTGAGACATTTAAATTAAACAGATCAAAATTAACCGAAGAATTCCAATCCGCTGTTTTCGAATACATTAGAAACATCTACTTGCAAATCATGGATAGACCAAAGATATTCACATCTGTAACAATGATGTTTAAAGATTTCGCTAAAAATTATCCAGAACAAATCTATGAAATACTCCAAATATGCCCTGTTTCATTTACTTTGGCTAGTGAATTGGATCAAGATGCTTCTGGTTTGTTCCAACTGTTTAAGAGAACACAGAAATTCTTCCAGTCTTTGAATTCTCTTAATCCAGAGAAAGTGCACGAAATATTAAATAATGTCAGCAATTTAGGCTTACAGCCTGAATCGATTGAATCTTTCTTGCTTGATCCTGATGAGAAAATGTCTACAGAAGATGCTAGAAAAAACTACATTGATATGAGAAAAGTTATTTCATCATTAGGAATTTAAATATTTTTAAGGGTCCACTGTAAGGCCAAATAAGGCCTATCGTCGTCCCAAAAATATTGCTCGAGATGGTGTTTTGAGATCCTTATCAGATATGCATCAATTTGATGCAGTATCGCAGTTCGAATCTGATTTTTTAATGTAGATGTACTCTAACATTCTTGAAAAAATGCAAAATAATATTAATTAAGCTTTTCATTTCTGTATCAGACACGAAACAAAATCATTTATTATACTAAAATTTATCAAAGTTTGAATAATGAAAAAAATAATATCTAAATTTTTACATTGAGTCGGCTATTGATATGGTCAATATTAAATCGTTTAAAAATGGGCATTGGCCAGAATAATACCCACTAAAATACACTTTTTTTTTAAATGTTATCAATTTGTTATGGTATATCTTTATGATAATGAATAAATGCTTATCCTTCATAAGTAAATACATAATTTATGCTTAAACACAAAAAATAACACGAAAATTTTTGGCCAACATATCAAAACTAAGGATAATGTTTTGAATATATAAGCAATAATACTTTGTCTAGAGAATTAAATTTGTGCTATCTAATTGTCAATTCTTTGAATTTTTTTTTAATGCAAGATATCCCGGCATTGGCCTCAATGAATATAAACTACATGCATCATAATATTAGTTTGTAATAGCATAAAAGCGAAATTCCTAATTTCTTCTCAAATAAATTCCTAAAGAAACATCGGAATTAATGATTGGAAATAGGTCACAAAAATTCCTAATATAAAACTTATACTTAAGATAAAATCAAAATTCGAAAATATCTATTTTTCAAAACACGCATCCAAAAGCGAAAAAATTCGAAAAAATCATGTTCTTATAAAACTCGCCGATTTTGCAATTTTTATCCGATTTGAAGTGATAGAATATATTACCATCTTACAAAAACATATACTTCATTATTCCATTCACAAAATATTAATCAGAACACTAGGAAAAGTGGATTTTCGAAAAAAGACGATAACGATTATTTGCAAATCGCCTCTCAATTTTGAGAGACTTTCAATTTTTACAGTGGACCCTTAACTTCCTTATTTTGTATTATTAAATAACATGAAATAAAAAGGTAATTATATATTAGTAAATAACATTCTAAATAGCAAAGCAACTACATCTCGATTTAACAAAATGATTCCATAAAAATTTAATGAATCTATCAAAAAATCCGAAATTGCTTCAGATAGTGTTGCATTTATGAATTATAAGGAAAAACATCATTTTATTTCCTTAAATATTGCATCATTTAACAAGATCACAGTCTTGAAAGCAATATAGGCTTATTGATGATTCTCTTATTGCTTTCACCTTCACTATTGTTATTGTGTCATTTCATATATATAAACATGATCATTATTCATAAATTATTTGGAAATCTTTGTGATCATTGTTTTTCACAAAGCTAACATATGATTTTTTTTCTTCATAACAATTCCAAAGATATTTTTAATGGTAGGATGTAAATATATGGCTTTTAGTTTTTTGTATGTCTGATCAAGACATTATCACAAATAAATATAGTGAATTGCGAAGCATCTATAAATACTACATTGATTCATATATTGCTTTGTACCAGCTAAAAACGGAAAATGAAGAAGAATTATACTCAATTTACAAAATGATCAAAACAGACATGATTGATTCAATGAAACACTCTCCATACAGTATTATAAGGTCTATTCTAAAGGTAATTCCATATAATAATCGCTATGAAAAGTCATATTTATATCTGGCCAAACTCATAACCGATGATTATCATGTGGAAGAGGTTAACAGTCTGGAATTTTATATAGAATATGGAATTGAATTCTATAATGATGGTTATTTCCGAGAGATTAGCTCAGAAAATCTCGATATTCTTTCAGAAAATACAATTTACAGAGCCATTATGTATGATGACAAAGAAGTATTCATTTCATTCATAGAAAAAGAAGAATTCAATGAAGATCAAAAACTTAATAGTAGTCTATATCCATATTCTCCCCATGAATATTCATTACTTGAATTATGTTGTTACCATGGAGCAATTGATTGTTTCAAATTATTAAGAACAAAATTTAACTCAGAAATTACTCAAACATGTCTTCAATTTTCATTTTTAGGAAGAAATCAAGAGATCATGAGCGAATGTTTGAAATATCGCAAACCAGACGAAGAATGCATGACATATGCAATTATTTCACACAACATTGATTTTGTTACATTCTTAATGTATGAGTACTTTTTGGATATCAATTTACATAATTGCGTAGAATATAATAATCTTGACTCAATCTTAGTTTATTTTGACCAATCTAATGATTTTAACAGTTGCCTGATTTATTCAGCGATGATTAATATTCCATCCCTATGTGAATATTTTCTTTCACTTGGTGCAAATATCAATGAAAAAGATTCAAATGAACTGACCGCTCTTCATTACGCCGCACGATATAATTTTAAAGAATCAGCAAAACTTCTTATTTCACATGGTGCAAATGTCAATGACAAAAATCAATCTGGAGACACTGCCCTTCATTATGCAGCTTATCATAATAGTAAAGAAATTGCAGAACTTCTTATTTCACATGGTGCGAATATCAATGACAAAAATCAATCTGGAGACACTGCCCTTCATTATGCAGCTTATCATAATAGTAAAGAAATTGCAGAACTTCTTATTTCACATGGCGCAAAAATCAATGAAAAGGATAATGATGGAAACACAGCTCTTCATATTGCGGCATTTCGTAATAGTAAAGAAACTGCCGAACTTCTTATTTCACATGGTGCAAATATCAATGACAAAGGTCAAGATGGATTCACTGCTCTTCATTTTTCAGCTTATAATAATTCTACAGAGATTGCTGAACTTCTTATTTCACATGGCGCAAATATAAATGAAAAAAATCAAAATGGATTCACAGCTTTTCATTATGCTGCTATTCTTTATCATACCGAAATCGCCGAACTTCTTCTTTTACATGGAGCAAATATCAATGAAAAAATAAATAAATATGGATGCACCGCTCTTCATATTGTAGCAGATTATAATAGTCATAAAGTAGCCGAAAATCTAATTTCACTTCGCCAAAATATCAATAAAACAGATAAAGAAAGAGACGCTCTTCATTATGAATTAGAAAATTCTCGTAAAGATATAGTCGAATTTCTTCTTTTACATGGTGCAAATGCCAATGAAAAAGATGGGACTGGAAAAACAGCTCTTCATGTCGCAGTAAAATATAATGAAAAAGAAACAGTTGAACTTCTTCTTTCACATGGTGCCAATATCAATGAAAAAGATGGAGCCGGAAAAACAGCTATTCAATATGCAGAAGATAAAAATAATAAAGAAATAGTTGAACTTCTTATTTCACACGGTACAAATAATAACTTTCCGACGTAAGATGCTACTCTTTCTTTTTATGATATTCTCGAAGATGTGCTCCATAATAAATACGTTAAAGCGATTTTTATATGTTCCGATTCGCAAATCCTTATTTAAGGATCGGTAAAGATTATTTCAGTGTGTAAAATATGAATTCATGCTCATTTTGTAGATGCCATCATTTTTCATTTGCTAATTTTGAGAATAAATGTTTATGTTTTCGAATTAAGTGCATTAATAATGATTTCATTATTATTAAGCATTTCATAACACAAAAGTGATTACAATAGCTATACATAAAGTAAACTTTGTAAATGGAGGTTTTATTTCGTTATTGATATTCATTAACTGACATATATGCGATACATAGTAATATAGAACTTATTGAATATGGAATTCAAAAACTATATGCATAAGTAAACATTGAGGAAGAAATCCGATGCTCTGCCAATATTTTAGCAAAATAGGGCGAAAATTGAATGAGTGAAGCGGTTTTCAATTTTCGAACTATTTTGTAATTCTTGAAGAAGATTGATAACTTTACAAGAATTGGAACATTGGCAGATCTGTCACTTTTTGGCAAAAATATAAAATGTCGATTGAAGATCTTCCTCTCATAGGCGCTTCGATATTTGGAGTGTATTTTTTCATCAGATTAATAGTGACTTTCTTTAAGAGAGGAAAACAATCAATATTTGCATATTGGAGTAGATTTTGGTTCAGACTTTTAGTAGCAATCTATGGAATCATTAACATAGTTCAAAACGTCAGATCTGCCGCACACATTGGCAAAATATTCGCTTATTTGCCTGCAATCAATTTTACAATTTTAATTATTTCGTTAATTTTCCTTGTCCGTTCATTACAAGACTTTGTTTGCTATTCTAATCCAGAAGCTACTTTCATTAAAAGAAATTGGATACCTTTAACACTTCTATTTGCTGTAGCTTCGATTAGCAGCATTATTCTCGAATACTTTATCTTTGATCCGCACGACCTTTACTCTATCGCTGCAGCTAGATGTGTCTATCACTTACTTTTCTTAATTTTCGTTCATTCATTGATATCTTTCCCTGCTTTATTCTTCATGAATGAGATCACTAATAACGACTTTAGTGGAACAATGAGTTGCAAGATTAATTTTGCTCGTATATGCTTTATTATCGAAATTTTCACAATATCTTTCACTTCTCTCTTTGAAGTTGCAACTTCTTACACATACTTTGAGAGAGTCATGAATCTTACAGTCAGTACTATCAAGGATCTAACGATAATTATGGTTTGTTTCATACAAGATATGATTGATTGGATGTTACACTGGCTTTACCTCGATGAAGATGAAATTAATAAGCCAGATAAGTATGAGTCTGCTCGCCAAAAGCCATTATCAATCAATCTCATTGAAGATGAATAATCAAAAATTTTATTTTTTTGTGATAATCATTTTTATGATTTTCTTTTGTTTATTTTGAGTAAATTTTCTGTTATCTTTAGTCTTATATTAAAATATTCTTAATAATTTTTTATCAAAATTATTGTTTTCTAGCTGCATCACCAAATTAGGTATATCCATACAATAATATAACACAATCTCCTGGCTAGTCACTTTTTGATAGGAGGATTACAATTAATTAAAAAGCAATGTGTATTTTAATAGTTGCTTTATTGTATCAATACAGTGACCTATCATACACATAAGACTATATTTAATTGGGAGCTGAAACATAAAGTCAGTAGGAAAACAAAAACAATTAAAACTTATTTTTGACAACGATATTTTGTCAAATGACATTTTATCGTTTCATAATCATAATGAGTATTGAACCTTAAGTATGATTCATGAATTAAAATTTAATTGTTTAATGTCAAATTGTCAAATGACATTCATTCCATGCTTGCACTGACTCTTTTAAGTTATCGTACATATAAGAAACCTATAACAAAAACGGAACTTGAATTAGCTGAAGTTAACCCTGTAAATTTAGAAAGAGATTATACTACTTCCAACCTTGAATCAATTGTTGATCAAGTTGTTAATGATTTCAATCTAGAAAGAGATAAGGTTTCAAATTACTTTAGATGTTCCAAATATGCATCCTTAGCCAAGCAGCTTTTCAATAGGATTGATTTTGATCTACAATCCAACGGCAATAAGCTTGTAAGTCTCTCAGGCACTGTCATGAAAATTATCAAAAATGGTAATGAGTATCGTGTTGTTTGCCGGAAGGCTGGCATTTCTGCACAAGTTGAGAGGATTGCCTACAAATTATCACCAAAGACACAGCAATGGGAGCGATATGACGTACTACCATTTTTCAAATACATTCATTTCATGATAAAGTCTTGGGAGCCACTTACTGGAGATCAAATCACATCGATCTACAACCAGCTAAATAGCATGATTGCAGGTACTCTCAACGCTTATAAAGCAATATAAAAGGTTATTGCAATGGATTTAATTAGATATAAGCATAATTTCTAAATAAAAGTCCATTTTTGAAACGAGAATAACATGCTTATTTATAATTTTATTATGAGTTTGAAAAGACTTCTTCTGGAGAGCTTTTGATTGAATAGTAATTATTTGAAATAATATCGAATATATCTCGTATTTGATTATTTTTGGTTCTACAATTCCGCGAAAAAGGTGTCGAAGGTGTGGGCTGTAGTATAAAATAGAGACACCCAAAATGTTCTTTCAAAAATGGGAGAGAATGAAAAAATGTAAGGATGCCGTTTTCCATTTATACATATATGAAAGCTATCCCAGTAGTTTAACTTCTACTGTAATAAATTCATCATTATCAAAAACTGCTCGTTTGGTTTTGTGCTGCCCAAATGTTAATTTTATCGATTCGAATCTGTTATAGCTTGTTGCGGTAAATTATATTTATCCTTATTGAAAGAAGATATAATAAGAGCATTCTCTCAGAGATGACTTCAAAACTAAAACTGAAGTATAATAATATTTTTTTGCACGTTAGGAATAAAAATGTCTAACGAAGGGAAGGATTCAAGACCAAAGACAGGTGACAAGCAGGAAAATGAAGCACCAGCTCCAACAATCGTTGAGCAGCTTAGCAATAACACACGCACTGTAGTTGCATTCATTAGAGACAAATCTTATACAATTAATATTGCAGACGGAAGCCAAACAGTTGATTGGCTAGCAGATGTAGTATTATTCAAATATAAACGCTCGCAATTCGAAAAAATGAACTGCAGAGGTGTCAAATATCATAATAAACTTCTCGACATGCAAAGCCCAATTGCTTTACAGGTTGAAAATGGACAAGAAGTCTACATTTTACTCGAAGGTGATGAAGATGTTGATCAAATGTTCGGCGATGAAATTTAATTTTTACGTATTGCCTTAAGATACGAGTTTCATCTGATATTTATTTTTTATTATAATCTACTTATTAATATCTTTTATTAAAAATATCATTTGTTGTGTGTATCTTTATTTAAATTTTTACATATGTTTTATAATAGATCAAGAAACATTGATTCGGTTTTAGTTAGTTAGAAATACAATAATATTTCGAGGAATAGCGTTAAACGATACAAAATATTTTTAATATAACAAAATTATAACAAAAAAAAATATAAATCTTACTTCTTCGTGCGCTGTGGTATTATTCTATCTGTCTGGACTTCCATATCAGCGCGGTTGTTTTCTGTTTGAGTCCACATGAAGTGTCTTGGTTTACATAAAACTCTTTCACAAGCATCTTCTGCCCTTGCTCTGATCTTCTTAAATTGGCCAACAGAAAGATCAATAACTGCTTGAGCATTCTCAACGACATTAGTTTGATAGCTGTGCAACAAAGCAACAACTTGTCTATATTTGATAGGAGGTAATGTTCCAATCAATGTATCAATTGCAAACATAGGTAGAGAAAGTTTAACAGATTTATCATGCCATGATTCTTTGAGGAATGCCTTTTCGGCTCTTGAATTCTTTCTTCTTCTCCATGCATTTTGGATAATCAATGCCGCTGCATCTTGCTGCATATATTTAGCAATGTAGGAATCTTCAAGAGTTCCAAATGATTTATCAAATTCTGTTTTCATTGGCATTGCAATCTCCATAACTGTTCTGGCGATTGCTCTGACTCCTTTAAGCTTTCTTTCGGCATTTTTAGCTTTGAGTTCTGATTGATCCATTTTGATTTTCATTCCATTGACAATGGAAGTTGCATTTACCATTTTCCTTAGCGTAACTTCTTTTTCTTTTTGGAATTGAGCAATTAACTGTTGTTGCATTTCAATTGTGTTTTGTAATTTAGAGATTTCGCGCTGATAGTTTGTCATTCTATCTATACAATCAGTAATTTTGGCACCCATCTTCTCATTGATCTTGAAAATACCTTCTTTAAGAACATCGCTTTCAAGATTTACAGTGGATTTCAAAAATTCGTTGTCTTTTTCAAGAGAAGCGCATCTTTCTTGAAGTTTTCCATATAAGCCTTCAAGGTTATTGAGTTTTGATGATATTTCATCATAATTAGGATTTTCTGATAACTCAACGAAGTTTTCTGGAGCTCTAGAGCCTGTTGTTGATCGCATTAAATCTCTTGCAAACTGTTTTGTTTCTCCTAATTCATTTTGAAGAGCAATAATTAAAGTGTAAAGCGCCTGATTATCCATTTCACTGAGAGGTCTTCTTTTCATGAGCTCTGATTCACTAAGTCTGAATTCTCTAACTTTATACCTTTGAATTGAATCTATGGCTTCATTATACTTTGATAACAAATTTCTAACAGAACCGAATTTCTGATTAATGAGTGGGAATAGTGCAATAACATCTTGATCATTGAGTAGTTGTCTGCGAAGACCATAAATGAGATCTTCAAGACGTCTAAATTTAAGATTAATTAAACATTGGAATTGTTCATCTTCGCTTTTATTGCAAACTTCTTGGAGTAACCAAGGCTCACTTAAGTGAAGATATTTCTTTGAATCTTCTTCTATTTTCTTAATTTCATTAATTAAATCTTCATTTGATTTCACAGAAGCAAGATGGCGTAATTTCGATATTCTATCTGTTGTCATAGTAGCATTTAAAGTAATTTGCTTTTGAGAATCAATTTCATTCTGTTGAGCATTTATTGTTTGTTGGAGTTTAGTCAACTCTTCCTTTGTATGCGCAAGTTCCTTTCTTGCATCAATTAAATAGTTGCCGAGTTTAATGATTATATCATTCTTTTGATTGGCAGAGCAACATCTATTTCCTTCTTTCATTAATTGTAAAATATCCGAATCTTGGTCTATTGAAATAGTTGATGGAGCTCTGCTTGAATTTGGTGTTGGAATATTATTTCGTTTCGTTAAATTTGATGATGGACGCGATTTATCACTTGTTAATTTCGTAGGTCGTGCTGAAAATGGCATTCTTCTTGCATCAATATCATTCGTTGTAGATTCAACTTTGTTCATATCGAGTTTTGTTAATGATCTTTTCGTTGTTCTTGCAGAAAATGGTAATTTATTTAACTCATCTTCGATATTAGTTGTAACTATTTCACCACGGTCATTTACTTTCCGCACTTGCATTTGCGAACGCGCGGATAAGACTCGATGCATTTTTCGTACGTTAGAAAAATCAAAAGTAAAAATCTTTACGCAGAGCATCATTTTGGAAATTACAATTCTAAAAGCATTGGTAATTTAATGCTGGAGTTTTCATTCTGGAGGTCTGAACATTTAATAAATGCAAGCCAATTTTTTGATCATCATTAATATAGCTTCAGTATGAGAACACAATGATGCTTGATTGTAGTGAATACGTTCATTATATTGTCTTTAAATGTAGCGCTTCTTTTGAAAATATATTGAATTACGATAACAAAATATTGCCTATGGTAACGAAGTGATATTTTGGAAATAAATTTTTAATTGCAGATTCATAATGATTAAATGAAAATAAGGGATATCAATTGCAAAAGATAAGGAGTAATACTGAACAATTACTTTAAAATCATTGCACTAAGATTTTGGTTCTCAATTCTCACTAAAAATATTAAAAATATTTTAAAATGAAGAATCCAAAAAAAATCTTTATGGAGAAAACACATTTTTAAATTGAAAATATTATTCATAAGACTGTCCACAAAGATGCTATTATATTAAAAATGAATAATTTTAATTAATTGGGCAGGAAAATCGCAAAACCGTAAATTTAGCGGTTTTGGCCATCCTTTCGTTTTAACAGCATGTCCGCTAAAGCTCAAGCTGCTGCAAACACACTCGCCCAGGGCCAAAAGAAGGAAGTCACAAAGACACGCAACTTCACAAAGTTCGGCAAGAACGCTGCTCAAGTTGTTCCAAGACGCCCAGCATTCGAGCACAAGGCTGTTAAGCCAGTTTCTCTCAAGCACAATGACTACAAGATCATCCGTGGCCCAGTTACATCCGATAAGTCTACAGTCAAGATCGAGAATGAGAACACAATGACTTTCTGGGTTGATATCAAGGCCACAAAGACAGAAATTGCTGCTGCTTTCAACCGCCTTTACAAGGTCAAGCCAGTCAAGGTCTGCACAGTCATCACATCCAAGTTTGTTAAGAAGGCTTACATCCGCCTTCCAGCTAATGTTGAGGCTATGAACATCGCTACAGAAATTGGCTTCGCATAAACTGATAAATTGCATACTAAAAATATTTCATATATCAATACAAAATAATACATAATATTAGAAATCATATCTTAATATTTTTCTTCTCAAAAATATTTTGAGTAACCATATATTACTTGATATTATCCAACATCATTTTTCTGAATTATTTATAACATTTCTCATATAAAATTACTCAGAAATAACATTTTTAAAAAATTATCTTAAAAAATCATATAATAGTTCAGTGAATTTCATATTTCACTTCAAAAGCATACAAAGAAATAGTTATAATCTTGAACAATTATTTTTTATAAAGTTTGATAATTGTCAAAAAAAGGAGTAATATTAACAAAACAAAAATAATATATATAAATAATCATATAAAGTCATTATCATCAGCTAAGAACTGTTGGTAAATATAATCATCTTGAGCCATTCTCATTTTCGGACAAGTTGAGCTTCTTCTTCTCACTCTTACAGGCCTTGTTGGCTGTTCTTGTGGTGTTTGAAGGGAAGACTCCTCAAACACGCATATATCACACAATTTAACTGAGTCAGCGTCCATTTCATCTTTCACTGACAATGCAACAGCGATGTTTCCTACTTCAATGGCCGACAACAAAAAGTTTGAAGCGAGCTCAGGGGAGATTGGAACTTCTGCTTCTCTCGCGTAGTTGTAGACCATGTTCAGATTATCGAAATCCAATTCACCTTGCATTGCAATGAAAGCGAGTTGTACTAATCTTCCATTCGCTTCTAATCCGCATTTCGCCCAATGAGAAAAGATCTGAAAAGCGGCATCATACATGGAAGAAGCAATTAGCGATGAGAGCATGTCAATGCTATCTGATTGCAGAGGAATAACACGTGTGGATTTGACCATTGCAACCCATGGAACTCTTTTAATCAATGGTAATTTCAATGCTCTTGAAAAAGCAACGATGGCCGATGGAGTTGGACGAAGTTCTGCAATGGAATCGACCAATTCCTCGGTAATATTCTTCGTGTTCCTGATGGCAGCGAGAACAACACAATCCGCACCAACACTGTCAACTGCAACCATGTTTTGACGAAGAATTTCGTGAATTCGAAGGACATCTGATTGAAGATCGCGTGCGGAGAGGAGTTTGAGTAATTGGCCGCATTGCTGAGGGTTGGTGGTCTGTTTGTCCTGTAAAATGTGGTCGCAAATTTGGAGAGCGATTTTAATATCATTTGAATTAAGAAGAGAGTCAATTAATGCGAGTTTTACGTCAACTGGTACGAATAAATGACGATCTCCCCATCTGTTGTATAGTTCTAAGGCTGCTTTCGAATCTCCAAATCTTGCGTTGACGGAAATCATCGCTAGACTAATATCGTTGTCGACATTGGCATCGACCATTACTGCAATATCTCTGATTGACTCCAAGATTAGGAATGAACCGAATTCTCCGGCCAAATGAGCTAATGCAGCGAAAACTTCATCATTGATTGAAACATTTCTGTTAACAAATTAAGGAATAAACTGTGAGCAACAAGGAATCTCTTTGCATTGATTAAATCCATCACAGCTTGAGATGCTTGATTTTTACTTGGATTAAATTTGGCGGCATCAAGTAAATCTAGGAACATACGCAAGTCGTTTTGATCTCTAACGAGTTGCGCTGCTTGTAATAGCGTAGTTTGTGTTACTAAAGAAAATTCAACTCCTTGAGCGATCATTTTTTCAACAACACCCTTCATTAGGCGGAGTTGGTCGAATCTAGCAAATCCGGCTAGTAATGTGTTAAATGTAACTGTATTTGGATGAAGATTATACTTAGCAACATCAGCAAGAACGGTATCGATGATATACAAGTTGCCATTCAGCAACCCTGCATTAAGAATTGCATTAAAGAAGTGCATATTGAGCTCTATTCCGCTCCTTTTCACGTCTTCATACAACATCATCGCATGGCTGAAATTGTTACACTTTCCGCATCCATCTATTAAACTTGTATATGTGATAATCGTTGGATTAATACCATGAAATTTCATTTCTTCGAACAATCTAAAAGCATCTGTTAATTTTTGACTTTTAACGTAAACATTAATCATTGTGTTATATGTAACAACATCGGGTGGAACTCCTGCACCAATCATCCTCTCATATGAAGCACAGGCCAAATCATACTGTTTAGATTTAGAAAAACGCGCTATTTCTTGATTATAATGCAATGCAGCAGGCAGTGACATTGCACGCTCTCTACCTTTATTAGGATCTTGTCGATTCCCGTTCTTTGGGAAGCGATGATCCATAATTTATAGAAAAATTTAGCGAATTTTCTTTGTGGATTTCGTAAAGTTCACAAATAAAAAGTTAGAGTTGGTTGAAAAAAGTAAGATCAAAATGCATAACATTTTAATTATTTAAGTTGTGCAAAAATAATGCTCACTTTTTCCTCAATCATTCATCAGTTAAAACTGTGAGGTTCTTTTATTGCTCGAAGATCATCTATAGCTATATACAGATACAAAGAGCTCCTTAAATTGTATATCTCCATGAATTTCGAATGAAATCGATCAAAATCTTCATTTGGAACACTTCGAATAGCAAGCAATATATTCTGGTGTCATTTTGATACATATTATTCAATTCTTATCTATCGAAATGGTAAATATATATAGAAAGATATCAAATTTTGAGTTTATCAGATTGGATATACCTCGTAGAATATGCCTAATGTTATAATAAAGATTCCATATACCAATTATCCTGCAATATTGAATAATGATAATTTGATCAAATTAATAATATACATTTACACGATGTAAGAGCTAAGATATACGATCCTTAAGGATATAAATATTTGCAGAAAAGCTAAGACTCTAACTTTAACTTTTTCGAATGAAAATTATTCCAGCATATGATAAATTTCCATATTTACTTTTGAAATATCTTTCTTCAATGTCAACAGTTATTTGCGACCATATAATTTGATAAGAAATAAAAAATTATTCATCTGACCAATTTTTGAAATTTTTAGATAATCGTTTTAAATTCAATTTTCGGGGGTTTTGTCATTTGTTATGGATTCGAAGCAACTTGAACAGATAGCTTTATATGACAAGCTTAAAGCACTAGAAACCGAGCTCGAATCACTCAATATTAAGGAGGCTTATCTTCAAGATGAAATCAGATATCTTCGTCGTGAAGCAATTCGCGCCGAGGAAGAAATTACAGCAATTCAAGCGGTACCTCTTAAAGTCGGTGAATTTGCAGAAATGATTGATCCAACAACCGCTGTTGTTGACTCACATTTAGTACACGTTTTGAAAACAATTGATAGACGTCTTCTTAAGCCAAACGTAAGTGTTGCCTTGCACAGAGGCTCAAAGGCCGTTGTAGATATTCTTCCTCCAGAAGGAACAACACTTGTTAAACTCGTTGTTGACAGACCTAAAGTCTCATACTCAGATATTGGTGGTTTAGATATGCAAAAGCAAGAAGTTCGTGAAGCCGTTGAATTACCACTTACCCACGGCCATCTTTACCAACAAATCGGTATCGACCCACCACGTGGTGTTCTTCTTTACGGTCCACCAGGTACAGGTAAGACAATGCTCGCCAAGGCTGTCGCACATCATACACATGCTGCTTTTATCTCAATCGTTGGCTCTGAATTCGGCCAAAAATATCTTGGTGAAGGTCCAAAGATGGTTCGTGATACTTTCCGCCTCGCCCGTGAGAACGCACCTGCCATTGTCTTCATTGATGAAATCGATTCAATCGGCCAGAAGCGTTATGATGCAGAACATAACCACGATCGTGAAACACAACGTGTCCTTATGGAACTTCTCGCACAAATGGATGGTTTCGATCAAACTACAAACGTCAAGGTTATCATGGCTACAAACCGTCCAGATACACTCGATCCAGCTCTTTTGCGTCCAGGACGTCTCGACAGAAAGATCGAGTTCCCTCTCCCAGACAGGAGACAGAAGCGCCTTATTTTCCAGGTTTGCACATCAAAGATGAGCCTTAGCAAAGAAGTTGATATTGAAGATTACGTCAGCAGACCAGATAAGATCAGCGGCGCCGAAATTAGCGCTATCTGCATGGAAGCTGGCATGTTTGCAGTCAGAAAGAATAGATACGTTGTCACACCAAAGGATTTCGAACTCGCTTATGAGAAAACTGTCAAGAAATCAAATCCGGTTCTCAACACATACATTTAAATTAATAAACACATGTTGTATCAAAATAATTAAAATTTAATTTTTGATAAATATCTTTATTCTTATGGCGTATTTATAAACTATTGATATCATAAGTTATCGATCTGTTTATGAATATGTTTCATAGATTTAGAATTATCGAAAATAATGGAGATTATATTTTATATTAATGGAAATATCAATTGATTTGTTCTATTGGAAATTAACATGTATATATATATATATATATATATGAATTCAACTGCACGAAAAATATGATGTAACAGTCGAAATTGAGCAATAGTAACATATTTTTAAGAACAATGGCATCTTCAATGCTGTTAATTTTCCCATTTGAGTTGTCATCTACTCTTCGTTAAATATATGCTCTAATTATTACTTTTTCATCATTTTCTGCAGCACTATGAAGAGTTGTCGGTCTTTTTCGATTTATCGAATTGAGGATTTTTCAATTGAAATTAGTAATAAGAAATTAAATCATTATATCTTTGTATGCATGTTTTTTCACTATATTAATGAAATTGGAATCTCTTGTTTAAAAAGCGGTAAGTTTATTGAACAAATGTTTGAAATTTCACTGAAAATGAAGCCTTAAGTAATGAAATGTGATATAACAAAAAGTATTGTTGTATTTACCTTCTTCGTTTGATCAGTGCTTTAAGGTCTTTAACATGAATAGGATTAGTAATTATATTTATTTTCTCATTAAATTCAAAATAATTACCTCGCGGACATAGTCCTGTTGAAAGAATTCGAAGTCTAATTGAGACATTTTTAATATTTTCAATTGTAATATTATGGTCTGATGCATATAATAGTTCTTTTGTATCAATATATGAATTAGATACAGTAATAGAACCTGATTTTCCTGTAATTCCGAACAAATGCTGACCATTTTGTTTGTTATTTGCTATGAAACAGTTTACTAATATAGCATCACAACCCCAGTTATTTATCATTCCATTTTTGGATCTAAAAACAGCGGTATTGTTTATGAAAACAAAGCGGTTATATTTTGCACCTGGCATATAACGAGTATAACAAATTCTGAATTCCCCATGATTTTCATCAATTATTGAATATTTTATTGTAGAATTTGCCACCGAATATCCTATATCAAAAGCTGCTGCCTGACTGCAATAGTTTCTCGTAATGTTATTTCGTGAAAATATAATAATTCCATTCCATTGAGTAATGGTGCTAAAGTCATTCAGAGTTGAAATTGGTTTACTATATGCTATTGACGAATCATGAATTTCATTGATAGATGAGGAATTATAAATTACGGCAATTTTGCAAAAGTCTCCCGAATTATTGGCTTTAGATCCAAAACTGCATACTTTTCTAATGAAAATTTGTCCATAATTGATGTAAATAGATCCGCCAACATTATTAATTCGAGTTGAGTTTTCAAAAGTGCATGTTGAAATAAGTGACCTAACAGCTCTTGATTCAAAAATTATGACTCCTTCATTGCCAAGTTTTGAAAAATAAACATTGCAAACATAAAAGTCTCCTGAATATCCGATATATGTCTTATTTTGACTGTAAGTTTCATTTAAATAAGTATTTTTGTAGACTTCTTCCCATTCATTGGATAAATGCAGTAGATTGGTTATGTCATTAAATCTCAAACAAGTTATTAAAGATATCATTATAAATAATTGTAATCTTTTCAAAAATATAATATGATGAAATTGAATGAAATCAATTTTAGCCATATGATGAAATACTTGAAGATTTTTCAATTTTTAGCCTATTTTAAATTGAGTATAATTTAATTTTTGAGGCGACTCGTTGTAATTCCGTCAAGTATTGAATTATTTTTTGAATGTGGATCCGCTTGATCCCTGTCAAAAACTTGTGAACTTTTTCTGAATATAGATATTCAATCTCGGATCCACTGATTTGTAATTGTACTCGAGGAGATATTCCTTTGATGATCTATAGATATATTCATGGATGAATTAAGAAATAGATTGCGTTTTCTTTTTTGACGCAAGGTTGATGTCATTTGAATTTCGAATTAATAAATTATTTCTTCGTATATATTTAACTTATGTCATTATACCATAATTTTAATTGTATCTTCATATTCTTTTTCTATTTTTGTATCATTATACTTCTTATATTTCATAACAAGGTTATCTAATGTTGAGAATTTTTAACATTTTTATAAGATAATAAATAATAAACTCTAAATTTATAAATAAATGTTATACTCTCTCAATTTTCTGAGAATGAAAAAAAAATTCATTTTAATTGATTTTAAACATAAAATTCTTTATTTTAAATATGGGGATAACAACATTTTGTTGTGTTATCAATGATGAATTGGTATTCATTGCGTAGAATTGAGAAATTCTTCCTTCGAATTATTATCATACATTATTAATTTCGAGTTGGGCAGACAAATAGTTATAAGTCGGATCATCATGGATAGATGGTGCATTTCTCCTTCTGCGTTCAAGATTCGATGGCGTGTTTTAACTTGAGTTGAAGCCCCATAAAGCACTTTTATTTTATGGATTTTATTTTTTTATTCATTCTCAAAAATATGAGAGATTATAAACATTTAAATTTTATTTCTCAGTCAATACTATGCTAAAATGATATTCAGCAATTTTTGGGGTAGGGATTTTGGGGGGAGCGACCGAAGGGAGCCCCCCCAAAATCCCTACCCCAAAAGTGAATAACATTTTGCAAAAATAATAATAAAAATAATAAATAATAATAATTAAGAATTAATAATGTTATATAGTTTGTTTGTCATAACATCAGAGCCTTTCACTGAATCAAGGGCTGAATTAAGATTACTTTCTTTAGTAACTAATTGTTTAAGAACAGAAACTAATGTATTTATCAAGTCTTGGTCAAGTTTAAGTTTCCTGAATTCTGTCTGTGGCATCGTGAACAACAAACTTAAGCAGCGAGACAGAGAGACTTGGATCTGTGCTGGAATTTCACCGCGTGTGATGATGTTCAAAAGAGAAATAGACATTCGTCTGCACTCCGTTGTATCTGATGGAGGGAAGAAGAGAAGAGATTGATCTAAAACATCAAGTGGAAAGTTTTCTTCGGTTGATGCAACTGTTAAGAATAATGATGCTAAATTAGATGCCAAATTAATATACGATGACTTGTTTTCAAGAACAAAGTGCCACCAGCGAAGATATAAATCTAAATGCGATGTAACTAATGAAACATTACCTGGGAACTTGTTTAAAATTAAATTCAATGCATAAACAATCTCTTGTTGTGAAAGATTTGGTGTAGAACTTTCAATGATGTCACCAATGATATCTAAATAAGTATGAACAATGTTTTCTGTGCATGTTTCTGATTCAAGGGATCCTGTAAATACACGTGTGATCATCATTGAATATGTTTCATTATGGCGTTCTGAAAGATGAATGTATTCACTACAGATTTGTTCTGCAACATCGCTGTTGATACTAACAACACGATAACAAAATTCAGTGAATGAATCAAGAAGTTCCATGTCGAAATCACAAAATGATTCGAATGTAGATGAAGAAGCAGGAAGTTTTCCATGAATAAAAAGTTCAAATAATTCAAAACAATCATCAACAACAGATGAACCGAAAAACTTTGCAAATCTAGATAAAGAATCGAAACAACGAGTAAGGATTTCAACAGATGTTGTTTCTCTTGCATGCGATGATATTTTATTATATAATATAATTGCTGAATCTTCTTCAATGAATTTAGTAATAAGTTTGATGTTCAAAAGAGAATCAATTAACATAGAATCAGAATTAGATGATAATTGCTTATCAAGAATATCAAAAACCAAAGAAACAACATCTTCATTGCCACAATAACGAATTGTAAAACATGCTGTACGAACAGCTTCATTATATAATTCACTGGAAACATTTGATGATTCCAAAATATTTTGTATGTTTTCAAAGAAATCTGTTACAAATGTTGCGTTTTCACGCATTATCTCACAAGCAGTAGCAATAAAAGTAAGTGCATCTTGTACAGGCCTCGTTTCATCTTCAACAGAAAACAATTGATGAAGAATTGGAACACAATTTTGAATTATTTCTTCAACTTTTTCTTCTTTGCGAAGAATTGATGCACAAACAAGAAGTGCTGATCCTGCTAATGTTTCTGACTCTTCAAATGCAGGAGAAACATATAACAATATGTCATTTGCAAAAGAAGTTTCAATTTTTTCTCTTTTTTCTATTGTTTTTTTCAAAATATCTAAATAAATTTCTTGTGTGAAATTATCAATGGAATGTCTCATTTCCCAGATCAATGGTTGTGATTCTTCTTTAATCTGCAAGTTATAGTTCAATAATGTACTAATTGCAAGCAATGTATCTTGACTTTTGTCCGAATTAAAAGAATTTATTAAATTATCTAAGTATTTTATCAAAATACTCTTCAAACTCGATTGATCTTGATCATATACTGCTTGTATCAGTTTATATAACTTGGAATTCGTCATTTCACCATAAGAAAATGCAATTTCAACTGATTTGTCAACTAAATCAGTCAATTCTTTAGTGAATACTTCGGGAGCATTAGTAACAAGCTCTGTGAAACTCATAAGACACAAAACGATGCTTTCTTGGGGGTTTTGTAAACAAATTTGAATTAAATTTGTCAAAAATGAGGCAACTAAAGCGTGTTGGAATGATTTTAGTGCTTCTTCGATGAAAGGTAATGAATATATGTCTTCAAATACTTCAATTTCAGGGATATTCGTGTAAATATAATTTAATATTTCTTGTAACAAATTTTGGTCTTGAAGATATGAAATAATTACTCCGAAAGCTTCGTATTGTTGTGATATATCCATGTCTTGTGATGATGCAGCTGAAATCGCGTCTTGAATCGGTTCCGAAACTTGAAGAATTTTTGATATTAACATTTTTGCTTCAAAATAAGATAAACATGTTGTAGAATTGTAGACATAGTTTTGTGCATCACCAGTTCGTTGGCAAGTTTGAAGAAACATGTCACTTTGAAGAGAATTTTGAATAATTTCAAGATTTGAGGATTCATTAGTAATTATTGTTGAAATTTCTTGTAGTTTGGCTTCTGTTTCTTCTGTTTGTTCATATCCATTGATTTCTTCAGCTAATTGTTGATTTTGAAGGATAATATTTTCAATATCTCCGTGAATTTGTAAAATTTTCTTTAGAAAAGTGACAAGTGTTATAATTCCATCTTCTATTTCCATACCGTAATATAAAATTGATAAAATTGTATTAAGATTTGCAAAAAATTGTTGTTTTTCTAAAAATGGAATGCATTCGTTTAAACAAAGAAGTCTAGCGATGAATTCTGGTTGTGTGTTGAAATCTTGTGGTAATTCGAATAAAAATTTCATTAATTCTGGATATATAGTTTTTGTTCTTTGAACAATGCTACCAATTGATTTACATATTAAGTAGAACGATCTGTTTTCTATTACTACCTCGTTTTTGAGCATATCTATAAAGAATTTCATAAAAATTTTCTTTCTATTTAATGAAAATTTCTTCCAATTTGATTTAAATGATCTTTCAAGTAATAAAATGCCCATTTGAAGTATTGCTGGACTTGATGTTTTCATTATTATGCTCTTTAGTGTATCAGGAAAATCTGGATGTTGAAATAATTTTTCCATTGCCATGACATTTTCTGGTTTTTGGCCTGCAACAGGGTCCATTAGTTCTCTGATGATCTTTTCAACTTCTTGTGGATCGAGTTTGTCATCATCATCTTGATCAAACATAAAAATTTTTTAGGCTTATGGAAGACAAAAATGAAAATGATTACTGTGTAATATAAATATTCTTCTTTTGAAACAATTTTGTCCCTGAATTTGCAAAAATTTCTTTGATGAAACAAAAATCTTCAAATAATTCAATATAAATGTTATTCCGTAATATACATGTCTTACTTATATAGTAAAATATATTAAATAAGTTCCAAGTTCAAGTAATTAACTCGATATCCGTCAAATATTGTATTTTGAAGTAATAATCTAAACAAAACATTAGACAAAGCGGATGTCTTCTAAAACAAATATGCATTAGCAGTGATTTAAAGGTCTTTTTGAAAGTATTTAAAAAAACGTCATTTCATGAATTTTGGGTTTGAAAAAAAGTTTGTAACATGTAAAAGTAGATTATGTATGAAGTTCTTTCAATAAAATATAAAAGCAGGTTTACTCGTGGTGGTGGTGGAGAGATTCTTCCTGAACAACTTCTTCAAGAGTGTTGAGCTTCTTCATGGCGCGGCGGTGTGTGCCAAGGCGCTTCTTGAGGAATTGGCGAGCTGCACGACGGCGTTCGATCTTGATAAGATCCATTGTATGCCGCTCATATGGTTGCCAGCCAACAAGCTCGTGGACAATCTTGCGAGCGAAGTTAACACGCTTGCCTGATGAGTGGAGACCGCACTCACGCTTTGGGGCAAGAGTCTTCTGTTGTTGTTGTTCCTCAGACATTGGAAAAGGACCGACCAAACCGCAAAAGTCAAAAAAATATTTGGATTTTGCAATTTGACTTGTGAAAATAGTTCTATATATAGTAATATATCTAAAATATTTGAAAAAAACGAGATACTAAAAAAAAATCATTGAAATTTTAATAAGAGGTTTGTCCTTGACTGCCTGTAATACACCTGGAGTTATATAAGTAGGATTTTTAAATGCATCATATTCAAGTTCAAAAAGTCATGTTCAAGAATTTCATAATCAAAAGAAATGTGAAATTGGATTAACATTGTGGCAATTCGTTTTTCATATCTAAGTATAGTTCGTACCTATAATAATTAAATAAAAAGACTACACAAGCCATGGGTGACTGATGATGTGTAAAAAATGGTTCCGCTGGGGCTCGAACCCAAGACCTTAGCGTTATCAGCACTACGCTCTACCTACTGAGCTACGAAACCAATTCGTTTAATCGAATTATAATTTAGTATTAGAAATGAAAATAACCTTTTGTATGCAATATTTTCAGATTCTATTAATCATGTATGATGAACATCTTTTGTTTATATAAAAAATTTGCTTTCATCAGGAATTAATCGCTATTACCATTTCGTATTTTTAATTCTTCAATGAAATATCCCTAATATTTCCTAGTTAATTTTGCTATATCCTTCAATGTTCAATTTTACTTTAACAAAAGTTCCCTAGGTTGCCCAATATTTTTGACAGATGTGCATACATGTTAGGCATATGCCTTCCCTTGACAAACTAGTGATTTTCGTAGTGTGTAAATCAATATTGAAAGTTTACATGTATAAAACTAATAATACGAATGGGCGCGTAAAGTTTTGGCGTCCTAAGGCGTCCTGATGTAAACTATTCAATTTTTGAGAAGTTTACACTATAATTGAATAGTTTATGGCGTCCTGAGAGGAGATTTCAATGGGTATGGCGTCCTAAAAAATAGAAGAAAATGATTTTTTCTCGATTTTTCTAGAAATTGAATTTTTTAAAAAAGAAAAAAATCAAAACGTATACATTCAAGAAAGACTATAAATGAAGATTTTTCTATTTTTTTCATTCTAAAACATCTTTTTTTGGATAATTTTTTTTTAATAAATATGTAAGAAAGATTGAAGAAAAAGTAAATTTACTTTAAGAAAATTCGTTTTACATGATGTAAGACTCATAACAACTATAAATATTCAATTATTTAAAATAAAAAAAGAAAAACAGATTAAATGTATCTCACATCAAAATCCATTGACCTACGGATGTTAAGTTTCTGTTTTTAAAAGTTGATATTTTTTTTTAATTTTAAGAAAATTAATAGCATGTTATTAGACAATAGGAGTGTAATGATATTGACTAAACAGAAATGAGAGAATAGAGATATAATTTTGATAAGCAATATTGCGAACAAATTCTGAAGTAAAATCGCGATCAATAATTGAAAATTACGATCATGTACTGAAAAATGACGATCGAATTGAATGAATAGAATTATATCTAAGAAAAAATAAATTGTATTTAGAAGATGAACAAAGAAAGGTGTATGCTAAAAATCATTTAACAATAAATGGAAATAAAACGAAATTGTTAAAAGAAAAAAATGAAAATTGTTAAATAATATATTATTTTTTAGTCATAAGAATAAAAATATAGTAGTTATAAAAGGAATTAGACTTCATATATCAATTCTTTTTCTCTGTAGATGTGGAACGTTTGCTTTTCGATCTCTTTCGATGAACTTGAAAATATAAGTTATTAGAGATTGGGACAAAGTTGCAATTCGGCACTTTTTGTAAAAAAAATGGGGTCATACTCATAATGAATAGAGACTTATAGCCAAGTCTTGATATCATGCAGGGAGAATATACATTGATAAGCAATTATATTTTATAGTAGTAGTATTCAGAAATTCTTACAATTTACAATACAATTTTCAAAAATGGATAAAGACTAATAGCCAAGTCTTGATATCATGCAGGGAGAATATACATTGATAAGCAATTATATTTTATAGTAGTAGTATTCAGAAATTCTTACAATTTACAATACAATTTTCAAAAATGGATAAAGACTAATAGCCAAGTCTTGATATCATGCAGGGAGAATATACATTGATAAGCAATTATATTTTATAGTAGTAGTATTCAGAAATTCTTACAATTTACAATACAATTTTCAAAAATGGATAAAGACTAATAGCCAAGTCTTGATATCATGCAGGGAGACTCTCTACAAATACAAATTTATCAATTTTCATGTGAAAATTACATAAATTTGTTCTCCAATAAATAGCAATAATACTTTGAATGTTATATTAAGTAATATAGCTTCAGGTAAATAAGCTTACACTTCAAAAATATACTGTTTATTCATTAATTTTAAAAAAAGTCCAAATTATCTAATCTTGCTTACTCTTCCTTTAAACTTCTTTGTGCCAAATTTAATATTGCCTTCAAAGATGGAATAAGGACATTAGGTTCAATCCTTCGGCTTTCGACAATTTCCAAAATGTGTTGAATTAATTTCAAACATTCATCGTGTTTTGAAGCTCTTTGCTCAACAATCTGATTACCTGCCCTTGTAAGAATTCTTACTGCTCTATCTTCATTCAAAACATTAGCGACTTGAACCTTAATAATCGCATTTGGAATCACAACAGTGATGAGAGTTATGACGATATAAAAAAATATTTTATTATACTCATTCGAAATTAAAAATAATAAAATTTATATATATTAATTTCATTAAATCAAGGTTAAAAATCTCACCGGAAAAATAACCTCAGTGTGATAAATTTATCACCGGAAAAATTTACAATAAGGTTAATACCGAAAATATCGAAAAATCAACATTTAAGGTTAATTTAAGAGTATACACTTTTGTCACCTACTCTAAGTTATTATCGCTGAGAATCCTTTCCGAAATAGGAGCTTTACGTTTAGGAGGATTGTCGGATGAATTTTGTTTTTTATTGTTTGATTTTGTTGTTATGGAAGATTTTTTTTATTTTTTTCAGAATTTTGCTTGCTATTAACTGAAACTTGTTTTGACGGCCCAACAATAGCATTTGTAGTAGGAAGAATTCCCAATAACGAGCGCATTTTCGATAATTGTTTTTCAATATGATCAAGAAGGTCCAGCTTATGTTCTAGATTACTAGATATTTGATTTCTAGAAGGATGGTTTTGATTTTCTGGTTCTAAATCTGTAGAAGTTAGTATACCTATCTTGGTTATGGAGGCACTGCGTTCCACCTTACCCAAGATAACGGTTTGACAATTTACAAAACCGTTAACGTATATTTTACAACACAAACGACAACACCGACTTAACCTTAAATATTTACAAAGCCGCCAACCACTTCACCTCACTAACGTTTTCACAAACGACTTCACTACTGTAAAAAATAAACGTTCTCACTTACAAAAGTATTGCAACTCTTCCCATTGCTGTGCTTCACACAATAGTTCATATTCTTCAGTATCGCTGCTGTCGCTCCAATCGTCAGAGTCAAAGTCACTGTCAAAATAAATGTTAGTAAGTTTTGACAAAGCTAATGAAACACGTTTACCGTTTGTATCTATTGCTTGTATATATCTTCCATAATGCTCTTTGTCATAAACGCTCAAACTAACTTTACCCTTTCTCCCTCGTATCTGATAGAATGTATTTTCACGAGGAACGAAGAACAAATTCTTGAACTCATGACCGTTGTAGTTTGTTATCTCAATAGTTTTCGTCATTTATATAAAAATAAAATAAAAATAATTTTAAAAAAATAAAATAAAAAATAAATGATATCACCACCCTCACGCGTATGAAAACATAGCACAAAAATAAATTTAGGTGAAGCGGTGAAATCTCACCTCTTTTTTCACCCGGTTTTTCACCCACTTGAATTCATTACTTTATAACTCTCTTCCTTGGTTTCTTTTTAGTTGCTTTCTTCACGTCTGTCTCCAACTTGACTGTCTTTCTTCTTCGTCCATAATGATACCAATTACTTCCACCAGTCAATGGGTCAAATGGTCGTTCATAAGGGTTTCCATACATTCCATAAGGTCCGTATGGATAAACCGCTGGTGGAGAAGAAACATTTTCTTTAGTTCCATCGACTCTATTTAAATGCATTGTTTCACCTTTCATCTGGTCATTAAAGTCTTTTGCGTGTTTTGCAAACTCATCGTCCTTTCCTAAAGCATTTTCTGACTCAGTCGCAACCAAATTGGATGCTTTATTTATGAGCCCTATTTTATTTAATCTTAACTTCTTTGCAACCCAGCCTCCAATCTTTCCTTTATTTGCATCTAATGTCTTTGAAACCCTTCCTCCACTCATTTTATTTACTGCGTCATAAGCTCCAAGTGCTTTTGCTCCAAATGCTAATGCTTTTGTTCCCATTGCGCCTAAAGCTGCCCAAGCTACCATTTACCCCATATTAAAATCATCTCTCTTCAATATTATCTCATAAAAGTTCTCGTTACTGGAGAAAGTCAATGAAACATAAACATTCTCACGTGCTTCGCCCTCACCGCTTTGCGGTCTATCTAACTTCTTTCTTATCTCATCTATTCTCAATAAAATATCTGAACAATTGCTAACATCTTCTACAACTGTTATTTCATCATGAATGACCTTCAAGAACAAGCTCATTTAATATGCTATTAAAATCATCTCAATAATGAGTCCATCCTTTCCATCTTTAGGTAGCACAACATCTTTCATTGAAGAAGGTTCGACAAGTCTTATGTTAAACTTACTGACAAAGTTTGTTATACTATAATGCTTCGGTGGCGAATACATGTAGTTTGAAAGACATAATATAGATTCTTCAGCAAATTCACTTATACTGGATTTTATAACAATGTTCTCACGAGACCAAACGCCACCAATTGACAATCTTGTAAGCAATCCTGCTGAACCTTCAACTGTAAACGTCGATGGTAACATTCCACGAAGGTCATCTATTGACATCTTTGAGTCACTGAATTTAAAGATTTTCTTAAAGCAATCGTCATTATCTAACCATGCAATAGCTTTGAAGTTTTCATTCGAATATACATCTGCTTCATTAAATGTAAAACCTGACTTCTTTGCAGAGACGATTTTAAAATCTATTGCATTTGTTTCAAAATTATATGCTATGATAACTTCTGAAGGTAATGGGTGTCCTTCTGCTATAAGTTGTTCTTTCAATACCGTTTGAAGCTTTGTGTTAAAAAACTTTCATGTCATCTCCTGTATCTAAGTTCACATACACAGCAACAGGGAAACTATCTTGCTTCTTTGTTTCATCATTATATCTCAAAACATTAAAGTTCTTCAATAATATTGTCCTTCCTGCTGGAATACTTCTAACTTGTCTTATTTCAATAGCTTTCTCACCTCCTACATACTCTACCCAGTGTCTTGGATATTCATAAGTATACTGACTTTCTTGAATTTTGGTTGGTTTCATCATAACGTGTTCATAGTATATCTTTATACTCTTGTCAGTTAGACTCGGTGCTATGTTCTGAATATTTCTGACTTGCATTTTAATGGAGATAAAATGAAGCATTTAATACATGACGTAGATGAAGACATGAATGAAACTACAGACAAACTTAACTCTTCTCTTATTCTTCCTTTCAGCAAAGATTATGAATTCTGTTCAAATGGTGTGTATTTCTATTGTGGAAAGATGGGTTCAGGTAAGACATTTAACCTCATTCGTCATATACTCATAACAGAGCGTTTAGGAAACGACTCTTACTATGACCAAATCATTATATCAGCAACTTCAGACTCTATGGATTCAACAGCGAAAACATTCATGAGTAAAGTTCAAGCATCTGTCGTTAAAGTTCCAGATAGCGAACTCATTGAATTTCTTCAACGTTACATTCGACGTAAGAGAAAATATTATGCTATTGTAGAGTTCATACAGTCAGGAATGCAAAAGACTTCAGAAGAGATGGAAAGAATTATTGACAAACACCACTTACGTCAATACTCAGGAGTTTACGATATGAACCGACTGACAAACTACATTCTATCAAAACTTTCAAAATACCCCTTCAAAAAGTATCCTTCAAACACTCTGCTCGTTTGTGACGACTTCGCCGGAAAAGGTTTAGTGTCAAAGCCTGACTCACCATTAGCTAACATCATAACTAAAGTCAGACATTACCATTTAACTGTAGCAATACTTATGCAAACATGGCGTTTCCTTGCTTTAAACATAAAACGTCTCATAACTGACTTTGTTATCTTTCAAGGTTTCTCACGCTATGATATTGAACTCATTTGGAAACAGTCAGGTATAACATTACCTTTTGAAGAAATTTGGGAAGCATATAAGTCTCTCATCTCTCCTCGTTCATACCTTGAGATTCATATCATGACTAATACCATTAAAGTTAAAAATATTCCATGGGAACGACCAACATTGTTTTAAATCTTATGCTTTAATTGACTGATGGTAAACAAATTCCATGCATCTCTGTCGCCATTTCTGTTAATATTTTTGCTGTCATTCATATCATCCACTTCCCCATCCGTTAGCTTTTGAGGATATGTGTTAGAATAGCTGTTCTTAAATGAAGGCTTTTCACCTTTGAGAGCATAAACTCTATAACTTTCTGCATACTTTATGTTTGAACCTCCTGAGCCATCATTGACATAAATTTTTATAGGCTTCCACCCTTTGTTCATATTCCTGCTTCTTCCCTTAGCTCTTTTGTTCAGTAGTTCTACATCTTTATACACAGCTCCTGTCTCAGTGAATTCAACAATATTTTCATTCGTTAGCTTTACATTCAAACCCTTGTTGAGTATATTGTTCATTTCATACATATAAAATGTTTTTATTCTATATGAAATGAGAAGCAAATCCATCTTAGCTGGTGCCGTTAATGTTCCAATTGAACCAACATCAAATGTTGACTCACGAACGACAAACAATATTGTCATAAAGAACTATAGTTCGGAGTGTTTGAAAGAAAAAGAACCAGATCTTAAGTCGGTGAATTTAAACACAACTTCAAACGCTAACGCTACATCAGATGTTAAGTTAGAGTATCCACCACTGGACCAAGTTCTTTCAAGAGAAGCCAACGACAACCCTTACACAAATGTTCAAACAAATCCTTCAGATAACGTAGACCATTACCTTCTTCAGTTATACCAAACAATTTTACTCAAAGACGATAAGAAGCTTTTGACAAATCTTATAAGTAAGAACCAAATAATTCTAACAAAGGAGGACCTTGAAAATATTATATCACGAATAACAGGAAAGCAATGTGTCATTGACTATCTCGACCCTGAAATCGAATGCTGTGGTCAAACTCCAATATTCATGAAAATAGGTAACATCCGCATCATTGAAACACCAGGTACTCCAGGAGTTGAGTTTAAGTATAAATATTCGAACGAGTATACAAAACTATCTACTTACTATAAGCTTTGTTTGAAATATGTTTTAGTAAATTAAAGCAATTTGTAATATCTATCCAAAACTTCTTCAACAGTATCGAACTCATCTTCATAATGCAAACCTAATCTTATTGACTTGGTGCAGTTTTCACTAACACAATATAGCGCTTTGCGCTCGGCGCCTTTGACGCCTTTTTCTGTTCTCTTGACTGACATAACTAACTCATTTGTTTCATCAAACAGCAACAACCAAAGTTCATGCCCTAATACATAACATTCATACTTTATATTTTTAGCTCTGAGTTCTCTTGTAAGCTGTTGCATTTAATATTTTCTAAAAAGTCAACTTCAACAGTCATTCGCACTGGTGCCTTCAGTACTACGGGCTCGCCTTGAAAGTCAACTAGTCTGAATTGCATGTCTTTCAAATTATGAGGACTAATGCGAACCCATTTACCTAAATGAGTTACTATGACAGGAACGTTTGGAATGAACATTGAATTTACTTCATAACAGAAAGACTTATATTCTACTGAACCTTTACTATTAACTCCTGAAATACCTGTGACATTAGCTATTTTTGACTCAACGTACAAACAATTGCCATAACATACGTATGGAACGGATTTCATCTCAATCGTTTTGTCAACACTTTTCAAAGGAAATATCATATGGTATGCTCCCAGAAGCAATTGAACTCTATGACTCATTCGTGTTATCTTAAACTCCTTCGCATAACTGAACTTCAAAACTCCTGCAATAAGTTTAACATTCATTAAGTTTTCTTCGTTATCCTTGTTTATTGTAGTACTTATGAGAGCATTTAACACTCCAGCTAATGTTTCCATCTTATATTCTACATTATTGTGAAATCTTATTTCATGCTTCTTTCCATCTATTTCAAGCTCCATGAAATCTGTTTCGTCAGTTATAACGAATGAAGCAATAGTATTAAAGTCAACAACTCTGAAAGCAAGCGCTTCATTCTGAAGACCTAAGTTTGTTTGTAGCTTTACTGTCCCGTATTCGTTTGGGTCTGTACTTTGCAAATAGAACAACATTTTATTCTCATTAAAATATGACTATTGCTGCATATGCGTATGAAACAAATGAAGCAAGAAGAGCACATGAACTAGTAAACGAAAACTCAACTTTAACCATTGAAGGCAATGATTTAGTCATTGACGATGGAAAAACTAAAAAAGTCATTGATTTCGATACTTTTAACACTTATGACCCATTCATTACAACAAGCAAGGTTCCCATCATAAATGATGGAACGGTGCAATATATAAATTCTACAGTAGATGCCTCATTAGTGAAAGTACTGAATGTTCTCATTGAATTGTTAAAGAGCTTTCGATTTGACGACAACATTAAATGCCTAAAGAATTTAGTCATGAATGAGAAACAAATTCTCGGCGTTGCTGGTAGCAGTAATGATGTACACCTTATGACATTAGAATATTATAACGAACATAAAGATGAACTGAAAGGAGAGAAGGGTGACACCGGACCACAAGGAATACAAGGAATACAAGGACCTCAAGGCGAAAACGGTTTGGATGGAAAGGATGGAAAGGATGGAAAAACTGCTAAATCATGGATATGGGACCTTATAAATACTGGTTTAACAGCTGCTTCATATGGAGTTCTTCAATACCAAATCGGAAAGATATGGGCAGTACTTGGTGAAGAAGCTTTAGATGACGTTAAAAATGCTTTGAACTTCATTTCAAATGGTTCTGATACTATTAAAACTTTATCTGGTTGGATGCAAGAAACAAGGAGTCAAATAGATACTGTAAGACGTATAGCAAACAATGCACGTACGGGATTGGATACTTTACGAGAAGCACAAAATACACTAAAGGAAGCAAATGATATTCTTGGCTCAGTATCAGACATGCATGAAGATTGGCTTAAAGGTATTGACAAATCTTTAAAAAATCACAGTCAGTCTATTGCTGACTACAAGAAAAGTATAGATTTTTTACATAGTGCTATGGACGTACATGATGGAAGCATAAGGAACTTACTTAATGCTAACAATAACTTACAGGAACTATTAAAGCATTTATAAAGTCCTTTGTAAAACCCCGGTGCTCTAACATTTAGGTCTTTGAGAGCAAGAGCATTGAAGTCAAGAGATGCAGAAACTCCAACAGAAACTCCAGAAGAACCACCAAAACCAACAGCTAATGAAATATTGTTCGAATATTTTCCAAGGTACTCTGTTCTCATTGCATACATTCAAGAAATACTTAAGAAAGCAGACTTGACTTTAGGGATGATGAAAGTTCTGTATATCTTTCGTTCCAGTTTCAAATAGCAGAACTTTTGAGACAGATATGCTTAATGTATGACAACATCTCTGATTTCACAAGATATGATGACGACCATGACCCCGAACACGGTGAAGAAGAAGTTTTACAAACATCCATTAAGACAGGAAAGGTTTTAACACAAAGTCTCATTATTGACACCAAAGATGGCGAAGTGGACGTTCTTCAAGAGCTGAAGAAAAATACTTCTTCGGGAGGTGGTGGTAGGCATGAACTTGAAATAAATGAGATAGAAGAGAAATTAGCCGAAAAAGCAGATAAAGAACATAAACACAATATCTCCGATATAAATGAACTTCAAGCTACATTAAATAGTAAAGCGGACAAAAATGAACTTGACGCAATGAACAAAGTTTTGAAATCTCATAAACACAATATCTCCGATATAAATGAACTTCAAGCTACATTAAATAGTAAAGCGGACAAGAACCATGTTCATTATATAAGTTCAGATGAACAGATTATAACGGACTATCATGGATATTTAACACAGGATGAAGAAGTGAAGACGAAAAATGTTAATGAAAGAAGATATAAATTCATTCGTGCTAAAGGTTATGACATACACTGTACTGTACAGTATGACACAGGTATAGCACCACAAACATTTGGTTATAACGCTGAAATTTATGCTTCATACTTCTTTGTTAACGGTGTATTAGTTGAACCAAGATTTATGTTAAGAGTTAAGGCAAAAATAACTTTTGAAGATGCTATTAAAAGTAAAGCTGACAAAAATGAACTTGACGCAACGAACAAAGTTTTGAAATCTCATAAACACAATATCTCCGATATAAATGAACTTCAAACTTCTTTAGACAGTAAAGCAGACAAAAACCATACACATGAATCCTTCACTACTGTTAGAGCTGATGACATAATACTGAACTATACCCTTGGTTCAAGTGCACCTTTAGAGAATCCAAGTACAAGCGTAAAAGATACACTAAACAATTTAGATAACAGTTGCAGGAATATCGAAGATCATGCCAGAAACTTTGAAGCATACGAACTACCAGCAATGTTAGATAAGAAAGCCGACAAAACTTATGTAGATGAAAATTATGCAAAGAAGTCGGAAGTAAATGCTGCGCTTAATGGAAAGGCCGATAAAGAGCACGTGCATGAAGAATTTCAAACAATCAAGATTAAAGAAATTAAGGCATGCATCGAAATAGTAACAAAAACAGGAAGAGACGGTGCAACTGTACAAGAACAAAGAATTTATCCTCCTACTTTTCCTAATGGTTTAATAACAAACAATATAAATATTGTAGAAGGCAATAAAACTATAAACGTTAAACATGAACTTCTAACAATGAAGGCCCAGATTCTTGAAACCATATATCCTGTTGGTTCTATTTATACGTCAATGAACTCAACAAATCCAGCAAGTGTTTTAGGTTTTGGTACGTGGGAACAGATTGTAGATAAATTCCTCTATTGTGCGAACTCTTCAAAGCAAACAGGTGGTTCGAAGAAAATTAAAGAAGCAAACCTTCCACCGCACACTCATACAGGAACTACAAACTTTTCTGGCGACCATAGCCACTCATTAAGAGACCACCCATTATACAACTCAGAATATGAAGCTGGCAATGACGTTTTATCTCCATCTTATAACAATGCAGCAAAAAAGATTTTTCGACCAACTGAACCAGGAGGAAATCATTCACACACTTTCACAACAAATCCAACAGGCTCGGGTGCAGATTATATGCCACCATTTGTGACTGTATTCGCATGGTACCGAGTTCAATGAACTCGCTTGAGCCTTGACTCAAAGGGTCTAGGCTTACCGCGTTCAATGAAATCTTTAACTTTACATAAATGAGCTTGAAAGAAGTATTCGAACAACATCCATGGAGGTCTTTTAAGAAATTCAATGAAGCTGCAAAGAGTTCGGGATTTACTAACAGAGCTGAAGTGAAAAGGTTCTTTAACAAAAATGTTGTACATCAAACAAAAATAAATCCTTACGACTACTTTTTACCAATTTACTCCAACACTCCTGACGCATACCAATTTGACACTCTCATTCAAAGCAGAAAAGGAGGACATAAACCATTCCTCATCTTCATAAATGTTAACACTCGTAAAGCATATGCATATCCAATGAGAAAAAGGAACTCGTGAAGTGTTAAGAGTTTTACAAAAGTTTGTAGCAGAACATAACCCAAGTACTTTAACATCAGACCAGGATTCAGCATACCTCAGCAACGAAATCACAGAATTTCTCATTAAGCATAACATAACTCACTACACTACTGAAGACCATAACCATAATATTTTAGGTATCATTAATCGCTTCATAAGAACGCTCAGAGATTTAAATCAAGAGCGAGACTTTACCGAAGAAACAATGAAACATTTTCTCGAAGTATATAATTCCTCAACAAATTCTACAACAGGACATACACCAAATTCAATGACACAACAACAAGAAGAAAAGTATATACAAAAGAAACGAAGCCAAACACAAAATATCAGAAATTCAACACAATTTACCCTCATTCCTGGTACAAAAGTTCGTGTAGTTCTTGACGACAAACCGTTGACAAAGAAACGTTTAAGGTTAAGTCGAAATTATTATATAGTAGACTCTACGCAAGGTAATGGATATCTTATAAAAGCTGCTGACGACTCTATAGCATTTTACCCTCGTCATAAATTAGTTGAAAGTAGTAATGGCAAACTTGCTGAAACCATTGACGAAGCAAAGCGAGGAGTGGTTATTGAAATACTTGGCTACAACACAAACGATGACACTTATAAAGTAAGATATGAAGGAGGCGTTGAAGATGTTATACCATCTAAGAACTTGAGAGAGTCGAAGCCAACACATCTGGGACCATTAGAGCGGGAGTACTGGAAAGACAAAAATATGCCAGAAAGAATAAGAAAATTCTTCTAAACTTTTTCATTAGATGTAAATCAGACATGAACGAGAACAGTCATGATATCATTAATGGTACCATTTATTTACACCAAAAATAAAGTTTATGTTAGAATGTTAGAAACAATAAGAATTACCGAAAAAGTGACAAAACATCAAAAACAGGGAGGGGGTCTCAATTTTTATTACTTATATTATTTTACAATATTTATATAAATACTCTTTATAATATATTTTACTATAAAATTAAAAAAAAAAAAAAAAAAAAAGGTAGTGGGGCTTCCAGGCACTTCGTGCCTTCTAGCCCCGAAGATGTTTAGTATAAATGAAGTTCTTATATACGGGTCTTCCAGGAGCTTTTCACAAAATATATATGTTTTCATGTTTTGTCACTTTTCTGTCACTTTTCAGGAAAAAACATTTTTATTATATATATAAAATGAATTTTACAAAACCACCGTTACCCTTCTTTGGAAATAAGAGTAGATGTAAAGATATTCTATTGAGAGAACTTAAGAAACTACCGAATGGTCTAACATTTGTAGATTTGTTCGGTGGAAGTTTCTATATATCCCATTTGTGCCATATAATATTTCCTGACTCAAAGATTATATGCAATGACTTCGACAACTATATGAACCGTCTCAAACATATACCAGACACTAACAAAATATTGAAAGAGTTAAAAGAAAAGATACCTATAGGTAAGATGGAACGTATACCATTAGATAACAAAAATATTGTCAGAGAGGTTTTGAAAAAGGCAGAGTATATTGACTGGGATAGTATATCTTCTAGACTATTATATAGTGGTGCTATAAGAGTTCATGACATTGAAACACTTATGTCAAAAGTTTTATATCTTAACTATACAAATGTTTTCAAAGAGGACATAGAAAAATATATTGAGGGTATAGAGTTTGTGAGATGTCATTGGACAGAGTTGTATGAAAAATACAAAGACAAGGAAAATGTTTTCTTTATAGTAGACCCGCCGTTCTATAACACATGGGATTTTCAATACCAAGTAGACTGGACTTTGAGAGACTCTTTAGAAACTTTAGACGTTTTACATAACCATCCATGCTTTTACTTTACATCCGATAAAAGTGGTTTGGAAACCGTTATGAGATGGTTAGAGGACATACATGACTATGAGTTTAGATACGATAAGATAGAATATGAGAGAGGTCCTATAAACTGGAGAAAGTGTCACAACAAAGAAATTTTATTGGTAAGTAAATGTGGTTTGAAATAGGACTACTTGTTTTAGGTTTTTTCCATTGTGTCATTTATTTATTTGACGTGGCAGAAAAGTACAGAGAATATGAAGATGAACCAATGCCTGCAAATGTTCAGTATATGTACTCGTAAGAGATATTTTTATCTAATATTAAATGGACGCACAGAACTTAGCGAATGCACAGCAACCTGGACAACCAAACCCAGAGAATATTCCAAATGAAGTTAGAATACAAACTGCAATGGCAAACTATGGTCAAGTGCCAACAGATGTACAAATGCAAACTGCCATGTCAAATGACGCTGCGTTAGGTTTGCCACCATGGTATGCAAATATGAGATGGAAAGAGTTTTATACAAACCCCGAAGTGGGATATAAACAACTTTATGCAGATGACGCGAACACAGGAGTTGACCCAGAATATGTTTTCTACCAGAGGAGAAACAGAATGTATGAGCTCCAGTTAAAGAATGCTATGGAACTCAACAGGAAACGTAAGAGACTAGGCGGACATTAGATTTTTACATATAGTAAAATGGGTTTCTTCAGTAAGATAGGAAACTTCTTTCGAAATGTTGGAAGAGGTATATGGAATGGAATAAAAACCGTAGGAAGAGGAATTTGGAACGGAGTCAAAAATATTGGTAAAAGAGTAGGTCAGTTTGTTGGTATTATACCTAAAGACCCTGAACCAGAAGAGCAAGCTCCTGTTATACAACAGCCTGAACCTGCACCACAGTCTAGTTGGCAACCAAATCCAACACCTCAACCGTATTAAAAAATTATATTTTTACCGTTCGATAGTAGTTGTATATGAAACTAAGTTCTAAGTAAAACGCATGGTATAATGGAATTATTCTTTTTCTTCCATCTGTAGTAAACCATACTTGAAAGTCTGAAATACTTCCACTTGGTGGTTCGTATAACTTTGTAGGTTTTTCGTAAAAGTCATTTGCCAAGCATAAGAAAGAGTTTTGGGCGCCAGAAAATGAAGCATGAACAATAATAGCAGCTGGGTCGAAAACATCTTTAAATAAATATGGTTCATCTCTTGCATATCGACTGTAAATATTTGCTAAAGGAAGTTTGACTTTCTGATTTAACATTCTTTGCAAATAATACCATGACATTGCAGTGAATTCTGTATATATTTGTTCGTCTTTCTTTGGATTGTCTTCGTAGATTTGAAATGACACTTGTGAATTTTGTTTGTCATATACAATTCTCACATAAAGTGTGCTCTCGGTATTTGCATATTCATCAGCATATTTTGCATAACATGAATTTATTTTATCTTCTATATTTTTTAACGCAGTCTGTAGAGAAGATGAAAGGTCAACTTGTATTAGCTCAATTTCTTCCCACATTTTTCGTTTCCCTTCAGATATATAATCTATATGAAACCTTACAATAAATGGAAAACTTTTATCTTCTACAGACACAAACTTCATTCTACGAAAGCCAATAGCTTTTGTGACAGATGGGTCTCTTAGCCATCTTAATGGGTAGTCAAAACGATAGCCTTCATGCTTTACGGTCTCTGTCTCAAACTTTTGACCGACATTAGTAAAAAGTTCATCTAATGGTTTAGTTGTAGCAACTCTTGAATTTTCTTTTTCTATTGAAAGCATATTTTATCTAGAATAAAAATGTCGAAAGATATTGCTTCCATGAGAGAAATACAACACAACCGACAACTCATTATGCAAGCTCTAAATAAGAACACAACAAACTTTTCAAACTATTCTAAGATATCTGAGTCATTGAAAGAAGGAAACTTAAAACTGACATTAAACCCAATGACAGATGAGTTTCTATTTCAAGACAATAAGAACCATACTGTCTGTATAAATCCAACAAAAGGAACTTTAAACGAGAAACCTATAAATGAACTTCTTTTGAAAACGGATGTTGACAACAAAGCTGACAAAGAATATGTAGACGATGCAATAGCAAAAGAAGAAGAAAGAGCTAACAATGCTTATGCAACAAAAGAACATACTCATCCTGAACTAGCAGACAAAACATATGTTGACAATAAAATGTCAAGTGAAGTGACAAGAGCTGAAAACGAATATTCTAAAAAGACTCATACACATTCTATATCTGAAATAACAGACTTACAAGAAACCTTAAACAATAAAAGTGCCGTTGGACATACACATACCATTGCAAATATTACAAACTTACAAGAAACCTTAAACAGGAAAAGTGACGTTGGACATACACATACCATTGCAAATATTACAAACTTACAAGAAACCTTAAACAGGAAAAGTGACGTTGGACATACACATTCTATATCTGAAATAACAGACTTAAACGTTAGCCTTGAAAATAAAGCAGATAAAACATATGTCAATGAAATATACCAAAGTTTGATAGGAACAACAAAAAATATTGAAACTATTGTTGGGGATGTTTCTGTCAATGAAGAAAATAAATATTTTAGATGGGAGTTTGTACAGTCCTTAAAAAATGGTATACGGTATAAACTCATTCCGAAAAATAACAATGAAATGTATGTAAGCTATATAAAGAATAATGGTACACAAGTTAAAGTTCCATTAGACAACAACTGTTACTTAAACTTATATGGAGACGAACAAAAGAAATATTTAAGAGTTTATGAAATGGCAGATATGACATTACCTAACCCAGCTCCAGCACCATATTATTATGACTATGGTGTTGACGCACGTGTAGACCCAAAAAAGCAAACATTATATTTAGAATATTATAGATATAAAAGATATAATGCAATAGAAAAAACGAGAATAGTATATTATTATATAGATGACAAAAATAAATATTATAGTCAAGATTTTACCTACCCCGAAAACATAAGATTATATTATAAAAAATATTCTGACACAAACCAGAAGAAACCAGAAATAGTTACACTATATTTTAAGTTCAAAAGAGACAATCCTATATTATCTCATATGTTTGATTTAATGAACCCAGTAGGTTCTTATTTATACTATCTATTCTATGGAAGCAAAGAGGTCCTCAAGTAATGTTTGGTGTTGGTGCATGGGAACAAATAGTTGACAGGTTTTTGTATTGTGCAAACTCTTCAAAGGAAACAGGAGGAAGTAAAACGATTTCAGGTGAAAATTTACCTGCGCACAGTCACTACATAGATTTAAGTACATCTCAAGCAGGTTGGCATAAGCATAAATTTTGGGATTGGTCAGCAATGAAAAAGGTAAAGGATATGATGTTAAAGACGACGTTCAGTTTGCTATAAATTGTTTCTGGGGTGACACTCAGGGAGATGGAAACCATACACATCGCGTTTCGGGATATACGCAAACAACGGGACAAAGTAAAGACTACATGCCACCTTACATGACAGTTTACGCATGGTATAGAATTGCTTAGTCGTCATTTTCAACTTCTTTAGCATATTCGTCAGGAGTTGTCTTATATTTGTTAGGAACTGTCTTTGAAAGTATACCACCTTGAACTTTGACAAGTTTGAAACGAGGTCTGACAATAGTAGTTTTATCTTCTGCTTGCAGTGTACATTTTGCCATGTTTGCCTAAAACTTCATAATATTCTCTTGTATACTTTCTTCTATTTTTACGAACACGAATGTGAGTACCTGTCGAGTTCCCATTGTTGTCATAGTCAATAGTATTTTCATATGGGTCGCGTTTAGGTATTTCTATTTTTACTTTGTCACCTTTCTTAAGTTTGAAGCCTGGCATTCTTTCTTGTTTGTCTCTTTTGACTAAACTATTAAATATATAGTCTTTCTCTAAGTCAGGGTTGTTTTTCATTTCTTCGGGGAGTGGTTTCCCAAACCTTTTTGTTTACGGCTATTGTAAATATTTAAAACTTGTCTCATCTTTGCCATGGAGAAGTGTCTATATTTGTCGTCATATGACATTTCATTTGCTTCACCACCTTGTGGTTGATTTAAGTCTCTTAAGATTTTTATACAACTGTCAATGACACCAAGAGCAGAATGGTTTTGGTCGACAATGAAATATTGGTTTACATTTTTTGAACGCAGATAGTTTTTAATATCGTCTGATTTGAAAGAACTTTCACAGTCAGATGTCAGTTTTGTTGGATGGTATTTGTCAACGAATATTGTCAAAGCAGTTTTCACATCTAAAATATTTTTGGACCATAATGGTATGGCTTCACAGTATCTTGTGTTTTGACCGACAAATATTAGCCAGTATGGTGGTCCATCTTCTCTATACCTCGGAATGTTTTCCAAGATATCCATAAACCAAGCATTTGGTGTTGAACTAAAGATTTTTATCATGAGTGCTTTCTTTGTTGCCTTAGAAACATAGGGGTCCTTGTTTGGATTCGTCATTTTTTAACCCATAAGAAATGGGTTTATTTGGCGCATTAGCAGGAGTCGCATCCAGATTTTTGCCCGCAGTGGGAACAATAGCCAGAGGTGCATTTGGAATTGGAAGGAAGATTTTGAGTACATTAGGTATACTGAAAGAGAAAGCACAACCTATTATACAAACCGTACAGAAAGGTTGGGAGTAGCACGAGATGCAGCAAATCTTATTCCAAATCCTGAAACAAGAGGAAAAGTTCAAGGATGGATGGACAATGTAGGAAGACAAGCAGGAAACTACTATAACAAAGCAAATGACTACTATAACCAAGCAGGGCACTACATGGACCAAGGTGAAAGATTCTTTAACAGAGGATATAACCATGCACAACAGTGGGTAAACAAACAACCAACCGCAACCGCCTCAAACGTGGGGAATGTAAATTTTTTTACTGAGATGAAATGAACAATACAGCATTGAGACAAATGGGCTCAAGATGGATTTGTCGGCTTCCAGCAGTTACACAACCACGTGTTTGTCAAGTTCTTCCTATACCTCAGAAGTTTTAGACCGACTTAAAAAACCTAAACAACCAGTTGAAAACAAACAAACTAAAATTTTTTACTGAGATGAAATGACCGAAGAAGTTGAAACGGTAGATTTGACACCACAAACAAAAAGTTCAGAACCATTGTCAAAACCTGTCAAAGAACTTACAGATGAAGAGAAAAATTCAATAATAGAAAGTGCCAGGTCTGGAAATACAAACCCTAACTATAAAGTCACTTTTCATAGAAATGGAACGGCTAGTATCTCAAAAAAGAAACAGACTCTCACAAATAAAATATTGAAGTCTGAAGGAGCTTTCGAGACAACAGATGGAAAAGTTTACTTCACTGACCAACAGTTCATTATAGAACATCTCATTGACTTAGAGTCGAAATATTCTAAACTTTACAACAAACACAAAAAGTTGAAAGGAAAACAAAAACAAATGGCATATGATATTTATGAAGATGTTGACGACACAACTGTTCCTGCAAGTGAAGTAAAGTCAGAGGAACCGAAAAGTGACGAAAAACAGATAGAAGAAGAGAAACCAAAAACTGAAGATAAACCAAAACCAAAGTTTAGTTTCCAAACTAAACCAAGTCAACCTTCATTAGCTGGTATGGGTTGGCGTCAAAGACTTATGGCAGCAGGTGGTTATGTAAAGTAAAGAAAAAAAATATTTTTTTATTTTTATAAAAATGCCCCCATATAGAATGGATAGAAAATCTGCTAGAATAAAAGCAGAGTTGCAAAGATATGGTTGGAGAGTTTCGAAGAATTTTAAATATAGGAAGGGAAGACCCATAAAAGTCTATGACAAATTGTCTGGTCTTCGCTACGAAATGGACTTAGAAACAGCACGTGCAAATTATCCAAACAGACTAGAGAGGTTAGAAGAAGAACGTCTTATGGACATGCCTTTCGATGTTAGTGAACCTCAAGTTGAAGGACACGACGGCTTTGCCAGATTCTACTGGAAACATGACGAACAATTGCATCCTTTGAGAAGGAAAAAAGGAAAAGGTGAAGACGCACATGCTCCCATGGAAAGAACAAGATATGCATATGAAAAGTATCGTGAAGTTAGAAGTCAAATTACATCTGGTCGAACCTTTACAGTAAACTTTGACGAAGGAAAGAACAAAGAAGGCTTCATGGGTGTACTTGCTGCAATTCAAGACGGAAATAAGAAAGGATACAATCTCAGATTGACCATAACAGATTTGGATGGTCACATTTACTATGCATATGGCAATGTCACAACAGCTGCAATGCTTCTTGACGCTTTCAAGACTACAAAGAGAGAACAAATGTTTGACTCCGACTCAGACATTTTGAATGCAATTGAAGGAATTGCAAGTGTCAAGTTCGAATGGTACCAACCTAACCCTCAAGCAGTCAGACAACATGCTGGATACTTCCCCTTCATAAATAAGTCTGACATTGACTTGACAAGGTATGGAATTTACAATTCAATTGAAACAATTGTCAATGAACCTTGTATTCTTACATGTCTCAGGAACTCTGGTCTTGTTACAGATGAGAAGATGAAGTATCTTGAGTCATGTGTGAAGACAAGGTACATTCTCAGAGGTCAATTGGCAAAAATTGCACCGTTGGCAAATGTCAATATCCGAGTCAACATACCTACAGCTAAAGGTTCTTCACATGACGACTATGTTGTTGAGTTCAATTTACCATGGTTGAAGATTGTAATTGTCCACAACCACTTCATGTTGAACGAAAGTCTTACAAACCCATTGTTCGGAAAAGGCAAGTGCAACATTGTCAGAGCTGTAAACATTCTTTTCGAGAAAGGTTTGTTGGAACCAATTCCAGATGACAAGCTGACAGAAACTTTTGTACCAAAAGACGAAACAAACTTTTCATTGTTAGCAAGACCAAAAGTTGTTCCAGACAAAGTTCTAGTACAAAAGAAGTACACAATTCCACAAGGGTTGGATTGTTCGGATACCAACCTGAACCAGAAGAACTTCCAATGAGGTTGCAAGAACTTCAAGATGCTATAAACAAACTTCCATTGAGACATCCAATTGACGTCAAATTGTATTGGAGAGCATCTGAGTTAGGTCAGAAAATTTTATATGAAACAGGTTGCTTTGACGATGTTTATGAGATAACAGGAGAAGTTTCTCAAAAGATAAGAGACTCACTTGAATTTCCACGAACCGGACCCATTGGATGCGATAAGTTCGACTCATATGAAAAAATATACTATGTCGACCTTAACGCTGCATACATGAGGTTCGTCCAATATATCCCGACTGGAATTCCAAACGAAGATGGTGAGTTCCCGGGAAGGAACTATACAGTTGGAAAAGTCATACAACAACTGTATGATATTAGGAAAGCTTCAAACCCCAAACTTGCAATGACACTCAAATTGCTTATGAATTCGACATGGGGATATTCCATTAAGAAACCTCAAGAGATGAAGAGTAAACATTATGAGAAGGTCGACAACTTTGTTGAAAGGTTCTCCCCTTTTGTTTTGAAATACGAGTTCACCGAAGGTCAAAGTGGCTTAGTAACCACATTAAAACCTATTGTCGAACATTGGTCTTACCCTCAGTTCGCAAAGGCAGTCCTTGACAACTACAACAAATTCTTCTCCGAAGTAAAATCCAAAGTCAAGGTTTACTATGAGAACATTGACGCACTCATGACGAACGAAGAAGGCTATAACAAACTCATTGAATTGGGTTTAGTCGGTGAGAAGATGGGCTGTTTTAAGCTAGACAAGGTATTTTCCGAAGTTCATGTCCTCTCCAAGCGAAAGTACTGGGCTGTTAAAGAAGATGGTGAAATAGTTAAACATTGCATGAAGTAAAACGTTGCATGAAGTAAAACATTGCATGAAGTAAAACATTTTTTAAAACAGTATATTTTTACATATATTAAATGCTTCAGGTTGAAAAACAAAGAACAAAAGCAGCAGATACAAAACCGTTAGACTATATCTTTACAAATGCCGGTAGAAATATTTCAGATGAAGAAATTTCATCCCGTTCATACAGGTTTGACTATCCAATTCGTTGGCTTCAAAGTCCTTCAGATGCAAAGGCAATAGGATTTAGAAAAGTTTTGTTTTCAAATAGAACTAACGCTTTTATGTTCGCAGTATATTTTCATGGGCAGTATGAAGGTTCTGATGGTCTAATAGACAAATTTGACGAAATGAGAATCTTTACAATTCGTTCAGACGAAAGTCTTGAGAAAACTCTAAATGACTTTCAAACTCAAATAAACAAATACTACTGGGAATTTCAAGAAAAATACGACTCTTTACTAAATGGAACATACTATCTAAAACTAGAATACAACAAGATGAATTCCACCGTTTCATTTCAAAGGATTGAAATTAACCCTCCAAGAAGTACAGAGTTTTTATTTTGGGAAGTAGACAAACGTTCTTGGGCACAATTTCTTCGGTTACTAAACCAGAACGAACCATTGCCACCTGACGGTCCGTTTAAATTTATACGTCCACCAGCAGATTTGATGGTTTATAGAAACGTGTTTGACCCTCAAAATGTTATGTGTCATGCAAGTTTCAGTTCAAGCAACAACAGTTTTCTTTGTATCGGTAAGGACTTTTATGACTTTGCTTCTAAATTCTACGAACCACCTAGTAACAGTTTCTCTGACTTTCAAGTTTGGTTCACAACAAACGGTGTGCAACATATTATTCCATTGTACTATGACTTTTATCTCGAATTGTCTTTCATATATAACTACGGAAAAGTGCTGAAAAAGTATTGAATGTGAAGATATTAGAAAATAACATTTTTTTCTAACATCGTAGAAAACTCATGAAAACAATTTATTTTTGTGAATATGTAAGCGCTCATAGCTCAGTGGTATGGCTACCTCGTTAAAGGCGTCGAAGACCTCGGTTCAAATCCCGATTCGCGCAGGTTTTTTCCTTTTATGCAGTGAAATTTCATGTACATAGGTTACTTTGGTGTTAGACCCTAGTGAAGAAAATAGAACGATATAAGTTTACATTTGTAAGGTTATTTTGGTGTTAGACCCTAGTGAAGAAAATAGAACGATATAAGTTTACATTTGTAAGGTTACTTTGGTGTTAGACCCTAGTGAAGAAAATAGAACGATATAAGTTTACATTTGTAAAGTTGGACGATAAAAATCTCTGCTACTGTCAGTAAAAGTACTGCTACTGTCAGTAAAAGTACTGCTACTGTCAGTAAAAGTACTGCTACTGTCAGTAAAAGTACTGCTACGAGCAGTAAAAAGGAAAATTTGAGAGGGTTTTCGACGATAAAGTACTGCTACTGTCAGTAAAAGTACTGCTACTGTCAGTAAAAGTACTGCTACTGTCAGTAAAAGTACTGCTACTGTCAGTAAAAGTACTGCTACTGTCAGAAAAAGTACTGCTACTGTCAGTAAAAGTACTGCTACTGTCAGTAGCAGTACTGCTAGGAGCAGAGATTTTTATCGTTGTGGTCCGACGGTTAAGCCACAAACGAATGTCCGACGTCCCACCAACTGAGTCCATTCCCAAACCAGAAGAACCTAAAGCACCAGCCCCTGCACCTCAGTTCCAGCAATTCCAATCTCAATCCAAATTACTACCAATTCCAATACAAATCGAAGAGAGACCAAGAGTTCGAAGAAGGTCTGAACCGCTTACGCAAAGAGTATGCTACAGCTCCAACCCTTGGTTGTTCCAGCAATTCCAATCTCAATCCAAATTACTACCAATCTCAATCCAAATCGAAGAGAGACCAAGAGTTCGAAGAAGGTCTGAACCGCTTACGCAAAGAGTATGCTACAGCTCCAATTGAGAGAAAGTTGTTGCTAAATTCAGTAAAAATAATGTTTAGGTGAAGAGGTGACATCTCACCCGTTTTCTCACCTCTTTTCTCACCTCATGAATTTTCATGAATTTCATCGTAAATGTTTTGTCGAAACTTCTTCATCGTAAATGTTTTGTCAAGACTTCTTCATCGTAAATGTTTTGTCAAGACTTCTTCATCGTATATGTTTTGTCGAAACTTCTTCGTAAATGTTTTGTCGAAACTTCATCGTAATGAGCGTAAATGACCCAAAAATAATGTTTAGGTGAAGAGGTGACATCTCACCTGTTTTCTCACCTCTTTTCTCACCTCATGAATTTTCATGATTTCATCGTAAATGTTTTGTCGAAACTTCATCGTAATGAGCGTAAATGACCCAAAAATAATGTTTAGGTGAAGAGGTGACATCTCACCTGTTTTCTCACCTCTTTTCTCACCTCATGAATTTTCCCGAAATAAAAAATAAAGTTAGTTTTATTTTTTATTTTATTTATTTTTTTATTTTGTATAAAAAAATAAAAATGTCAACAATCGGCACAACAACACTTCAAACAACTACAGCACCAAACTCGTTAGTCATGAATCCAACATCTATGTTGGTAGAGATGAAAAACTTCATTCCTTCTTCATATACTTTCGAAACAGAAATCCAGAAGATAAAGCAAGAACTTCTCCAAGGAGATTTAGACTGTACCGCAAAAGATGAAACAGATGAACAGTATCTTTATGAAATGCAGGATATTATTGACCATCTACCTAAACTTCCTGAAATACAACAACAAAAGCTCACTATTCCTGAATTCGATGAAATAGAAGTCAAAGCAACTGACTCAGTAGAAATAAAGAAGTTCATACGAAAGGTTAACTATGAGTTTCTTGGATTTCATTGCAACCACAAAGTCATGGACAAAGATTGCGATATGGTATATAAGAACATCTCTGACATATACAAATCTGGGGAGTTTAAGACCTACGACAACTTTGTTTCGTTAGTTGCTGAATGTGTATGGCAGATAAGAGATAAAGATAGAAGAGGTAAGATATGGACTGAACAGATAAAACCAGCAACTTTTGAGTTAAAGAAAACCATTGACGCCTTAGTCATACTTGCAGGTAAGGTTTCAGAATATAACGCTAAAATGAATCCGCAATGTTCTAAATGTAAAGCAGCAATGAGGAAATATAACTACTCCGTCAAAGAGATAGAACGTATGCGAAACGACTATGCAGACTTAAAGAAAGAAGCAGAAAAACCAGCAGAAAATAAAATGGATATGTTAGCATTTCTGAACAAAAACTATCCAACAGCAGAAGATTTCCTATTATCTGACGTCAAGAAGAAGTATAAAGAAACTTTCGGTATCGTTAAAACATTCGATGTACTGACAGAAGAAATAGAAGCTACAAAACTGTTTAGGATTTCAAATATACATCGTACAATTCATGTAAAACGCTTATAAAATAACTAGGGTGAGAAAAGAGGTGAGAAAACGGGTGAGATGTCACCTCTTCACCTAAAATATATTTTTGCCGAGTAAAATGACCAAATTTCATTATATAACTGTTATTTTTTTACGAAGAGAACTTTGACACTTCGTAAAAAAAATCCCTGAAATCATATCTTTTATACAAAATTCATGAGGTGAGAAAAGAGGTGAGAAAACGGGTGAGATGTCACCTCTTCACCTAAACATTATTTTTGGGTCATTTACGCTCATTACGATGAAGTCTTGACAAAACATTTACGAAGAAGTCTTGACAAAGCATATACGAAGAAGTCTTGACAAAACATTTACGATGAAATCATGAAAATTCAAGAGGTGAGAAAACAGGTGAGAAAACGGGTGAGATGTCACCTTCTACCCTAAATTATATTTTTACTGAATTCAGCAACAAAAATCATGAATTTCCTTAAGATAGAAAAAATAAAGTTAGTTTTTTATAAAATATTTTTTTATCCGGAATATAAGGACAGATATGTCAACAACAGAGAACACAACAACAGTTATAGTCCATGAAGCTATAAATGAAGAATATGAGTGGGTTCAGTTTAACAAACAACTCCGTCTCATTCGTTCGGTCAAAGACGATATGTACCAAATGCAAAGTATTTTGACAGCATGTTTTGCTCCAGATACTATGAAACCACAAGATTGGTTTGAATTAAATAGCACTCATGAACTCCTCAGTGAGTTTGAACATGTAGAACTTAAAAAGATGTACCAAGACAGACAAAACTTACCATCACATCTAAAAGGTATATATGTTCATAAGTTCCTAGTTAGTTCAATAGCAATGTGGGCTTCACCTCGTTATGCAATCTACATACTTATGCTACTTGACGAACTTTGTACAAAGCAGAGAGAAGATATGATGAAAGAAGACAAAAACATACAGAAAAGAATACCACGTTCGGTACCAAAAGGAAAGGAAAAGAACTATAAGTATATGATTTATACTGAAGAGATGGAAAATGAAGAAGACAGAGATATGGTTATGTTGCATTTAGTCAGAAGAAACAACAAAAGCTTTTACGACCTTGCTAAGATTTACAAATCTGACAGAAATTGGTTCTATCGCGAAAACTTACCGATTTCAATGACCCCAAATGAAGATGTGAAACAAATAGTTCAAGATACGTTACCTCAAACACACTATGATATTAAAGGTTGTACAATTCTTACCTTCAAAGAAGATTTGCCATTGTTAAAGGAAAAAATAACAGAGTATTTTGACAACTTCAAACAAGTAGGGTAGATGAACCATTTATTTTTCAAGCTTGACTTCAGATGGCTCAGGTAGCTCTATAAGGTAAATTGTCTTGTCAAATCCTTCTGACATTCCGAGTCCTTCCTTCCAACAGGAAAAGTCCTTCCTTCCGACAGGAAAAGTTTTTCCTTCCAACAGGAAAAAAATTTCCATCCGACAAGAAAAGTCCTTCCATCCGACAAGAAAAGTCCTTCCATCCGACAAGAAAAGTCCTTCCATCCGACAAGAAAAGTCCTTCCTTCCGACAGGAAAAGTTTTTCTTTCCGACAGGAAAAGTTTTTCTTTCCGACAGGAAAAATTTTTTCTGTTGTCCGTCCGTAAACCATTCAAATTTTCGAAAATTGAGAACTTTTTGGTCGACCTTCAGGAAAAGTTTTTCCTTCCAACAGAAAAAGTTCTTCCTTCCGACAGGAAGAACTCTTCCTTCCAACAGGACACAAACGGATGACTGACGTACCACCAACCGACAGCCCCAAAGCCAGAAGAACCGACAGCCCCAGCACCACAGCAGACTTACTAAGACTAAACACTTACATTTTTACGCTTGACTTTTTACAATTTGAACTTTGTTTGCGTAGATATGAATTCTGAAAGAAGTATGAGGGTCTTGTATGACTTTATACTTCTCCCATAGTTCATGTCTGTCAAACTTACCTGCCATGGACTCTTTCATAAGTTCCATGAAATCGTCTTCGGACAATCCAGGGAAAAGTATTATGTCAGTCAGTATTCTCTTTACATCTTTACTTAAACTCTTTGCTGTCTGTACACAAATGACAACTGAGATGTTAAAGTGTCTGAGCTTCTTAAGAATTCGACACATGTCTTGTTCTCTATTCTTTAACAAAGGATGAGAAGCAAAGTCATCTAAGATAAGAAGACATCTATGAGGGTATGTCTTCCAATCGTAAGATTGCAATTTCTTCGAAATGTATTCTATCTCTTTCTGTTTGTTTCTGAAGTGTTTCTTCTCTAATATTCTCTGCATTTCCTCATTTGGGTCTTTAAACTTAGAATTTATATACTCATTTATAGCATTATACTTCAAAACTCTTCTTTGATACTTCTTTATCCAATCTAACAACTCAGTATCCTTTATACATACTAACTTAGACTTCTTTATAATATCTTTGAACGAATTGACGGTTTGGTCAAATTGACCAGAAGTCGAACAAATAACAACTAACTCATAGAATGGGTTCTTCTCATCTAGTTCTTGTTGTTGTGCAGCCATTTTAAGATAAGTGAAAGTCTTACCCGACCCAGGTGGTGCGATTAGACCTGTTATACCATTCTGAGCAAATAGGAACTTGTCATGTATGGGTTTTATCTGAGCATTTTCTAACTTCCTCTTGTTCTTCTTCAAAACATTCTCAAATTTCTTGTCAATGTCAGCAAACTTTTTTTCTAACATATTTTTAGAAAATTAAAATTTTTATCTTTTAGAAAATGTCTAGCGATTTCGCTATCTATATTCGAGACAAACTTTTTGACAGCAAAACATCTGTCGACCATAAAATCTTACATAGTGTAAACAAGAAAGGTGAATTTGTTCTAAAGTTCTGTTTCTGGGAATATGACAAGAACCATAAAACATTAAGCAGAGCAGTCTTAAAATTTGTCAATGACAGACTTGTTGATATCGATTTAGATACTACCTATACATTTAATCGAAATGCACATTCTTTTTAACATCTTAGATATAATATAATTAAAAAATGAAAATTATTTCATGCGCAAGATGATCATATACCTATTTTGTTATGTTCGTTATTGAACGTCGGACTTGCAGCCCTGGATACATCTATGTGAGCCACCTAGAAGTCACTACCCGTCCGTGTCATGTTATTCTTCTTCCTCGTAATGATTAAACTTCTTTTTTTGTTCAATTTTTAAAATAGTAGATGCTTATAAACATTTCGTATTCCATTAATGTAATCAAATAATGAATTTGATTGAAGAATTCTGTAACAACAGCTGGGTTCTTGACTATTTTTCGGGTTTGATAATCTTTCTTGAACGAGCCAATCGAAGATACATCCCATAACGCACCAATAATCAGTCACATATGCCATCACGAGGTATTCTTGTCCTGATCAACATACACGACGGACGAAAATCGGAAGAAAATTCGGTATGCCATCAAGAGAGTAACCACTTATCTGTAGTAGGAATCAACCACCAATTAACAAACAAAAATTCGGCAGCCATTGCTTCAG